ATCAATATCGTAAGGGTCCTGGCGTGTCGCGATGTACAAGCTGCGTCCATGGGCATGCATCCAACACCTCGTTAGGTCAGTTCTCCAGCAGTGGCAGATACAACAACCCCAGGTCGGCTTCCAGCGTAGAATTTTTTTTTATATATTGTACATGTGTCTTGCTTATTGATTCTCAATAAAGAGAATAAAGAGAATAAGTAATTTTTACTGGACGCATTTACCTGTCATACTTGGCAGGTTAACTAAGCGACCAATCAGGCCTCCGCTTTAACAGAGGCCAGCCTAACCAGCAGACCCTGCTTATTGGTCAACTCGCAGAATACTAATCAAATTTTGCTAATTATTCATTAAATCCAAGTTTTGGGCTTGCAGTTCCTATTATCTTATTGCTGGATGTGGCATTATTAGAGGTTGAATTTAGCAAGTGCTTTAGCACATAGGGGGAATCATAAATTCAATGTATACATATATGTGACGTCCTGATCCCTATTCCTAGTATAGGGTAAGGGTTCCCAAGGTAATAAACCTAGGTCGTAGGTCTATGTTGGCAGAGAGGACAGGGAGTAGCTTTTGAGCGGTTGTAATCACAAGTGCGTAAGAGTAGAATAGAAGGGGTAACTTATATTCAGTCTTGATACTTTGTTAACGACTGGCTGTCTAAACTATCTGAATGAGAGTGATGAAAGAAACTTATATATCCAGTCGTTCCAGGTGGCTCATATCGTGATGTCTCTTTGTACTGAGTGAGCCTGCTACCTTGGTGTCGAGGCTCACACTTCTTTGTTGTACATACCTGAGTGAGCCCGGGGTCCTTGATCCTGATTGGCTGTTCCTTCCGTACTTTACCCGAAGGGTACGTACTTCTGGTCAGATCGTAACAGCCTCTGTCAGAGTAGTTTTGGAACAAAAGACGCCTTTAACTCCATTTATGCCGGTGACTGTCTTGGATACGACAAGCTGGGCAACATTGGCGACCAGGTTTATGTTTACATACCATTGCAAAAGTTCCGCTAATCCTTGGAAGCAATTGTTACCAGTCGCAGCATGCGTGTAATAATAAGAGTTCCAAGAGTAAGATAAGCCCCATGCTAGCCTGTGGATCTGTTCCAATTCTCTTATTAACTGGGTTCTGCAACTCTACATCATTAGACATACTCAACAGGATTGCGTCATAATTTTTTCTACGAGAGCTTTCGGCGAAAATGCTATAAAGAAGCGGTAAGTCTTGATAAGAGCCTTTACTATCTTCCAAATTATAGATACATAGTAGTCTCCTTCACATATCCCTATTAGCTAGTTTACAAAATCGATATTTCTAAGAGTAGACACTTGCGCAACTGATGATAATAATGACAATCCCCTAATTAAACGGATACGGCATTGATGGGACAGGGTTATCCGAATAGCAAGAATACATAGGGTCCTCATCTCCAAGGTAGCCCACGCACGCCCTGCAATTCAGCAGCGTATCAGGATCATATTTTTGCTTAATCGCAAGCAGCTTATCGTAATTTGCACCGAAGAAGACATTTTGCCAGTCAGCCTCGTTCGGGTCTGCTTCGTTCAAGTACGCGGCCTGCACCGTAAGTGGCTTCTTGAATTCTCCCATAGCAGCGCGAGCAGCTGCCGTAGCCTGGTCCCTGGTGGAGTCAGGAGAGCCGGGCAGCCAAACTGCCACTCCGATGAGATGCCAGAAAGTATTTCGCCATGCGGGATTGGCGCTGGTTGCATTTTGCGCATCAGGTGTATTGCTTGCTCCAGTCGCTAGGATGAGAACCTCAAATGCACTGCCCAGGGAGCCACCCAGCTGCTGACGGGCACTTTCCATGCCCTGCAAAATGCCGCTGACGAGGGCATCCACATTGGCAGGGGTTTCGAAATTATCCTTGGTGATGAGGCGACTCGGGGTCAAGACGGAAACGCCAACACCACCGAATCTCTCAAGGTAAGCTTCTTGACCGGCGTAGAAGTCCTTCTCACTACTATACAAAACGTAGGAGTTGGTTGTAATGTTGAGTCCCGCATGGCCAGTCAAGAAGGAATTATACCGGGATGTGAGTTGCTTTATCGTCCCCAGGGGGTCTTGACCAACAGGCAGCACTTCGAGCAGTTGAAACTCAGTCGCTGTAACGACATTATAGGCCGCAATACCATTCTTTGACCAGTTAGTTTGCTCATGAGACAGCTCTGTAAGAACATCAGTCAAAACCGTGCTCTTTGTGTAGTCAGGATCGCTATAATCGACGGTCGCTTCTAGGCGCCATGCGGCCCATTGCGTCTTGGGATACACCTGGAACTTGTAGTTGACGAGGATAGCATATGATTGTCCGCCACCGCCTCGCATTGCCCAGAAGAGGTCAGGATCATTGCACTCGTTGATGGTCCGGAAAACTCCGTCGGGCGTGACAACGTCGAACTCAACAGCCTGATCCACCATCAGTCCGTAAGAGGGTGCCAGGGGACCATGGCCGGCGCCTTGGCCAAATCCGCCTGCAATGCCCACCGTAGCGCAGCCGCCAATGGTAACCATCATGTTATGCTTGTCGAAGAAGCCCATAGCTTCCTCTGCATTAACACCAGCCCCGATAATAGCAATATTTTGCTTGTTGCCTGCAGCAGGACAATTTTGGACCGTGAAAGAGGATTCGAACGACATATTCTTCAATTTATTAGTGCTGAGGACAAGGGTGTTCGCTGCGCTGCTTCGACCAAGATAGTCATGGCCAGTATTCTTGACCACTATTCGAATACCGTATTTCCGAATAAACGCTAGCGTAGTCGTAATATCTTGACTGTTTTGGATATTAACCTGCAACGCAGAGAGTCTTCCTAGGGAGCACGTCTGTCCCTGTGGTGCGAAAACGCCAGGATAACAATTTGCGGTGCCACAAGTCTCCCACGCCGTATTTTCCAGCGCTCCACTAGATGTTTGGCGAAAGGTGCCATTCATATAGTTTGCCTGGACGGTAGCACACGCGTCACTGTCGAAGTTGGGCGAGTTAGGGAAGCAGACGCTTCCCATTGGGGCCGTGACTTTTAGAGCTCCTGAGACGCTCTGATTGAAAGCCTGTAACTCTGAGGTAGTGGGCCAGCAAGACTGCCCTGGCTGGCAATTAAATATTGAGCCATTGGCAGTGGCGGGAATAAGCAAGTGAGTTGCCATGAAAAGTGGCTTTGTGAGGCGCATGATAAATACACAAAGAAGTGTAGAGATGATATGGTGCTGATGTCGAATCTCAACCTCCTGAAAACAGGATCAAGTAGTCTTTAAGTATTCATGGACCCTGTGCCGCACCCCTGCTTCCTCGAGGGCCTCTAGAAACATACTTGTATACTCCGTAAGTAGCACAGAGATACGAGTTATAATCCAAAAAAAGGAGGAGAAGAAAAAAAAAAAACTCCATCCATATCGACTGCTGTTCGCATTTCGGTGCAATGATGTGAAGTCTCTCACCTACACCGCATCATACGTGAAGGGGTGTTTCCACTCAGTCTCGGCGCCACGGGCCGCATTAAGTAAGCGCTAGCCCTGGAGATCACTAGTACTGCTATTATAATTGGTTATTTTTCATCGAATCTTAGTACGCAGTATGTTAATTATGGAGTATATCGGAGCCTTTTCGTGTCTCTTTAGCTGGGGTTACTCAGGGGCACCTTGTTTTGCAACCTTTCTCACATGGTAAGCAAATGTGAGCAGAGCCCCTACGAAGATCATGTACGTACCTAGTACTAGTAAGTAGTTGGTTGACAGCTGGTGGAAGAAAAATACCTGAAATAAGTTGGACGATTTATTCTAAAAACAACCGTAATAAACAAACTTGGGCTGCTTATATAAACAAACAATTTAATAACTGGTTACACCACACTGTTTCTGAGTTGAGATGAACTAGGCGCCATATATATGTATCTCAGCACGCGAAAAGAGTGTTTTCTATTCTTATTATAAACCTGGTAGCCTAGACGGCCAACTATTAGGCTATTGAAAACAATTGGAGATTACCGTGATTCGGCCCGTCATCATCCCCCATGACACTTTGTATGATCTTACATCCATGATACCACAACCTAGCTATTCCCAGGTAAGTGTAAGTCCTTACTACTAGTTAATTATCATAACTTACCTCTCTCCGACCACGATATGGCCCTCAGGAGATTGCGATGAACTAGTGGCACCAATCATATGCAGGATGCATTCTACTAATACTACCCTCATAATTCAGCTTCCAGCCGAAAAGCATCACCACTAACAGACTTCAAGTCGAGGCACTAAGACATTCGTTGTATTTAAGCAGGGCCGCGTCTTGGTTACGATGCGCACTAGACACAGAGAGCAGTGATGTTCATGATCGGTTTCCTCTTTTCCTCTCTCTCTCTTTCTTTAAAGAGAAGGCGCACGGACTCTTGGTACCTTGCAGTACTCTACAGTACTCGACTGAACTGGACTGCTAGAAGTGGCTGAATGTAAAGGCCTGAAAAGCCCCTAGTGCGTGCCCAAAAATCCACTATAGACCGTAAAAGTCAAGTTCTTTCAAGTAGCTACAAGTACATAGTAGCCTTTGGCTCACGTGCTCGGATCACAACAGTGCCACTAAGACTGTTAGGTACGTAGTGATCGTCATTAGCTACAACGGCGAATCTCAGGTATCTCGTAATTACTCATATGACGTTGGATGCATTGTCGCTCTACGCCGTATTGGGCTTTGCGGTTACATTTTTGATCAGATTCAAATCATAGAGAATATTTAATTTTTAATTTAGTATATACTTAAATCACGAGTATTATGATTATCTATTCCATTTCGTCAATGCTTTCACAGCATCATCTGCAGACTCTGAGTATGTTGCAACACATGGCACAACGCAAGGAAAGATGCCAGTAAAATGTAAGCCACGTGATGCCACGTGGCACTGCACCTAAGCACACCGTGTCCTTTACGACTCACTGGTGCAACGCTGATACGCACACTCAGCAGGGCATCCGCAGTGCTTGATAAACAACCATGGATGCGGATAGCTCTATAAACGACTGGTCTAGTGACGATGCGAGCGAGTCTCAGCCCTGTGATTTCGCCGATTCCGAGGACGAGCATTCTCAGCAACTGACTCTAACTCGACGCAGCCAGCTGAGACCTGCCGGAAATGGCCTTGCATTCGTTCCTTACGCTGACTGGAGGCCAGGACGATCGTATAACCAGCAGCCAGCCGAGAATATCTGGTATGATGTGGAATGGAAGCTGTCTGTGAACAACAGGCGGAAGACGGGCGAATCAGAACCGGGGATTGCGTTATCGCCACGCCAGTTCTGGAAATACGTCCTCCAGCCGAAGTTACAAGCTGTTATGAAAAGTGCCAAGAGTCCCTTGACAGCTTCCGATACGCAAATCCTCTTGTCCGTTAGTGACCGTAAAACGAGCAGCATAACAAAGCGGTTTTCAAAGTTAGATATTAACTGGCTATTTGTGGCAAAGCAACTACAAGAATGGAGCCGGTTCTTGACAGACGACAAGGTTAAGAAACTGAAGGTCGAAATTACATTTTACTATATAGAGGACAAAAGCAGGACAGCTCCCGCAGTGCGCGGGGCCAATGCCACTCAAGGTGCAGAGAGAGGCTCGAATTAGTGCCGAAAGAGCTGTCCTGGGTCGGCCGGAAAGCTGGAGGCAGGTCATCGCTCTTGTTCGTTGCCCAGGACCCCCATGCAATAAAGGCCCTTATTGCTGGCGAGACGGGCAAACGCACTATAAGTTGCTTAGCCATCACTTGAAGATGCTTGTTGATGAGGTGCAGAAGGGCCACAGTATGCAAACACACAATGACATTCCAGAACATATCCGAGAGGAATTGCACGCGGAACAGCAGCAACAAGCCGAGCGCGAGCACAAGAGACGGCGACGGGATTCAGACAGTTGCCCTACTGGCTTTCCAGTAATCCATATTCATAACGCTCCAAGTAATGCTAATGCCGGGGCTAGCTCTAGTATCCTTTCCACACCTGAGATGGTTTTCCCAACATCGCCTACCTTTGACATCCAGGGATCTAGAGAGGACGCAGTAAAGGCTTATGTGGTGTGGCAGTGTTCTAAGGTCAGCAGTCAGGAACAGAAAAGCTCCTACGACTTGGCTCAGAGCCTGACCTTGGATCACGGCCTCTGTCTCTACATGGTTTACACTAACCAGAGGAGGTATTTCCAATTCTATAGAGAACATGGCGTTTTAGATGGCGTTGCGTGGCATTTTGTTTGTGATATTAAGCTTTTTCTTAAAGATGCGTAGCCTTATAGAAAGTAGAGTAGGCTCTTTACAGACACATGGTTAAGAATAATTAAATAAATTGTTATAGCCCATGTTCATGGTTCCTCAATGCTAATTAGTGCGTTCTTGAAATGGCCTCTAGCACTCTTTTTTCGGCTACCCACCGCCTTTACACACTCTTCCAAGAATAACTTGAAGTCTGCCTTGATAAGCTCCCAATCGTCATGCACTCGTGACCTGATGTAATTCTTCAGCTCGCCAAAGAACTCTTCAATCGGACTGAAGTCGGGTGAGTACGCCGACACTACTACGCCTGCAGCCTCACACATCCGCATCATTCTCTCCGAAAAGTGCCACAACGCGTTATCCATGACTAGAACAGACCTTGGCTCTGGGAACCTGCCGCAGTACGGTAAAAGCTTCTCAATGAAATCGTCAAATACCTGTGTGGTTGTTGAACCTTCGTACACCTCGAAATAAATCACCCCATCTTGGGTATATGCAGGGAGAATCTGAACCCGCTTGCCGCGATGAAATCGCTTGATCTGCACCAGTATTATACCTCTAGGAGCATAACCTCGCTTTCGGGTCCCAATAGTACGATCCGATCCACTCTCATCAACGAAGACGAAGTGTTCGGAACTGTAAGATAACCTCTCGTATATGTATTCTTCCCGCAGGTCAGGATCACGTTCTTTCGCGACGGTTCGGGCAACTTTCTTCGTCCAGTTTGCGTTCTGCAAGGTTCTCCCAATGGTGACACGTGATACACGGATGTTAAACTCTCTACGGAGGAAAGCAGCCATGTCCTCCTGGGTCATGCAAGGCTCGCAGGCTAGTCTGTTCTCTAAGGCGGCCCACATGACAGGAGTGATTTTCTTGGATGGGCCAGGTCTGTTCGGGGGAGCATCGATGGTCCCAAACCGCTTTATGTTCGATCGCGCGTAGCGTACGGTTCGTTGGGTGCATTCATTCAGCTTCGCTATTTCTTCATCGTTGATCTCTTCCTTATCCTCGAACTTACTGTTGATCATGGCCTCCATGATGGTGCGCTGCATTGTATGTAGATTCGGGGCCATGATAACCCATGCTAACGAGACTGTAACATACTGGTGACAAAGCGGTTATGGCAGGGAAGCAACAATGGTTGAAGACCCAACAGCCATGACTCATGCATTCCTGCCTACATAAGGCCTCAATTTCGCATTACGGCAGAACTCAGGTCCGTAAGTCATAATAGTAGCTTGCATGTGATGGCACGTGACTGGATCCTAAATACGAACTTCAAGTCCTGATTCCGAACAACCAGCTTTTTCTGCAATTTCGGAGCATCGAGATCCTAAGAGCGCAAGAATAACGCACCTAGCTTACCTTAATTTTGACCCTAAGCTAACTTCTCTGCATCTTCATCCCTCCCCAGTGCACGATATATTACTGCAAGATCTGCCATACTCCTGATCGTATCAGGATGCTTCTCGCCAAGAATCCCCCGCCGTAGTGCCAGTGCTTCCACTAATATTCCCTCTGCTTCTTTATACCTGCCAAGTGCATGATATGTCGCTGCAAGAGATGCCATACTCCTGATTGTATCAGGATGCTTATCGCCTAAGGTTGTCTTTCGTAGCCCATATGCTCTTTGGTCCGCAATCTCCCTCTCTCTCCATCTTCCACGTTCGTATAGATAATGCGACACCCTTGCTAATAAGTTCGCGGCCGTTAACTCTCTTCCACAGAGTGTAGCCCACTCACACGCCTGCTGTGCGTGTGTGATGCACTTCTCGCATTCGTTCCATACCTCTGGCCCACTGACCGGGAAGAGACTCAAAACAATCTCAAGTGCTGCGACCGAGAAATACTTTTCCTCTTTCTTTCGTTCCTTTCTACCCAGTCCATACCGCATTGCTTCTTGCACTAGCTTGTGCACCTTATATGCACGATTTCCATCTCCAGTGGCCTGTACACTTAAAAATGAAAAGTCACAGAGACGGGCGATAGCTTCAGTAATTTTATCACCATCACTATCAGAGTCTGATGAGGAATCATTATCGTGTGCTTCGTGAAAATAATCCATTACATTACTCTCGTCGCTGTAAAGAGCTGCCTGCTTGACCAACTCAAAAGGGATATTCTGGTTATCCAGAAAGGCGTGTATGTGCAAAATCTGATATGATGTCTTGTTTTCAATCTGAAGATACTCCATCGAAATGCTCCAGGTCTCCAAAATACTGTTTGACACCTCTCGTCGCCGGTGACGGTCACTTTGTGATTGCTTTAAGATCTTCCATCTTTTCTTGCCCTCTTTCAATTTCGACATGTATTCCTCAACAGTTGTCAAAGTCCTCTTTATATATGCTGCAGCTTGCGATATAGCGAGCGGTAGCCAGTCAAGCTCGGCAAGAAGTGCTGCAATATCTTTTGCCTCACCGCTGCTCGCTTGTTTATTTCTGGCACTGCCGAACAGCTCTTTCGCCTCATCTGGAGTCATATTTGAGACTTTAATTGCCCTTCGAGCAGCAACAAGACCTCCGGCGATGCGCTCGTCGCGGCTCGTCCAAAGAACTTGGCCCCTTGGACCTCTTGGGATGAAATTATCTAGGCTTAATGCATGTTCTCCCAGATTCGAAGCATCTTGTGCGGTATGGCCGACACCAAAGAGCTTCAAGTTATCCGCGTTATCTAGAATAAGTACCTAGGGAGGGCTCGTCTCGATACGGTAACGTACAGCCATTAAGAGATCCTCGCCATCGAGATTGCTTGGGAGACCTAGCCTCTTCGCGATCGACCTGAAGTCTTGGGTGAATGTGGTTTCGTTGTCGGCATGGACCCAGAACACGGAACAGGTGGGGACTTGGCACCGGCGATAGGCATAGTCGAGGGCAATCTGAGTTTTGCTGGGTTGCCGCTACTTAGCAACGTATTACACATCAGAGCGCCTAGATAACTTACCCTGAGCCACCAAGACCATAGAGGGCGGCGGTGGAATAGTCTTCGGATAGCGGCAAGATTCTACCTAGCTCGCTAATAAGGTCTTGACGAGGGATAAGCTCCTCATTGCGGGGAAAGGGAATCAGGACACAGGGTTCGCGGGGGTTACTGGCGTAATTGTAGATCACATCACCCTGATGAATCCGGGCATTATCTCCAATAGTATTGGACTCGATGGCGCGGGTAGAGCTCATAATGCCACTATTCTTGTCATAAAAAAGATGGTAAGCAACAGAAGCAAGGCTGAGAGGGCATTTGTGAGGTTAATCTGGATTATGCTTAGTTCTTCACCGGTGAGTGGGGTAACTTATGCCAAAGTTTGTTGACAAAATAACGTGAATCTAATAAGGGAAATGATCACGGAAGCTGAGTATGTCTTTTGTCACCTTTTCCAAGCGTGCGGGGTATGCTTGAGCTGCTGGAAAGTTCCCCTTCTGTCATTTCGGATAGCGGTAGAACTTAATTCCATAAGTCGAGACAAGCGTGCTAAAGGTACACAGTGTACCTAAAATACTGTACGCACTATGTGGGTTTGTCGACAAATTAAAAGAGTGAGAGTTGAAGAGGAAGCCGATTATGAACATCACTGTACATTCATTCATTCATTCATTCATTTATTACGCCCGGTAGAAAGTCCAAAAGGGCAACTATGAACCTATAGCACGTGTACATTCTGAAGCTTAGCTTGTACTTATACAGTTGGGAGTGAAATGGCGTCCTGTTCACATACTCCGAAAAACTTATAAGCACGGACCATCTGTACTAATGGCGACTTAAATCTACAAGTTATGCTTCTCTTTTCCTATTCCAGAGAAAGTACTGGCAAGTAGAGTACAGTGCATCACGATCCGGCACTTTTGGCTCTCTTGTAGACAGTGCAGATGTACCTAATAAATACAAAATCCCCCTAATCTAGGTACATGCTTGATTGACTCTGTTTGCTTCTTGAATCCGCATCATTGTACTTATCCCAGGGTGCGCTGTCAGCCACCGTTTGGTCATATTCCTCATCGAAGATGTCGAAACCCAAGTGTCGGATTGGGTTAAGGAATCGGGCCTGACCTCGGACGGAGGATAACCGATCCACGTCATGGAAGTCATCAACCGACATTTTGTTCAGCCGCAAGTTTTCCTTCATGTGATGAACTTGCACGGATTTGGGTATTACAGGGATTACTTTTTGCACGGCCCAAGATAAGCAGACCTAGATATTTATCGAACTTACGTTAGTGGAATTTTTTTATGAAATATAATGTATGCGATGGATGATATGCAGTTACCTGGGCCGGCGAAATGTTGTATCTATCGGCAATTTTGACAATGTGCGGAGAGCATTAGATCCTCACCAGTCAGATTTTCTTTCTGCCAAAATATGTACCTCTGGATCCTCGGTCGGAAATGGTCTATTGGCGCCGACAGGCCATCTGATAGATACACTGCCGCTCATTAGAATAACGCCATCTTCTGAAACTAGATAAAATAGCAGCTTACTGGACTTTGCTTGGCTTTTTGAATGCTGATAGGTCATATTAGGTCAATATCAATTGATAGCATGTACGTACTGCGCTAGGGATATGAAATACTGTGCTCCAAGAGCCACGAGAATGTCTCTCCACTGCAAAAATCGGCCCATTGGTACTAACTACCTAAGCACACCAACTTGAGCCACAGTGCTGGAAACAGAAGCTTCTAGTACCCGCTAGTGTCTTGTAGGCGTTGCCAGCAGTTTCATGATATTGCGTGATTCATCGTGCAGAGTCTCGATCACATTACATTGACTTAATCTTACTTTACCTTGAGACATGCGATCATGGAAACGTCACAATTGGGTGATTTTTTCGTAAGTGCTATTCTAGAAATGTCCAAGCCACCCAGGCCAGAGATTTTTGGCGAACCTTGGAGAAATATCTCCGCATATAGCTCTCCAAGTATAAGGAAATCAACAAACTCCTAAAGCTCAGTTCTTCTTCCACCACGATCACAACAATCACCACAAAGCAACAGCTTTTTCATGCAAAACTGCAAAACACCTCTTCGCAACATACTCGCTCGCAACACTCGCACTCTCAAGCCAACTTCTCTACGACCGCTCGCAACAATACCAACTCGCAACATGTCTTTCTTCCAGCGCAACTTTTACTCTCCCGACACCTCCTTCACCCCTCTCTTCCGCCTTCTCGAGGACTTTGACAACTACTCTCGACAAGGCAATGGCGCCGTCCAAGGTCGCCGCACTGGCCTCGCCCACTGGCAGCCCAAGTTCGATGTGCGCGAGACCGACTCTGCTTATGAGCTCCACGGCGAACTGCCCGGCATGAGCAAGGAAAACGTCAACATTGAGTTCACAGACTCGCAGACCCTGCTTGTCAAGGGCAAAGTCGAGAGGACCTACACCTCCGGCACTCCTCCCGCCGGCGCCATAGAGGGCAACGCCACCGCCACCGGCGGAGCCATCACAGAGGGCAAGGAGGACAAGTCATCTCACAAGGCGACCGTCGAGGATGAAGGCGAGGGCGAAGTCGCAAAGTCCTCTGAGGAAAACAGGCCTGCCGACTCTGCCAAGTACTGGCTCACCGAGCGCAGCGTTGGCGAGTTTTCGCGCTCCTTCAGCTTCCCTACTCGCGTCGACCAGGACAACGTCTCGGCCAATTTCAAAGATGGCATCCTGAACATTGCTGTTCCGAAGGCTGCTAAGCACGAGCCACGACGCATTGCTATCAACTAAATCCTTCATTAAGAATCAAAAAGATTGCATCTAACAATAAAAGTTTGATGATGAGCTGCATGTGCTGGGCGTTTTGGAGTTGAATTAACATCCCGACAGAGGCGGTGGAAGATCATGACCACTCATTCAAGGATAGTAGTGATGAGAGATAATGGCCACTCATTTTAAGTATAGTAGTTAATCATTTAGTTTATTGATTAATTAACAAATGCACTTTTATTGAACCATATAGTCCGCGTATTTCTGTGAAACACGAAGCGTAAACTCTACTGTAATTGATTGTATTGCTATTCATTGGCATATTTTAACTAGCCGTCCGTTCTCTGCATCGACCTCAAAGAGGGCTAAAGTTACAGCTGCAGTATGGACACTGGTGCTGGAGGATCTCTTCAATCATCTATAAAGCCTCCTTGTTGGGCTGCTAGGTAGAGGAAACTTGACGTGGCTTTTAGATAACACTTGCTAACTCATTTGCATCTACATATGGCCGACTCTAATGGAGGGGCTTCATCTAGCACCCGACTCTGGTTTTGACTACTGTACCGCCGACACCATGCTGTATTATTACGATAACCTCTTTCCTATTCTACAAGATAATTATACTCCTTGTCTGGTTGAGCTGTGCCATAGAGAACTTAAAACGGATGGAGAATCAATTTCGGAATCAACATTGCAGCAACTTGCAGAGATAAACTCTAGCATCCAAGGCTCACCTGGATCTCTTAATATTTCAGATTGAAGCAACTGGGAGTGGAGTCGTTTTCGGGAACCCAATTATAGTTGCTTGGCGAGTGACTAGATCTTTTAACATTGTCGAGCGTCTATGGCCCACGGTGTACATAATGCGTGAGTTGGTATTATGATTGTGACCCTCCTATAATTGTCTATTTAAACACCCGATATATATAGTTTCATAAAACCTACCCGCAGATCTGTGATTAGAATCCTTCTGCTTCACATTAATATTCTCAGCTGCTGCTAATGTTCTTTTAGTGTATGAACTTTTCAACAAGCTGGTAAGGTCTTGGATATCTTTAGCGATATATTAACGCAATGCGCTCCTCTGCATCTTTAATTAATTCAATAACACATTATACGTTCTCAATTCTTACTCAACCTTGGCTAAAATCATCTTTCTCGGGCTGGCAGTCGAAGACGTCTCTATAAACCTCGTGGAAGACAAAGCTCCGGTCATGAACCCTCTCCATAGCTTTACTATCTTCCGACAATCGACAGGATTCTGAGCAGTAAGTCGCACCGTCTGTCAGGGCATCACAGCCTAAACACGTATTATACGTCCATTCTGGCGTGAGGACATGTTAGCGATTTTCGGCGTTTAAGGTTGCAGAATGATGACAGGGTTGCATATCCATATACTACTGGCCGCAGGTGGGCGTCTCCCCACCCCCTCCACAAAAACAAACCTAAAATGGTGGAAAATTCCACACCGTCCAACGAACCATCAACGGCCTACCTTATAGCGAGCAGAAGGTGCATACGTCATTGGTGACGTAAATGTTGCGAAGGGTCTGAACTTTTTTTTATTGCTATGCGTTGGTTTACATGTGAATGAAGTCAGTGAAAACTACATATTTCTCGACTACAATTTAAATTATATCTGTAGCAGTGAGTATGGTGGCAAATAGAGTAGCACTACTTCTGCGTCCTCGCAGAGCTGCTGAACCCTTTCTGAGTGATGGATGGAGGCATTGTTAATGACTAAAACAGATCTCGGCTCAGGCCACTTGCTACAGTAGGGTAGAAGCCACTTAAGAAATTCCTTAAATTTCTTGCCATTAGTCGAGCTTTCAATATCTCAAAATATAGAATTCCATCTTGAGTGTATGCAGGGAGGATTTAATACCTCTGGCCACGGTGGAATCGCTTAATTTATACTTGAGTAATGCCTTTCTTAAACCATCCCTTGTTCAAGTACCACGTGCGTAAGGGCATATTTTAACACTGTAATGTACATATCCGTGCATAAAATTATAAAGGACTTTATGTTTTAACAGGACGGCTATTTCGCTCCCAACTGTAATATTCATGCATTTAAATTATCCCTCAAGGAAAATGATATCTCTTATAGCGGCATAGTATCAATGTGGTTATATTAGTTCCTGCGATTGCACTAGCCAGTTGATGTATTAACTATTACTGTGATGCAAAGAATATCTGCTTTACTCTGGACAAAGTTTATCCAACCACTCTTTAACCCGACTCACAAATTGGAGAGCAATGCCCAGCAATACTCCACATGTAACTAGCATCTTAGCGTCCACAGCCTGCGCTTCATACATCCGTCCAAGATGATAGCCCTTATCAACGGTAATCTGACTTACCAATCGATAGGCAGCCTGCCATTCACTATTGGTGACTTACCTACAAAGCCAATCAGAGTACAATTTTAGAGCCTCATCCATGGGCATTGGGAACTTCAGCCCAGCTGGGCCAGCCCGACAAACAGCTTTCTGTGGGTTTCCAGCCGATCCAGCCGAGTCCGCACTCCCTCTATCCTAATAACCAGGACAGCAGATGTGAATCGTGGTTGGCAATGGATCAGGTGCTTTCCGCTTTAGTTGCCTGCGCGTTTCTTCCTCTTCTTTATGTTTATATATCATTTCACGAATGCGCTCAGGAACGTCGTCATGCATCTCAAGCTTATTGCCTTCCTCTGCAAAATCAACGAGCTTCTCCATGGTATCAGAATCTAATTTGATATGCTTCTTGTCACATAAGTCCCGCCAGCAGGAGAATCCCCAGTTCGGGCAAACGGCACTGGAGCACTCGAAGACTTCGTAGACGTCCTTCCAAACAGGGCGCACGCCGGAGGCTTCTTGCTGAGCTATGAGCTTGTCTCGTGCGGCAAGCTGTTTGTTGGTAGCACCACGGCCGGTTTTACCTACTTTATTTGTGGTATCGAGCCGAGCCCCCTCGTAGATAAAGCAGATTTCAACGGTGAGACTGTTACCCTGGTTGCTCCAAGACTGCAGCTTATTTTCCACGAGATTCCAATCAATATTAAGTCCACTAAAGCGCTTCTGGAAATCACGCTGGGACCGCTTCGATGTTGATATCGTTATCCTTGTCTCGTCGGGTTTGTACTGTGGGTCCGGTGCTTTCTCTTCCACGACATCGAAAAGTTCGGGCTTCAAAGTGTTGCTCCAAAACGTACTAGAGGGAACATTTACGTCTTCTACTGTGTCACTTGTAAGCGTCATTATCCTCCCTTTGCGTAGCTGTAATTTCCAAACGACTGTATAAGTCAAGCATAAAGAGGCAGACCCTAAAGCACTCGGTTCAGGACCCTGCTGTACTTCTGTCCTCGCTCTGCGAATAGGGTCAGCCAGGGTCCAGCCCTAACTGTCAAACGTCGCAGACAGTGGAGTTCCATAATCAAGCTCAAAGCTGCAATCAAAAAAATTGGTGCCAGATATAGGTATATACATTCATTCATTCATTCATTCATTTATTCATTTATTACGCCCGGTGGAAAGTCCAAAAGGGCAACTATGAACCTATGGCACGTAAACATTCTGAAGCTTAGCATTTGTCCCATAGAAACCCATGAGTCCTTGTCTTCCAGTTTCTACTCTTACAATCTGTTCTCTTGCTTCGCTACGGTTTCTCGTGTTTTATCATTCTTCACAGCGGGCTAGCTTAGAGCTTATTCCCCAAGTGTTCAGAATCCTATCGACGGCAGCTGAAGCAGCGTCTGCTGTCTCTAGCACGAGGTGTTAATGGGAGTTGGGCGGCGAGTTAGTAAGTGGTGCGTGGGTGTTATAGTTTGCGGATGTTACTTGTTCTGTGCAAATGTTGCTTCCGGTGCGCTACTCTCTTTATAAAATATGGTTTTGGAGATACTTCAGATTACCTAAAAGTACTTCGAATTTTGTAAACGTCCAAAATGGGACTCAATTTATATGACGTTATAAGGATCACTAGTGAGTACCATAGCGTTTGAGGTACATTCAAGTATCCAGGAGTAGATGGAAAACACGCTAGACCCATAGCCCCACCATGACAGTGCGACCTTCTGCCCTCAGTACTTTCCTTTGTCAGCAGGCTACAGTAGCAATCGAAATAAGTGTCCGCTTTGTCAATGTAAGGCTCCTCTCCCCTCGGAACCTCCCCTCGGAACCTCCGTGACAGGCTCTTTTTATCACCGACAGATATTTATTCTGTTACCTGCCGCGTTGCAGCATAACCTAATTAATGGTATGATTTGACCAAAATTGCCCGCTAATAATAGTTCAAGTAGCATCTAGCTGCAGTGACCGCACGATGCTCGGAAAAATATAGACAAATCGATCAAATAGCGCTGCCCCGCACCAACGACAGCTCATTTAGCAGTCTAATGTTTATCGAGACGGGATATTCAACTACTATAAGACCAGCCTGGCGAATAGACGCCGCCCTCAAGGACTGTGTCAATGTCTAAAACTCTGTCTATAATATTAGAGTAATGGATTATACCTGAAACTAGGGACGGGCCGCGATACACGCTACGCAGCTAGGTAAAGCAAGTGCTATTAGGCTGTTTTGCCTTGATGATTCTAGTTAAAGCTATCCATTATTATAGTATACTCAAATCTTGCTTCTGGTACATATATGCAAAATAGAATAATCATTAAACACAAAGTCGGATTGCCTGCCAAATTTGATTATCCCTTCATAAAGAAAATTTGGTGGGATATCAAGGCGTTCAATTGGTCAATATCCAAGGTGAGGGGTTAAGCTAGCTGCCTACGTCATTTATTTCTTCTCAAGTCTACACTCAACGCCTCATCTCTAAAAAGCTATTAACTTAATATTATTATAATCTTCGGAGTCTTTCATCCATAATGAATTCAACAACTCCACAATTTCGTGATATTACCAATAACAATTTTGGCGATAATACCAGGATCCATCAGGGCGATATTCACAACTACGATAACCACGCGCGTGGTCAGGCAGACCCTTGCCTAGCAGATTTACGAATCACCGATCCCCGCGATGACAAAACGCGTATTGAGGAAACCAAAGGCAGCCTACTTAGGGACTCATACTGCTGGATCCTAGACCATGCTGACTTTCAGACGTGGCGTAACGATCCGCAGTTTCGACTACTCTGGATAAAAGGGGATCCTGGCAAGGGAAAGACTATGCTGCTATGCGGCATTATTAATGAACTAGAGAAGTTCAAAGTATATCGATTATCATATTTCTTTTGCCAGGCGACTGAGACAAGACTAAGAAGTGCGACGGCCGTACTGCGGGGGCTAATCTATAGCCTTATTGTTCAACAGCCATCGCTTATTTCTTATGTGCGAGAGAAGTACGATCACGCAGGCAAACAGCTATTTGAAGATATAAACGCCTGGGCAGCTCTGTCTAAGATATTAAAGGCAATACTTAATGATCCCTGTCTTAAAGATGTGGTCTTGATCATTGACGCTCTCGATGAGTGCACAGAAGAACTTCCACGCCTTCTTCATTTTATTAGAGAGATTTCCTCGTCCTCCTCTTCGTCCTCCCATGTCAAGTGGATTGTTTCAAGTCGCAACTGGTCTAATATTGAGAATAAACTCAAAAATGCTGAGCAGAAGATCAGTCTATGTCTCGAGCTAAATGAAGATTACATCTCGGCCGCTGTTCAAACTTATATCCATTATAAGGTGAATGTTCTAGCGGAAGAGAACAGCTATAATAATAAAATAAGAGAAGAGACCGAACGCTACTTACTTTCTAACGCCAATGATACCTTTCTCTGGGTGGCATTAGTGTGTCAGAATCTCAACAATGTCGGAAGCCGGAAGGTTCTGAAAAAGCTGAAAACTTACCCACCTGGCCTCAATTCCCTCTATGAAAGGATGCTAGACAAGATACTCAAATTAGACGACGACGACGACGACGACGACGATGACGATGACGATGTGTCACTCTGCAAAAAAGTCCTGACTATAGTATCGACAGTCTACCGGCCACTTACCTTACATGAACTTCATTCTCTTATTGGAAGCCCTCAGGAGTTTTCGGAAGACATCTCGTCATTTGCAGAGATAATACATCTTTGCGGCTCTTTTCTCACCATTCGTGGTGATACAATCTACTTTATCCATCAATCAGCGAAAGATCACTTGACTACAGACAAAGACTGGTCTAGTATCTCTCCTTCTCGTGCAAAAGATATTCATTATACTATCTTTTCTCAATCACTCCAACCTATGAACACCACGTTACGACGTGATATCTACAGCTTAGGAACTCATGGATATCATATCAGCCAACTCCAGCAACCCAATCCGGATCCCCTGATCGCGGTACGGTACTCATGCATCTACTGGATTGACCATCTCTGCGACTACAATACTAGCGATTGTATGGAGAGTGCCCTCCAAGAGGGAGGCTTAGTTGATGTATTCATGCGCCATCATTTTCTCCACTGGTTGGAGGCGTTAAGTCTTCAAGGCATGTCAGAAGGCATCCTTGCAATAGCAAGGCTTATAGGTCTACTTGCAGTTAGTTTCCGCTTAGTTAAATCAGGTTTTTATATAGACTAACTGGAACAGGAACAAACGCCTGAGAGCCAAGTATTAAGCTTAGTACAAGATGCCCGACGATTTTTTCTTCGGAATAAATCGGTGATTGAATCTACACCGCTCCAAGTATATGTGTCTGCTCTTATCTTTAGCCTTCTACAGAGTAAAATACGAAAAATATTCAAGGATGAAGAGCCGTCATGGATGCTATTAAAGCCAGCTGTGGAAGCAGGCTGGGATGCCTGTCTGCAGGCTCTAGAGGGCCATAATGACTGGGTAACCTCGGTGGTCTTCTCACCCGATGGCCAGCGGCTCGCTTCGGGTTCACAGGATAAGACAGTCAGAGTATGGGATGCAAACTCAGGCGCCTGTCTGCACACTCTAGAGGGCCATAATGGCTCGGTAAACTTAGCGGTTTTCTCACCTGATGGCCAGCGGCTCGTCTCAGGTTCACACGATAACACAGCCAGAGTATGGGACGCAAACTCAGGCACCTGTCTGCAGACACTAGAGGGCCATAATGACTGGGTAACCTCGGCGTTCTTCTCACATAATGGCCAGCGGCTTATCTCAGGTTCACACGATAACGCGGTTAAAATATGGGATGCAAACTCAGGCGCATGTCTACAGACTTTAGAGGGCCATAATGGCTCGGTAAACTCAGTGGTCTTCTCACCTGATGGCCACTATAGCATAAGCTGTGACGGAACATGGATCACAAAAGATAATAAGCCGCTAATTTGGCTGCCCGTAGAGTATCGACCAACTGCATCAGCTGTGTTTGGAGCTACAGTTATTATCGGGTGTGGGTCAGGTCGGGTATTAGTAATGCGGTTTTTATATACTAGGCTAGTTAAGAATGAAATCGGTTTTATTTCTATCATCGCGACCCAACACATAGCCACTGAGGAAGACCGCATATGACAAGAGCTTATATAATGGAATAGTCAAACGAAGTCGGTTCTACTAGGCTCAGTCGGTCAATTGACTACGGCTCGTCCAAAGACAAAGCCTTAAAATATAGTAACGTACCCTATATTCTATATATCTTAATGACGTTGTGTTGGAGGGTTGAAGGGGGGTTGTGTCATATGTATCTGGTTCCAATCTACTAGGGCCCAGGTAAGACTGTGTCGCCACTTCTGTTATACTGCAAGTCAGCTGATAAGGTAATGGCGACGGTAGCCGTAATCAGGAGCCTGTTACGCCCCAACTCTTATAGTCGCATCAATGGCCTACAGGGTAGGCCGCACCGGATTAACGACAGGCCGGCTAGCCAATCAGCAGCGACTCATCAACTCATCCAGTGATCAGCGATGAGACTCGGCAGACTCATTGATGAGTCCTATGGTTGTGGAGATACTTAAAATACCTAATAGTACTTCTAGGTTTGTCAACATCCAAAATGGGACTAATATATATAGTGTCATGAAGAATCACTAGCGAGTGCCTTGGCTTTAGACGTACATTTAAGTATCTAGAGGTAGATACAAAACACGCTGGACCCACAGCCCCATCACGTCAGTGCGACTTCTGTCCTCAGTACTTTTCTTTGTCAGCAGGCTACTCTCATGGGGCCAGTATCACATGATCTAGGCCACATCTAAGGCGTTTCTCCATTTCAATCAGGCTGAATCAAAGTTAGATTGGGTTCCGCATTAGTCTACCAGATAAGATCCAGAATGCCACACTGCTTCCTGCAATTAATTTTTTGGGCTTTAATTTTTGAATAGCTTCATGGAGGAAATATTAATATCAACATTCGGTGGGCATACCGCTACACTCATGGCGCCGACTTACGTGACCGCCTGGCATGGTGGGGTATGGATGCGGGCGGGGTCGACGTTGTGCAGTGCCTTTGTCGCTGTTCAAGTAAAAGCGTCATAAGCAACGGAGAGAGTGCTTTGTAGAGCATCAACAACCATGAGTTAGAGTTATAACTGGCCGAATGACGATGAGACCGACTCTCAGAGCCTTCATAGTCCGAGTTCCCATAGCGAGCAGTCTCAGCCAGCGACCCCGGCGGTAAGGAGCCGTCTGAGACCTGCGGGGAAACACCCTGCGTCTCTGCCATCTGCCGACCGAGTTTCAGACACATCGGACGAAGAAGACCGAACGATATTATATAATATCCAGTGGAAACTATCCATTAATTATAGAAAGCGGGGAGGTTGCTCTGAGTTAGGTGTAGCAACACCGATACGGATCTTTTGGCGGGATGTCTTAGAAGCAAAGTTAGACAAAGCCGTGAAGAAGCTGAAGAAGTCTTGCGAGGTAAGCAGCATAGAAATTGTGCTGTCCACTACTTATTAGGGAACCTATCCCATTACGTTAAGTTTTGACGAGCTAGATATTGATTGGCAATCCGTTGACAGACAGCGCAAGGAATGGACTAAGTTGCCAACCTTACGCAAGAAGCGCAGCGTTGTTACCATTTCTGTTACATTTGAGTATACATTTGTTGACACTGATAAGAACCCCAGCGCGGCCGCCTCAGCCGCTTAACTATATAATATATGAGCCTGATATGGTGATGGAATTAGTATGACCCGGTCGGTGGCTGTTGGGAAGGTATACGCTTTGATGAGATGCTTTGATCCGCCATGCAAAAATAGTAACCACTGCTGGCAGTATAAAGTCAGACACATTCGGCTCTTTCCTCACCATAGAGACATCCTAGTTGATCACTTACAAACAGGGAGGGCTTTAAATGGACATCACGATGTGCCAGAAACCTTTCGTCGATTAGTTCTAGCTAACGAACGACAGCAGGAAGAGCGGGAAGACAAGCAGCGTGAAAAGGATCAACGACGCAAGCGACAACAACGGGGCTCAGATGGCGTATCTACCAGTCTTTGCCATCCGCATCAGTGTTCGTATGGCGGTCGTTCTTTAACTCCCGAAATGGTCTTCCCCGCCTCTCCACTTATATCTCTCGGTGAGCCAAGGCGAGACCTGCTCAAGGCGTACGACGTGTGGCAGATAAATCGAGCAAGTGATGATGAAAAGGAGGCTTATCTCTGTATCCAGCATTTAAATCTGGAGCGAAAATATGACCTCAAAATGATTGTGAGCAACCAGCAAAGGGGTTTCCAATATTACCTGGAGAACGACGTGCCAGAGGGTGTTGCGTGGCATTTCGTTAGTGATATCAATGCATTTTACAAACTGCAGAGGGAGGAACATGCCAAGAACGCGCCGTAGGCTAGTATATGGCGTTGACGTTGGTGGCATTTAGTGCTTCTTTTTATATCGGAGATCGGGCTATTGGGTGGTGTCTTGCTCGACTAGATCAAGTTTTACAAGTGCAGGTCACGGGGTTTGAAGATGCAAGGGGTGTTATAGACACATAAAGAACGGGTGTAACAAGCAACGGTAATTCTTTTTCATGTTCCATTCATTCTAAGCTTTCTTCAATATAGATTTGTGCCTTTCTAAAGTGTCCCCTTGCCCATTTTCTGCCAGTTTCGCCACGTCCCATAGTATTAATCTTCATCCGTAAATAGTTTTTGAAGTCTCCGCGGATGTGATCCTCGTCTTCTATAGCTCAGCTTTCTATGTGATTCTTGAGTGCGCCAAAGAAGTATTAATACTCAATAGGATTTAAGTCTGGAGAATATGGAGACTGTTTTACGATTAACACGCCAGCTTCGGCAAATAAATCTTTGATCGTTTGGGAGACAACCAACCGTGGTTCTGGATACCTGCCACAATGTGGCAAGAGATTTACAAGAAAAGATTCGAAGACTTCAAGATCCGTATTGCCTTCATACACTTGGGAATAGATAACTCCATCTATAGTATACGCAGGGAGGAAGGAAATCCTTTTTCCTCGATAAATGGCTTCACTTGAACTGGAGTCACGCCTTTTGGGGCGTATCCCTTCTTCGGTATTGCCAGCTCACGGTCATCGCCAGCCTCATCGACGAAAATCATTTGGCTAGGCTTGAAAAAGGATCGTCTATGTATATAATCATCTCGTAGATCTCGGTTACGTTCTTTGGCAATAGTAATCATCATCTTCTTTGTCTACTTTACGCCTCGACTGATCGTGGACCTTGATACGCGAATGCCATATAGTTTGTAAAGAAAGTCTGCTTAGGCTTGTTGACTTAAACTGGGACGTCGTCGTAACTCATGCCAAATGGCCATCCACATGTTTTCCGTGACTTCCGCTGGTCGACCAAACGGTTTCGAGGGGCGGTCGATCGTGCCATATCGCAGGATGTTTGAGCGGCCGTTGCGAACAGTTCTTGTCGTGCAGCGAGGGAAAATTCTAGCTATCTCCTCATCTGTAATGTTTCGGTTGCCCTTGAACTTACTAATAATGGTAATTTCGAGCTCCTTTCGCTCGATCCTTGACAGCTTATACGCCATTTGTGGAAGATGGCAAAGGCCAAGGTTGCCGGCGGTGCATCTGCACGCCATACGCCATGTGTGGCGCACGGCAAAACTTAACTCCGGAAGTCCTGTTCTGGACTTTGGATGTATACGGTATAGATTTACTTCTATATTAATACTGTATGGGTCCTGGAAATTACCTCGAAAGAGTGTATACAAGAGGAAGCAACATTTGCACAGAACAAAAAGGCGCCGTCCGATGGACCAGACTGGATGCCGAATTTAAAGGCAGTGCAAGCAACAATCCGCTTTGCATTGGCCACAGGACGGCTGCAACACAAGTAACATCCGCAAACTATAACACCTACGCACCACTTACTAACTCGCCGCCTAACTCCCATTAACACCTCGTGCTAGAGACAGCAGACGCTGCTTCAGCTGCCGTCGATAGGATCCTGAACACTTGGGGAATAAGCTCCAAGCTAGCCCGCTGTGAAGAATGATAAAACACGAGAAACCGTAGCGAAGCAAGAGAACAGATTGTAAGAGCAGAAACTGGAAGACAAGGACTCATGGGTTTCTATGGGACAAATGCTAAGCTTCAGAATGTTTACGTGCCATAGGTTCATAGTTGCCCTTTTGGACTTTCCACCGGGCGTAATAAATGAATGAATGAATGAATGAATATGGGGCGACAATCACTATGAAACACTAGCCCTAATATGAGATCTCCGTTCAGGGCAAGAAACGGGCATTTTGGCAATCTGCGTTTGGAAGCCAAGATGAGGGCAAAGTGGTCGAAGGGCCGGAGCAGATGGACACGCCGTTCCGCTCCAGATACACAGATTCCGACGGATTTCGAGCACAGCCCGCGCTATCATACCAAGAGGAGGACCAAGAGGAGGAGAAAAAGGCCTGGGCAATAGTGAGCGAAGGGACTTGTGTCTGAAATAGGCTTTGTTCGCTGTGCTGGTGATGGTGACTCTGCTGGCGCCGCCGATAAACTAGTAAAGCTAATTGTGTTTTATCTGCAACCGACATTTCGATAGATTTGCCGTAGCTTTGGTGCTTTTCCACCTGGGTTAAGTCGGTGCCAACTCTATATGAACGCTAAATTGCCGGCGTGCCTGGGCGTCGTTGCGATCCATGAGATCTCCCCGCTGAAGAAACACCCGTGCCTGAGCTAGCCGCCCTTTTTCGTCCACAAACTGATGTGTACAAAAATAGGAAATGCAGGCACTCTGTGGTCAGATTATAAGAGGAACGTATGTACCGTAAAGTTCGAAATGGGTGTCGCGGGTTTTCTTAGTTAATTTAGTAACAAGGTGACGGCAATTTGTGGACTCGTACCAGTCAAGTTTCCAGTTGTACCCCGCAGGTCCTGTGTAGCACTGTAAAAAAAAAGCCAGGAAAGGCCGCGCCGCGCCAGCACTGGTGGTAGGGCGAAACCCAGGTCTTTCATTCCTCCTCTTCTTTCACCTCTCATGATAGTTGTCCAAAGAGGAAGGCGTCTTAGATAACGTTCCAAAGCAGAGGATCATTGTGCATAGAGACAACGATATACATATTTTATAGTATTTTGTCTTGTCACCAGGATTCTATGAAAGAGCATCTAGTTGTAGCGACGCATTCGCGCGAAGCTAGCTGATACGTGCTACACAGGCCGCTACGATTTAGTAAGTGCTTGTACACGTAGCAAATGAGGGGTATCATTAGGCAGAATGGGCTGGCAGCATACATAATCTAGAGCTGCCCAACGATCAGGCTGCAATTTTTGGCCCGGATAATGCTAGCCCTATAATTCCCTCCTGGTCTTGCGTATTAAATCTTGTACAATTGCTTCCCCTCAAATATCTCGGATACCGCTTGTGGTTCGCCACTCGGCCAATGTCTTTGACTGTATTCAAACATCTTGTTTCGCGTCAAGCGGTTTCGTTTCTTGGAATATTTTAATCACAATGGATCTAGCGGCGACGTACTCGCGCGAGATTACTGGCAACCACTTTGGCAATAATACTACAATCCATCAGGGTGATGTTCATTACCACTCGTCCACTGATAAGACTCGAGAAAACGAGGATTTGAAATGCCTCACGGACTTACGTACAACGGACCCCCGCGATGATAAAACTCGCATTGAGGCCACAAAGGGCGGCCTATTTAAAGATTCGTACCGCTGGATTCTCGACCATAGCGATTTCCAAAAATGGCGCGACGAAGAACGCAGCCGTCTGCTCTGGATCAAGGGCGATCCCGGCAAAGGCAAGACGATGTTGCTCTGCGGCATTGTGAATGAGTTAAGCCCCCAAACGAGACTACAGGGCCGGAAAGCCAACACGCTGCTATCCTACTTCTTCTATCAGGCCGCCGACGAGCGCATTAACAGCGCTACAGCCGTGCTACGAGGCCTTATCTACCTAATTGTGAAGCAACAGCCGCTACTCGTCTCCCACATACAAGAAAAATATAAGGATGGGAGGGAGGTGATTTTTAAAGATGTGAATACATAGACTGCGTTGTCGGAGATCTTCTCGAATATCTTGGAGGATGCAAGCCTAGAGCGGACTTATATAATCATCGACGCACTTGACGAATGCGTGACCGACCTACCAAAACTGCTCGACTTTATTAGTACGAAGTCCGTCCTCTTTTCCCGCGTCAAGTGGATAGTATCCAGTCGCAACTGGCCAGATATTGAGGACGGTCTTGACTCTACTACTCAGCAAATGAGGCTATGTCTAGAGCTCAACGAAAAGTCTATCTCAGCAGCCGTCGATGCATATATCAAGCATCAAGTCGAATGGCTAGCGCAGAAGAAGAAATATAATGCTATAACAAAAGATGCTGTTCACCATCACTTATCTTCTAATTCTAATAATACCTTCCTCTGGGTAGCCTTGGTCTGTCAGAACCTAGGGAGGATCTCATTGCAGAGTCCTCTCCGAATATTGAACAAGTTTCCACCTGGACTTGACTCTTTATATAAGAGGATGATGGAGCAAATACGTGATTTAGAGGATATTAGCGATACTAACTTTTGCTATCAGATCCTTGCGACGGTGTTACTTGTATATCGGCCTATTACACTGGCTGAACTTAGCTCCCTTGTTGAGTCCCCGGATGATGATCCCGCAGATGCCGAGTTAATCCATAAAGCAATAGGGTTTTGTGGTTCATTTCTCACTGTGAAAGACAGCCGGGTTTATGTTATCCACCAGTCAGCTAAAGACTACTTAAGTAGCAAAGCAGTGCCTACTATTTTCCCCTCTGGCTCAGCTAACGTCCATGGTATCATCTTTTCGCAGTCATTACAAGCTATGTCTGCCACGTTACGACGGAATATCTACAATTTATACTCTCCTGGACTCCCAATCAACGATATCAAGGCTCCAGATCCAGATCCGCTAACCGCTGTGCGGTACTCCTGCGTCCATTGGGTCGACCATTTTTGCTATATACAAAACGGTAATAGCCAATCTCAGGACCAGGTTGACCATAAGTACCAGACAGTCTTCCTATTCCTTCAAAAGTACTTCCTGTACTGGCTCGAGGCTTTAGGCCTTATGGGGCATATAGAAGATGGGGTTCTTTCAATAACAAGGCTAGAAAATCTATTAAGGGTGAGTCGGTCGCGCTATGACAAGTGAAGTGAAGCTGATCAATAAAGGAAAATTCACCGGACCGCCACTCATCAGATTGCCAATTACTAGAACTTGCACAAGATTCATGGCGGTTTATTCGGCAGAACAGTTTAATAATCGCCAATTGTCCACTACAGGTATATACATCGGCGCTTATATTCAGCCCATTGAATAGCTTAATACGAAAAATATTTGAAGAGGAAGATCTTCAATGGCTAAAGCTTAAGCCTACAGTGGAATATAATTGGAGCCCTTATTTACAAACGCTTGGGGGCCATGAGGATTCGGTCAACTCAGTGGCCTTCTCAGCGGATGGCCGCTACCTCGCCTCAGGATCGCGCGGTATCAAGATATGGGATGCGACGATGGGCAAAGAGCGGCAAACACTTAAGGGCCCCTGGGTCAGGTCGGTGGCCTTCTCACCCAATGGCCGCTACCTCGCCTCAGTATCCGACGGTATTACGATCTGGGATGTAACGACAGGCAAAGAGCAGCAAACACTTAAGGGCTCTACTACAGTTAAGTCGGTGGCCTTCTTAGCCGATAGCCGCTACCTCGCCTTAGGGTTATCGAACGGTGGTATTACAATCTGGGATACGATAACAGGTAAAGAGAGGCAAATACTTAAGGGCTCTACTACGGTCGAGTTAATGGCCTTCTCATCCAATGGCCGCTACCTCGCCTCAGTATCCGACAGTATTATAATCTGGGATGTAACAATAGGTAAAAAGCGGCAAACACTTAAAGGCTCTACTACAGTTAAGTCAGTAGCCTTCTCACCCGATGGCTGCTACCTTGCCTTAGGATTATGGAATGGTAGTACTATAATCTGGGATGCGACGACAGGCAAAGAGCAGCAAATACTTAAGAGTTCCGGTCCTGCTGGCCCGGTAGCCTTCTCAGCCGATGGCCGCTACCTCGCCTCAGTGTCCGGCGGTATGAAGATGTTGGATACGACCATCAAGATCTGGGATGCAATAACAGGCAAAGAGCGGCAAACACTCACGATCCGGGATGCGATGACAGGCAAAGAGCAGCAAGCACTTGGGGGCTCTAACTGTTGGGTCATGTCAGTGGCCTTCTCAGCGGGTGGCCGCTACCTCGCCTCAGGGTTATCGAACGGTGGTATTAAGATCTGGGATGCGACCATTAAGATCTCGGATGCGATAACAGGCAAAGAGCGGCAAACATTTAAGGGTTCCAGTCCTGTCAGGTCAGTGGCCTTCTCACCCGATGGCCGCTACCTTGCCTCAGCGTCCGACGATATTACGATCTGGGATGCGACGACAGGTAAAGAGCAGCAAACACTTAAGGGCTCTAGTTCTGTCGGGTCGGTGGCCTTCTCACCCGATGGCCACCTCGCCTCAGGATTATGGAACGGTGGTATTACGATCTGGGATGTGACGACAGGCAAAGAGCGGCAAACACTTAAGGGCTCTGGTACGGTTGAGTCAGTAGCCTTCTCACCCGATGGCCGCTACCTTGCCTTACTGTTACCCGGGTCAACCGGCCCTAGTATTACGATCTGGGATGCGACGACAGGCAAAGAGCGGCAAAGACTTAGGGATTCCAGCCCTGTCAGCCCGGTGGCCTTCTCAGCGGATGGCCGCTACCTTGCCTCAGGGTTATGGAACGGTGGTATTATAATCTGGGATGCAACGACAGGCAAAGTGCTGCAAACACTTAAGGTTGGCACTACAATACATACTATATCTTTCGACGATACGGCTTCATACCTGCACACCGAAATCGGCCCTATAAAATTAGGCATAGAACATCGAACTGAGGCCCAAGTTCTGTCTCCAGATTCAAATCCGGCTCAGGGTCAGGATCAACGACGACTTATTGCTAATGATGCTGAGAAGGCAAACCATGTTAGCTACGGCCTAAGCGCCGACAAATGTTGGATCACCTGGAATGGGCATAATCTACTGTGGCTTCCGCCCGAATACCAGCCTTCCACGTCGGCTATATGGCCTTGTGCACCATCTTCGTCGCCACAGGTGCCGTTAACGGACGTAGCTATGGCTCTAGGTAGTGGTCTAGGGAGAGTGGTGGTATTTAGGATGTCGGGTTCGGGGCCATATTCCCTATTATAATTACTCTCTGAGCGTGACACAGCTTTCTCTCTCTCTCTCTCTTTTTTTTTTTTTTAATAACTGCAAAGTGGAGGTCGTAGGAGACTATGTTAATTTATAGTATCTTGTGAGTGTACTAGACGGACTTTCTCGCATCTTCTAGGTACTGTGACTTGTGAGCTAACAAGCACGTGACTGTGAATTAGATTTCTGGCGAGCTAGAATTGGCTCATGTGATACTATTTTACGGGTACTAGGCCTGCGACACCCATTTCAAATTTCAGTCCCTCCTGTACTAGAATATTTGATTGCGATTTGTAGCCTCCAGGGGAGTTGTTATGATTAGCTTGTAGAAAGCCATTTTTTGCTATAGAGAGAGAGCAAAGAAGAGAATGGGAAGAAACCAACAATGGGAAGGAAATGAAGAGATGCGGGAATCGCCAGTGCTGGCGGTGGAGGCCCGTCTTGGTTTTGTGACAGTGCTCCGCAGTACCTGCGGGGTACACGTGGAAACTTAGAGGTACAAGTCCACAATTAGCCGCCGCCTAGTTACTAAGTTAACTAAGAAAACCCGCGTCACCCATTTCGAACTTTACGGTACTGTATGTACAAGCTTGTCGTTTTTTTGCCTCTCTTTTGCCCAGTGTCACCGAGCAGTCGAGCGGCGGTCTTTCCCTTTTGGGATTGAATCAGCCGCAGTTGATCAGTAAGGGTTTGGGCCTTCTTGCGGACTTTGTGCGAGTAAGGGCTGATGTGTGTCACTACTTGGTAGGTAGTCTCCAAATGGGCCTAGTCGAAGTTTCTTGATGGTGGCTGAACTGGTCCCAAGACAGCCTCGGCAGGGCACCACGGGTTGGCGCCTTCGAGTAGTGTGAACCTGTGATAACGGTCCTGCTTGTCAGAGACGAGTGGGGCCAACGGGAAGCTCGCAGGGCTATCGGTGACAAGTCGTGCTTGCACGGCGTATTATACAATAGTACGAAGTACATACGGTGAGTTACGAGGATTCACGCCCTACATCTCAGCTGGCGCAGATGCGTCCCGTTGATCGATGTTAGCTGCGGGTCTGCCAACAACGCCGTGGCCGCCCGCTCAAATGCTGATTTCCATCCCAGTTCAGCTTGATAAGCGTGTGGGTGGAGCCATGGTGCCCCGATCGTATCGAGTCCAGATCGTGGCAGATGTGGGCATCGACTCTCAAAGGCGGATTCAGCTGGGCTGTGAGCAGCACCAAGGATGTTTCCTTTCCTTTCTCTTTGGCCTCTTGTTCAATGACCACCGGCTGTTGTCCTGAAATGGGTTAGATGGCCCCGTGCACCATAGCGGGCTCCGTTCCGTCGTGGGATTATTGGTTCGAGGCCACGATACACACCCTTGTCCGGAATTTGTTACCTGCATACGCGTTTCTGCTCTTGTAGCTTAGTATGCACATAGACTTTTACATGGACTTGCCCTGGTATGTACTGTACTCTTTCTCCATCCATCTTGCATTCATGGCCGCGGTTGGTCCCAGACCCATAGTCCAGCCTTTCTCTTCCCTGTGCTTAACCGATGCGTCGTATAATAAATATACCGTATCAGTCGATGGGGTTTCCCCATTTTCTCCCCCTTCTGCAAATGATATTCGTCTGCGTTTCCATTTTCGTATTTCGCCTCCAGAACTCCCCTCGGCCAGTGTCTGAATGCTTGATGCCTGGGAATATGCCTCTCGTTTGATCCAAGGTCTTTCTTCTTCTTTCTAGTTGTAGGCGACGTCGCCGGGATCCCAGAGTGAAACATACAGAGAAAACGCGTGGGACCAGAATACAACAATGTCCACACCGACGACGCAGCAGCTCCTGGAGGAGTATACCGGCAAGGAGGTGCCGTACACGTTTAATGGAGGGTTCGTGTGTCTAAGTTACGCCATTAGCTTGGTTGGAACCAGCACCACACTGGAGTTGATTAGACGGAGAACTTCACACAGAGGAAAGCACAACTTGTGCGAGTCTTGTACCTTTTGATGCCGGCCGCCATATAGCTGACACCGAGAAACACAGCTTATTACTAGTCGGCGCTGCCATCGCAATGGGTGGTATTGCCATCTGGTCCATGGTACGACCACCGCGTGGGAAACATGATTGTAACCACAGGTCTTTTCAATGCATGCCGAACTTGCTAACATGGTGAATGAGGTAGCACTTCATTGGCAACCGAGCCATCTACATGCTCCACGGTGAGGGAGCCTTCCAAATCGCCTATTCGACCGCCCTTACCGTCTTGTCTCTCCTGATGCCCATACTCGTGCTCGTGCTCGCCTTCCTCGGCGTCAACGGCAATAGTCGAATTCGATGGTGGCGAATTGTGTTCGCAGGATTGCTCTCTGGCGGCGCCATTTGCGGCATGCACTACCTCGCCGACTCGTCCATCAGCAACTACCGGAGCTCATATCAGCTCTCCTACCTTATTGGCTCTGTCGTTATTGCCGTACTTGCCAGCACCACGGCCCTCGCTCTCTTCTTCGTCTTTGAGAATACCTGGAGCAGCGCCTGGTGGAAGAGACTGGGTTGTGCCATGGTCCTAGCCGGAGCGGTGTCTGGCATGCACTGGTGCGCCGCTGTTGGAACGAGTTACACCCTGTTGCACAACACGCCTGGTAAGGGGGTCTCACGTAAGGATGCAATGGTTGTCGTTATTTGCCTGGTAAATTTTTTTGCAAATCTGGCGGGCGCCAAATGAATGCTGTCTGAAGGCGCCGAAGCTGACCGAGCCTAATGATAGTCTGTCGCTGCCGGTGTTGTCATGACCGGCATAGCCATCTATTCGAGTTGGGTAAGACGAGACTACGCCAGCAAGTCGCAAAAGGTCGTTTTGGCTGCCGGTGTCTTTGATGACAAGGGCCGCATCATGGTCGCTCAAGACGGATATTTGCCCAGCGAAGTCGTGACAGACACGTACTTAACAAAAGTCAGTTGCTTCTTCCCTAAAGCCGGCCTGCCCGCAGAAAATTGACACGCCATGCTTCGCCAGTCCAACGACGACTTCTTCAACACCAGCCACCCCCTCTTTCACTGGATGTTCCGTGCTTCTCGCAACTGGGACATCATAACAAAAGTCATGACCAAGATGACCAGCCACATTTCGCTTCTCGCGGAGGAGCATAACAATGGCAGGGCAGGCGTCCGGCTCATCAGCGATGATGGTGAGCTCGTAGATGAATATGACACCATTCTGCGCGAGTTGTTCTGCGTCACTGCGGACGCTCTGGCTTCCAAAACCAAGGCGACTCTCATTGGCGTCGGAACATTGTGGGACGAAATTTTCGTAACGGGAGAGTCATCAAGGGTATCTGGCCCGGCTCAAAGACTACTTAATAACGACAGCCCCGGCCTACAAAGTGTCGCAGAAAAAGGTTTCCAGCAGAATGGCCAGGAGTACGGCCGCGGTTCGCTCATGTTCCTCGTTCGCAGGGTTGACAGCAAAAAGGAGGTACCGAGGCTTGAGGCTTCAGGGTTCCGCTTTGCAGAGATTCACCAGGTCGTGGGTCTTATTCGATCTAGCATGCACATCAAAACGCCCGACCTGGAGGCTCGTCTACGCAACATGTCCAGCCAGAAAGACAAGACCAACATGCTATCTTCCGGCTTCCACGTTGGCATGTTTGCCGTCCGCGCCCGAATCGACAAGGGCGGCTTCGACGTGCTCGCGCAAAAGACAGCCCGAAATCTGCTTCCCTCTGTCCCATTGCCCGTGGACACTCTTGATTCTAGCAATGCTGCCTTTCTCAACGGCCTCCGTGGCTTGCCGCTCTCGACTGTTCCGCTCAGACTTCAGAACCACCAGTCTGCTTCTGCTCAGGGTCGCATGTTTGCTTCGCTTCTTCGAGATGCCGTTTCCTCGCTGCGAGACTCTCTAGGCGACGAAACATTTGATGACGCTACACTCTTGTCCAAGGAAGTGAAGCTCCCATGTGCTCCCTCTACACCGGGCATATCCCTTTCCAAATGCACCCTCATTGCTTTCCAACTCGTCCTCCCTATTCATGCCACTGTGCTCTCACCTGATTGTGAGTTCACGCCTCTCAACTTCTTCAAAATGCGCCAACTTACATACGGTGGCTCATCTCACAACATCGAGTTTTCCCACATGGTTCATCGCGATATATCCTCAACAGCACATGAGCTGTCTTCACGGCGGTACAGCGCCGCAACCCAAGTGAATAAAAAGTACTTTTCCCTCACTGTTGGTAAGGTCAGGGATAACCTGCCGGGCAACAGAAGGCGTGCGGCGGCCATTTCATTGCCGCCTACAAGGAGCCAGGAACGGTTGTCCAAGGTAGCGTCGCATCCCAGCTCGCTATACAATGGTGACGGCGGCAGCTTCGATGACACCCGCAAGCTCTCATCAACAAGCCAACTCTACGCCGTCAAGGACTCCCACAAGGATCAGGGTAAGAAACTTCACGTCTTTGGCGGCATCATGGTGTCACAAGAGGTATCAATCAACGTCCAAGATGTAAGTGACAGCACGGCCCACCTCCTTCTCCTTCCTGGAATCAAGTATCTAAATGCCACTTTTCAAACACAGAACCAAGAAGACTCAAATCCTCCAGAACAACAGGGCTCAGAGCTTAAGCCTATTCGGCTCCGACCCGATACCCAAGGCAAGATAGAAAGTTTCTACACTGCTACTGCGACGGGCGAGAACGGCTTCGCTGGCCAGGGGAAGCAAGAGGAATCTGCCTTTGTAGACGAGCTCCTCGCTCTCAGTATGCAAGCAGACAAGCGGGCGACTGCGTAATTTGTTTTGTTCTAGCACTATTTTCATTCACACACTAATGACTGGACTTTTCTCTACTTATGAGATGATGGACATGAGGGTTATAGGAATATACCATGCGGGTTTGAGCGAGTCGTGTATTGGAACCATGATTGTACAAAAGCCAGCTATTTGGCACCTGAGACATTCCACAAGCTCTGTATATACGAATAAAGCCTTGGAACCTATTACGATGCTTTGTGTCACTACCTGTATGCCATTGAAGCTTAATCCTTGATCAATGATTGGCATCGCCAAGCTCGTAACCAGCGTTCATGATGTGCTGCCAATTTGTCTTACTGCTCGATGCAAAGGGCAAGAGCATGAAAGAGACGAGGTAAAAAGTAATATAATTAAATCTTCAGCCTTAATATTACTCAAAAGTTATCATATTTAAACTTTTATAAAATTAAAAGCTAAAATATAAAATTAAACCACCTTGGCTCTCTAATCGATGCCTTTTCTGGGGCGTTAAAACTATGTTATTATCGTCGTTGCCCTTTATATAACTAGGCAGAGGACTAGCGAGACTATTGCTTAATATTAGTTTTGCGTTTTCTGGCGGCGTTAGGAGCTTCTGGCTTAGGAAGGCTGAGAGGTGCTATCTGGGGAAAATTAAAAACTGGATCAGACGCTGGCTTAAGATGGCTAATCTAATTAATAATTGAGCTATTATCTATAGCGACGTGGCTAAATAAAATAAGGCAAAAGAGCGGGAGGCATGCATGTCTCTGTGCGCCTAACATCTGCATGCGGAGTACGGAGTATTTATATACTACTAGTAGTATCTCTTTAAGCTATGTTACTCCGTACTCCGTATGATCTGTCTGTCTAACAGGGACACCAGTCAGCGATAAAAATGGTGGCAGCGTTGGCTTCGTTTTAATTCGGCGAGCGTCTTAGCGAGGGGTTTGTTAACCACCAAAAACGGAATCGTGGGACTCCAGATTTGGAGTCTTAGGATGCAAAAAATAGAAGACATCAAACTCAAGAAGAGAGCTTGACGGGATCCCGAATTCTCTATTATCTACGTTGTATGTGCTTGGAAATTGCTTCAACCTGACATAACCCAGATGTGTGGCTTGGTGGGGTACGGCCTGCCAGCCGTGGCGCCGGGTATGGTGCAAGGGGCAGCACCTGAGTAACCCCGCTCGGGCCAAAGCTTCTTCTTTCCTTACCCCTGGACGGGATGGAGTAGCACAGGTACGGCTTGTGTTAAGCAACTTGCGGTAGAGCTTGCGGTAGCATGGGGCACCGGTGGTGCTCGCGGGTACCTCTCACGCACTGAGATCGGCCAGGTTCCTGCATGCATCTCAACCGAAGCTGCATCTGGCCCCAGCGCGCCCACTCGCTCTTGCGCTATTGGACATTAGTAGCTCCGGTAGTACCTTGGTACCTGGCCTCTCGACTCCAAGGCTGACCTTGTTCGATTGATCATCTTGTGATGGGTTTGTTGTTTTCTTTTAGCGGCTTACTTAACACCCGATGGCACCAAATGAGACTACGCGTCAGCGATAGGTCCTAATGCGCCCTAATGCTGCGAGTCTTCCCTCCGGACTCTTATGTCCACACCCATGTACGTACGAGTACCTCAGATACTTGCGCCTGCACCACCGCATCCACACGCTTCGTGGTGCCGCCCAGAGCTGCGAGCCTCTGCTCTTCTTCTCTCCACCAGCCCTGCATCCACCGCTGCAGCCAAGAAGTTGGCCCAACAGCCACGCGCCATGGCAGAGGCCCACTAATCGAATTGAACCTGTTTGTGCTGCTACTAACAGCTTTCGAGTCCCATGAGCTGGACCCGCCCTAGGAGCATATCCCGCGATTCCAGGTTTGGCTTTTGCGACCGTCATCAATATACAAGCATGTGCCACGAAGCCAAGGCTTTACTAGCATAACCGCAAGCACTTAACATGTGGATGATGCCGTCTGCATGCAGGTATTACCAAACCGAGCTATTAGGCTGGAGGGGGAGGGGTTAACTAAAAAAAGTGACACACGCTGCTTCTTAGCCACCAGCCGCCTGCCTCATACCCTTTCCCTCTCTCGCTTGGCGACTTTAAAGTTTTTCTGTCTCACTCGATGCCGTCCCAAGTCATGGTTATTCGACCGTCTCCCCCCATTGTATACTCGTATGGCCTGTCTCCTGTTGCTTATTCGGTCTCTTCATGCTCCTCCACCCACACGTGTCTCAGCTTGCGCCAACTGGACCTGGGTGCAGACTCGCAAGCGATTTTATCAACCCAAAATCTTTTTCTTTTCATGTAGTTGTCTAGCAGTCGTTACCTTTTCCCGTGAATCTGCTCTTCATGATTACTTTCTACCTAAGCAACCTTTACTTCACGCCTTATTGTTACGATTGGTGGCTGTTGAATGATGCTTTACGAGCAGGCAAATACAGCTGGCAGCATTTTTTGATACTAACAATTTCAAAGGCCACCGCTGGCGGTACCTGTCATTCGGGCAAGTACAGCAAGCATGTTGAGGATCGTGAGGCCGCAGGCACTCTTATGCCTCGTCTTGATTCTGCAACTGGCCGCAACCCAGAAGTTTCGTGAGCCGAGATGGGGTAACAATTCCATCTCATCGCCCACCATTTCCATCTCCAGCCCAGAGCCCAGTTCGCAGCACTCGTTTACTAGCGAGTCGAATGGCGATCGCAAGCGGACGGATGGCCCGCGAGAACCAACTACCACGAAGGCTTCTGACACCACTACATCCGTAACGGCAGAAATTCAAACTACTACTACCGTAACTACTTCAGACAGTCCTCTGAACACGTCAACCTCGTTCAAGGGTAAGAACAAACCTCCCCTCTCGTTCACTTCAGCTAGCTTTGTTGACATAGAAGTGTTCCAGCGTCGATCCCAGCAGGCGATCTGCCGATCCAGCCCATTATAACTCCAGGATGGGGTGTTGCTGGAATAATTTTGATGCTCACCGGTCTCGTTTATACCCTTGTAGGCATTAATAATCAGTGGATTAATTGCTTCTTCTCGTCGGCCTTTATCACTGCACTCGGAATCTCGGTTCTTATCGTCTGCACCATGAATGTCCCAGTCAGCCTGGGCATTCAGGGAGCATATGTTGTTGCCATCGCCTTGTCTGGTTGTGCTCTAGGCGCAGCATCGCTGATCTTCAAGGAGTCGACTGAAGGTTTGGGGTGTGCTCTGGGCGGCTTTAGTCTCAGCATGTGGTTTCTTTGTTTGGCGTCGGGAGGCTTGCTACATGATACGATCGGTAGAGCTATCTTCATTTCTTGCTTTTCTGTCCTTGGATTTGGCTTTTATTTCAGTCGCTATACTCGGTATTGGGCCACGATTATCCTAATGTCTTTTGGAGGCGCGACGGTAATCGTGCTGGGCATTGACTGCTATAGCAGAGTCGGGCTGAAAGAATTCTGGGCCTACGTATGGAATCTCAACGATAACCTATTCCCCCTTGGTGCGGACACCTATCTCATCACAAGAGGCATGCGAGTTGAGATCGCAGCCGTCGTCATAATATGCTTGATTGGAATCATTTCTCAGATCAAGCTCTGGAAGGTTTTTCGAAAAAAACGCGGAAAAAAGGCCGTGAGTCTCCCTGAGAGTCAGAGATACCGGGAAGAGGAAGAGGACGTTGCTGGCCGCAATATTGAAGCGCAGGCAGCACGAGAACGAGTTGAATGGGGAAAAGTCTACGGGGGCAGAGCCCTGTTCAACAGAAATGGTACTGTTGCACATCACTCAGATGGCACCGACGGTGGCAGCAACAGCAAGAGCCCTCCCGATGGCCACTCCGAATCTGCTTTTACAGGTTCCAAGGTTGATGGTATACAGATGATGGACTTTTCAGATTCGAATGTGGTGCAGACCGGGGTGGCTGGGCTCATACACGCTGATATGGCCAAGGATGGCAAGGTCATGGTTCGAGTGTCTGCATATGAAGTAATCGAGACGCCAAACGACAGCGAGGATGGGGCAACTAACAGAAAAACTAGTGCTATTCCAGAGTCAGAAGCAGTATCTCATGATGGCGACAGATCCGCTTCGCAGAGAGATGCGGCCAAAGGGAAACAAATTTCCCAAGCAAGTTCGGAGCTCAGACGGAGTCCTCCACAGCGGACCATTAAGACGGCCGCTGAAGTTTTGTCCTTGCCATTCAAGATTCCAACAGAAGACGACTTGAAATCTATTAACGGCCGGTCGTCTGTTACAACCTTTGCTGACGATGAAGCTATTGGACCTGCAGCTCTTCCACGAGATTCTCTTGTCAAGGAGGTCTCAAAAAGCTCAGTCATTCTTCTTAGAAGTTTGTCTCAACAGAAATTGAAACATGTTTCTTCTAAGCATCAGGTGGAGAGCGGCGAAAGTTCTGAAGAATTAGCACTGGATGATTTAGGAATCTCAATAAAGATGCCGAGCTCTGGTATTGTTAGATATGCTCAGGACGACATGTCCATGCGACTACGACCATCCTGCTATGTCGACTACTTTTCCCACGATTGGACTCAAAAGGCTATTCAGAAATCCTGGAGATATATCGCGTCAAACTCCAGTGAACTCGACAATGCGGCTCGCTTAGGAAATGCATGCTTGAGAATATGGATAAAACACATGAACAAGCTAAAGACCATACCTCCAGAGGCCCTGAATTGGTAAGTGAAGCCACTTGTCTGTAAAAGGAAATGCCTAACCGATTCAAGGTATAAGGACTACGATGTTACGTGGCTCTATGGACCATTACAGACAAATGATGGGATTTTAACATCAAGCAATAAAACTATTTCGAGTTCGTCTGATAAGAAACCCAGCCTGAAGAAAAGGAGTACACTGGAGAACATATCTCAGGGATCATTCTGCTCAACATCAATAGACCACGTAAACAAAGTTAACGGGATGACGCGAGTAACTAGTATACAGTTCCGTCTCTTGCCATCTTCAATCCTGCGACTTCTATTCTCTATCAGGGAACGCAAACACGTCCGTTTTAGCGAAGAAATCACAGTCTATTCTTACTAGCCTTCACAATAATTTACGCATGGGACGGACAGTATTCGGTGGCCTTGCACCTCCGCCACAGACACATTGATGCAGTAACTCGCATTTGATCAATCCGAGTCCTTCATCGGGTAGCAGAGCGACAAGGCGGATCTCCCTTCTAGATGCATCGAGGGCTCTACACGATGCCTTGGAGTGGAAATGACTGTAGTCAAAGTCATTTCGGAGAATAGAGCAGCGTGGATGTCGCGCAATGCTAAAACTAGCTTGTTCCGTCTGTGCAGCTACTGAATATATCAGGCCCACCCTGCTCAGATAATATACAATTGGCGCCTTCGGCGCAGTGACATTCGATCTCATATGAAACCACAACAGTATAACTTTAAGGATTACCCGTTGGTCTGACCTTCAGCGGGGCTTACGGTCACCAACTTGGAGTCTCCGCCTCTAAGCCCAAAATCCCCGATACACCCCAAAAATCAATACACACAGCCAAATGTTCCTTTTTCTATCCAATTTAAACCTAGAAAAAACAACACGACGTCTACAACATCTGATCCACGACCGCAAAGCCACGAGTACCATCCGCAACGCATAGAAAACGATTAAAAACGATGGAAATGATGTCAAACGATTAATTTTAGCCACCTATTACATTTTTATTAATTTTAGGCTTGCACTGCAACGTTATTCCGGATTTCATATCACAGTCGCGAAAATCTACAAAAATTACCAAAAACGCGCTAAATCCAGCCAAAATCAACAGCTAAAATCCGCTTCCACAGGCACCAAAACTCCTGTAATAAGGCAAGACATATAAAAAAGTTATTCTATATCGCTTTGAGGTTATTGTAGTGGCTTTCTTTTTATTTTAAGCCTTACCCGTTGGTGGTTACTGTAAGTTATACCAACGGGTAGAAGAAATCAGACAAGTTATTCGCTTCAAAATGACCCCTAGCTGTGCCAGCGGCTTCGTTCCAGGAGGAACGCAGCCGCGGCAGCTAGATCAAATGATTCCCTGACTTGTTCTCGCGCCGTGGTCCTTATAGCGGTTAGACAAGCTAGGTTTCCGATGTTGTGTTTGGTGTTAGTTGAGCCAGTTCAAAGGTTCGTTCCCTAGCTGTCAACAAACTAGCTAGCGCCGAGATCAACCATTACGTGCATCCCACACTAAGTGTGTGACGGTTCAGGCAGATTCCTAAGGGATCAACAAAAAAAAAAAAAAAAAAAAGGCTAGCATGCACATAATAAGGGGGGAAACTTTGTGTAGCCTTCGAGCGGACAGAATCGACGCTTAGGAGGTGACACGTAACGTGAAGGGGATGCGGATGTGACAAGGGTATCTTGGAGGGAGTGTGAATAGCAAGGTTCTTTGTTTTATGGTTAACCACGTCGGATTCCTAAAAACTTTTAAAAAACGGTAGTTAGTCAAATTGATACATAATCATAAGATAAAGGTATAAATTAACCCAGTCCCCTTTAAACCTCCTTTACAGTTATTATATAAGAGAAGAGGCTTAAGCATTTACTTTGAAGACCTAAGTGTTCCCTATTATTGTATATAGGCCGAAAGCGCAATAACCAAAACTCTCCCCGACTTACAGCCAACTACTGCAGTTGAGTTACTTACAGCGCTGCACGCTGGCCGATATTCCACTGGCAGCCAAAGCAGGTTACTTCCATTCCACGTAATCCAACAGCGATCATCGCTAAATCCATAGCCAGTAGCATGGAAAATATAATTAGTTCCTGTCGCAGTGAATGCCCCTATGTCCGTAATAAGCTGTACATGAGTAGGTTTAAACGATAGGTGAGATATATCCCTAATATTGAGTGTCTGCACGCACTCGCCTGTGTCAGCGCGCCAGAGCCGTACCGTCTTGTCGCCTGAGGCCGATGCGACGAGCGACGAGTTGGGCGAGAAGGCCACAGACCAAACCGAGTCGCTATGGCCCTCGAGTGTCTGCGCGCATTGATCCCAATTACTCCCCGTCCTTGGCTTGAGATATATCCAGTTTAGGTATCGCGTTCTTAAATTGATTCCAAATAATACTTGCGCGTGGAGTAAATATAAGGACTGAAGAATATATCTGAAGAGGTGCGGTGCTAATGATTGAAAAATTAAGTTGAAGAATCCGCAGGCAGTCCTTTAAAAAGTCAGATAATTCATTATTATTATCCTCCTGCTGTAAAGTTAGTAAATTTATCTTATATATCATTACATAGATTTACCTGTAGAAGGGCTTGTAAACTTTTAATTAACTTAATGCTTTCTGGTGCATGCTGCTTTAGGAATTGAAAAAACTTCTCTGTAATTGCTAACTTGATTTCCTGCACCTTGGAGGTGATATACCCAATTTCGGCAGGCGTACTTGACTGCAGCAGGAATATGTTTAACCACCTTTTGGCTGTTAATGATAGAGCCTTCCAGGCCTAATGGTCGTAGATCACACATATCTTGCCGAAGATATTTCTTCATAATTCGCAGACAGTTATCCGCTATTCTCGCGTGACTTTGTGATTCATCAATCCAGAACAAGTTCTGTCCTTGCTTCCCGGGATCCACTAGAAAGTCACGGAAGGAGAGATGTAGCAACTTCACTGGAGACTCAGCTGATTGCGGGATGCTTAGGACTGAATGAATCTCATCTAATGTGACATCAATAGCGGGTTGAGGAATGTCAAGGAGCTCTGCTAGAGCAGACGTTGACAAAGGACTTGCGAGTAGCACGATTGAGCCAACAGTATCTCGAAATTGTTGCAGAATTTTCTTCTGATCCCGTGGGGAACGTCCAGCGATCATTTGATTAAGAACAGGCAAGTAAGTTGCGTCAAGTTTATCCTCTTGGCTTTTCGTCCGATAGTTAAGAACTTCGCGAAGTCGTTCGCCAGGATTTCCGCATTTGCGATCAGCGAGAAAGCGACACACAGTAGCAGCAAAAATAAAGAGCGGTATTGCCATCTTCACCAGATCATCAATACTAGATTGACAAGGCCAGTCTTTGTCTAGTTGTCGGTGTTCGTGCGCTGTTTTATTATACTGATCTCGGATTCTTCCTAACTCATGCTTTAGGAAAACTGATAAGTCGTGCTTGATTACAGGCTCGGATATTTCATGTAGAATAAAGTCCTGATATTCGCCCTTAATCTCAGAAAAGCCGAGACGAATTGGAAGCTCTGGTCGGCTAGTGACGAAGACTTTTAACCCTAAGCTTTTAGTACGGCCAAACTGGTGAATAATAAGTTTGACTTCATCCTCTGGATCGCACTCATCTAGGGCATCGATAACTATAACAAGAGATTCCGCTTTTCCAGCATTTAGTAAGACTGTAGATAGAGGCTGTAAGATAAGCTTGTCGAACTGCTCCTTTAGTCCCTTGTCGCTAATAGTGGGGTCGGCATCAAGCGTTCTTGATATAAAGAGCGATAGCGGGTTTCTTCGTTGCTAGTTGAATATTGTTGTGAAAAGCTTGGCTGAGCTCCCTCGGTCACCCTCCCCTCTTTTAAAGAAAAAGCTGGCGCCTAGATGGCCGGTACTAGCAAAAGACCCGCCGATAGTGCGAGAAATGGTTGACTTCCCAGTGCCCGCCATACCATTCAGCCAGAAAATCGGCTCAGTGTGCGAATTCTTAGCCCACTCCATTATTTGATCGAGGAGTTCGACTCGAGTATTTGACAAGCAGATTGAGTTCTGTTCTTCGGCACGGGAGTCGAAGGAGGCTCCCACGGCAATAGGGAGTCGGTCGAGTACTATTTTCTGGTCGATATCAAGCAGGATATTTCTGCGGTAGGCTTATCAGCTCATGTCGGCGGAGACGGATAGATATCGTCATTTAACCTACGTTTGATCCACTTGAAGAGCTAAAAGAATTGTCTTGTATATTGACCGAGGTCTTGGACGATCTTCTCGATGTCTTTGCTCTGGAATGGCCATTTCAGAGAGCGAAGGCCAAGCCGGCTCATTGCCTAGCGGGCTGTCCTTGGGTGAAGCTTGTCATGAAGTCCTTGTAGATGCGATTGACTATTAAGAATCGCGATGCGTAGCTGCTGAGAAGCCTTGAACTTCGCGCTATTCGGGCTTTCGAGTAGCTCTTGGATAGTCCTTCCATAGTGATCAGATGGGGTTGTTCTCTGTGTGCAGAGCATTCAGTGTAACATCAAGGCTTTCGGCCCAACTGCAGCGATCAAATTGGAGGGTCGGCAAGGCGGTGGGTTAGCTGCAGGTTTCCAGCCACGTAGCACCTCAGTGCTGGCGTTAGAAAACTTGCAATCATAATAGCAGTCCATCCCAGCTACCAATAGAGAACAAAGCGGGATAAATGATGATCTTGTACAAACAGTAGTCTTTTTTTTCTTTAGATCGTGACAATCTTATCTCCACGGTTTGGAAAAAAGGAGGAGCCAAAGTGATGACCTCTTAGCCCCTATATTAGCCAAAAAGGCACCCACGCCAGCTCGCCGTATCAAAACCACCATAGATCAAGCGTACCTAGATATTACTGGAGAAGTTGAAGGTTCAGATCAATGGGACTAGAGATAACCGATGATGGGCATTTCCGCGACCTTAACAGGCAGCTGGTATATCGACTAATGCATTTCGTCAGGCTGCTGCTTGCTAGAGGTCGACAAAATCTGTACCTTAGCCATGGTTAGGTGTAACTTGAGTACCATGCGCACATGAAGAGCAACCAGCACTGTGATTTACATGTCCGTGCGCTTTAGTTTTTAAAAGAGTTTACTTGGACAGGACGGCGGTTTCGCTCCTAACTGTAAATATGCATCCTCTACGATCAACAATCATGGAGGGAGGCGAGTGTGTTAGCGCAATTAAGAACAGGTATATCGAGACTGAATTCATACCTTTACCACATCAACGCAGCACCATCGGACAGATGCGACTGTGGGCAAGCAAGAGAGACTGTTGAGCACTTTCTGTTCCGGTGCCGAAAATGGATGAACTACCGCACAGGGATGCTTGAATGTACCTATACGCAGATGGGAAATATCTCTTTCTACCTTGGAGGAAAATCGCGTTCTGACGACCAAAAATGGATACCAAACTTGAGAGCTATTCGAGCGACGATCCGGTTTGCGTTGGCTACGGGCCGCCTGGATGTAAGCTAGCTAGGGAAATGAGTTTAAATGCATAATCCCCGCCCCACCTAACCCTCATCTCCACTTAACTCTAACGTTCACCCCGTGCCATACGCAGCGAACGCCGCTTCAGCCGCCGAAGATAGGACACTGAACACTTGGGGAATAGCCCCCAAGCTAGTTCGCTAATAACATTACGACACCACGGGAATCCGCAGACAGAGATATAACAAGCAGTGACACTTGACCGCCAAGCAGACTTAGTACTAGTTAAGAAAACAACAACTTAATTTGGGCAATTTGTGGAATAGCACATCATGGGCTTAAGGAAACAAGATCACAGATTGGGCAATGTACGACATCATAATATGGGCTTGAGGAGACTAGGACACAATTTAGGCAACTTCTGTATGTATTAGTAATCAGTGCCCTTTCGGCTCAAGTGCGTAATGAATTGTATTGTATTGTATTGTATTGTAAATATGCATGCACTTGAGTTAACCTTAAAGACCAGCCAAGGGCTGCGTTACCCATTGCTATAATATAAAATATCCGCTTTATTCTAGACAAAGTTCATCCAACCACTCCTTAACCCGACTCACAAATTGAGGAGCAATGCCTGGCAATACCCAACACGTAGCTAGCATCTTAGCGTCCACGGCTTGCGCCTCATACATCCGTCCAAGATGATAACCCTTATCAACGGTAATATAAGCATTACTGTTATCCTCTGCACGCTGTAACTAGCGCTAAAGTCCAGATTCGTGTGCATAACTCTAGCGGTATTTCAGCCTATAAACGTCACTGGGCCTACGAACTTTATACGTATGGGGAAATAGGCTCTATACGGTTATAACGGAGGTTCTCCCTTTGTTTGCCATCGAGAAATAATCCATAAATTAAAAAGAAAAAAACAGGGTCTCTTAACCCGGTTCATAGGAAAGCACACGATGTATATGTACCCGGGTTCTTCGCCTACAGGTATCTGGATTCAGCCAGTCAAAGAGTGTTTTTAGCTTCTTCTACTCACTCGTCATACTGGAGCAAAGAACGTCTTCAGCAGGATGAGAGTAACAACGACCAAGATTGCCAGCCCGGCTTCGACCAGCGTCGTCTTCTTTGCGGCCATGGTCGCGGCGCAATCATGCGCTCTTCCATCCTCGTACCGCTGGTCGTCGAGCGGGCCGCTTGCGAACCCAAAGTCGCCATGGGTCGCGCTCAAGGACTTCACCAATGTTGTTTACAACGGCAAGCATCTCGTGTATGGGTCAACACATGACAGTTCTAATTACGGCTCGATGAACTTCGGGCTCTTCAGCGACTGGTCGCAAATGGGTTCGGCGTCTCAAAATGGGATGAGCCAAGCCGCTGTGGCACCAACGCTCTTTTACTTCGCGCCAAAGAGTGTTTGGATCCTCGCCCATCAATGGGGTCCAACTGCATTTTCCTACCGGACCTCTAGCGATCCGACGAACGCAAATGGATGGTCCTCCCCACAGCCGCTTTTTACTGGAAGTATTTCGGACTCTGGTACAGGCCCAATTGACTAAACATTAATCGGCGATAGTTCCAATATGTATCTGTTCTTTGCAGGGGACAACGGTAAAATCTACAGGGCTAGTATGCCGATTGGAAACTTCCCTGGTAACTTCGGTAGCTCGTCAACGGTAATCATGAGTGACTCCACCAGCAACCTTTTCGAGGCGGTCCAAGTCTATACGCTCAAGGGGCTGAACAAGTATCTTATGATTGTCGAATGTATCGGTGCAAACGGGCGGTATTTCCGCTCTTTCACGGCTACAAGCCTGGGCGGTTCGTGGACAGCACAGGCCGCGACCGAGAGCAACCCCTTCGCCGGCAAGGCCAACAGCGGCGCTACCTGGACCAACGACATCAGCCACGGCGATCTGGCCCGATCCAACCCGGACCAGACCATGACCGTCGATCCCTGCAACCTCCAGCTACTCTACCAGGGACGCGACCCCAACTCCAACCCCAGCTACGACCTCTTGCCGTACCGGCCCGGTCTGCTTACGCTGCAGAACCCCGGTACCTCTACTGGCGGTGGTGGTGGGTCGATGTCTTCGTCCGCTACACTCGCGACCTCTACTGTCAAACCTACCACTACCTCTTCTGCACCACCTTCGGGATCGGGCGCTGCTCACTGGGTAAGTCTTGGCTTTGGGTTACCTTTCTCTGCCAGCTTCGGCTCGTCACGGACTGGGGTTGTCAAGGACATTCTCTCACACATGCCGTCCTGCCCCAAGCCTTGCTATCGGATGACTATTCCCTAATGCCCATATATCTTTCAGTGGCCTGCTGCTAACCATGTTCCGTGTTCAGGGTCAATGCGGCGGTATCGGCTGGACAGGTCCGACGGCCTGCCAGAGTCCGTACACATGCACTTATTCGAACCCCTACTATTCGCAGTGCTTATAAGCATCTCAGCCATGCTCTTCTTCTTCGCTGGACTTTCGACACCACCGTATTGACACCGCCGTATCGACAGAGTGCCGGGGGCTTGCTTATTTTTTAGACTTTATGAAAATCTATTTATGTATAAGTTCAGATCATGCTTTGAACTCTGCCAAAGCTGCTGGCGCAAATTGCTTGCCAGACCAGGTATTAGGGCTGTACATAGTTATAGGGTACTAAAGTAATTAACCTCCGATAAGTATATAAAGTAATTGCGGTGTCTTCCCTTATTAAGTGATTATAAAGGTACTTAGTATACTTTCCTAATAGTTAGTGCTTTGTTAATTGCTTTATAAATCAGGATTATAAGAAAGATCTGGCGGTAAGGGGTAATAGGTGCTAGTTAGCTGTCTGTGGATAAACCAAAGGGTTTATATTGGCATTAAGTCATAGTATTACCTAAGCATAATAAATAGTTATCGTTCTAAACTTAAGAGTTAGATACAGTGAAAGGCGAAATTAGCGTCGCACTTTGCTAAGTTAATTAAATAAGTAACGGGTGCAGCAAAAGTGGCTCCTTGCTAGCCGTTGTATAGCCAAGTACTGGCGCTGCGGGGCCTAACAGCGGCTAGTACTGGCTGTAAGACCCACTGATTCCTACCACCAGAGGCCGCGCTGCTGCCCGCATTGCTCTCTTTCCCTCTCTTCTCTTCAATCACCTATGTAGAGCGCGTTTCTTGGCTGGTTATAAAGTCATGGCTCCGCATATGTCTGCTGCCCAGCGCAGCTTGGTGAAAGTATTACTGAATAAGCAGTTTAATAAGAGAACTATTGCCACAGTCGCCGGCTGCAGTAAGCTTATTGGCAAGGTGGTGTTATTAAAAGGTGGGTTTACCAAGGATCAACAGATACCCATTTGTTCGATTTATTTATCGAACAATTGCTGCAGCACTGTGGCAGGTATCCAGAGCCTAAGTCAGTGCTGGTCATGGACAATGCATCATGGCACTTCTCCCCGAAGATGATGAAGATGTGCGCAGATGCAGGCGTTTTAGTGGAACCACTGTCACCTTATTCCCCGGATTTCGATCCGATTGAGGAATATTTCAGCGTACTTAAAAAGTTTTATCAGGAAGAGATGGCATAGAAATAGACAGTTCATTAGACGGGAGTTTAAAATGTACTTAGAGTGGTGTGTTGACGTTGTTGGGAGCAGCGCAAAGCTAGCAGAGGCTCACTTCCGTCATGCAAGAATCTACGTGGAACCACCACCAACTTAAGCATAATATATCACCGTAAAATTCGAAATGGGTGTCGCGGGTCTTCTTGGTTAAAGTATTGTTTTCATATCACAAATAATGAGTCAATTCTGGCTCATTATAGATCCAACATTCACAGTCACGTGCTTGTCACAAGTGGCAATATCTCTAGAAGATGCGAGGAAGTTCGTCTCGCACACGTACATGAATCCTATAAACTAACATAGTCTCCTACGACCTCCACTTTGCAGAGTTATTAAAAAAAGAGAGAGAAAGACGCGTTACCGTCACACTCAGACTTTATAACAGGGAATATGGCCCCGAATCCGACATCCTAAATACCACCACTCTCCCTGAACGACTGCCCAGAGCTATAGCTACGTCCGTTAATGGCACCTGTGGCGATGTAGAAGGTGGTGCATAATGCCATACGGCCGACGTGGAGAGCTGGTATTCAGGTGGAAGCCACAATATATTATGCTCATTCCAGGTGATCCAACAATTATCGGTGCTTAGGCCGTAGCTAACATAATTTGCCTTCTCAGCATCATCATTAGCAATGGGTCGGCGTTGATTCTGATCCTGAGCCAGATCTAAATCTGGAGACAGAACTTGAGCCACTATTGTAGATTGAGCTTCAATTTGATGGTCTACACCCAATTTTATAAGGCCGATGTCGGTATGCAGGTATGAGGCCATATCGTCGAAGGATATAGTGTGTATGACGGTGTTAACCTTTAGTGTTTGCCGCTCTTTGCCCGTTGTCGCATCCCAGATCTTGATGGTTTTATCGTCTGACCCCGAGGCGATGTAGCGGCCATCGGCTGAGAAGGCCACCGACCGGACAAAACCGCTATGGCCATTTAGCGTTTGCTGCTCTTCGCCTGTCGTCGTATCCCAGATCTTGATAGTCTCATCGCTTGACCCTGAGGCGACGTAGCGGCCATCGGCTGAGAAGGCCGCTGAGTAGACCGAACCGCTATGGCCATTTAGCGTTTGCAGCTCTTTGCCTGTCGTCGCATCCCAGACCTTAATAGTCTGACACTGTGACCCTGAGGCGACGTAGCGGCCATCGGCTGAGAAGGCCACCGAGAGGACCGAATAGATATGGCCCTTTAGCGTTTGCCGCTCTTCGCCTGTCGTCGTATCCCAGATCTTGATGGTGCCATCGGCTGACCCTGAGGCGACGTAGCGGCCATCGGCTGAGAAGGCCACCGAGAAGACGAAACAGCTATGGCCCTTTAGCGTTTGCTGCTCTTCGCCTGTCGTCGTATCCCAGATCTTGATGGTGCCATCGGCTGACCCTGAGGCGACGTAGCGGCCATCGGCTGAGAAGGCCACCGAGTCAACCGAACCGCTATGGCCATTTAGCGTTTGCTGCTCATTGCCTGTCGTCGCATCCCAGATCTTAATGGTCTCATCGCCTGACCCTGAGGCGACGTAGCGGCCATCGGCTGAGAAGGCCACCGAGAGGACCGAATCGCTATGGCCATTTAGCGTTTGCAGCTCATTGCCTGTCGTCGCATCCCAGATCTTAATGGTCCAGTCCTCCGACCCTGAGGCGATGTAGCGGCCATCGGCTGAGAAGGCCACCGACCAGACAAAACCGCTATGGCCATTTAGCGTTTGCTGCTCTTCGCCTGTCGTCGTATCCCAGATCTTGATAGTCGTATCCTGTGACCCTGAGGCGACGTAGCGGCCATCGGCTGAGAAGGCCACTGACAAGACCGAATCGCTATGGCGACTTAGCGTCTGTAAACAAGGGCTCCAATTATATTCCACTATAGGCTTGACCTTTAGCCATTTGGGTTCTTCCTCTTTAAATACTCTCCGTATTAAGCTGTTCAATGGGCTGAATATAAGCGCTGACGTATATACCTGGAGTGGACTATCCGCAATCACCGAGCTATTCTGCTGAATAAACCGTCGTGAGTCGTGCACAAGTTCTAGTAATTGGCGCTCGGATAACTGGCGGCCCAGTGATTTTTCCTTCATTAATCAGCTTCACTTCACTTATCATAGCGCTACCCCCTTACTCTCAGTAGATTCTCTAGCCTTATCATTAAAAGAATCCCTTCTTCTATATGTCCCATAAGGCCTAAAGCCTCAAGCCAGTACAGGAAGTACTTCCGAAGGAATAGGAAGACTGTCTAGTACTTATGGTCAACCTAGTCTTAAGATCGGCTATTACTATTATATATATAGCAGAAATGGTCGACCCAATGGACGCAGGAGTACTGTATAGCGGCTAGCGGATCTGGATTTAGAGCCTTAATATTGCTAATTAAGGTTCCAGGAGAGTATAAATTATAGATATTCCGTTGTAACGTGGCAGCCATAGCTTGTAATGACCGCGCAAAGATGATGCCATGGACGTTAGCTGAGCCAGAAGGGAAAATAGTAGGCGCTGCTTTGTCACTCAAGTAGTCTTTGGCCGACTGGTGGATAACATAGACCCGGCTGTCTCTCACAGTGAGAAATGAGCCACAAAATCCTATTGTCCTATCGATTGACTCAGCATCTGCAAGATTATCGTCTGGGGACTCGACAAGGGAGTTAAGTTCAGCCAGTGTAACAGGCTGATATACAAGTAACACCGTCGCAAGGATCTGGTAACAAAACTCAGCATCACTAATATCCTCTAAATCATGTATTTGCTCCAGCATCCTCTTATATAAAGAGTCAAGTCCAGGTGGAAACTTGTTCAACGTTCGGAGAGGACTCAATGGGATCCTCTCTAGGTTCTGACAGACTAAGGCTACCCAGAGGAAGGTATCATTAGAATTGGAGGACAAGTGGTGGTAAACAGCAGCTTTTGTTATAGTATTGTATTTCTTTTTCTGGGCTAACCGTTTGACTTAATGCTCGATATATGCGTTGACGGCTGCCGAGATGGACTTTTGGTTAAGCTCTAGACAGAGCCTCGTTTGCTGAGTAGCGGAATCAAGACGCTCCTCAATATCTGGCCAGTTGCGACTGGACACTATCCACTTAACGCAGGAAAAGAGGACGGACTTTGTATTAATAAAGTCGAGTAGCTTTGGTAGGTCGGTCACACATTCGTCAAGTGCGTCGATGACTATATATGTCCGCTCCAGGCTTGCAGCTTCTAGAATATTCGAGAAGATTCCCAATAATGCAGTCCATGCATTTACATCTTTAAAAATCGCTTCCCCCACATACTTATATTTTTTTTGTATGTGGGAGATGAGCAACGGCTGCTGCTCCACAATAAGGTAGATAAGGCCTCGCAGCACGGCCGTAGCGCTATTGATACGCTCGTCGGCGGCCTGACAGAAGAAGTAGGATAGCAGCGTATTGGCTTCCTGATCCTATAGTCTCGTTTCGGAGCTCAACTCATTCACAATGCCGCAGAGCAACATCGTCTTGCCTTTACCGGGATCGCCCTTAATCCAGAGCAGACGGCTGCGTTCGTCGTCGCGCCATTGTTGGAAATCGCTGTGCATAAGAATCCAGCGGTACGAATCTTTAAATAGGCCGCCCTTAGTGGCCTCAATGCGAGTTTTATCGTCGCGGGGGTCCGTTATACGTAAGTCCGTGAGGCATTTTATATCATTGGGCGAGTGATAATGAACATCACCTTGGTAGATTGTAGTATTATTGCCAAAGCCGTTGCCAGTAATTTCACGCGAGTACGTCGCCGTTAGATCCATCGGGATTAAAATGTTCCAAGAGACTAAACTTGACGACGCGAAACAAGATCTGCGACACAATCGACTACAAGATACCAGGAAGGAATTATAGGGCTAGAAGAAGGCGGGCTAGAAATCTTGGTGATGCAGCCTGATCATCGGGCAGCGATAGATTTTTATGGCTGGCACCCCATTTTGCCTAATGATACCCCTCATTTGCTACATACGTTTACAAGCACATACTAGAGACGTGGCGGCATGTGTAGCAACCTATCAGCTGGCTTCACGCGAATGCGTCGCCGCAATAGATGCTCTAGAATCATGGTGAATAATTAACTAAGGAAACTCGTGCCACCCATTTCGAACTTTACGGTAAACCATCGTTATGTACCTTATGGGTGTACAGATGGGATGAGCAAGAATCGGCTCTTTGTCCCTTGTTATGTTATTTTAGAGAGGTACATTGAGGTACATGTTAAGTGCTGCCTGTTGGCTTCTTGTGGACTAAAGCTGCCCCTCCTAAAATAATTAACTAAAAAGTTTAGGGACGCTAATTCCGCCTTTCACTGTAAAAATATATGGGATATTATTACAGTAAATATATACAGTATTAAAAATTAACAGTTATCTTACCTAACGATGTCCTCCCCTAGTGTAATTATTATAAAACCTAGATTGTTTATTAGACTCTATATATAAAACCCCTTGCTGTATTATTTTTATTTCTAGGTTAAACCCCTGCGATAAAAAGAGCTATTAGCTAATAGTCCACCTAATACAGGTATAGGAGAGACAGGAACTAGTCACAATGGGCTAGGGACGTTATGTTTTATACCTGCGAATAAATATAACCTAGGTACGGTAAAGGAGAATATACGTAAGTTATGAAGTGATAATATATTAAAAAAGAAAGCCAAAGAGGGCCTCTTACAGCTAATTTACGGCTTACAATACTTGAGATAGATATGTCCCCATCTGTGTACTATGGACGTAGGCGTCACCAATTAACGAGGTCGCCTTACCGGCAGCGCCCACGGAGTACCAAGGCGATCGCCAGACAAAAGGCACATTAGCTAACAATTAAGCAAGCAAGCACACCTTCCACTCTAGCGCTCAGTATAAAATCATCGTCCCTTATAGCTAATAGTAAATGTTTTTTTTTTTTTTTTTTTTCGCAGCGGAAACGATGGTAGGAGCCGATAGTATTGTTAAAACAGCATACAACTCCACCTTCTGCTCAAGCGTTCACCCATTCAATAACGGCAAGCCAGCCTTTTCTCGCTTCATTTTGAGCAATTTAGAAGGTGATAACCCCTCACAACGGTATTTTTTATGACTTTGACCTCCAGAGTGCGATGCATCATTCTCTAAAGGCACTGGGAATACCAATCATTCGAGTACTTACACGTGGTTCCCAACTGGCAGCATGTTGGCCCCGACCATCCAATACCGCCACATTGGCCGTATCTGGCCGAGCAGCTACCACCACCTGCTGTCGTTGTTGGAGTGGTGGAGGAAGTTGTGAAGGTTACCTTGGACGTCGTCGTTACACTGCTGCTGCTGCCACCGCCGCCGCCGCTCTGCCCTTTCAAGCCAGGCTGGGTGAAGAAACTCCAAGTTTCTCCGGGTGCCCACGATTGACTCTGGCCGGCGTCTTTGGGGTCTGGGACGTGATCACCGGAATGAGCAATCCACCAGACCGGGTAGCCGGGTCTGCAATCGTACGTTGTCTTGATGTGCGTGCCGGAGCCGCCGGCCGGCTCGGGAGCGTTCTTAGAGGCGCAGCCGTTGAGCTGAAGGAACTTGTCGCGCAGGTCTCGGCCACGACTGATGGGGAGAACGCTGTCGACCACGCCGTGGATGCCGAGGTACGGGATTGGCGTGGTACCGCCGTCGCATCCGCTGAGCTGAGCCCCAGCGATAACGGCTACGGCCTTGAAGACATCTAGGATAACGCGTTAGTTGAGCTTGTAGAGATCACTCTCACGTTTAGCTGTCATACTTGGACGGGAGCAAGCCAGCTCGAAGGTCATAGCGCCGCCATAACTCCATCCCGTGGAGAAGATCTGGTCTTTGTCGACACAGGCGTTGGAAGTGATATAATCCAGCATCTGGTCGGTGAATATGAGGTCCTCTCCTCCGCTATTTGCCCAGCCGTTATTCAGGCCCTGTGGCGCGACGAAGATAGCCGTCTCCCGTGCTAGATCCCGTAGGCCATAGTAGCCGGGGGCAACATTATTCATGGTTCCACCAAGCCAGTGGTACCCAAAAATGAGCTTGTAACCGGTGCTGGCATTGTAGTTGGCCGGAAGCTGCAGGATGTACTGCCGCGTCTTGCCGTTCACTGTCATGGATTTGGTGCCACTGCTGGTGCCTACAGCTTTGCCGCAGCCCGATGAGAGGGAAGCCACAGCCTCCTGCAAGCTGGCGGCAAGGAGGATTAGGGCTAGTTTTCCGCAAGAGAGCATCCTGACATATAACTTGGCGAGTCGCTGGGAAGCTAGCCCACTGACAGAGAACTTAGGCGTAGACTGTCGCAGTAGGGGGGAGGGATTATCCCTTTACATCAATCGGACCTTCATGAAACAATAAGAACAAGTTCTCCATGCTCTTCCATATACGCCTTCTACTGCATGTCACCAATGGTTTCGGAGACATCAAGCCATCCTCAATCGTCCAGCCACCTAGCCGCTGATTGATGGATACGACTGTCTGGCCGCTTGCAATTGGCGCGCGTAGACTACAGAGTCACCGCGCCCCCGCTCTGGAACCACTGTTCCCTCGTTGATCAGATAGCCGCTGGCCTCGGTCCTGTTCGCTGGGATAAAGCCGTGATACAACTCGCCTAATAGCAAATCAGCCGGCTGACCTAATTTCATAAGACACTTGCTATTCTTATTACAGAAAGGATTGTCAGTATAAATTATAGTATAAAAATTTGATTTGCACAAGAACCTATGTCCTCTGTCATTAATATATTGCACTAGCCGGGGCTGCGAAGATGCCTGTAAATAGAATAGTTGCCAAGGAATGACGAGGAATTCTGCTAAAGTCAGGCTGTAGCGGCTGATTTCTAATAAGCTTATTTGCTTCTAAATAACAGATTAGCCGCTACTGTTAAGTTTGGCTAAAGTTAGGCTGTGATGCAACTCGCCTGATAGCAAATTAGCCGGCTGTGACGAACCGGGTCCTATATGTTAGTATAGGGTATCTGTTTCTAAGGGACAAACCTTACAGTTCTAAGTTTATATTAGCAAAATAGTTAGGTTGGTAATAGGTAATGTAATAGTTATGTAGTTAGTAGAGTAGTAAATAAATTCTAATTTAATTACTATCTTAATAACTAGTTATTTAAGTTATTTAAATAAGTATAAAAAAATAAACTTATATATTTAGTTATAATTTCTAAATCAATAAGGATTAATATTAATTTATATTAATTTATTTTTCGTATTACAGCTAAGTCCAGGTTCAGCGTCCACTTAGTTAAAATAAACAACTTATTAGATCAGCCACTTTTAGCTAAAAATGACCAAAAGACAGTGTCATCTTGTTCACACTGTATACTGCCCCTAACGGACAAATCACAAGTTTCGCCAGTGGCAATTGGGTAAAAAACTTCAGGCTCCAGGCAATAAAAATATTATGTTTGTTAATATATATATATAACTACAAGCCTACCTCTTGCATTCCTATCGTCTTTATGTATACGCATTGAAACCTCAGATACTGGTTTGGAGTCGTTTTATTGACTTTCATATATAACTCTACTTTAGACGGGTGAGTCACGTGATTGAACTGAAACACTCAAGGGGTAATGGACGCGCGTCGTCTGAAGTCTTCGGAAAACTGGGGGCTCCCTAGAGGCGACTTGACTGTGAAGGATACATCCTCAGCCTTCTGGCTTATCTCGCCACATACTTCATGTCAACCATTGACACAGAAATACCTATATCTAGCACCAGTTTTTTCGATCCCAATTTTGAGCTTGATTATGGAACTCCACTGTCTGCGACATTTGACAGCCAGGGCTGGACCCTGGCTGAGCCGATTCGCAGAGCGAGGACAGAAGCACAGCAGGGTCCTGAAGCGAGTGCTTTAGAGTTTTCCTCTTTATGCTTCACTTATACAGTCGTTTGGAAATTACAGTTACGCAAAGGGAGAATGATGACGCTCACAAGTGATACAGTAGAAGACGTAAATGTTCCGTCTGGTATGTTTTGGAGCAATACTTTGAAGCCCGAACTTTTCGATGTCGTGGAAGAGAAAGCACCGGACCCACAGTACAAACCCGACGAGACAAGGATAACGATATCAACATCGAAGTGGTCCCAACGTGGTTTCCAAAAGCGCTTTAGTGGACGTAATATTGATTGGAATCTCGTGGAAAATAAGCTGCAGTCTTGGAGCAACCAGGGCAACAGTCTCACCGTTGAAATCTGGTTTATCTACAAAGAAATTCAGCTCGATACCACAAATAAAGTAGGTAAAACCGGCCGTGGTGCTACCAACAAACAGCTTGCCGCACGCGACAGCTCATAGCCCAACAAGAAGCCTCCGGCGTGCGCCCTGTCTGGAAGGACGTCTACGAAGTTTTTAAGTGCTCCAGTACCGTTTGCCCGAACCGGGGATTCTCCTGCTGGCGGGACCCAAGTGATAAGAAACATCAAATTAGATTCTGATACCATGGAGAAGCTCGTTGACTTTGCGGAGGAAGGCAATAGGCTTAAGACGCACGATGACGTTCCTGAGCCAATTCATGAGATAATGTATAGACATAGAGAAGAGGAAGAAACGCGCAGGCAATTAAAGCGGAAAGCACCTGATCCATTGCCAACCACGATGCACATCTGCTGTCCTGGTCGTCAAGATAAGGGCTGCGCGGACTCGGATGGAAACCCACAAAAAGTTGTTCGCCGGGCTGCCCCAGCTGGGCTGAAGTTCCCAATGCCCATGGATGAGGCTCCAAAAGCGTACTCTGATTGGCTCTGTAGCCAGGTGACCAATAATGCATGGCAAGCTGCCTATCGATTGGCATGCCAGATTACCATCGATAAGGGTTATCATCTTGAACGGATGTATGAGGCGCAGGCCGTGGATGCTAAGATGTTAGCTACATGTGGGGTATTGCCAAGCATTGCTCTCCAATTTGTGAGCCGGATTAAAGAGTGGTTGGATGATCTTTGTTCAGAGTAAATCAGATGTTTTCGTTAATAGAATGGGTTACTTCTTCTAAGCAGGCGGGCTTGGCGGGATACAGCCATTGGGAGGCGGGGTCTGGGCTAAACTCGGGCATAAAGGCAGCCTTGCACCGAGCGTAGTCCTAAAACCCCGCCCCCGCATTTGATGTCCCAGCATGCTCCCTCAATTTTGTTAAGGCGCCGGACATTCCAGGCAAAGGTTAACAGCTGTGCGACTACACTACCAACTAGCTCAAGCATTTAGCATATAATAATATTTTGTTGACTGTTTATCACCTTTTGCATCAACCTAACGTCCTACTTTGAATACTCAACATGGGAGGCAACGCACACCATGCAGCGCGAACCCGGGACTTCACCGTAAATCGGAAGTTCGAACCCAGCTCTCGTTATAGGGATGATATCTATCTGGATGACGTGGCAATCAGTACCTATGATGAGAGATGGACTTATGTGGCATGCGAAAACGACCGCCCTTGTAGTGACTGCGGCTCTCTTTCACCGCATTTAAATTGCATAATTATTGCAGTTGATGGCGCTTGCAAGGGGAATGGTAAGCCAGGGGCTAGGGCTTCAGTTGGAGTTTTCGTCGGCAACGAGTCCGAATACAACAAAAGCGTTCTTCTATCCGAGTCCAACGCAACAAACCAGGTCGCAGAGCTGCAGGCTGGCATCCTTGCACTTCACCAAGCCATGAAAATACGGGATATAGGATTAGACGGTGAAGAGCTTCACGAAGTGGTGATTAAGGCGGATTCCGAGTATCTGGTCAAAGGGATGACTGAGTGGATATTTAAATGGAAGGCTAATGGCTACCGAACCTCTAAGGGGACCCCAGTCACAAACTCGGCCCTATTTCAGAAGCTTGAGGAGCTTGTTGGCGATCTGAATGCGTCTGATGTTGAAGTCTTGTTTTGGCATGTTCCCCGGAGTCAGAACACGCGGGCAGATGAGCTAGCAAACAAAGCACTCTAACAATAACGAGATATACATATATACACCGCTCGAGGTATCTTTTCTTTCTTTCTTTTGGTATATGTATTTATTGACAGTCTACGACGTTTATTCGGAAGGATTCTCTATGTAAAATCCCGCATTGCGGAAATGTCCTTCTGCAATATTGCCTCTGTTGCTAAGTGCCTTGATACATGCCCTGACGTAGTCCGCAAAGCTCCTCTTCTTAAGGTCTGTATGATCTCTGTGTTTGGATTTAGCGACTGTCTTGAGTACACCAAAATGCTCCTCAATTGGATTCGTCCTGGGGGTGTATGGAGCCGTCATGAACAGTCGTACGCTAGCTTTTTTGCACATGTCTTCTATCTTGTCTGAAAAGTGAAACGAAGCATTGTCCATAATGATAACAGACTCCGGTTCCGGCCATTTTCCACAGTGCTGCAATAACTGCTCAATAAAGTCCTCAAATAATGCCTTATCTGTTGACCCAGTGAAGACGCTTGATAATTTTATACCTTTTAATGTATATGCCGAAAGAATTTGGACCCTATGCTCTCTCTGAAACTTAGCTTTCAAGATGGGGGTGATTCCTGCCTTAGCCCATCCTTTTGTTCGCAGCGCGTCCGGTGGGTTAATACCAGATTCATCAACGAAAACGCAATGGGGTGCTTTTACTCCAGCTATCTTCAATAAATACTGGTAAAAATGCCGCAGTTGGGGTAACTGTTGGAGGGCTACATGTCGCATCGTCTTCCATGTTATTTGACCCGCCTGCAACGCCCGAGTAATACAAGTCACAGATACCTTCTCACCGTATTTCTTGTAGAGGAACGTCGCCATCTCCTGCCGAGTCATATGTTGTTCTTTCGCAATCTGGATATACAGTGCATCTAGCATTAAAGGGGTTATCTTGGGATCCGGACCAGTACGCTTCGCTGGAGTGGTCGCGGTCCCATATCGAGTGTATGTCGATCGGATTCTACGTATGGCACGGGGAGTGACGATGCGGTCGGGACTGGATATGTCTTCTACTATTTTTTTGTTTGAATCTCCTCGGCGGATTTTGGCTAGGATTAGGTCGTGCATGTGTTTTTCAAGTCGAGGAGCCATGGCTTCAAACGGTTGTGGCCGTGGTGGAAAAGCCAGAACAGAAGCGAAGCCATTTGTGGACAAATGATTATATGGGCAGCATCGTGCTGCCTTGGGCATAAGTTTAGGTCAGCCAATTCCGGCTGTTATGGAAGGGGTTTTTAGAAGACAATGGTGCACTGTGCTTCAACCCCACCTGCCTAATTTAGGCAAATCCCTTGTATCTAGAATGCGGACGCTGAACCTGGACTTGGCTGTAATTAAAATTAATATTAATTTATATTAACTTAATACAATACTTACTGCATTCCTCTTGTTTCGATTATAGATTTAATTTTCATTTAGTGTAATATTTATTATACTTAGCGTAATTGCCCACTTAAGAACATTTGGATAATTTAGTATACACTTAGTGTAATTGTCTACTTAAGAACATTTGGATAATTTAGCATACACTGAGTATGCTCTTAATGAAATAGGTACAGTTAGGAGCGAAATAGCCGTCCTGTGTAAAACACACAGTCTTTTGTAATTTTAAGCACGGACATGTTCATTACAGTGTAAAAATCAATCTTTACGCACGTGGTACTTGTCGCAGTACAAGCTCCAGAAACAATGATGAAACCGGAAGTAGATTATTCCGTGGCGAAATCTGTACCTGAGGCAGTAATGGGCCAACGAAAGTTGGTAGACCTGCAGTCTCTCTGGAAACAACACTGTTGTAATGGCACTGAATCTTGCTCTTAGCCAACAATATTTGATAGATAATGCAATCATCTCGAAGCTGGAGGGTGGCGATGCGCCTACCGACGAAAACCTAGCCAGGATAAGCTCTTCGACTGCCCGCACGGTACGCCGCCGCCGATCGAACCGAGTTCGCTTTAGAACAACGAAAGCGCCATCGAACAGCGTCGGCCGGCCCAGAACTATTACCCCTAATATACTGGCTGCCTTGTGCGATAAACTTATAGATTCTCCATATATACGTTTAAAGGATATAGTTACTTTTCTCCGCAAGGAGTTTAATACCGATGTGACTCGTTTTAGCGTAAGTAGAGCCTTAAAAAGCGTAGATTATACGAAGAAAACCACAAGAAATATTGCCAAGGAGCGTAACCCAGACTTAAGAGCCGACCATATATACGAAAGAGCGTTCTTTAACTCCTGCCAGTTGATTTATATTAATGAGAGTAGATGTGATAAGAGTATTAGTATTAAGAATAAGGGATAGTCCAAGAAAGGCATTACTCCAGTACAAATTAAGCGATTACACCGTGGCCAGAGGTACCAGATCCTCCCTGCATACACCCAAGATGGAATTATATATTTTGAGATATTTGAAGGCTCGACTGATGGCGAGAAATTCGAGGAATTTCTTGAGCGGCTTCTACCCTACTGTAGCAAGTGGCCTGAGCCGAGATCCGTTTTAATCATTGATAATGCCTCCATCCATCACTCAGAAAGGGTTCAGCAGCTCTGTGAGGACGCAGGAGTAGTGCTACTCTATCTGCCACCATACTCACCTGATCTTAATCCGATTGAAGACTTCTTTGGTGAGCTGAAGAGGTACATTCAGGAGGTGTGGGATGAATTTGAGGAATTGGTAAAAAACGACTTCGCAGCTTTTCTCGGGGAAGCCGTTCGTGTTGTAGGAAAGAGAAAGGAAAGCGCCAAAGGTCACTTTAAGCACGCTGGGATTACTATTGAGGCAACTCTAAATTCGAAGTACTCTTAATTGTTATTACTATGTAATGCGCCTGCTAGCATAAATACTAAATAAAATCCATTCATTTCAAGGCTAAGAATATCAATTGTAGTCGAGAAAGAGTTTTAGCTGGCTTCATTCGCATGTAAACCAGCACATAGCAATATAAACAGCTTCAGACCCTTCCGCAACATTCACGTCACCAATGACGTATGCATCTTCTGCTCGCTATAGGGTAGGCCGTTGATGGTTCGTCGGACTCTGTGGATATTTCCACCATTTTAAATTGTTTTTGCGGAGGGGTTGAGGGAGACGCCCACCTGCAGCCAGTAGTATATGAATATGCCAACCCTGTCATCATTCTGCAACCTTAAACGCCGAAAATCGCTAATATGTCCTCACGCCTAGAATGGACGTATAATACGTGCCTAGGCTGTGATGCCCTGACAGACGGTGCAGCCTACTGCTCAGAATCCTGTCGATTGTCGGAAGATAATAAAGCAATGGAGAGGGTTCATGACCTGAGCTTGACTTCCACAAGGCCCGAGACGTCTTCGACTGCCAGCCCGAGAAGGACGATTTCAGCCTTGGCTGAGCGAGAATTGAGAACGTATATGTCATTGGATCAGTCGAAGATGCAGAGGAGCGCATCGCGTTAATATATCGCTAGAGGTATCTAAGACTGTACAGGTTCGTTGGAAAGTTCATATACTAAAAGAACATTCGCAGCAGCTGAGAATATCAGTGCGAAGCAGGAGGGTTTAATTACGGATCTGCGGGCAGGTTCTATGAGACTCTGTATATCAGGCTCTTGAATAGATAATCGTAAGAGGATTAAAAGCACACCAACTCACGCTCGAGAGTGTTAAAGATCCAGTCACTCGCCAAGCAACGATAATTGGGTACCCCCGAAAAACGACTTCACTGCCGGCTGGCTGGGGGTCGCATCGAGGTGAATTATTGTAAATGCTTATTGAACCCTCATGCACGACGGCCTTATGTAGCTTTTGCAGAAGAAAGGATCTCCTACTCAAACAGAAAATAATTGCTATCGGCTGAAGTGCGTAGTCGGACTGTGACTTGATGGTATTTGTACAGCTTGTCAAGCGATTGACATAGCGGATACTGGACTGTGGCGCATAACAGGCGCCTCCAACACAAGAAAGCTCACCCATGGTTGGTCGAATGACCCCGCAGGCTTGTTGCACACGACCTGGCTTAATACATACACCTGCTGACTAGACCTATACCTATTGCGAACTTGAGCTGTAAAACCACAACGATAAATAAGTATGGCGCGAATGATGTTTCCGGTAAGACTAATCTTTGACCAAAGCGATCAAGTGTCTGATTCTGATTAGCGGTGGACTACTCGGATTGTCATCTTGCATATTGCTAGACTACAGCACTTCCTCCGCTCTATCGGCGCTGAAAGAAAGAGCCATAGGCCAACGAAGCAGAGTGACTTGCAATCACTTCCGAAGGGCAATATAACCCCGAAAACAGCAGGCAGGAGAAGTACAAGGCCATACAATCGGGGCTTCCAGCAACACCTGATCGATTACGGCATATTACCTCATGCTTACGAGTTCCCAGACGGTCGACTGCCGTCAGGGCCTGAGAATAAGGATGATATACTTCGAGCTCTGGCCCAACCCAGAGCATCGCTGTCTCCGTTCCATTTCTCAAGCCATGACTTCCGCAAGTTCCAACGAGCAGAAGCGCAAGCAATGAAGGAGAGAGACATTACGACAAGCGTCGTCCTTATTATTAAAGGAAATATTGGAGATAAAAAGTGCGTCTCCGGCGAGATTCCATTTGTAAATCTTAACCATCTAACGGACAGTACACTTATGCCAGGCAGCCCAGATATATATTATAGTGCGCGCCCAGAACAGCTCCACCCGCAAATTCGCAAGGTATTACAGGGTTGTGTTATCCCCTCGACTTAGAATAACCTCCCTATTGCGCTGAATTTTTTCGTAGAAATAAAGGGGAAAGACGGGTCTGCAGCTATAGCTCAACGTCAGCTATTTTACGATATAGCCCTTAGAGAAAGAGGCCAACAGGCTCTTCAATCGCATAACCCTTTTTATTCTTTATACGATAATAAAGCTTATACTCTCGGTTGCATATATGTGGATGGATAATTGAAAATCTTCGCCTGCTATCCAATTCCATCCCTATTGCCTGGTGGGCAAACAGGCTTTGTCATAACACAGCTTAAAGCTTTTGCTCTAAGCAACGATGTCGATACTTTTCGGCAAGGAGCCGCAGTATATCGTAATGGTAGGGACTGGGCAATGAAGCAAAGAAATGACGCAATTAAGCAAGCAAATGAGAGAGTAAGCTGGGATGAAGTCATTACGTTTTGTCCAGCCTATATGTTGCTGCGGCTCAAGCGCTTTTGGTCCACAGTTGCATCGGAATTGCGGCGGAGGGATTGACATCTTGGGATATAGCTGGGCATGCCGAAAAGACCCTGTGTAACAGCATGATGATAAATAATGACATTTCCCGCCGTGCGTGGCGGAATATATGCGGCAGAAAAAGTCCAATTCGCAAAAAAAATTCCAATTCGCAAAAAAAGTCCAATTCGCAGCCTCCCGACTTAAAGGAATGACTTTAGAATGGTTCATACTTATTTAAAAAATCCCTTCCAGAGCTGCTACCAAAAGGAGTCAGAAAATCTTCAATGACTACAATAAATACGTCCAAAGATTGAAGATGGCCTGTGAGGATATTAGAAATCCGTATGCCGGAAAACATCCTGGTTAGAATGACCCAATATCTTAGTAGGATGTTAAGCCGCTATTCATATCACCCAAGGTGACAAAAATATCATGGAGACTAACCTCATGCTCTGGTGGGTGCTGAAATATTGTGACTCCCTGACGTCACTAGCAGGGAGGTCGACGACCCCGCACAAATTTCTCCACACAAGGTATTACTGACTGTATGTGCAACGCTTCTTGTGCTCAACCCAATGTATTTCTAGCAATATAGTCGTGACATTTTACGTCGTATGTCAATTCTTCGTATTTTATTCAAAGCTATAGATGTCCCTGATATTTCCGGCAGTACGAGAATCCATCGTCTTTATCCTAAGGTCACAATGCTGCTCGCTCTCGCGCTTATCAGCCTTGTTGCCGTCGTGCTGGTGCTTGCCTTCGTACCTTCCTCTATTGTTCGTCAGCAAACAAAGGGCCAAATTCCTGTTTCTGTGAACTACTTTTTTACACGCAAGTGTAACAAGTCATGTAAGTTGCTCGAATGCACATCTTGAACGCTTTAATTTGTTGTCATGAGTGAGGACATGCCGCAGGAGCCCTGCTTCTTGGTAATCTAAGCCGCCACCGTGTGGGATTTTAGTCGGAACTCTTCACACACGTTTGTGTCTAGCTTAGAAATCCGCTAATTCGACCTATTAAGGCGGCTTCTGCTTTCACACAGCAAAGACTTCGCACATGGAAGACATCTCTCGTGCAAAGCGGGGACTTCAACTGTTACAACGGGCTGGCATGAAGAAGATTAACTTCGCAGGCGGAGAGCCCTTCCTTTACCCAAAATTTTTGGGCGAACTGGTTGACTTCTGTAAGGAGGACCTACACTTGGAGTCTGTATCCATTATCACCAATGGAAGCCTTGTTAGAGAGGAGTGGGTTCGTAAGCATGCCAAGAATATTGACATCTTAGCATGTTCATGCGACTCTTTTGATGAGAACATGAATATCGAGATTGGCCGTGGGACGGGAAACCAAGTTGAAATTCTGTACCGGATTGCCAAGTGGTGCCGCAAGAACGAGATTAAGTTCAAGTTGAATACCGTGGTTACTCGTCTTAACTATGAGGAGGATATGAATGAGCACATCGATACTCTACAACCTTTCCGGTGGAAAGTCTTTCAGGTGCTAATCGTGGAGGGCGAGGTAAGTTGATATTTTGATTGCTATCAACTTTCAGAAGGTATCTTTCTTAGCCAAGCATAATTGCTAAGACAAGAGATAGAACGACTCGGAGAAAACGCTGCGTGACGCTCGAAGGTTTACCATTTCGGATAAGCAGTTCGAAGTTTTCTGCAGCAAGCACAGGCATCACAAATCATTCGTCGCAGAGCCCAACCGTCTCATGGCCTCGTCGTATCTACTAGTAGATGAATACATGCGATTCATCGACAAGGACGGTAATAAACTCACTAAATCCATTCTGGATGTTGGAGTTGAGGCGGCCATGAAGGAGATCAAGTGGGATGTGGATGCTTTCCAGGAACGGGGAGGCGTATATGAATGGACTAAGGAAAACGAGCAAGTGGAAGCTTGCTCTACGGGCATGAGCGAAAAGTTAGTTTGGTAAGGACGCAGTTATTGTTCTGCACATTGACCGTAAAATTCGAAAGGGATTGTGGACTTTGCTCGTTAAGGCTTTAGTAACGTCCATTTAATCCTTTGTAGGTCTATTGTATTATACATACCAGCTCGTAATCTATAGTACTGAAGCAACCTTTGAAACCTCTACATACCATTATTATGATCACAGATTATACTTAGACTAGGTGTTCACCTATTAGTCACCGTACCTAGCCCACACTGCCATGCAATTTTGTTCCCTCGTTGGCTTAATTCTTGTTAGGTTTAGGCTTATGACACTCACAGACCCCACCTGCAATACAGGCACATTACGGCAGCACATTGTTTTCCTTGCTTACAGTTAATTTAAGATTCAATACACAGTCTATTTTCCATACAGTTAGGAGCGAAATAGCCGTCCTATAGAAATCAACTCTCTGGCGCACGAAGATCCTTGCTACCCATTGTACGGCCGGCTACGGGCGCCGCGGGGCCCAGCAGCGGCCAGTACTAGCTGTAAGACCCGCTATATTCTAATTCCTACCTCTAGAGGCCGCGCTGCTGACCTCATTGCTCAACTGTCCCTCTCCTCTCTTCAATCACCTATGTATCCACACCTATGTATCCACTATATAAGTGGTAAAATAGTGCTCATGTTGTCAACTCGTGTGTATTTTCATTTTGCGGTCCCTATTTTTTCGCACCGCCTGGCTGTAATAGTATCAATTTGCATAGTTAAGATTTCTCCAGCCGGGCGAGGCGGTGGCTCGTCGAAATCGTTATCTTCAGCGTGAATCCAGTAACTGTTAAATTCACGTACTCGGACAATGCCCTTTATCGGAATTGCTCTTCCATAATCATCAAGGAGATCACACGGGGCGTATTCGCTTCGTGCTGTCGGGTGTTTTGCTAACCGCATCGCATTTCCTAGATACAGCTGCCCTCCAATGTTGATAACTGTGACGGTTGGTGTATCAACTACTCTTTGGTTGTGTAACTGATAGTCAACCAAGACAACAAATCTTGCCGACGCCTGCTTGCGAGCCGTCAATTCTAAGATGAAGGTATAACCTCGTTGATTAAATTTCACATTTCGTGAAAATCCACCAAGAATGGCAGGAAAATGCCGATTTCCAGTCTGTGTTTGGACTGGGTATGTAAGTGTCGTAGAATAACTCTCCCACACCCTCGGGCCAAGGCTAAATCCATCGCGCTTGAAGTTGATATCCAGAGCTTTAACTTTTCTGATGAAACAAACTAGTTCTGGCACCGCCTTTTCGACAAAAATTGACCTGATCCAAACAGGATCTGAGAACCTGACGCACTCATTCTCTGCAGTTGATCGAGAGGGAGCCGTTCTGGAGAACATTAAAGGGATAATTAAATATGTCCGGTTTCTTGAGAGTTGGCCTTTGTGGTCTGTCAGAAGAGCGTATCCGATTGCGTCATCGATTGGATCTCTCCAGATCCTTAATAACGTTTGCAGGCCTTGTGGCGTCAATGTAGAAGTGAGGTTCACAAATGAAAGCCTTCGCTTCTTTACTGGGCGTACCAAACTTGGATACTTTTGGAAATTGGCTGGCGAAGTAGCTAGGCCATTAGATGTAAAGCTTGTGTCAGTATCTATACAGCCCCACGCTAGTATAGAGGCATCATCATTTACTTTAAGTATTTCCTCTTGGAGGCGCTGAAATGCTCGCTCTCCTTGCCCATATAACATCGGCAGGTCAACCTCAAAAAGGCCGAGTAGCGAGTAGGCACGATCCTCAACTCGAGTAGTCTGTCGATTCGCGGCCCAAGCCATAACGCGTGCCACTCGGGGTGTCTTAGAATTCGTTTCTTTAAGTAAGTTTTGGACATCAATGCCCGTCACTTCGTTGATGCTCTTATTCAAATCTCTGGCCGTGCCAAACTTCTTCCAATTCCCATCAACAAATATGACATTCTTTGGGGCGATCAGCTCTTGAAGCGTCCAACCGCGAGTGAACCATTTAGAATTCTTAAATGACTCGAGGTATGACGCCTTAGACAATGATTTGTCTCGCCAATCAACGGGGTGATTAGGGGTAGGCATATCCGAGAGGTAGGCATAACAGTCTCCCGATTTCTCATACCATTGGTACATTGAGTTAATGGCTTCTTGAAGTTCAGCGCTGCTGGATTTATCGATGCAACAGGTGTCAACCCATACATATCTATAGCCATCCCTCAACGCCAGCTTACGGAATTGGACAATTTTGCGGAAGCCTTGCTTGTTCTCATGCTTCTTTGTGTCACGCATGTCTTGGTAAGAGATCTCGTCGGATTCCCATCTATGCGATAGGATTGCATATTGTGGGATATCATTGCCATAGAACTCGAAGAATTGGAGATTTTCAGTGCTCAGTAGACGCATCTTCGCGATGATGGGCGGAGATGTACTGAAACTAACAGACGTTTGGTCCGAACTTTCGGCTGAATTTTGATGACGCGCCAGCATCCAAATATTTAACGGCCCAGAGAAAAAAAAAGATGGTTTATAGATTTCGCGCCCGATCCCACGGTGGAACTATTAGGCGGACACGATGGAAGCGATGCAAGAGATGAAGAAGCAAACCAGTGAACAAGCGAGGAGCAAAAAGGGATCCTACGCATTGGAGAGTGAGCTTAGAACAAAGGCGCGTCGTCAAGAGGTGGTGAGTTAGTAGCACCATCCTAGAGCGGGGCACTAAGGAATCGTGGCGCCTTTAGGGTGGATCCCTCTAAGCATCGCCGTCGAAGTGGGACGGTTTGTGAAGGAGCACAGCCTCCAGGCAACGTCAAGAATCAGCGGCCAACCGTCATCAATATCGGGTTAGGGAATCAAGCTGCGCCCCACGCTAGGCTTTGTGTAAGGTACTGCGCAAGGCTCACTTTGTCTCTTTCCCTAAAACAAGAGAGCCTGTGGCGTAGCTTCAGCGTGCGAGGATGAACCTGCCTGAGGTGCTTGGCTATTGGCTGGACTGTGTTCGCTTCAGCGGGCTGCATAGCACCTAGAACATGTAACTAGACTGGGATATTTTTGTATTCATTGGACCAGTCTGCACTGTCTACAAGAGCATAAGCAATCAAATTACAATATACTTGATAGTACCTTCTAGTACTTCGGCTTAGATACTAATACCATAACACAGCCAGTATATACAGGTAGTTTTAAAGTACTGATGGTTCGTGCTTAGAAATTTTCAGAGTACGTAAGCAGGACGCCCATTTTTCGCTCCTAACTCTATCAACTCCGCCCCTCCATCAGCACCTTGACCAGCCTTGTCCCTCTTTTAATTATATTGCTAAGGTACGCCATGGCTTCTGGTACTCCCTGGAACTTTCGGAGATCTCGACCCCTGATTCAAGCAATATTTACTTCGTTTCCGACGACTCTGCACCACTATAGCCCTAGTCGGAACCTCGCGGAACACAACTACTACCGTTCAGCGCACGCTTTTCCCCGTGACCACGAGGTTGTTGTGTATAAGGATGGCTTAGTGTATCCAGCCGTAAATGGCAACAATTGTACTCGTACGTTTACCCTTTATTAGATGCAAACCGCTGACCGGTATGGTCAGCAACAAACGGGGCAGTCATGTATACCGACTTTGTCATGCAAAAATTTGCCCGCGCGTGGATTGAGATGGATATTTCTGGTAAGGAAAGAAGCTGCAAAACAGGGAAACAATACATCTACACTAACCCAGAAGGTAAATCATTTACCCATGCCCGCACAGAGTGCGGATATTGACAAAATACAAACCAGGAACTCCAATTCCCAGTCACCTAATTCTGATCCAAGAGTGGGTCAACTCCAGATTTTCACTTCAGCCAGCACATGGCATACCTCTCACAGGTCGCAATGTTCATTCACACAAAATCGACGCTGGAGCTAACCTCATCTTGGATTTAAACCAAGCGTTGGGCGAGTTCTATAACAAGCACGCCACCAGGATGAAAGTTCGCAAGTGGATTAAATCGAAACCGTGCCAAAAAGACCTCGAAGGAGAAGCTGAGAAGAAGTGGATGAAAAGGTGGATGGGAATAAGAAACATCAGGCAAGGTCGCTGAAGGGGTTCATATATAAGTGACCAGAAATGCGGTAAAAAATGTTCCTTATTCAAGGGGACCTTGTAGTGTCACATCGTATTCTCTATGATTTGCCTGGAGAGGTGCTGCATCGCGCCCAGAAAGAGCTAGGAGGCAGCAACCCTGACCCTGATGAACCATCAAAGTACAATAGCTTTTCAGCACGGATGGCTCGCATTGCCTTCCCGGTAATACCACGTTCTCTTCGATCAAGAGGGACACGACGCGGCGGTTCCTACGACGGCTCCTCCAATTGGGACCATTGTGATTATTGCAGATTGAAGTTTTTGTTTTAGCCCAAGTGTTCTGGTTATTACTGAATTGATTTGAAGCTAATTGCGTGCTTCCGTTATAGCTAAAAGCACCATACCAGAAGCGGGGTCGGTTGTTGATTGCGGGCCAACTAGTGCGGGGTAATCACTGCGAATAGTTCTGAATGCTGTAGACATATCCAGGCTTCGCACACGCCAGAGCAAGCCGCCACATTCATCACTTCTTCCCTACGTAGCATCTAATCCATTTATATTGGTCTCTTTCAAGAACCCATCATTACATTTAGTTATCCTTAAAATCTTGATTGGGCGGTGTGCATTGTCCACCATCGTCCACTATTGTCGGCCTACTGTTCCGAAAGGTATGAAGTAATTCATTCGGTACCTGGTAGCACCAGTGCCTCTCTCACTAGCCCCATGAGCCACACGATGAGTCCATCAGACATAAATAAATTATCTAACGATAGAGGGAGATTCATTTCGCCTTCGATAGTACGTAAGGTCGCTCTCAGTTAACTTAGCCAACAATGAACAGTTGAGTCAGTCGTTACAGGGTCGTTGCTGATTAAGAAAAATCTCAACATCGCGGACAACTCGTCGCGCTGGACCCTCCATTATCCCATGGTCTGTTAGGAATTGGTACACACCGTCTTGATCATCATGTATCAGTTCAAGATCAAGTCCCCTGCCTAATGCTAGCTCGCAAGCTCGGTTATACTCTTCCTTTAGCGCCTGTCTTCTGACCCGTGAACTTTGCTATGCAAAGTATTCCTCCGCTACATCGTCTCGCATTCCTAGGCCTTCAAGAGCACAACGCAAAGATACCGTTTCAGGCGTAGGCGTCACTCTAGAAGTGGTTAAGGTTGTGTCAGGTTGACCAGGTATAATATTGTGGATATGTATGGCAGGAAGGCCAGTGGCATAAGAGCCTGAATTGGCTCGCTTTCGCTTCCTAGATGACTGCTGTTGCTCCTTAGCATATAACTCGTTGCGAATTTCTTTAGGCATATCCTCATGTCTGTTTATATCCTCGCCTTTTTGCACTTGCTTAACGAGATTTCTTAGTTGATGCCCCATAAGTTTGAAGTGCTTTTTACTAGTAGGGTCTTGCCAGCAATAAGGACCTCGGTCACAGGGAGGCCCCGGGCAGCTAAAAATAGCAAAAACATGCTCCCAAGCGGCAGTGCGGCCTAAAACAGCCCTTTCAGCATCACGTCGAGCTTGCCTCTCTGTAAGCTGGCCAATAGTAGAGCCCTGTCCAGCAGGACCGGCTGTTTTGGTCTCTTTGTAGTTGAAAGTGACCTTTATTATTAACTTTCTTCTATTGTGCGTGAGGTGGCTCTATGTTTGCAACTGCCTCTCCACAACTAGCCAGTCGACTTTTATCTTATCGAATTGCTTCGTTATATTCCGCTCGGAGCGCTCGGTAACGGATATAACTATCGTAGTTGCATCAGCTGCGTATTGCTTGTTTACTTGGGTTTTCTGAACTAGCTTATCCAGCCTTGATATAAGAGTCTTATTCCAAAAATCACCTGGCGCTAACACGAGGTCCTGCTTGGTTTGTTTTGCAACTTGTCTATTGTTCACGGTTAACTTTCACTTAAGCTTATAATGTATGTACTGCTGTTTGTTATATTGCAGGCGGTTTGGGTTCTAGTTAGTTAACGGGATGAATAGTAACGATCCCCGAGATGGTCGGTTGTTACACCCCTGGCTTGATAAAGATGGGCTTCGCCTGCGCGCGGGAGTCGGAATATTGCAAAGCTGAGATGGTATCTTATTGTTAGTAAAACATTTATTAATGCAGTCGTCGTCACTCATAGTTTGTAATGAAGAGGAGGAGACGCCAGGAACCGATTAAGCTACGTTTGCGTTGGGGCCCATTAGCAGAGAAGGCGTAGCCCCACTCGGTAATCCTGTAATTTTGCACCATGTACCGAGATGAAAGGACGTTATGTACTCATTGGCTTCGTCTGCACTGTCTACTTGAATTGAAAATTGGCGGATCGTAATGTACTTTGCGGTACTTGAAAGTATTTTTTTTTAATCATATGACAAAGGAAGCATAGCCTGTAGGTTGGAGTAGTTAACTAGTACTGATGGTCCGTGCTTCTAGATTCTCAGAGTTGTGGACAGGACACCCATTTCGCTCCTAACTGGGGAATAAGCTTTAGATTGGGAGCGAAGAAGTGGTGCAACGTTCGAAGCTGACAAGACGGCAATTATCCATTTTACTGAATGCAAATAAGCTAAGTAATGAACCCTTCACGATTAAGGGGCGAGATGTTTACCCTAAAGATCACGTCAAGATTCTGGGTCTAATTATGGATACCCGACTCAAATACAAGCAACACATCGCCAGAGCAGCGTCGAAAGGCCTGGAAGCAGCATTAGAATTAACGAGACTCAGAGGCCTACCCACCGCAACTGCCCGACAGTTGTTTTCCGCCACGGTAGCCCCAATAGTAGATTATGCCTCAAATATCTGGATGCACGCCTACAGGTATAGAAATACAGCCCCTATTAACCGTGTTCAAAGAATAGGAGCGCAGGCGATTGTCGGGACATTTCTCACTGTAGCGACAAGCATTGCAGAAATAGAGGCATCGATACCCACCGCACTGGAGCGCTTCTGGAAACGAGCAATAAAGCTCTGGGTTGATATTCATACTCTACCTAAAACAAACCCCCTTCATAGGATAACATCACGAGTGCGGAAATTTTACCGGAGCTATCGGTCGCCGTTTCACCAAGTTGCATACAGACTTAAAGACATGCCGCTAGAGGAACTGGAATCCATACAGCCATTTGCTCTGAAGCCGTGGGAGAAACGAGTCCAAGCCTTTAACTATGAAAATGCAACCAAACAACCAGAGGCGGAATGGGACATTCGTGTAGCCGTGAGCAGCTCCGCATGCAACGACGTAGTAGGGATCGGTGGAGTTGTCCGTGGCACACCATTTATCGATGGGGACGCAACAAGTGAGGAGTTCTCCTTCACTCTAGGTCTCAGAACCGAGCAGAACCCGTATTCCGGAGAACTAGCAGCAATGTCGCATGCGTTAAATCTCCTACCGAATGTCAGTCACCGCCGTATAGCACTCCTAACCACTAATAAAGCAGTCGCCCTTAGCCTCCGGAATCCCCGGCAGCAGTCCGGTCAAGTATATATCCGCTCCATCTATAAAAGCTTTGCCAAGCTATGGCGGAACGGAAATGGTTTATTAGTATTCTGGGTTCCTAGCTCCGACGAAAACGAGCTTCTGCAGTTAGCCAAGCGAGAGGCAAGACAGGCAACCAAGGAAGGGGCTACTCCAACGAAAAGATTTCCTAGAATGCAATCCACTACCCTAAACTTGGAAAAGAAGAAACTTACTAGCGAAAGGCACTTTCCGGATGGGGTGGGCAAACATTCAAAAAGAGTGGATGCGGCCCTTCCAGGTCAGCATACTCGACAGCTATACGATAACAGACCATGGATAGAACGCAACGTCTTAGCCCAGATGAGAACAGACAGGACGAGACTTAATAACTCAATGTATCGAATACACGCCGCAACATCAAGGCAGTGTGCCTGTGGGCATGAGCCAGAGACAGTAGCTCATTTTCTATTTCGATGCACACAATGGGAACAACACCGAACAAAGATGCACCAATGCACTGAAACTAACCGAGGAAATCTTTCATTCTTTTTAGGAGGAAAGTCACCGTTAGATGGACCAGATTGGCAACCAAATTTGAAGGCAGTGCAAGCAACTATCAGCTTTGCACTAGCTACGGGACGTCTGGAAAATAAGCAACACATATAGCCTACATCGCCCACCCATCCATTACTAACTCACCGGCTAATTCTCATTGTCAACTCGTGCTATAGACAGCAGACGCCGCTTCAGCTGCCGTAGATAGGATCCTGAACACTTGGGGAATAAGCTCTAAGCTAGCCCGCTGTGAAGAATGATAAAACACGAGAAACCGGAGCGAAGCAAGAGAACAGATTGTAAGAGCAGAAACTGGATGACAAGGATTCATGGGCTTCCATGAGACAAAAGCTACGCTTCAGAATGTACACGTGCCATAGGTTCATAGTTGCCCTTTTGGACTTTCCACCGGGCGTAATAAATGAATGAATGAATGAATGAATGTACTACCCAGCGTTCTTAATAATCTTCGCAATAGTGACGGCAGCAGCGTTAAAGGTATTATCAGCAGCTGCAGCCGGGTATCTTCTTCTTCCTCCTCCTCCTTTTCTCTTTCTTCATCATCAACTTCTTCGCCCACAACGTTTAAAATAACAGGTAAGTTATCTATTTTATCTAACAGCTCTAAGATAACAGTTTCTTCTAAAATCTCCCTTAACCTTACCCTCGCCCTCGCCCTCGCCTACGCCCGCGCCCGCACCCAGCTGTCAGCATCAATTACTTCCTTAATATACCGGCCAGCAGGAAGGTCAGAAAAGAATATCTTCTCCTAAGTCTCAGCTTCTACGCCTTAGCCAATAAGGAGGCCATTAAGGATAACTCTGCACCCATAAGGCTAATGCCGTTTAATAACAATAGCCTCATTTTCCTTACTCATCATCAACTTCCCAGTCTCAGCATTATAAGTCATTTCTAATAGATTTTCTGCTTTTTTAAACACCCGCTATAACTTCCTACAATCGTAATACTTATTTTCAAAACTTTTAAGTTCCTAGGTACATTCTGAATGCAGCGAATTAAACTAAATAAAGATATTACTTAAAGCTTACTGCAGGTATATTACTTTAGCCGAATTCAACCGCCCACTACACCATACCTTAAGCAGAAGGTTAAAAAACAGTAACGTTTAGTCAGTTAACCACCAATATAACGTCAGAGATAACCACTGTAAGCTGCTTTATAACATTTCTAAATAACTAAGGTTATAGTAACTTAAAAAATAGGGAAAAATATATATATAATAAGGTACTATTTATCTAAAGCCTTACGGAAAAGTTAGACGAAGCTGAATTGCGGTCTAGATCAATCCAAAGGCGGTGAAGATATTCCTAACGGTTACGGCCTAGCTTTATAACCAGGGTTATATCAGTACAAAAGTCAATCTCCACCTATTTTACTAGTAAGAAGTCTTCTCCCAGTCAGCAACAGTTGCTAATTAGCTCTTATGAATCAGGGCATTAATTACATTAATCTATACGTAGTACATTGAGCGGTACAAGCTCTCACATCCCATCTGAAACCGGATTTATATTATGCCGGATCACACATCTTATACTTCAGAGAGTGGTGCACTAGCAACTACGCCCATCAGTAGTCTTGCTCTTTTGAGGCCAGCTTGACACGAAGCTTATTAATCAATAGCCAGATTCGCTATATTTATTTATCCCAAAAAGAAAAATTGTTGATGTTAACAAGCCAATATCAAAAGGAAAAAACCCCATAAGAAGGGGAAAACCTTTGTTTCTACGCTATTCTAGAATAGCCGCGCCGAAGGGCTAGAGAGAGCCTTCAGCATTGTGTCTTCACAAGCTGCAGCTTGCTTGGTTGGGTTGGTTTGTTTTGTAGAGCCTGGCAGGATTCGAACCTGCGATCTTTTTCTCTGGAAGACTGTGCTTAACCATTGCGTCACACAACCTCTACACATACCTTTAATTTCAATAATGTTTATGTACCATGACGACATAGCTCACAAAATTCTCTTCATATGAATTCAACTGACGGCCTGTCCTCAATGTGGCCCCGCCTAAATGCACAATGCGCACGCGAGAATTTATGCTTCTTCTTCACCACTTAGTAGCGCCGTAGTAGGGCAGCTTTCTTTATCTTCGACTTTATTTGCATTTTCACTGCTAACGTTATGTTAAGCGTTGCAACCTGCGCGAGATATTTGCTCCCGTGAATCATCTAGGCTTGAGACTTCCAGCATGACCTTTGCGCACATATCAATAAACTCCTTATCATTCATTTATCCCGTAGTCGTATACTTGACTCTAAGAACGCTTTCGATCATACGCCGTAGCCCCGCTTGTCCATCATGCGGTATGATTTCCCATTTCTCCCCATCTCGCACGTTATAGAGCATAATACGTATTAACCCCAATAAGTAGGCATACGTGCATGCTTGTAAAACATGGCTGTTAGAAAGGTGCGAGACAAACTTAATCTCCCAGATAGAATCAGCGCTTCTACTACCACTGTTGTCTGATGGGGGAGCGACTGCGACAATATCGGCTTGACCTTAAAGGCGGGTTTCATTATCATCAACACTGAATGTTTACTCAGCGTTAACTTCAAACCGAATATTTGCAGTGCCGTCTCCCAGTTCTCCTTGAATCCTGTTCCGGGCTAAGGCAAAATCTCTAGGCATCATCCAATCAAATGCGTGATTTTCCATCTAATTTTTTCGTGGTAGATAGCCCGAGATGCCAGCCTCGTATTCACATGCGTAGCGACAAAGCCAAGAGATATACTGCGTTAAACCAATGGGGGGTATTACTTCGATAAGACTTTGATCGATTTTCAGCGTATTAAGTGTTCCGGTAGTACTGTATTCGAAGGCCGCGACAGTAACAAGCCCATTTATATCGCTTACTACTTCGTAAAATCTTTTGCGTAGGTCTGAAAGGACGACGTTAGGTATATTGATGTACTCTTGCTTCAGTAGCGGTAGGGAAAGCTTCTGGATGCACAGTTCACGAATAATAATGTCCTGCAGAGGTTCATCCTGTATATGTCAGACCATATCTCAGACCGCAATAGAAGCTGGCAGAGCAAGACCAAGATGTAATAGTTGGCCAGTTGGGTTAGGCACTGAAAGTTTTACCAAATTATTTGTCATGTTGACAACCTCAGCCGTTTCGTATAGGTCTTCCATAGACATAAAAGGCATAAGCTTCTTGCTTTCGTCGTGGACTAAGACAAGCTGTTTTCCGGCACATGTAAGAGCCACAAAAATCTCATTAGGGCACCTGTCGTTCAAAATATCGCGGCCAAAATTCTCAAAGAACGAGGAGTCAATACCGAAGAGAATGACTAAATGACGCTCGCTGCCTTTAAACTGATGGATAGTAGAAACACACATCTTCCCGTAAGTCACTCTATCATCCAGAGCCACCTCATCATTGGTTAATATCGCAATTGGAATGCGATATTTCTTAGACAATATATTAGTCAAGAGCTTCAATGGCTTGTTTTTCCTCAGAGACGGTGCTATCAATGCGCTATTCTTTGCTCCATAGCGCTTGATCAGGGCTGACAATCTCTTAGCTAGCGCATAGCTATCATAAGGGTCGCATCTCAGCACGATAGGTTTAGGACCAGGTTTTGAGCTAGAAATATATAATTCGCCATTAAGAAAAACCCGGTTGACAAATTGAACTAAATAATCCGATAGCCTAAAGCTTTGGCTTAAAGGAATTTTAACGAATGGGTAGGGACTTGTATGAGCAAGTATTCGAGGAGCTAGTAAGAGGTAGCGATAATCGGCACCGCGAAATCAATATATAGATTGCCGCTCGTCACCTAGTATAACGAGTTGGGGAGAATGATCATCAGTCTCCTGTTTATTAGCTAGGATGAAGCAATTAATTAGCCAGTAAATAATTTCAGTACAATCCTAAAATTCATCCAAAACAATAATATCAAATAGCGTAAAATTCCAGCGAGGAAGCGCATTGCAACGAAGGACTCTCCTTCTTTATTCTAATAGTTCAGCATCATTACACACAACAGCTCCAAACAGCGAGCCAGCCATCCCATAAAAAGTGAAAACTTGGCAATTAGTATAAGGATGAAGCCGATGACGCATCTCAAGTTAAAGTCTCTTCAAATAAGTGATCACTGCTACTCGCTTGTCCGGATGAGCGGCAATAATAGCTTCAGCTGTAGCCATTTTGCCCAATCCTGGCCGCGCTAACACTACCACATTTTACATACGGCAGAGTCTTACAACTCTCAGTTGCTCAATGGATGGGGTAAACAAAGGCTTTAAAGACTTCTTCTCCCAGCGTTGAAGTAGGTCATGACTGTGTGTGGAGAATCGAGGAGATCTTTTAAGACAAAAACCCTGGAACTGATATTTTTAAATGCTGGCGTCAACATCGTCTTATATATGCTCTTACTGCGGATGTTTCATTTACTCACTCGTAGCTTAAAAATGTGCGGCAGTCGGACAATCATCTCAGTTTCAACATCCACGATGTGGGAACATCGGCACTTTTGGTTGATCTGAGTTTGGGTTGAATACTTGCTGATTATGATTTAGGCGGGCATAAAATATTAGTTTTGATGATGGACATGCATAGAAGAATATGAAAACCAATGGATGTATCTGGAACTGCGATAGGTAGTAACCAGGCCCTGACGAATGTGGACGCTACTACTTTGCGGATTTGAAGGTGGGCGTTCTGTATACATACCATTATTGTTGTTTTCACCAAGAGACATGATGTAAGATTTTGAAGGTGGCGTAAACTTAATAAATAGGAGCCTTTTCCAATCGTCGTGTTATTTTTTCCAGGAGCAACAGTTCATGTGTGTACCTTAAATCAGTGCATGTACCAAGTGCTTCCGCAAATAAGCAAGATCTAGAGAAGATACATCACAATACTATGCAGATACCCTTCCGCTATTCTAACAAATCAAACATCTAATAAACTTACGGAAAAATTGATGTAAATATAATGCATATATGATGTAGTACAACCTCATACCTCAAAGTAAATGCAATTGTTAGGAATTACTTATTCCGGTCAGTACGTTACCCCATTGCGGCCTAGATCGTCGATTGGGCTGAATCTGCGTGGCTAAGTTTTTGGGATTTCACCAGGCTAAAAGCTAATTGTTACTTAAATAGGAAAATGCGCCTAAGAAATCATCAGATCAGTACGAGCCACGAAGCTTCGACAGAGCTTGGAGCTTTACTACAGATCATACGCCCCTTTCGTAATTTTCCTTAAGACTCTCTCGGGGACCATGAATTTCTTCAGCCCGTTGACGAATAGGCATCATTCATAAAACGACTCCACTCCCTGTCGGCCGAAGTGTCGCATCTAAGTAAGTTATTGTTAATGCTTGGGCAAATTTGAAGCCCCATTCGCAACGGCCCTATGCAGTTGTTGTAAATGAAAAAGGACCTTTAACTCGAATTAGTTGACTGTTATCGGCTGAGGGCCGTAGTCTAACCCCGGCTTGACGGAAATTGTATAGTTTGCCAAGCGTAGTTAAATAAAAGGATACTGAACTGTGGCGTATAACTAGGCGCACACAACACAAGAAGTTAACTAAAAGTCGACCACGCAGCCTTGATGCATATGATTCTTATTCTAACAAGTATACCTGCTAATCAGATCTAGGCCTGTTGCTAACTTAAGGATTCATTTATCAAACCACGGCAGTCTTCATTATATGGCGCAAACAATGCTTCAGGTAGGCTTAAATCTCCAATCAAATCGATAAAGTGTCTGATTCTGAACAGTGGTGGACTGCTCGGATCGTCATCCTGCAAGTTGCTAAGCTACAACACTTCGCCCGCTTTTTTAGCGTAGAAAGAAAGAGCCACGGGCCAGCGAAGCAAAGTGACTTGCAACTACTTCCAGAACATAATACCACTTCGGAAACAGCAGGCAGGGAAAGTATACGATCATACGACCGGGCCTTTCAGCAACACCTCATCGATTACAGCATATTCCCTCATGCTTATGAGTTCCCAGATGGTGGAATGCCGCCAAAGCTTAAAAATAAAGAAGATATCCTTCGGGTTCTGGCCCAATCCAGAGCATCGCTGAGTCATTTCTCAAACCATAACTTCCGCAAGTTCAAACAAGCAGAAGCGCAAGCAACAAAGGAGAGAGATATCACGACAAGTGTCATACCTATTATTGAAGGAGATATAGGGGACAGAAAATGCCTCGCTGGCAAAATTCCATTTACGAATCTTGAGCATCTAACGGACGGTACACTTGTGCCAGCCAGCCCCGATATATTCTATGGTGCACGTCCGGAGCAGCTCCACCCACAAATACGTAAAGCACTGAGCGGTCGTGTTGTCCCTTCCACTCAGAGTGATCTCCCTGTCGCGCCGAATTTCTTCGTGGAAGTAAAAGGGAAGGATGGTTCTGCAGCTGTAGCTCAACGACAGCTGATTTACAATATGGCTCTTGGAGAAAGAGGCCAACAGGCTCTTCGATCGCGCAATCCCTTTCACGCTTCATACGATAACAAATCTCATACTCTCGGCTGCTTATATCTGGATAGACAATTAAAGATTTTCGCTACCCATGCAATACAACTATCCTCGCTGTTTGGGCAACCAGGATTTGTTGTAACGCAGCTCGGTGCATTTGCTTTAACCAACGATGTCGATACCTTTCGGCGAGGAGTCGCAGCATATCGAAATGCTAGGGACTGGGCAAAGAAGCAAAGAAATGACGCAATTGAGCAAGCAAACGAGAGGCTAAGCTGGGACGAAGTTATTAAGTTCCCTCCAGCCCTGACCTTACCGGGGCTCAAGCACTTTTGGTCCAAAGCTATATCGAGATTGCAGCGGAGTAAGTGATTGCTTGGGATATACATGAGTCCTGTAAGGAAAACCTGTAGCATGGTGGAACCTAGTGTATGCAACGATAGGCCGTATATCCGTATAATGGATTGAGCAATTGACAGAGCGCATTATCTGTCTAGATGCGCATTGAACAATAGGGCCCGAAAACCTACAGACATGAAATCTTCCAGTTACTCTCCGTGACCTAGCACCAAGATACAATCTAGGTGTGTATTTCCGAAGTTCTTCAGAGATATCTTCCGGATATCGTCCATTCTTAGGCATATTTGCAGCACTGTCTCAACTTGGTAACAGCTTCCATCAACTACGCCGAAAATTAGCTCAAGGGTAGCATATTCCCAGCCCTTATTTGTCGCACAGGCCTCAGTGGGGACGGCAATGAGACGCTCGTAATAGACAATAAGGCTGTCCTCTCTGATCCTGTTATCCTATCCCGGAATCGTGATTATGGTGTGATCAATTTTGGTTCAGATGGCATTAGCGGGGCCCAACAGGTGCACCGCCGGCGGTGCAAATAAAGCTTACGTAACGGCGCACCACCGGCGGTGCAACTAAGATTCCTCACGTCAGCTAGCCGCACCTCTCAGCGGGCATGTCGGCCGCGTTAAGTTGCCCCTGAAAGGACCTGGCTTTGCCCTACATCCACACGCCTCTCACAGAGCCCGCTCAGATGGAGCGGGTTGAAGATTCTAACCACTTCCCTGATGACTGTCTTCCTCCAGAGGGCGAATACAGCTCTCGAGAGGCCTTGTACGCAGCGATCAACGCTTGGGCAGCGCCACGAGGCTATGCTTTTGTGACCGGACGGTCAAGAAAAACACCCAATGGCAGGCAACAAGTTGTCTTTAACTGTGACCGTGGTGCAGGTCGCACCCCAGATACCTTAATTATAAGACAGCGGCTCACTACTACAAAGCGTACAGGCTGCCAATTCTCCGTTCTTGCGAAGGAAAGTCTTAATAAAGTTTCTTGGAAACTTACGCATCGTCTTAGTTACGAATGTGCTATCCACAACCATGAGCCAAGTACACAGAGGTCTGCGCATCCAGTCCATCCCAAGCTATCTCATGCCGATATATTAACCGTTCATAACCTTGCCAACGCCGGCGTGGCTCCAAAAGAGATCAGATCTTACCTACGCAACCACTCAGAGACTCTTGCAACCCAGCAAGATATCTACAACTGTATTGCGCAAGGCAAACGAGACCTTGCCAAGGGCCAAAGCAACATACACGCTCTCGCTAACGAGCTTGACAGCGAGGGATTTTGGAATCGAATGCAACTTGATGAGGATGGACGGGTCACAGCTGTGTTATTTGCCCATCCACAGTCGCTAGCGTACCTCAAGTGCTATCCGGATTTGCTTATATTGGACTGCACTTACAAGACGAACAAGTACAAGATGCCTCTTCTTGACATCGTTGGAGTTGATGCCTGTCAACGATCATTCTGTATTGCCTTTGCCTTTCTGAGTGGCGAAGACGAGAGGGATTTATCTGGGCGCTGGATCGGCTACGGTCGATGTATGAACTTTGTGGTGCAAGGCTTCCGTCTGTTATCCTTACAGATCGCTGCCTCGCTTGCATGAATGCTGTATCTCGCTGCTTCCCAGCTGCAGTATCGCTCCTGTGCCTTTGGCATGCCAATAAGGCAGTTCTTCGTTACTGCCTGTCAAGCTTTACTCGCAATACTGACGATGCTGATAAACTCCTGCAATGGAAAGAATTCTATCAGAACTGGCACGAACTTGTGGGATCAACAGATGACGCAGCCTTCGAGGAGAGACTCCAACGACTTAAGGACCGCTATATACCAAGCCATACTCGAGAGGTTGGCTATATCATTGAGACCTGGCTTGACCTCTACAAAGAGAAGCTTGTTAAGGTTTGGGTTGATCGACATCTACACTTCGGGAATGTTGTTACCTCTCGGGGCGAGGGCATCCATGAACTTATCAAGATCTATCTCAACACGTCTCAATTAGACCTCTTTGAAGCTTGGAGGTCTATTAAGCGTGCAGTTCTTAACCAACTAACTGAGCTTCAAGCCAATCAAGCCAAGCAGCAAATCCGAATGCCTATTGAGCTCTCTGGTGCATTGTATAGCAATATACGCGGCTGGGTATCTCACGAAGCTTTACGGAAGGTCAAGGAGCAGCGGAAGCGTCTCTTGAAGAACGAGCTTCCAGACCGTACAGGAGTCTTTACAACAACACTTGGTCTCCCTTGCGCTCATGTGCTCGAGCCTCTAATACGTCAAGATCAGCCACTTCAGCTACAGCACTTCCACACCCATTGGCACCTTCAACGAGGAGGTACTCCTCAATTGATCTTACAACCTCGCCAACAATTCGATATCGTCACAAGCAAATCGAAACTGCCATTGACAAGCACTCAGAGAGAGCCTAGCGCGTTCGAGGCAGTCGAAGCAACATTAAGAACCAGGGTATTGCCTACATGCAGTAACTGCCATGAAAAAGGGCATCAGATGAGGTCAAAAGCATGCCCCTTGCGCTATCAAAACCTCTTGCAACCATTGGCACCAGCCGCACCTACATCAGGATCGAGGACGACAGCATCAGGGGCGCTGTCGTTAGCAGGGGTTTCCCCATCACCAGGTGCACTGGCTCGTTCAGTAATGCCAACAGCGCAAGTACCGTTATTGCCACATGCGCCGCAATCGGAGGCCGAATCTTTCCAAATGCCGCCATCACCAGCGACGCCACCTTTATTACAGGAGTCAATACTGCAGGTGCTGACATCGCCAGATGTGCCGGCAACACAATCATCATCAAGAGAGTCGTCACCAAGTCCTCCCGCGCTTTCGTATCAAGGCCCTAGGGCTATTTATGAGAAATATGTTGCAGCACGAAGAGATTGGTATGCGGCGCAGCCCCGAGGCAGCGTGAAGACAAATCAACTATACCGGAAAGCTATGAAATTACCACAACGCTACACCAAAGCGGATTACACTTGGTGTTGTGACTATAAACAGATGGGCAGGCGCTGTAAAACAGCAACAGGTACCCGTGATTGGACAAAGGAGGAGATGATGGCGTACTTGGACTGGAGCAAGGCAGAGGATGAGCGAGTGGAAGCGCTTGTTGCCAAAGAAATGGGTAATAATCCACTGGCAAGTAGGCGAAGAGGCATAAAACACATCTAGAAGAGTATTAAGCAAGACATGAATGAGCAGCAAGCCTTGCACTCAGACGAAAACTTAGCCGAGGACTGTATAATAGTTAGAGCTTGAATTTATATTCCTCTTCAACTTTGAGTAATTAAGATGCTGCATCGTCAACTCAGGCTTGGCTCCCTGCTTTACAGATGCGGCTAGCTGACGTGAGGAATCTTAGTTGCACCGCTGGTGGTGCGCCGTTACGTGGGCTTTATTTGCACCGCCGGCGGTGCACCTATTGGGCCCCTAATTAACCTCGTCTATTAGTAAGCAGCTTTAACAGTCCAATAAGCAGATTGGGAGGTATGATTGGCTCCAGTCTCAGGACTGCCTTTAACTCATTTACGCACAATTTTGGCCTGCGATAATTTAACCATGCCTGTTAGGGCATAGATTTTTTTAACGTATCTAGTAATATATAGGCGCTGTTCGCTTGCGCGCAATTTGAGCCTACGACAATTTAACCACGCCTCATACAGCGCAACCATAACAGAATTATAGCTGGTTCGCTTGCGCGCAATTTGAGCCTACGACAATTTAACCACGCCTCATACAGCGCAACCAGCACAGAATTATAGCTGGTTTGCTTGCGCGTAATTTGAGCCTACGATAATTTAACCAACGCCTCATACGGCAGAATTATTTGAACCTCTATACAACTATGTCCGCCAATAAGCCCAGCCATTTAAGTTAACCCCATAATAGGCTTAACATATACCTACGTGATAAGTAAATGCGCTCACTAAGTGGTTTAATGTACAGCTATTAAATAGGTGCAACTATTCTGCGTACTTTAATAAATCAGGAAGTACATGTCACTGTACTCAGTATACTAACATCCTAACCGGCTTCGTCCTAAATAACTCTACTCTCTATCGGTTTCGTTAATACGTTTCATTGGCTCCTGTTTACGGGAGAAATGCGGCGTCACTAGCTGACAGATTCGAAACTTTCGCCCTTTCATATCGTAATACTTTCATATGATTGGTTGTCTCTATCCAACCGGGCAGGCCATATCTAATTCAGGCTGCTACAGTATGTATAAGTAAAATGAACACTATATTCACTGTAACTAAATTAAGTAAGTACTACTACTAGCTACTTACAAATTAGGATACTGGCGTACTGAGGTCACGCGAAAGCATCTTTCTCAAACGCCAAAATTGGCTACCCGTTGGTTCCACTTTTAGCGACCTACTTTTGTGTATAGAAAAGCTAAAAGAACACATACGGTTATTGAATACCTTAACATATCAACTACTGGACGTTCGTACTATAAACCTAAAGTAGGCTTTAACAGAGATTGGTCGTGAAAGCATCACTGAATTACATAATAGTTGTCTATATTAGATTTGAAATTTTCATCCATAGATTAACAAATAACTATAAACACAACATATAAAGACTAAGAAGTCTAAAATACGTCTTGGGTTTTCATCAAATTCTTTTTATTATACATATTATAGGTTTTCTAGCCAGAGTATACTCCTATGTTCAGAAGCTTAGATACAAATTTACGTCTAGTGTCACATTTTGTAAATAACAACTTGCTCTAAAGTCTTTAAACAAAGTCATACAGCAACAGAACGTGATACGGTACATAACTAATTAGACTACTCTACCCAAATGAAGTACAGTACCACGTCCAATTCAGGTAACAGTGTCTGAATCTGGCTGCCAGATCCAAAATTAGGATGTACAAGTACATTCAAATCTGGATATCACGTCCAAAAACGGCACGCCTTTTTTACCGAAATATATCCACACCCAAAGATAAGCTAAGCCGAAAATAGATATATATACTTACATAAACTGAATTGTCATAACTGGATGTAGTAGTATTGGCAAGAAATAGCCACATCTAGACATTTCACAGCCTTTATGTAATACATACAGCAGACTAACTTATAAATCATACAAGCAATCATGTCATTCAATACATGTACCTTGGGTCCTGGAGTCAAAAGAATGTATCAGATCCTCCAACAACTATTCCACGTCGCTAAAATACGCCTATATGCTGTTCTCCGCTACTTCACCGCGGGCCATCGCGGGGCTCGCCGTGCTTGCTGGTTTATTCCAGTTTACACGAGCAGATATGTTTGAGAAGTCGTGCCATGACCTGAAACGAAACTTGGCTATTGAAAATGCAACCATAAATTTGGTTCAATATGTCCCTAGCGCAAGCACCTTAATGTTTCCAGAGAATGTAATTACCCTTATATTGAACAGTATAAAAATCTTAGTTGCTAATAGAATTTCCTAGGATATTACTTGCAATCGCTCATCGCAAGCTATCTCAGCAGATATTTGCAGGGTGGCGCTTTATGCAAAAACTTCGCCATTTAGTGGTGTCCACCTTGAAGCATGGCTTCCTCGCAATTGGACAGGAAGATTCTTGAGTACTGGCAATGGTGGATTATCAGGATGTAAGTTCATTGATTGCGACCCGCAAGGTGTTGCCTTTCTCATCGGTTTATACAGGTATTCAATATGAAGATATTAACTATGGCACGGTAATATTTCTTTATAAAACTCGCTGACTTTTTATTAATATATTTATAGACCCTGGGATTTGCTACTGTCGGTACGAACAACGGTCATAACGGGACTTCAGGGCTAGCATTTTTAAACAATCCCAACGTTATTGAAGGTGAGACCCATGATAATACTTAAATAGTCTATCACTAACGAACTCAATTCCAGATTACTCTTATCGATCGTACGTTGAAAATTCTACCGCTAATATAGGTTAAGATCTAAATATAATAGGGTTCATGTCGGTGCTGCTATTGGTAAAACTATTACCAATCAATTTTATAAGCGAAATTTTACAAAGTCTTATTATATAGGTTGTTCAACCGGTGGCAGACAAGGCTTTCAATCTGCCCAAATGTTTCCCAGAGATTTTGATGGAATTGTTGCAGGTTCTCCAACTCTTGCCTTCACGCAGCTCACTGCATGGGCAGGATGGCTTGGCCTGGTAACAGGCTATAACACTACAGATCCGGGGTTTATTTCTCCAAATCTTTGGAAAACTATCCACCAAGAGATTTTGAAACAATGCGATGGTCTGGACGGTGCAATTGATGGGTATGTTACGAATATTACTATTATGTTATAACTTTGTGAAGTAAATAATAACGATTCTAGAATTATCGAAAACCCCGATTTATGCCATCCAAACTTAGACAGCCTACGGTGTCGTTATCAATCGACTTATAGTTGTCTAAATAATGAACAAGCCCGCCGTGCTAATATGGTATTTAAGCCGTTTTATTATCCCAACGGTTCACTTATCTTTCCTCGAATGCAGCCAGGCAGTGAGCTTGAGTCTTCGTCTACATTTTATAGCGGCGTACCTTCTCCTTATGTCAAAGTATGTGATTCACAATTAATCAATATCAGAACATCAAGCTAACCTTGCGGATTGTAAGGGATGGCTTAGCCCAGCGATATTATATAATCTCAATTGGAAGCCAGAAACTATTTCATTAGCTGATATAACCTTCGCTCAAGAGTTAAATCCCTTCGGGGTAAATACTCGGAATGGAAATCTCAGCGCTTTCAATACTTCAGGTGGTAAATTGCTACACTACCATGGCTTACAAGACTACCTAATTTCATCAGAGAACTCTGCACGCTATTATAACTTTGTTAGAGAAACGATGTCATTGAAAAGCTCAGACATAGACCATTTCTATCGATACTTTCGTATCTCCGGTATGGGGCATTGTCGTCAAGGTCCTGGGGCCTGGATGATTGGGCAATCTACTATAGGAAACAATGGGCTTGATCCAGGGAGTAACGTCCTGATAGCAATGGTTGAGTGGGTAGAGAAGGGCTTGGCTCCTACAACTATTAAGGGGGTAAAGTTTCGAGGAGATAAGGTAAAGGATGGTCTATCTCTCACAAGAAAACATTGTAGATACCCTTACCAAAACAAGTATGTCGGACTTCAGCCGCCAAGTAATGGTGACGGCTGGGCTTGCACGCTTGAATAAGTCTAGCGTTATTAATAAACGCAACTTAAAGATTACTAAGGTTAAGGCAATCTAGTAATACAATGCCGCCCGTTTTGTTTATGATGAAGTGACTTGTTTAGCACCCTACCTTTCCGGTAGAGAGAATATTTGTGATATTTAGCGAAGAACGGAGGAGCTATGTATTATTTGTTTTTGTAGAAAGTAGTACTGGTCCAGGAATAGAATCCAACTACACTTGAGCGGGAGTCCCGGCCGCTTCACCAACCCGCCAAGCACGAAGTACAGTGGAGCTGGCTTATGACCTTTGGACCCCACCACTGGGCACAGCTCTCGATTTTACCTATAAAAGATCACATCCCATCATACACACTTTCTTATACCACAGCGATAATTTCTCTTTCTTATACATCTGAAAGTTATTACATTATCCGCCATGTCCAACATTTCTAACATCAGGAAAGCTGGGAATGAAGAGAAAAGGGTACTCTTCGCCAAAAAGGGTGCGCATAGAGAACGAAGAAGGCACAGAGATGCCAACATTGTTATACACAAGAGAAATACGGCGAAATTATCGGCAATTGTCTGCAGCATTAACGGCAAGAAAGACTCAGCAAAGTCTCGGGCGCAACAAAACAAACAACTCGATATAATTAGTCCCAATTGGAGAGAGCCAAAAAAAGATATACCGAAAGGGGAAAAAATTCACAGGTTTTTAAACGGAGGGATGAAAAAGGCACAAAAAAGGTTTCGCGAAGGAGCTGGAAAACGACTGGCAGAACTAAAAGGGGAAATTCGAAGCATGCTGAAGCCAAAATATGAACCAGCGGAGTAGCGACTACGCGCTTACAAAAATGGGGTCTAAGCCTAAGTAGACTTTGCTGCAAACCTAGCACCTATGTTCTGAACATCATGTAGTAAAAAACTATTTGTTGATTGTAAACTTATATCTTGCCAGACAGGGAAACGGAAACCTAAGGAGTTAGGAAAAGGGAGAAAAGACAGCGATCCCATGTATATCGACTCAGTTATATAACAATACGATAAGATACCGTCGAGTTTGAACGGCAGAGTTACATCTTCTAAAATTGAACTCCATAATATCTCTGCCTAAATATCCCAAGTGCATCTGAGTGAAACATACTTAATACCACTAAGGCATATATGCCCAGCCGAATTGGTGACCAAAATACCCCAGGATGAGGAAGTCTCGTCTACGCACGACAAAGCTATACACACAATCGATATTTAACACGTCTAAAATGTGCTCAGGGTATAGCTTTATACCTCAAAAGTTTTGCTGTATGGTCCACAATGTAATTAAAGCGCATGCAGCTTTCCCCTGTCTGTTCAGCTGGTGATTCACTAGGTTTGAACCGTCAACTTGTTAGTAAAGTTTGCAATATTAGTTCAATTGTATATCCATGCCTTATTTTTGTTATACTACTAGCACACGTGCTCTCCTTGTATACTTCCGGCGCTTCGGTTCCGGTAAACTTTGTTGTTTAGCCTCGTTATCCTGCCTGCGCTTTAATCTTGACAACCCATGTCCTTTTGTTTTTGAGTCCAGGTGCGGCATAGTTTGACCGGATTGTTGTTGATCATCATCACAAAGTTCTTGCTGGGCCTCTTCTGGAATTTCCCCTGCTGTTGATGGTGTGATTCCCTGGGTCTTTGAGATCTTTTCGTCGCAGGGATGGCACAGACGGCATCCCGGGGCTCATTTTCTGGAACCTCTCGATCGCTCAAGCTTGTCTTCCATCCATGCCTTTCTTTGAGGTGGTCGTAAATATGTTCTTTGGCAATGCAAACTTCGCATGTACACATAATCCATCCATGTTTGTTCTCAATATGCAGAGAAAATGAAAACCACGAGTTTTGCTTATGGCAGCCATCACAATAATCTTTCTCTTCAAAATGATGGATAACTTCCAGATGGTCCGGGAAGTAATCACCACAACTTTGATGGCATAGACCACAATTGAAATGTTGAAATATATGAATCACAAGCGCATCAGTGTGATTTTGCACCCTGTACAATCTTCTGTCGTATTCTTGGAACCCACCGAGGCAGACGACATCGGCTAAGGCCCATAGCAAACTAAACAATAATACTCGTTGGCCAAGAAAACGAAAGTGGAGCCAACGGGAAGGGGAAAACAGGCTGTGCGCCTTGTGGGCCGGCTCGCTACTATATATAAGAGGTTCGCCCTCTCATTATGACAGGCAATTTCTTTTTCTTTCCATCCAGACATCTATATTTCCACAGGGTTTCATATTCGCCATGCCTTCTTACCACAATTACACGCACCATACTTATATGTGGCGTGATGGAGAAACTGAAACTCACAGAATGGGTGAAATGGAGAGACGAGCGCGATCTCACGCATACCTACATCAAGTTTCAAAGAGCCGTCGAGATCGAACAGTAAAGGAAAGAATGCGTGAGTTATATCTCCATCTAGAACCACTAAACTATGTAACACAGCTAACGGTAGCCAAAGCGAGGAGAGCAAATATAAGACAGCGGCGATCGGTCCATCAGTCCTCTATATCTAATAAATCTAATTGTCAAAAGCCAGAAAGAGTTGCCAACAATACAGACCAGCCGAGCAGTACGGATTTTAGAGGAATTATTAAAAGCACAGTATCGGGCCCTGTCACGCCCGGACAAATTTCCTGCTATATTGATCTCACACTTGGAAAACAAACTTGCAAGTGTGGAAAGGAACTCTCTGCTCAGACCAACTACCGATTGAGAGGAAGTGTGAGTGATGCTATACTGCCGGTGTAATAGAGTGTCTAATTTCTCTAGTATATCTGCTCTGAATGTATTGGCAAAAGCTCAGAAGATGTCAAGGGAGAAATTAAGGTGCAATATCACTGGGACCATTGTCCTATATGTCAGACTAAAAGCAAAGATGACCACACGATGGAATTACTCTTTACGACTTGTGGTAAGTTATATCTAATTGATTAGTAGACTATTTTCTGATGTTTAAAGGGCATACCTGCTGTAAGAGCTGTTTAGCAGACTATCAAAAATGCAAAGATAGGCGTGATTATGAGTGTGGCTTTTGTCATATAACAACGGCGGAGAATGCTCTTGTACTGGCTGTTGAGCGAGCTTGGTGCGGTTATGTATGAATAGTGTTTCTTTTTTTTATCATTAGTAGTTTAGCCGACAATAAATATTTTCTGCGGAAAAAGAAGGTTTAATTAATCAACCTATACTGTACAGTAAACTTCGGTAGACATTTGAGTGCTATGTACTCCGTATGCCCATTGCCCCTCCATCCCACTACCCCTCCATCCCACTACCCCTCCATCCCACTACCCCTCCATCCCACCCCACATCGCAGGCTGTTGTGCTCTTGCGTCCGTTACAGTACATAGTAGTCATTTCTGGATCTTTCAAACTGTAAGTAACATAGGTCTACCTCCGGGGATGGATTCTATGATATAAACCGGAATAGCTTCCTAAGCTTATAACTATTTAAATAAACTAAAATATTTATAAAAATTAATGATTTTTACTAAACTAAGGATTATAGTTTATATTTTAAACTATTTAAATATACTATAGTTTATAGCTAAAGCTTTAGCTGTATATTTAATATAACTGTTAATTAAATTCATAAATAAAAAATATAAAAAAATAAAAAACTTTTTTTTTTAAAAAATAATAAAATTAATATTATTTTTACATTAAATAATTTGTAAAAAAGTAATTTTTAAATATAAATAAATAAATAATATTTTATAAAATAAAAATAAATTTTTAATAAATATATATATATATATATATAATAAAACTAAAATTATATTATTAATTATTAAAATTTATAAATATAATTCTAAAAAAACTTTAATAAATTAAAATATTAATTAAAAAATTATAGATATTTATTTTAAAAATTTTAATAATTTATTTAAAAAAAAAAGTAGAATAGATTGTTGTATTTGCACCACATCCTTTCATCGGTCTTTGCGATGTCTTCGCGGCCTTGCCCGGACCCCTCGCATATTGTCAGGACACCATTTAATGAAAAGCAGTTAGCACGTCCGTGCCAGTCTTTGTTATCAGAGAAGCTGCAAAACTCGTTTATCAATGCGTGCAAGTCATCTTTAGCTTGGAGAAGCGTTACCCTTTTTTTAATGAAGAGATAATATCTTGTTCGGCCATAGTGGTGATGAACTTGTAGATAGATGTTAACTAAAAGCTAACGTACTAGGCAGTGCTACTGTATTTTATAGTAGACACGCAGTAAAAGCCTCGCCTAAAACTATTCTTAAGAACCCCTACCTAGGATATAGCTGCAGGGGACAACTCATCAGTGAGCAGGATATCTACCTACCGAAATCTATCTCTTAAAGGTCAGGCATATGGTTTTCCTATAAAATAACGCAGATGTTGATCGAAGGAGTTGCAGCATTTTGTGCTGGCGCTTGAGAGTCATTACAAAATTGTATTGATTAGGCGCATGAGATCCCTCCAGCGAATTTCCACCTGATTTGGCCGATCCATGCTCCATCTACTGTCACGGCTTTGCGGATTATCAAATGGAAAAAATCTTGTTCGGATTGACGTATGATTCTAGAGACGGCCATTGTGACGATTAGATAAGAAGTCCCGTATAAGCTTTTATTGAGGTTAGAAGTGCTTGACGAGCAGTATTGAGAAACTGCATGGCCGATAAACATTAAGCTTTCCCCATAGCAGCGGGCGAAACCGACACTCCCATTATTAATGTAGCCTTCTAAATTTTAAATTTATGGCAAACTACAGTTTGTTTAACTTATAAAATTAATTTATTGTAATTTTTCTTAGGAATTACCAATAACTAAGTGCTATACAGTTAAATAGCTTCAACTGGCTTAATAACAGGACTAGCAGGAAGTTCTGCGCAATATGATGGAGGTCCGTTATGTAGCTGGCAATAGTAATAAATAACTCTTTCCCCCTGACACTGAGATTGTTGTTGCCTGTGTACGTTTTGCGACTGTGGTCGATGACACTTGGTACAGATATCATCAACAACCATGAAATCATTTTTTAAAATAAAAAAAAGCAAATTGCGTAAGCCAAATTTAGCTATAAATTTCTGGTTGGTATAGGGCTTTAGCCGCGATTTTTTGCAAAGTTGGCAAACATGGCGACAACCCAAAGCCATTGCTTTAATAATAATATAAGTTTAAAGTAACGTCAGAACTGGAAATATGAATTGTCTTGGTTAAATTTTGATTAGTTTTAAATATTAAAGTTTATTATATTTATATTTACCTATTTCATTAAGAGTATACTCAGTGTATGCTAAATTATCTAAATGTTCTTAAGTAGACAATTACACTAAGTGTATACTAAATTATCCAAATGTTCTTAAGTAGGCAATTACACTAAGTATAATAAATATTACTATAAATGAAAATTAAATCGATAATCGAAATAAAAGGAATGCAGTAAGTAACAGCTCGTTTAATATAGTAAAAGCCTATTACGTTTTATATACTTTATTAACTACTGAGTACATATTGTATAATTAAATATTAATTCGACTAATTTTTATTACTCCACGAGGGTCCGTACTAACAAAGGCATTATATGTATCATCGTTAATTTCGTTAGTTTTCTTTAAATAATAGAGATCAATCATTAGATTTTCCTCTGGAAGCGTTTGCTCAATAATTTTAACACACAAGTCTGTTGCTTTCAGGAGGTGATCTTTTAGCCGGTCTGAGGTATCATTTAGACGGCTGTGTAATTTCGTCAATATCGCAGTTTTGTTACACTGCGATTCGTTTGGGGAGACAGATGAAATTGCAAGAAGCAAAACGTATTTGTTGTTACCTTCTAATCCAAAACTTTTTCCAATTTCACATACATCGTTCCAAAATTTACACTCCGTTTTTCTTATTTTCATTTTTCTGATGTTTTCCCCTCCTTTCATTTCTGCTCTAATAGCATTATTGCTCCGCAACGCCTCCATTTTATTGTAGAATAATACTGAATTGTATCTCCGATGGAATTTGCTCCCAAAATTGTCTTCTTTAAATGAGTGCCAAAGAATTGCAAGGCTGGTGTTTTTGGAACATTTGCTGAGACGGCATGCTAAAGATGCTTTGTTCAAGAGAGTCAAAATTCCTTCCATTGTGTTAAATAACTTATCATTATCAGGTAGTTGTGAACTTGGCTGGATAGAAAAGCTAAATTTGGATGTCGCAGGAGTGCTTTGAATTGTAGTTAAAGTGCCAGAATTGATTATATAGTTTGTTGACTCTTTTTCACTTGGGGTAGAGCTGTTTATAGGCATTAGAATATTAGAGTGATTTTGTAATCCGTTAGGTTCTGGTAAATTTTCTCTCTGAACCCTTTCCTCGCTGGTTAATCTAGGGATAGAATTGCGTATAGAGGTTGTAAGCCCTTCCCCATTTGGTAATAAAATATTCTGAGATTCATCATATGTTATAGCCCTAAAGTCCTCTGCTGGCACCAAGGAGGTATTTTCTATAGTCAAGGATTTTTGATGTCTAGAATTTACTATAGGAGTAGAACTGTCTGTAAGCATTACCGAATTTGCCCAATTTATATAACTTTGCAATGTGCTAGGCACTGGTATGTTTTCTCTTTGACAAATCTCCCAAAACGCTTCCGGGCTGGGGTCTAATTGGTCGCAAAGTAATTCAACCAGTATACGCGTACGAAAACACGATAATACTTCTCCTATGGCTGCTTTCTGGCTAATATGTGGGATGCCTTCTAAGATCCGGCGAATACCAAGTAGCATATAGATTCCAGAGTCATTTTCTCTTTCAGACTTTGATCCTGTCCGGGTATGTCGCACAGGCCTTAAGTTATTATCGGAGACTTTCAGCGTAGGGGTATCATTTCCACTAATATAATAATGAATGCAATCAGAATATGCAACAATAAAAGCCCAGTCATTTCTTTCATTGGCTAATACTTGTAATGGTATTATTGTAGGTCGATCAAGGCCCTCATCGCCGATACTATAGGTGCCTTCCTTAACACTATAAATATCCAATACCTCTATACTAAGAGATTTTTGCTGAAGAAGACTCAGGTATTTTTGCACTACTCTGGGATGTACTGGGCTATCATTTCTTAATTTAGAATGCCAGAAAGCTTCAAAAGCTGTAAGTTGATGTCTCTTTTGGGAGTCTTCAAGATACTCTCTCCAGTGTTCATGAATAATGCTTAGCATAGGGTAATCATATATAATATTCTCATCAGATGGATACAGAGAATTGCTATCCTCTGTAACCGTAAAATTAGGGTATCGCCGCTGAATCACTCTTAAAGCAGTGACAGCTAAGGTAAGAGAGTCAAAAGAAAGTGGCGAGATAGATAACTCTTTAAATCGTTTGTAATCCATAATTAATTGGTTATTAACTGACATACTACTGTATTTTAAAAGAGCTTTAACAATATATATATATGTATATAACAGCTTAGGCTATCAGTTAACTATTGTCCAATAGTTCAAAAGTCTACAATTGTGTATAGTAGTATTATAGAGCTTACCTTTTTTTATGTATAGATCAGCCCTGTATGAAAGCCTGAATTTTAGGAGCATACAGCTGAGAAACATAAGTAGGTATTATGTACAGTACAGTATCGCAATGGAAAATTACAACGAAAGAGAGTTTATTACTACTGGTAGAAGGCGTTCAAACGCATTCCAATCTACTCTAACTCTTCAACTCCCAAAATCACAATCTTTCGAATACACTTATGGAGAAATGGTGGAAGCATGGGTTGCTGAGATGTCACCTGTTAACCCTACTGTTCCAGAAAAAAAGGTTAACGGTGAGGATAAGAAAGGAAGCCAGTTTCAGTTAATTATATTTAGTTCAAATATATATAATCTCGTTGAAACAAAAGAATAAATACACCCAGAAGATCTCATTTTATAGAACAGGCAATTAATACATTTACCTTTTGTGAGTTCAAGTGGCTTTGTGTAGTAACAACGATCTTATTGATGCAGAATCTAATTTAATTCTTTGTTTAACACCACGCCGCATCTCTCTGCTATGTTGCGTCTCTCCGCAATGTTGCGTCTCTCCGTCATGCTGCATCTATTCACTACTGTAGATGGGTTTCAGTCACCAAGCAGCGTGATCTATAGCATTCATTAGACTAGAGCGCTGGTGAGCAATCACGCTGAGTTCGTCTCCCGCCTAGTTGCTACAGGAGAATCTGATAAAAGCGCCTTCGCGTATTGTTCACAGGTCTAAACAAGTTAGCACGTGTATTATGTGCTATAACCCAAAATCTAACGGCAAAGAATGGGAGAAGGGCTGCTATACCTGTTCTGACATTCCCATCTTCTGAGCAATCACCTTCCACTTGTCTCTTTCGTATTCTATAATTGCACCCTGCAGGCGGGTGATCTTCAATAGGCCAGACCAATTAATGGGTGATCAACGTTGACAGTAATAGGCTACTTACATCGTCCTCGGTAAATTTCTCTCTGGCAAGCCGTTTCTCTTTCAGCATCGCGCCTGTATATGGACCCCACCCCGTGCGCTTCATCTTAAACATCTTTGGTCTCAATTCTCTTCTGAGCGATGTAATTTCTGAGGTTGACTAGTTTATTCACTGAAAGACAGGAGTGGGAGGGGTTGAAAAGGCAATGGAAAATCTAAGGATAGTTTATGGTGGCGAGAATACAACTCCTATTTACTCCGTATTTAAAAGAAAAATGGAAGGAAGGGGTACTCTATCCAGTACTTTGTGGGACCTTTTGTTCATCACTGCACTATCCTACTTTACACCGCTATTTTATTCGCACGCAGTAATCAATAAGGCGGGATGTATCAAGAGACTAGACGCAGTCCCACTTTTAAAAACTTACTACATGAAAAGCGTGGCGTAGAAGCATTTACGACCGCTCCAAAAAGTTCCATCCCACGTCCTCATCGGCTAGTGCGAGGAGAAGATGGAGCTCTTTTTCGCCCTTTAGAGCGTCGTGCAATGCTAGATACTTACAGAGATAGCTGTACTGTATACATTTTGTTAAAGCACTTATTTAGACTGCTTATTATGACGTTCATTAATACCACTGCTGCCGTCATTCTTGGGCTAGCTGCCGTCACTAACTGTCATATGGAGATGAAGAGTCCTCCTCCTTTCCGCTCAAAGTTTAATCCCTATGCTGGATCTGACATTGATTTTTCTATGACCTCCCCGCTCTCAGTATTTGGTTCAGACTACCCATGTAAAGGCTACCAGAACCTTCTCGGTGGTCCCGAGGGAAAAGCTGTTGTCACTTGGGCTTCCGGGAGCTCTTACAACTTCACTATCACTAGTTCTACTGCTAATCATGGAGGGGGAAGCTGCCAGGCGTCACTTTCATACGATAATGGTCATTCCTGGAAGGTTATCCATTCGTATATAGGAGGATGCCCTCCTCCGTATGACTCCAGCTGGAGCTTTACGGTACCTAAAAATGCACCCGCTGGCGACGCCATGTTTGCCTGGACATGGTTTAATAACATTGGTAACCGTGAAATGTACATGAACTGTGCTGCTGTCACTATCGTAAATGGCAAGAAACGTTCGTCTTTTGCATCGTTCACCACTCTTCCAGACGCTTTTGTTGCTAACATTGGCAACGATATCTGTACCTACCCGGGCAAAGATGTCGAATTCCCCCACCCCGGCATGGAGGTTGAGCGTAACAGTCAGGGTACTTCGCCTCCTGGACAAGGCGATTGCTCCGGATCACATCCTGCTCCGCCTCCAGTAGTTGACCCGTAAGTAAATTTTGCAATATCTTGCTTCAGAGTCAGTGGTACTAATACAATTGTGCAAGAGCCGGCTCGCAAACTCCCACTTCACAAGTCGTGACTCCCCAGCTTTCGGCTACGCCTAGTAGGGGCGATAATTCTATCACAAGCATCGGTCAGCCCTCCGCCGTTCCTACATCCCAGCAACAGCAACAGAAGCCGTCTGCGCCTGTGCTTCCCTATTCATCATCTTCAACTGCTCCACAGCCTCTAGTTAGTAACTGCAGTAGTGGGTCTTGCCCATCTAAAGATTCTACCACCAGTTTGAAGGCTGTGGGATCAACTTGTGTGGATGAGGGGCAGTGGAACTGCGCACCTGGTGGCGAGTATGTCCAGAGGTGCGCTTCTGGAATGTGGTCTGCTTTAATACCTATGGCGGCCGGAACTTCATGCCAGCTGGGATCAAGTAACTCTTTCACCATAATCAACCAATTGAAGGAGAATAGGCAAAATTAAACCAACACGACTATTACATGTTCTTGCGATATCTTTTACTCCTTGAATTCACCTTTGAGCAACTCCACTTTAGGGAGCTGGGGCGTTGAGAGGCTCGATGAAAGGTTCTGTATCTTAGTAATTATAGCTTAACTTAAAAATAGAAAGGTTTTGCAGATTAACAGAACACTAGCTTAACTGTTTAAAATTAAGCCTCAATGTCGTACTATCTAAGCTAAAGCGAAACACTTCTATGGTAAATTAATGATAACGTAAAAGAGATGGGCTACTTAAAGTATATGAGGTGATATCTTCATTTTAAAACTAGGAATTTTCCTTTACTTTCTCTTACCTATTTGTAGCTATGTTGCTTAAAACCGATGTTTCTGTGAAGGAGTCGGCCCTTAGGGCTAAAGCTATAGCTGTAGCTTCTATTCCTCCAGCGGGGTTACCGCTAGCCAATTGCGCTACGAACGGCAAAAGGATACGAATTGAACTTGCTGACCGGGCAAGTTCAACCAGCTATATAAGGCCTGTAGAGCTTATAGGGAGTGGGCAAAGCCCAATCCGTAACAGTTTCCTCTTTGAGTAGGTAGGGCAGCTATATAAATAGAATATTAACACTAATTATGAATAAAAATAGAAAAAATAAATTTATCTCTGTTAAGATCCGGTCAATTGTAACAGCAATCCTATATAAGCAGCTAGTTAGTTACAATAATTGCTTGTAATAGGATACTGCTGATAACAGCCAGTTAGGTGGGTAATAGTATATTAGTGTACTAAAGCTTAAGGAGCTAAGTAATTGTGTCCAAAGGAGAGTTTATAAGGAAAACCTGGCGAAGCCCTGCCGATCACGTGGCCTAACCTTTGCTATCGATAGGCAAAGTGCTGAGGTCATCAGTGCGGCAAAACCTCGTTACATTGCTACACTTGGTAGCCAAAAGTCTGCGAACACGAGGTTTTTTTACTACGCAATTACACCAAAAAAATCACCACATTTTAAATTCAAATAAAAAATTACACAAATTTAATTATACTATAGACTTTTAATATATTATACATAAATAAGCTATTACATTTTATATTTATATATATATAATATTTTTTTATTTCATATTTTACGAAAATGTAAAGCTTTATGAAAGAGCAAAATTATATAATATAAAATAATAACTATTTATTAATATGTATATTTAAAAAAAAAATTATAATTTTAATAACTGAATCAGTAAAGTTATACTTTAAATTAATAAAGTAGAATTTTAGTGTATGTAGTAACGTGATGCGCTGTAATGCGTTCGCAGACTTTTGGCCACTTTTGTACAATTGCAATTAGGGGCCTAATCCTTTGCCCTGTTGGCGCTAGGGTATAACGGAACGCAATAATCTTGTCATAATTATATATAAAGAGAATTATATATTTATTTTTATTTTATATTCACTAAATATATACTGTATTATAAATTATACTTAATACAAGCTTTTATAATTTTAATTGGTTATATAAAAGATATCATCTAGTGTACATACTGAGGGGCTCGTCGTCGCTTTTTCGTCCCCACTGTAAATATAATATCTAAAAGCCAAAAATGACCGAAAAGGGACAAAATAACATAATCCAAACAGTGGGACTGGCGCAGCTTCTTTTAGCCTTTAGAAGCCACAAGTAGTTATGTATTGTTACGTTCTTTTGCGACACCCATTTCGCCGTTTACCGTACCATAATTGTACACATACAGTATTAAACAACATGTTTACTCTAGATTTGATGCAGAGCTAGTGTTCGTGCAGCCCCTGAATCTTCCAGTTATGTCTATTCTAGATTTCACGATAGTAAATCGTCGCCTCGAAGAGGAACGGCGTAAACAGTACCGTGGAACTGCAAGCGTATGCTTAACATCTCTGCAATATCAAGAAAAAAACCCTCAAGCAATGAAAACAATATTTCTCCAGGAACGTGGCTGCCGTAAAGAAGATCATCGCCACCATGTCAGGGCGATCATTAGTCAGCAGGATCTAGAAGCAGCAATGCTTAGCTCCTCGATTTCGAGAGAAATGCTTATGGCTGATACCCTGCCGTATCCAAGGCTAGAATTTCCCCCTGGATTCAAGATAGAATGTATCGAGGGTCATGACCGACTTGCTGCAGCTAACGAGGTACTGCAAGGCTCGAAAAAGAGATGGATAGTAGACCTTTATCTCGATAGTAAGTCGCGCCCAGTAAAATCGCAACCCTTGCTCATTTGGTGTAGATTTAAGTAATGATCTACGAATGCTGTTGGCAGATGGTTATGATTACAAAAAAATACCCGACGACGGAGAAATTTATACAAAAATTCGACAGTTTCAGGGACTTCATGGCGATATAAATCCGTTTTTCGAAAACTTATGGCTGGCTCGGCTGGCAGCAAACGCAAACAAATGGAGAGTGTATAACCAGCTCACAAAGCATAAAAAGTTTAGCGCAGCATTCGATAAGCTTCTTGATATCCCGGGATTATTTGGAGGCTTTCGGCTGAGTGTTATACATCAATTGCTAGGCATGAAGTGTGACGAGGTATTGAATCCGCAACCGATTTGACATTGACATTATTGCTGAGATCTTGTAGCCAAATCTCGCCTACTTGAACCATATCTATAGATGGTGGAGTGACATCTTTGAGGGTGATAAGGCAGCTATGCAACAGGTCACGCGAGACACAGTTGCCGCTCTCCAAGGCATGGCCCCTGGTGCTTGTTCCACAGATCACGAAACACTGCTAGGAAAGATGAAGAGCGGACGGATTTTCGAGAATTTTCATGATCAGCAGCGCGAAGAGTTGTGGGAGAGAGTTTGCAGTACATCAAGATTCTGTTTAATTCCTTCATTATTCACATTTTTTGAAGATCGAAAATTCCTCAGCGATGCCGCCGGAGCCGTAAGAAAAGTGCTTCACCTGAGCCGAAAAGATACGATAGCCGGCTGCCTCGAAGAGATCTTCAGTGATCACAATCAAGAAAAAGACAAGTGTATCATCCAGGTTTCTGAGACAACATTTGCATATATTGTAGGTGACAGCGATACTCGGCTGGATCTTGGAATTCGACAAATCTGGCTAGCAGCTTTTCGTAACTGCAGAGAGATGCCAGCCGAAACACAAAAGGAAGATGTTTTAGCACTATCACGAACTAAGACTGATGAATTTGCCTTGTATGAGCTCGCCTCCCTTGCTTCGCGGCTTGGATTCGAGTCAGATAAGCTCAACGAGCTCTCACGCAAATCTATCGACCAAGAGATTGCTGCAACTGCACTACTAAATGCTCGTAAGCCCGGACGATATGAGTTTCATAATCGAAATGAATGCATACAGCAAATGGTGAGCATTTTTGAAAGCGCTGTGCCAGTGTCTGTCGATGAAATAGTAGGTACAGCACTGAAAACAATTCGAGAAAACAACCAACCTCCCAATCGATACGGACGGCCGACTAATGCCGATTATGAATATGACAAGACTCGACTTTTTTTACCGCACATGCGCGATGGTGTTAACGTCGAGATGGGTGAAATGACATCGACGTTTATACGGTGGTCCGTTTACTCTGCCTATTTTGGCCCTCCCCCCTCCCTGGGAACCATTCGCACAGAAGATGATTCAGCAATGTTGGGTGTCGAATTTGGCCAATCTCAGGAGTCAAAGATCCCACAAGCAGGTATCTGGTCTATGCTAAAAAGCAAAGAGGAGTCAACTTTTGAAATAACAGGTCAAGAGCTTGCTTCATATTATACGACCCACAATGTTCATGATTTGGAAATGAAACTTGAACAATTGAAGAAAAATTTGGAGACAGAAGACCAAAGGCTTAAAGAAGTCGTTAATGAGATTGCAAAAAATGATTCGTTACTCAATGAACAGAAGCAGGCCATAGGGAATGAACAGGCGCGCCTTATTGAATTGCAGGAGAAGTCGGCTGTGAAACAGAAAGAGCTCGACGAGAAAGAGAAATTTTTAATAAAACAGCAGAGCAAGGCTGCAAAAATGAATGCTGACTTCCATGTTTCGAAAGGCGTTCGAGGCAAAAAAAATAGAGCACTTCTGAATCAGGCCAACCATGAACTACAAGAAAAATCTGCAAATCGAAAGAGGCTAGCAGAAGGAGATACTATTTCGGCTGATAAGCAAATACAAGTCGGAGAATTAAAACTTCAGGAAAGTCTCGAACTAGCGTGGAAGATTGAATCCGAAGGGTGGGAGAGTAAATTTGAAGCTGAAAAAGCTGCGGCTAAACAAGAATGGATGATTAAATTCGAAGCAGAAAAAAATGACCTTGAGCAAACCATGAACAATGAACATCAAAGTAAATTGGCTGACCTACAAGCAGAAAAGTTAAGATTGGAACAAGAGTTAGCAAATGCAAAAGAATATAATAAGTCATTGATTCAAGCTGATGTAGAAAAGATTAATCAGCTGCAAAATTCAATTAAAACAACAGAGGAAATATTAAAAATTAAAGATTTAGAGCTGAAAAACTTACGGCAAGATGTAAATTTAACTTCAAGTCAACTCAAAGAAAACAACGCGAAAAAAGAACAAGACGATAAAGAGTTTAACCAGATTAAACGAGAGATTGAAAATAAAAGGGAAGAATTAAAAAAAGTGAAGAGAGAAAAAGAAGAAAAAAATGAAGAGCTTAAGCAGATTGAACAAGACATTGAAAATAAAAGGGCAGAATTAAATAAAGTGGAAAAAGAAAAAGAAAAAAAGGATGAAGAGCTTGAGCGAATACAAAAGGAGGTTGAAGAGAAAAGGCAAAACCTAGAGGGGCAGGAACCTCTAGGCGAAAGGATAAGTGCAGAAGAAGAGGCTAGAGAAAAACGGAGGAAGCGACGTAGGCTTCAAGATGAGCATATGCCATCTACACCTGAAAGCCGGGGAGAGATACCAAAGACTCCCGGCCGGGAAACGCCCTGAGCATAGACTTGGAACAGGATTCGAGCACCAAAGACAGCTACCTAGCCCGCTCCATTGTCATGACCATTGGAGATGAAGACATAGGCAACGCGGACTCCTCCACTGAAGAATATTTTCCGAAGATACTTAAAATCTCCTAACTGTGGTAGGATACTTAATAGATATACCGAATTAGTGCAAAGGTTTTCAAACGGAAAAGGATTCTGATACAGCGTTATTGAAATGTGAATGCGTTGGACATAACCAGCTCAGAACTACGTATAACTAGTTAACCTAAAGCGTTCTAAGAGACAAATCTCTGATTCTAGGTTTATATTGGTAGATGGTTAGGTCAGTATTGATAATGTAATTACTACGTAGTAAAGTAGTATCTGAATCCAATCTGATTGATATGTCAATAACCAGCTCTCTAAGCTGTCACCAGACACAGCTTTGAAAGAATAATTCACTGTTACAAGAGTTAGTAGACGTATAACCCATTTTGTGCATTACACATTACCCGAAAATTGCCTTTTCGCCCTTCATCCTTACACTCAATTATTTAATCTCCCACCTGAGTGAATTACACCTTTCCCTTCCAGTTGTTCCTCCCTTAGTCTAACCTTTTCTTGGATTATATAAAATTCCCCTTCAAGCTCCCTTATTTCTTTATCAACTTTACTCTCTCTTCATTTACAAACAATGCATTTATTGTAAACATACATCAGGTAGCGGAAAGCTTTCATTCCTCCATGCCAGCGGTAGCTCTGAGCTACCATGAAAGACATGCGCCTCCGCTGATAAAATATCCCATGGGTATATGTACACCCCAACCCCTCTGTGAAGATCTTCGCGGTCTTGGGAAGGGTTCTTAGGTCGATAGGTCACCTCCCAGGCTGGAGGAGAATTAAGCTGCTCATCCTCCACAATCTTGTAATAGAGCTGAACCACTCTTGCCCCAACATTAGGGTAGTATGGCTTTGATATAGTACGTACCAGCCAAAATAACCGCTAAAGTAGAAAGCTTACCTTATTGGGGGCATTTAGCGGTATCGGAATGTTGCAGATACCACATAAAACTTCAGACTGTAACGCCTCCATTATACCAGTGGACTTCAAACAATATGCAGTTCTCTTGCAACTAATTAAAGATAAAAGCAAGAGTCAAAGTAAGGCTCAATGGTATATCTGGGATCTTACAGAGCATATTTCTTCACTTAAAAACTCTTATTTTAATTTTATTTCATCTGGAGACGACCTCAACCTATATAATTTCGAACGTTACAGACATACTATTCTTAAATTTACTAAACCACTTATTATCTTTCTGATAAAAAAAGAAAGTCTACCTTCTCACTGTAATACTTCCACTGCTATGATAGAGCCTTCTAACGCCTTTAAATAGCAAAGAGAAATACTTATGCAATATTACAACTTTTTTTATAGAAGGAAAAGCTCGCCCATCTCTCAACAGCTGCCGACTTCGGGGCTTAATATCTAATCTATCATAAAAGCCTTCGGAGACAGATAAAAAAGTATTTAACCCTTAAGGACATAACCAGGATATATACTGACAATTTAATCTTATCAGAGTAAAATGCACTAGATTCAATTACTATCGTTGCTTTCCCCCTACCGCTGGTAATAATTTAATAGCCAATCGGCGAAAAAAACATCGCAAAAAGCATTCATCTACTTCACACGCAGCTCTAATACGCAGTGCTGCTAATACATCATCTAATGCAGATACAAGGCAAACCGTCAGGGAATGTATCAAAGAATTCTTTAGTCATAGGAACGGACTCAGCTCAAATAATTAATATAATTATACAAAAAGGTTTTATTACCTGTGTTTGGTATCTTCAAATATTGTATAGTAAAAAAGAAACATACTTTCTCACTCAATCTAAGATTTTTCGTCTTCCCCCGCTATTCCACCAAATCGCCCAGGTGTAAAGCATATTTCTTCATAGAGTTTTTCTACCTCTGCACAGATTCTTCCCATCTCCCAGTATTACTAATTTCTCCAGCTATCCTCTCGTAAAATGTAGACTTTAATCGGAGAAGACAATAATTGTATAGTCCATAGCTCTCCAACTCTCGCGCTCCTTCCCCTTACTTATCGGATACTGTATATCCTAAATTAAAAAAAAAAAAAAAAAATGCGTCTTATTTATTAGTTAGACTGTTATTGGCCTATATAAATCACAGCTCATTCGTTGCCTCTTACATTCCCTTCCGGAATCTTCATCCAGGCTTCTCTTTCGTTCTCGGAAAAGGTACTGATTTCATACATATAGTATTAATACATCTAGGCTTCGTTCCGATGGTGCGTTAGTTGTCTGGGTACTACCTTCTTCATCCTCTTCCCCTATTAATACATTATCTATGTAGATTTTACTCTCCGAACTTTCATCCTTATCTTTAACACAGATTACTCCGTCAACACTTTCGTTTTCTTTATTAACGCTAAATATAAGCGTCTAACTCTCCTAATTTCGCACTAAAAAGCTTACTTTCTAATAATAGTTCAGTTACCTACATATTATTATACTTACCGCTATATTTCTGTTACGACCCGTTCCATCGTAACAGTTAGATCCCTTATAAGCAGCTGGTTCCGTTACAATAATTGCTACAATTGCGATTATTGGCCTAATCTTTTGCCCTGTTGGCGCTACGGTATAACGGAACGTAACAATTTCTCTTTATCTTCCTCCTTAATAAAACTAGGCAGTGGGAATATAGGAATTTCTTTATTAAAAACTTTTTTTTTTAAGTAATACTTTAGTAATAGTATTATCTTCTGCTTTTATATAGCAGTAATTAACGCTTAATTCCTACTTTTTTTTAAATACTTAATAAAAATAATAATTAATATAGCCCTTTTACTTTAAGATTAAAAGCCTATATTTTAACAGCGTTTTAGAATTATTTTTTTTTAAAAATAATATTATTTTTCTAATTTTTTATAACTTCCTATAGTTTTAAAAAATATTAATATTACTTTTATATTATTAACGTTAAGATTTAAGTTATATTTATTTTAATAAGTTATTTATAAGTATAAAGCTTTCCTTAAAAGTATATTTTAGGGTATAGTAGAATTTCCGAAGGCCTTTAATAAATAGCTTTTTTTTTTTTTTCTTTTTTTTTTTTTTTTTTTTAAATATATTAATAATACTAAAACATTCTATTAGCTTTAAATAAGATTGGAGAAGCGAGTGACTGGAAACTAGGCAGCTGAATAATTCTAAGGGCATGGTCGTTATCCTGGCAGGGCTGGGTGCAGCGGCGTAGTCTGGAGAAGCCAGTGACTGGAAACTGAGCGGCTGAATAATTCTAAGGGCATGGTCATTATCCTGGCAGGGCTGGGTGCAGCGGCGTAGTCTAGGAGAGACAATACCAGCGACGGGAAGCTGCGCGGCGGTCACTCTCTCGGTAAGACTAATTAAAGAACTAACTTGAAGCGTTATGCGGAATGCTATGGACTTCTTCGATTTCTCGCCAAAAAATGTATCCTGGAGCAGACTAGATCTATACTAGACAAACATTAATCCTCTAACTCTAAGACTGTCCAACTGTAAGGATATTCTCCTTGAACCATGGTAAATATGTGTCTCTCCCCCAAGCTGTTAACTCTCGAACTCCAGCAATAACGGAGTAGATCTTCATCAAGCTCTTGGTTTCTCCAAACAGCCACTCTGACCGGAACGTAGTCTTTCCACCCTCGTATGTAGAAATCACGAAATACCATTGATGTCCGTTGATATAAATTCCCGGGATGAATCCAAGCTTCGATAATACTTGAAGTGTTTCTGCCTTGAAACCATCTGTCGGTACTTCAAGGCCTTGGGCCATGCGCTGATCAAGAAGCTTCTGCCTAACACCCGTATAAAGAAAGGCCCATTGCGAAGCATGCCAGACGCCCATTTGTAACTGCGCCTTCTCTCTAGCTTCCCCTCCACTTGGTTGCTTGGTCTCGATAGTTACTACAACGGGGCGAAGTTGGAGTGCAAAATATTCAGTGGGGTTAACAGACTTAGTAGGCGTAGTACTGCTGAAAGCTTTCATGGCTGTCACCAACTCTGGATATTGGTCAAGTGCGGCGTAAATGCAGATATCAATCAGCTTAGCCGAAGCCAAAACCGGTCTGAAATCCTTATGTGGCCGGGCTGTAGTACTGTAATAAGGAGAATTAGCTAAATGCTTATTATGAATAAGAGGTAAGAATTATCTCACCAGATGATGGCATTAAAATCGTCGCATTGTTTACCAAGATCGTCATTAAATATAAATCGAGCCAAGGAATGATGAACCGTAGCATTCCAACTGGCCTCTTCATGTTTACACTTTTCACACTCAGTAGCCATTGCTAGGATGTGTTTAACCTGGGCAACAGATGGAATCCGGCCGGGTAAATTATCATCGCCAGGCTTAAAGCAATACTTCCATCGACTGCCTTCAAAGCTTTCTGGTGTGAGCTCTTGGTCGTCAAAGATGGTCTGTTTTAAGGCATCTGGTATAATGCCAAGACCTCGTTCGATTTCCGACATGGTATTAAACAACATTTTCGCGGCCTCAGGCAGCTCTGAATCTTCATCTAGCGTTTCATATTCAATGCCTGTGTCGACTAGTCGCAAGCTCATAATCTGTGCTTTTGCTGATAATTGTCTTGAGCTGGCCTCAGAGGCCGAGAATGAAGCTGAAGAACTTGGAATGCTGAGAGATCCCTGCCGGCGAGGCGTCGCATCGGGATCAAATGATCCAAGCCGACGTCTTTTCTGGGGCGTTGAATCCATGTTATAATCGTCGTCACCCTCTTTATAACTAAGCGGAGGACTGGCGAGACTATAGCTTGATCTAGCTTTGCGTTTTCTTGCGGCGTTAGGAGCTGCTGGCTTGGGAAGGCTGGGAGGCGCTATCTTGGGACGAGATGAAGAATCGGACGTTGGCTCAAGACGATTAATCCATTCTTGGACGTATTCTTGGATGTATTCTTGTTCCATAGCGACGTGGCCGAATAAAATAAGGCAAAGGAGCGGGAGATATGTATGTCTTAAATAGTTGGTGTGATAGCTGCAGGTAATGTTGACGCGATGGGATACTTGCTATTACTTCTTCAGAATGGATGTGTATTTAGAGTAGGAGAGTGACAGCCCCGCAATTTTTGGTGTCGGCTAGCCCAATGGCCTTAATAAGCATGCACCTTCAACACGTCCCAGACACGTACACTAAACCGCGTTCACAAAGAGGGGAATAAACGCGCCAGAGCCACGTCCGCGCGTACTCCAACAGGATAAATTTCGGGTAAGAGGAAAGCCGCAGTTGCAATCCGACCGCCAGCCTCGAAGCGCCTGGAAAGGCGCCTGGTGTTTAAAATAAGTCCTAGGCCATTTATTATAAATTTACTGCTCTACGAAGCGTAGTTACAGATCATCATCGGACACAGCGGTTTCTCATTAAGCTTCACTTATACAGTTCTTACTATTTACTTACCTTATATAATTAACAAAGACACTAATTATATAGAATACACTTAGCAAATCATACTATAGTTTATGGCGAGTGAGGTAGCAACGCAAGTCGGTCTGCTCTGGAGGCCATCAGGCAACTACAGTAATTAGTTAGGTAGCATTTATCATAGCCTCATTCTGGAGGGAGGGGTGAACCTAATGGCTTAATAAAGGATAAAAGGCGTGGGCGATGAGCACATCACCGATCCCGGAACTTTGGCGGGTGCACGTTGTATGGATAGGAAAACGGTAGCGCTGGCTCCGTTTTAATTGTGGGTAGAGGAATAAACGGTTATAAACATCCTAAGCGCGGGGTTGTTTAACCGCCAAAAACGGAATTCTGTAACTCCAGAATTGGAGTCTTGGGATGCAAAAAATGGAAGACATTGCACTCAAGAGAAGTGCTTGACGGGGTTTTTCCCCTTTATATCGGCTTGCTGATAAAATTTCGTATCTTTCCTTTATCACGAGAAACGTAGCGAACGGGGGTCGACACCTCCGGCTATTGGTTGATAAGCTTGCTGTCTAGCTAGGCCGGTCTCGAAGGAACAAGACCACGTGGAGGTGATTAAGACGGAAACTGGCTCCTACCGACCTATTGCCTAATCGTGGGACGTGTGTATTTAGCTAGCTAGATACTTATGGTCGTTAATATTAAAACAAACAAACAAACAAACAAACATATAGTCTGGGTGTACCCATCTTTAGCTATACTTCCGTCTTTTAGCCGATGGACCGCCCTGTAGCTTTCGGTGAATAGTTGCGGCAGCCACCCGTGCCTTACTTTTCGGCTCAAGCATTTTATAGACCAGATCTTGAACATTGTGACCACGATCCAATGAGTTCCTCTTTTTATCAATAAGCCGTAATTGCCTCTCTAGCTCCTGATATATATTACTATTCGGTCGGTGGAAGTCATCCACATCATCAACCTTGGGATTAGTTGGTATATACCGGCCCACTATCCAAAGGATTGTAACCCCCAGAGCCCAAACATCGCCGCGAAATCCGCGAGTTTTTCCTGGTTCAATGGTTTCAGGTGGAAGATAACCAAATGTTCCACCGTGTCCGCCGCCGTATTTGGGTTTTTGATGGTCACCCAGATCAAAATCGAATAGTATAGCGCCGCGTTCACGAGAAAAGGCAATATTTGCTGGCTTAACGTCGTAGTGGATTACTTTCTGCTTTGATAAGTATGCAAGAGCAGATGAAATACCATTGAGGATAGTCTCTGCGTCAGCCCAGGTGGGCTTTAATTCGTCATTGTTGTCAAGCGATCGGGGGAGGTGCTCTAGATATAATGTGAGAACTCGGGGGTCAGCGTCCTCAAGTGATACAATATTTGGCTATTTGTGTTAGCAGAAGACTTGAATATTGATAGACCACTTCCTTACATGGCATAATTGTTTCAGAAGTTCCATCTCCCGTCTCATTCGTTCATAAGTACAACGTTTATTATCAACACGAAAGACTTTGGCAACCAGCTTGATTCCCGGCAGTCTAGAATGTTGACAAGAAAAGACATTCGTATTTTTTGGAAAAACAGTTGTCGTAGATAAATCAGGTGAACCAGCGATCCGCGTTAATTCATATGTCTTTTCATCGTCACACAAATCTGTAATGCGAGCCGTCTCTCCATCAGCAAAATCTAAAATGGAGGTCCTGGTTTCTTGAGCCTCTGGAGGGCCTCCAGAGAACAAGTCTGAACCCCGAACATTGAAAATCCTATTCGTTGAGATGCTGAAGCTTCTCTTCCGAACTAAAATGTCAAATATGGGATAGCGGTAGCTTGTTGTCCCATGTTGTATTGAGATTCTCCATGCACCAGAACATATAAGTGTCCGTTTTTCACAACGAACCCTTCGCCTTTCTGGTGGTTCTTTAGAAGACATTAAGTATATACTTAACCCTGAGCGATTGTATATGTGGCAGCCATCACTGGCCGGATCATATATAATGTCGCACCAAAATCCAAATGGCACCTCACGATCGAATCGGAAATTCGTTTTAACCGTAAAATTGACAGTATCTTGGACGACACCAAACATGTGCTCTTGTGAAGGATAACGAATACTTGTATTCAGAGTTTTTAGATCCTCACTGCCAATATAGGGAGACTTGATGACGAGTCGAACTTCTGGCATTTCGCTCGATGCTTTAGTAAGGGCATTTTCATTCAATTCTTCGTCGACTGCTTCGACAACGCGGGCTTTGATCCCTTTCCAGGCGGGGGAGCGTTTTGCTTCTGGAGCTTTGCAGATGCGTTTGTTCGACTTTTTAGAGTGCTGGTCATTGTCCTCTAGACGAAAATTCCGCCCAGCTTTTGTTTCAGCAAAAGAGAAAATAGATTGTGCCAATTGGGTAAGCAAAGCTGTTTCCTCAGTTTCCTCCAGCTCCCTTAGCCATTTTTCAATGGATAGGCGAATTTTTGCTATGTGAAAAGGCGAAATGCCTTGTAACCAGCGGATGATTGAAGGTGCTTCCTGCAGCCAACCTTGAACCGGCCCCTTTGGAATTGTATCCAACGACTGAATTATCGTTGATTGACTGGAAAAATCAGACTGCGATGAGGAAGCCGGCTCTTCGGTTTTGCGTTGTAGGGATTGGCTTTCCATGACGTTGGTAGGCGGTATATTAGTCTGTACCAGAAAAAAATTATAGGATAATATGCCCTGTCTACTTACTTTGCCAGAGAGAGGTAGGCTAAATATATACCTAATACACGCAAGTCCCCCTGCATTTTAGCAAAGCGGTGAGCTTGTGATTTTCACACTGTATCACATCTTTTATCGCGTTCTTTGTCGCGTCTTGTATCTATTTTCGCAAATTACCAACTGACAGACCCTGCCCTGTCAAAACTGATTGACGTAGATCCTGAACGCATTACAGTCGATCTAGTAAAAACTCAGCTTACTCTCCGCGAATACGCTGCCCTTCGCGACAGGGTCGCGCAACGTGAGGTGACAGATTCCACTGAGCAGCAGCTCAAGGACCTGACGCGGCAACTCAGAGAATTGTGTGATGGTATGTAATATTTTTCAACAATAAGCGCGGAGTACTTTTGCCGGATCTCATATTAGATGAAGAAATGTATGCATTGTTATTTAAAACTATAGTCACAAGCAATATAAAAATATGTCATTCTATACCTCTTCTTCAATTGTACGGCATTCTGCCTCTTGAACTACGCCGCTGCACCCAGCCCTGCCGGGATAACGACCATGCTCTTGAGAAGCGCTCAACAGCACTGAGACCCAGGCACTCTGCCTCTTGAACTACGCCGCTGCACCCAGCCCTGCCGGGATAACGACCATGCTCTTGAGGAAGCGCTCAGTAGCACTGAGACCCAGGCACTCTGCCTCTTGAACTACGCCGCTGCACCCAGCCCTGCCGGGATAACGACCATGCTCTTAAGACAGGCGAATAACAACCTCTTGAACTAACACCCTGCCCTACCGGAATAACAACCATGCTCTTGAGAAGCGCTCAACAGCACTGAGACCCAGGCACTCTGCCTCTTGAACTACGCCGCTGCACCCAGCCCTGCCGGGATAACGACCATGCTCTTAAGACAGGCGAATAACTAAGATTAAATCTCAATCGGCTTTCCATTATGGTCTAATGGCTTTCCATTGTGTCCTAATTGCCATAGTTCAATCCGCCTACTCCTTCGTGAGGTTCTCGTATTGAGAGAATCTGTAGTACGACTCTGTGACCCTGAGCGTTTTGATCCTCCAGCTGGCATTTCTTCAAAAGCAGAGGAAGATAAAACGTGAGACGGAGAATTTGCGGTAAGACTCTGTGGCATTTGGCGTTTGGATCCCTTAGCTCTCTTTCCTCCTTGGGTGTGTTTAGTAAGAGAAGATGAAGTATAAGGTAATAAAGAACCTGCAGTATCATTTTCTCCTATTTGAAGCTTGGGTCTCTTAGCTGGCCTATCTTCCTCAGTATCTTCAGAAGAGGAAACGGCTATGGAAGAATTTGAAGAATCTGTAGTCGGAGACTCTTCTCTTTGGCGTTTGAATCTCTTAGTTGTCCCTCCTCCTTGGGTGTGTTTAGTAGAAGATGATGAAGTATAAGGTAATAAAGAACCTGCAGTATCATTTTCTGCCATTTGAAGCTTAGGTCTCTTAGCTGGCCTATCTTCCTCAGTATCTTCAGAAGAGGAAACGGCTATGGAAGAATTTGAAGAATCTGTAGTCGGAGACTCTTCTCTTTGGCGTTTAAATCTCTTAGTTGTCCCTCCTCCTTGGGTGTGTTTAGTAGAAGATGATGAAGTATAAGGTAATAAAGGATCTGCAGTATCATTTTCTGCCATTTGATGCTTGGATTTCCTTTTGTTATTGTAACCGGGAAAACCGAAGCGCACCCTCTTCTTCCTATTTATTATTAGCACTAGCTATTAAATAGATCAAGTAGTACATACCGCGTTCTTTGAGATTGTTTGCTTTCTTGTGTGGGCTCTATATCTGTGTGCATATCAGAGTCAAGCGTGCTATCTGTTGACTCATAATCGTCAACGAAATGTTGGGTCACATCGCCGTCGACATAGACAATGGGTTTATCGGTAGCTTGAACTGCATCCGACTTCCAGCCAAATGCGGTGCCCTTGAGAAGCCGTTTAAAGCCCGTTAAAGAACAAGAATGGCAAATTGAAGCAACTTTTCTTGACGCATCTTCACATGGAAACATATTCGGCCACGAGAGGCTTTGATGCCAAACCTTGTTCAATGATCTGTTGAACTTCGACACGTGCAACTTGAGTTCTTCTTCCAACCTCTCTATAAACTCATCTCCGTTGGTAACATTTTCATCTTCAGCAATTCTTCTAGCGGTTTCCCGAAATTCATCCATTGACAAGATATGAAGTTGGGTAATATTGATCTGCTCCCAACAATAATTGAGACAAGACATTGGATCTTGTGGGGAATATTTATGCAAGGGCTTGGCTTTGCCTCTCCAATGTTGAGTAACCTTGGTCCATTCCTTACGCCGGAATGGACTGGGTCTTGGGGGTTTAGGTTGATGCATTATGAGTGGGAGAACTGCGGTTGCGGTAGGCCAGTGAAGAGGAAGTTTGGAAATGGAAAGACGGTTGTCGCGATTTCGTCGCGCGTATGGCGGGGAAATATAAGGCACCGAATCACCTGATTGCCTTAGTAAGCCGGCGACGGGTGAAGCAGGCGCGGTGGGGCCAGCAGGGGGAGAATGAGACAGAGGACGGAGAGAAAAAGGGGAGAGGGAAAGAGGGAAGAGAGAAAGAGGGAAGAGAGAAAGAGAGAAAAAGAGAAGATAAAAGAATTGTCGCATTTTGATGATAAAATCAATGAAACCAGCTTATGTAATGGTGGATCTTATAAGCATTGACTTGAGTTGGCTGATGAATAATAAGTCTAGCCATCCCTCAGAGAACAGTCATGAGATAGGTTATATACCTAGCAACAGATGCAATCAGTGCCTAACTTACAACCTAATAGAGGGGCAGCTTTGTCCTGCGTCATATTATATTTGCTAAAAGTATTGTTTGTGTCGTGGAAGAAGATGACTTGCTGAAACGAATTGCTGAAATAATCCAGTTCCCATTATATTGTGCCGTGGAAGAAGATGACTTGCTGAAACGAATTGCTAAAATAATCCAGTTCCCATTATATTTACTAAATGTATTGTTTGTGTCGTGGAAGAACATGACTTGCTGAAACGGAAATTTTGGTTCCCGAAGTGTAACAACCTAGACTGTACGCAGCTTAAGAAAGGCCGTAGTTTTACGACAGCGGGGTTTAACTTTATGAATAGTATTAGTATGTATGACTCCATACAGCTCTATATTTCTATACAGTCGGGGCCCGGTAGTTCAAAATTTCATAAGAACCATCTATTTCATGCTATGCCCTTGGATTTCCGAGGCAGGATCATCAGCCTCGTCAAATACCGATTGTGATTCTGCTGATAATTTTGAGTGTAAACGCCCCGTATCAGCAACATGAAGCTGCTCAATACCACAAGCTATACAATTGCAACGATGTATCCGTGCCTCACATTGGGAATGCGGCTTGTCGCCATGTCTTATTTCCTCAGTAATGTTTACGAAAACAATTTTTATCGCTGCAGGCTGCGTTCTTTCGATGATCTCAACTAGTGCTCTAGTGCAGTCGATGGCTCTGCCACAATCCACCCCTTTGTCTCTCGCTTGGGACAGATCGTCTCTGCCTAAGGCGGAACCATCACTTAATTCAGGCATCCCCAAATGTAGTATAGAGCCGCTTTCCGCCGGATCTAAGTCATCGACGACGAAGTCACATAGACTACCGGCAGAATCGTAGCCTGTCGTCTGTTAGGCGCATAACATAGAATTGCACAGGAGGATTGGAAATCTTACCAGAATATTCCGTGAATTCTGCCTCCGATTTGGACAAGTCCTCGCTTGGTTCATACTCTGAGCCACTCATATCTGCGTGAATAAGTACAGTTTATCCTTTGTAAATTATCACGTGTATATCACAGCAGGTTAAATATCTATGGAGCAGTTTCTAAATCCTAATACATAGATCATTACCGCGTTTAAGTAAAGTGAGGGGCAAAGCACAAGTGAAGCAATACTCCGGAGGTACTAGAGCCATTTGTCGAGAAGAAGACTTTCATCCATCTCATTTAATGTCTCTACGCACAGACCAATGTTGCGGGTCTGTGGTCAGCACAGTGCAAGTTTCAACCCAATGTTACATATCCGTCGTTTCCCTATTATGTGTTGAATAATTTTATTCGCTTTTGGATGAATCTGACCGATCGACCCCGGTCGACCCCGGTCGACCAAATTTAATAACTAACCCATAATTAGCCCATGACACTACCAAAGGTCTCATTATAAGCGTTCATGGGGACACTACTGTATAACTGCTCGATATAATATAATACAGAAGCAGAGCCGATTTTCATTCCCCAAAAATAGTCTAGCTTGTTAATTCAAGAGATATCATCTATTAATTAAAGCTCATGGCCTCAAGCTTACATGACTCATAGCAGAGCTGGCATTTGAGAAGCCAAATGAAATAGCTAGTGGGACGCTAGCAGGCATGCTTCCGATTACTAAGACATTATCGCGTATCAAAAGTTATGACTGGCAGGCTGGAACCCATTCCATGTCGGCGGTAACATAACCCTTGCAGTTATGGGCAATTGATTTTCCGTTCTTTTCCCATTTCCGTTTTCCTTTCTGTTCTACCCTAGAAATGGATGAAAAAAAGGTATGTTTAACAGAAAGACAGGTAAAATAATAAGAGAATGATGCTTTCAATTCAACCATATACTCTGTCAGATTTCTGTATACGTCGCTGTATGCCGAGTTGTGCACACAAATAATTTAAACAATGCTATACAAATCGTAATGTGAAGACGAAGAAAAAAAAGTTGAACTGCGTATATACACACAATAAGCATTAATTGCCGTCTACATATCTACATTGCATGGTAATTAAATTTAGCTCTTAGTGGGCACAAAGTGGCCGCTGCCGGTGTGCCTTAAAATTTAGGTATTAGATACATGTACATACATCTGTACTCCAACGTGACTTTATAGCCTTGGTTTGAAAGTTACTATCCAACACTTGGAACTTTTATTATTTACACGGACCATTCCGATAACGCGAGGCCAATATCTTGCGCAATCTTAAGCACAATATTTGTAGTTTTCAACGTGCCTTTGAAACTGCCACCAAATAATGCATGACCTATCATGATTTATCAAGAAAGGCCAACATCAAGCGTGTACTCCGACCATTTTGACTTAGAGGAGCTGGCCAGTACGCTATCCGAAGAGACCGAGGCTCAGGAAATACACACTATAAAGGCCTTAGAGAATGAACGCGATATGCTGTACCGGGAGGTAGAGGCGAGGCGTGCCACATGGAATGGTATATATCAGATGCTAGTGGAGTCTGCTGACGTAGCAAGTAAGATAACTGCTCTATGTAAATTTGCTTATAGTCGCATAGACAAGGAGCGAAATAAATGGTTGGCTAACCGAAATGCGATTTGAAATGAATGTCTTCTACGGGAGCAATGCAATAGTTGCGCTTATACTCTGAAGGGGACTGACTTCCCAAGAGTGGCTGCATTTTATACTGATGGAGTGTCTGATTTGTTTAGAGAAAAAAAAAAAGGAGGGGGGGAGGGGGCGTAACTCCCAAATTAACATCTTTTCAATCTACGGACATTATTTCATATATTTGCAGCTTCCCCGGTCGCCAATAATCGCACTTAGAGAAGATGCTTTAAGAGGATACTCTAACACTGTATCTCACTTAGATTAAGGATAAAATCATTATACTCAATTTCCGGTGTCTTCGTAGGTACTTACTTGGCGTCAAAGGAATGCTAAGTATAAGCTCTTGAGGATTACTGGCTTCGCGTTTGATGTCGTCCATATTTGTAAGAAATATGGACCTCCCAGTGTAATCGTGAGGCGCTTCAGTTGGTCCTTCTATTATTGCAATATCCATACCGCTTTGGACTTGGTATCTTTTTGATCCAGTTTGTCATTGATGCATAGGATGCAGCCGATTGTTGACCATAAGTATAATCTCATCTGGTATGTATTGTATTCTTTCAACTGATTGGATGCCATAATCTGTGCCTATACGCCTTTACATAAATACGTACTAAATACCGAATGTTATACATTCTGAAAAGGCTATTTAATGACAAAGTCCAGAAATGGAAACGTAAGTCATTTTGGGGACAGATGGGTGGTTACAGGCTGCATAAGTGTAGTTCTACCTGACTAATCTGGGCAAATCTCAACAACTAAAACGTGGAACAGTGAACCTCGACTTCACCTCCTAATGAAGCTACTGTAAGAAAAAGATTTTACATCACTTGAAGCTTTCCGCTATCAAAGCATTATTCTGCCCTTAATTGCGAGCACAAATATCTCATTTCTCACTTCTTTAATCTAAGAGATGCCTCTATTGCCGTACGAATCTGGTTATAATCCTGCTGAACTGTCATGGTGCCTTCTTGGTGTAAGCCCTGTTGCTGAAAGTTATGAGGAGGCACGTATCCAATGTATATCCAAGGTGGAAGCTGTGATTGCCGAATGTCGCCGGACAAATCTCTTGTTTTTGGATAACCATTTTGATATTGAAAACGATCTGTTTGCCAACCAAGATTGTCTCTATGGCCTTGATAGAGATTGGTTAGACGAGAATAGCGAGAAAGATAATAGGGCTTATCCGCTGAATGATACAAACTTAATGTCGCAAGTACTTAAGAGGACGAAACTCAGTAAACTCAGTAATGGAGCCAATCGTCAGTTGGATTCTTCAACGTATCCTTTTGAGCCGCCTAAGTCTGTTCACAGGGTGCCCTGGATTTTCAAAGACCCACAGTTTATGACTGATAGTTCTTCTGGCTATGATGTTAAACAAGGTGTCGGGGGAAACTGCTGGTGGATCGCTGCCGTTACAACAATCGCTCATCGCCAGGATATCATGGAAAAAATATGCGTTGCCCGAAATGAGGCGTGTGGAGTGTATGGATTTGTGTTTCATAAAGACGGAGGATGGATATCAACAGTTGTAGATGATAATCTTTATCTGAGTGAGAGCGACTTCAATTGTGACGATGAAGTATATGATCCGACAGGAGATAAAGCAAGGTTTCATAAAGCTCAAAATCAATCCAATTCCGAAGCATTACACTTTGCCAAATGCTCAAGCAAAAACGAAACTTGGCTTCCACTGCTAGAGAAAGCCGTCAGTACCACTAATATATCCAAAAAAAAAACAAGTTAACTAACTTTTACAGTATGCTAAAGTACACGGTGACTACCAATCGCTGAATGGTGGCTGGTATAGTAACGCCATTGAGGATTTAACTGGAGGGGTTACCACTGTAATACCTGGGAATGGGGTATTGGACAAAGATCGACTATGGAGTGAGATAATGGCTTCCGCATTGCCCAATAGTACGTTTGTGTTCGGGTTATCTGTTTCAGCAAATGGCGCCAATTTCCACAGGAATGGTCTTATAACAAACCATACATACTCTGTCTTAACAGCTACCGAGGTAACCAATGAGGTGGGATATACAAGCCGCCTACTAAAAATTCGGTAAGTAGAATTTTGAGCCGATCCAAAATTTGAGCAAATAAAAAGTACGTCACTTGCTTACACGAAATCTAGTAACCCATGGGGTGAAAATGCATCACAGAGTGTGGGAGAATGGTCAGGCCCGTGGTCAAAAGGCTCAAGTGAATGGACGTTAGATATAATGAAAAAGATTAACAACGAATCTCTCAATAATGGAGTCTTTTGGATGTCGTTTGATGATGTTCTCGATAATTTTAAATGGTTATATAAAACTAGATTGTTTGATGACCATTGGAACTTAACTCAAAAATGGATTCAAACCTCTGTACCCTGGGTACCAACTTTGCTACCAACGATATTCCTTGTGGATATTACCGAACCTGCCTTGGTTGTCTTCGCACTCTCACAAGTAAGTGTAAATTATAACTCTGTTACAGACGCAACCAGAAAATTCTAAATTACAAATCACGAAAAATAGGTAGATTCTCGATATTTTACAGATCTGCAAGGAAGATACTATTTTACATTGCAGTTTATTTTAAAACATAGAGAGTCAGGAAAAGTGATATGCGAATGCCGGGCAGTAAACCCAGAAGACAACTGGTCAATTAGTTGCGAAGTTAACCTAGATTGTGGTATTTATGAAGTAGTCCCACGAGCTTTTACCTCGATTGAAAGTGGGCGGAAAAGCCCCCTAGAAGTATTGAAGGTATGGTCTTATAAAAATCCATCTAAGTTGCAAAAGGTCGGATTACAGCATGACCTGGCATACTCCAGTCATCAGTTCAACAACATGACTCAGTCATCGACTTATAACGCCTATAACGAACAGAATGATCGTGAAATGCTAAAGAAAAAAAAACCGGCTATAAACAATAATGCTACCAAAGGGTCATTAGACGTACAAATAGAAAGCGTTGGTGAGACTAAAACGGATATATTTGGCGCATGTGGAGTGCTCAAAAATTGGAACCCTGTCTGTGCTATTGGTCTACGAGTCTATGTACAAGGTCCAGCAGCCCGCATCCGCCTAGCAGAGCAGTCCTGAGTGCGCAATCACAAAGAGAACACAGTAGAGAATATAAGTAAAACGGATTTTCGATGTCAGCTACAAGTAATACATTCAAATATACCCGTTGGTTGTACTTTTGGTAACCAACTTAAAGGCGATAGCCTTTAAGTTGGACCGGAAATTCATAAAACACCGAGAAATTCGAAACCCTTTGTTACAGCTAATGTGTCGCTTTTTCTACGCAAATATAGAATTATTAAAACAGCTGTTAAGGAGAGAGAGAGAGAGAAATATAATTAAAAAGCCTTAGAGAATAGTTTTTATATATACCATTTGTTTTGTTACAGGGGTTATCGTGGCTGCAAAGCTGATTTTTGATGGTTGGTTTTGACTGGGTTTTGCGCTTTTTTTTTTTTTTTTTGCAAACTTTCATTAATATAACAACGAAGTTTAAATTCCAAGGATAACGCTGCAGCGCATACCTAAAGTCGAATTGAAATATGATAGTCGACTTAAATCAATCATTCTATATCGATTCCGTTATTTTTGCTATGTGTTGCGGGTGGTATTTATGGCTTTGGGGTCATGGATTGGATGCTGTTGACGTGTTATTATTTTTTTCTAGGTTTTTTTTTACGCAAGAGACATGATTACGTAGAATGCTGTGTAAGCTATCAAGTCGAAAAATGAAAGAAATTATGATATTTGTAGCTACTTGGATGTTTATCTACTTCTGAGATGAGAAAATGAAGACTGTCATATGTCCCCCAATTTCAGAAGCTAATACATAACGTGGATAGATCTGAGTGACCAACCGGCTTCTTAAAGTTCGAATAATTCAGTTACATAAATCTATCAGACTGAATACAATACTAATCTAACTGCACTGGACTTTACCAAGTTGAGGCTATAAAAGTAGTATGAAGCCAGCTGCCACATACTAAAAACAATAATCCATGATGAGAGCTCGTTAAGAAGCATAACCAAATGAGAAAAGTAATAGTAGTGTTGCGTAAGGTTATTTACTGTTCGAGGAGACATGACTGGAAACCTTGAAAGAACGTGACAAATGAAGTCACTGGCAGCTGACTCATTCACTTGGGGCATTGTAATTATCAGCTCCATAGAGAGGGGGGAAGATGAGGGTCACGATGTATTAAAGAAAGAAACAAAACGATCTTTTATATTTGTGATCTCCTTAGCTATCATATCTTGGCGGAGAGGACGGGAGGTGGCTTATCTAACGAGCACAGAGAACCGAACCGAATCTTAATAGTCAATTGTCTCTGAACCCTAGGGAGCGTGTAAATCTTTCATCCTCATTGGCCAGGGCTCTTGTGTTTCACCCGTTGGGTTGTGACTATGTTATTCGTATAACTATGCATTGGATTTGCAGTTATAAAGTCGTTGATGGCTGTAAAATTTGTCTCGCAGCTTTTTTTTGCTTGCTGTATTTTGAGAAGTAAAAGTATTAAAAAGGTAAGACTAAGCAGAATTATAGTAATTATAACATTAAAAAATGGAGTTTATCTTTACTTCTTTTATTTTATAAAACTAGTGTTTAACTTTATTGTAAAACATTTTTGTTATATAAGTATAAACTGTAAGGATAAGACATCTTATATCCACGATTTAGGAACTAGTTTTTTCTTTTTTTTTTTTTTCTTCTCTTCAACAGCCACAAGCAAGACTTTCCATAGAATAATGTTTCCATACACACAATATCCAAAATTAATCTCATCATAATTTATCTCTAGTCCTGCACTTCTGATTGATGTACATCACTTATGTTATCGATTCAGTCAACTAGATACTTTATATTACAAGAACGCAACTCACCATAGGATTTGGCACAGGCGGTTTCGGGAGCCCTGTTGTATCATATGCACCCCGCCCTGCCTGGATAGGTTCAAAAGAAGATTTAATCATTTCAGATCGTTGACAAACCAATTGTCTTGTGGCGATAACGGGTTATTGAAATTCTGTTTAAGTTATGGGTGATAAAGAAGAAAAGCCTACAGGAATACCTATACTTATATGAGATCTTGCAATGCGAGCAAGAAAAGCCGCACCACTACCAATTCTAGCACAAATTGCTGTTTTTATTTGCCACGGATGAGTAAAGTAAGAATTTAGACTAAAAGCGCCCGCTTTCTGGTGGAGACATGAAACAGCCAACATATATCTCAAGTTATTAAAACCCTCTCCATCAGAAACACTACTGAAGGATTTTGGATGGCACCATTGTCCGATAAAGTAGGCGGGGATGACATGTAATTTCCCTCGGGGCTCCTGGGAGGTAGCGAACTGTGCATCTAACGTAAAGTTTAATGGATAATCAAAATGAGAAATTGGATCGGAACACCTGACTTCCTGCAAAAATATGAAAGGACTAACACAGGAATTTTAATAGAGGAATACTAATTTAGTTTTCAATATATTTATTTATAGATTAACTAAATATCTACTCTCCTTATATCCTAAACCACTCTTTATTTTCAGTCCTGAAGAGCCATAGTAAATAGAGCTGTTGATTCCCCCAAACTTTAATTATACGCTGCTTTTCCTTTGCCGGCAGGTGTAATTTCTTTCCATAACTCAGTTTATGGGAAGCCTTTCCATCAGAAATGCTATGATAACTATTAGATATTAGGGGTGGGGGTATATATTTGGTGCTATAAAGGACTTACTCCTTGTTGTAACAGTCTTGAATATTTTAGCATATCAGGGGATTTCACAGCTCAATAGAGTTAGAAGCAGATGATGATTGCTCCCGCTTTAAAGCTGGATTTGTTGCTAACCAGCCATATACTGTGGTTGAACTTATAGTAAATGGAAGTTGTTAGAGAATTTTTAGCAGCAGTGGAGACAGCAGTCTATTTACAGTCTAATAGGTGGTGCTTTCGTAATCTAGGAACCAGAATACTGGTCCTAATTTGAATAAACTAACCAAGTAGGTTACTTCATGTCCAAATCAATAATTCTCACAAGAATAAACTAACTGAATTAATTACATCAAATCCAGAATAGTTTGGTCCTCAGCATCCTTACTAAACGAACTAAACCACGGCTCTAAACTAGAATCGGACCGCGCTATTACCTCTGCTATGGAAGAAGGTATCTGTCCCATAAGCCTAAACTGGGCTACACAGCGTATGAAAGAAGCTATATGAGCGCGTAACTGTAAGAGATATTGCTCAGTGCATTTAATTCCCTCAGCTAACGTTTTACAGAAATCGGTAATATTGTCAGGTATTGGCTGGTGAATTAAAACCCGATGAGTCAAAAGCGCATCTTTGAACATTTTCATTGCGATTTCGAGATCTCTTTTGCCGTGCGTTAGAGTAGATAGTTCCTGGAAAATTCTTTCATTGATTGCGAGTTTGTTCTCACTCTCAAGGAGACATATGTTTTCGAGGTGTTCGAAAACTTCTTTTTTACACAAAAGTAGAGAATTGAGTGCTTCTTCTATTCTACGCAGACTGATGGTGTGTATATTGAGTTAGAAGGAGATTGCCGTGTCTTCCGTTGGGTGCATTGTGAATTTTGTATAGTACGTCGAAAGAAGCTGCTGTTGCGTGGTTGTTATTTGGAAATTATGCAATGAGCCAGGGTGAGGAAAGCATCCTACTTATAGTTGAAATGACCTGGTCAAAATCCCACTGGATGTAACCAAGAAACATTCCATATACTCGTACTCGCCCCTGCGACTTTGTTAATAACACGGTACAAGCGGTGGCCCACACACCCCACAAGTTGTAATTAAATTGAGAGGAATGCGGTTTTGGTATTTTGTTAACGACTGGCTATATATATCTAACGAGTGTAAAAGAAGTGAATGTTATACAGTCGTGTACGGCCATAGGAGCGTGGAGGGTTCATCCACTTCCTTTATATTGGAGGACTCTCGTGCTTCTGGCTGAGGTAAATTGTCTACGTTCTTGATTCAGTCAATACAAACATCAAATTACTAGCGTATAAGACACAATTTGGCTGGGGAGGACGCGGTTTTGGGAGCCCTGATGTATCATATGTACCGCGTCTCACCAGGCAAAAATCTGAAGAATACTTATATTAATAGACAAAAATCTATCCTCGTGCAAATGTATTTCGTTGGGTATATAGAGTGGAGTAGTTCAATTCACAAGTAGATTAAGTTGGACTGGGAACACTTAAGGGATGCACAATAAACTGTAAGTGATTTATTGCGTTGTAGGGATAAAAAGATAAACATTTTACATATCTCCATTTACGGCAATTAGCCTGTGTCTCTGGGCAACAGCACAGGTTGGTGATAATCGGCTGTAAGTAGAACTAGATAGTAGAATCGCACCTTGCTATAAAGTTCAACAACTTGTTTTTTTATCTTTGTCTCGTTTGTCTATTCTCACTTTAAAGCTGACCTAATTACCTATAATAAATACACTGTACCACAACGAAATGAAAGTAGACAATAGGCGCCTAAGCAATTCCAAGTAACCTATTTTTGTCTTCCGATTAAGTCCCCTCTAGTCTTAAAGAGCCAGAGTAAGTAAAGGGGACTATCTGTGTCAATATGAAGACTAGTCTCCATTTGTGATAAATGTATTTTTTTCCCAATTTCCAACTGAGAAGAATTTTTCGCATCTGAAATACTGCAACCCAGGTATGAAAATAATGGTACTAGATCCCCAAATTGATGAAGCTTTATTTTTTTTACTCCATTTGACTCTATTCGCAAGACTATAACTTTATAATACTACATAATATTAGTTTTGAACTCGGCTGTAAGTTAAGGAAGAATATATTGTTCTCTCTCCCAATTTCTTCAGTAGCCCAAAGATAAACTTACTAAAGGTGCCAAGGGTAATGTAAAGTTCATCAAAGCAATATCTTCGCATTCATGATAAGTAACATTCTCATTATTCGACGGCTGCTGCTTCCATCGTATCTTTGGCTGCGTTATGGTGCGGGATATATTGGAAATAACCGAATAATGGAGTTCATCCAGATTTTCTTCATAAAGCTGCTCCTTGTCCGCGCTATCCATAGTAGACGTCTGATGTTCGATGTAGTGTTGTTGTACGAGGTGTGTTTGAGAAGGTTTATTGCAGAAGATGTGTAGCAGAAGATTTTGCATAAGATATATATCACAGAAGCTATTGGAAGGGACAGATATTTATTTTTTCCTCGGTCAGGTGGAGAGCTGATGCCTAATATCACTGAAGGTCACCTGACTGTTACGAGCGGAGTGGGGCAAATCATAGGCTAACAGAGGCTGTGATTCAGTACGAAGGTGCCAAGTGGGTATCAAAAGGGGTCTTCCTATTTGCACAGTAATGAAATTGTAGTGGTGAGTGCGCTTGTGTCACGACCCAACTCTTATGTTGTTGTTGTTGTTTATTGCTTAGCGCCCGTGACCTCTATGGATCAGGCTGCTGGGTGCAGCAAGGGGCGTGCTGAGCTAGCTAACAGAGGGTACAAAAAAACTAATACAGAAAAAATCCCTCTAAACGAACAGTCCATACTAATGGCTAGTCCATTAGTTCCCCGGGAGGCTACTATACATATTTAATGGTCAATAGATATTCCTAGGGCCAAGCCCTCATCACCCACTATAGGGAAGATAATAATAAAACAAACCCAGTTTGCTAACTACGTTCTTTCCTTTGTAGCTATCCAGCATATCAACGCTTTTCAGGCTTTTTGTCGGCCATCACTCATCAGTGAGCTGTTTGGGCGGGTGTTTGGCTGTAGCAGCTTGAGGCTGCGAGGATCGGTCGGATCGGCCGAGTTGGTCGGATCGTTCGATCGGTCATGTGGTAATAACCTCAATAAAGAGGTTATAAATCCAGTGCAAAAGCCGTCAGGCTATTGCTATTGCAAGGCCTTTTGCAGAAAGGGATGAACTCTCCAAAATCCCTTTCCTAGGACCTGCTGTGTTGTGCGGTGCGTACCAAAAGGTAGGGGCACCTGTGGATGTAGGAGGAGAGTTGGACCCAACTCTTATGGTCGCGACAATGGGCCTACAGGGTAGGCAGAACCGGATAAACTAAGGACCGATGGGCCAATCAGGGACATCGCCCGCCTTGGTTAAGGAAAGCTGGGAAAGCCAGCTTTCCACCGCGATTCAGAATACACGACTGGATATATAAGTTTACGTTCTTACACTCATTTGGATAGCTTAGATAGCCAGTTGTTAATATAGCAATCAGATTGGATTTGGATACCACCTCTACTAGCTACGTGACATTGACGCGACTACGCCCGTAACCGACCTGACCGTTCCGCTAACATAAACCTAGAACCAGAGGTTTGCCCCTTGGGAACAGCTAACCTATACTAACCTATAGGACCGGTTCGTCACAGCTTGACAGTTTGGTTATAATTTTTTAAACTGCTGAAATATAGCTGTTACGACCCAACCTCTTACGAAGCCGGGAAGGTACGTACCCCGGAATAAGTCCCGGACCGACCAACCAATCAAGATGGGACCGCTCATACATGATACCCTTGATGGATCACCACCGTGATCCATCGTGATCCAAGAACACCGTGATCCATGCGTGATCCAAAAGGAACGACTGGATATATAAGTTTCATTCATTACTCTCATTCAGATAGTTTAGATAGCCAGTCGTTAACAAAGTATCAAGACCGAATATAAGTTACACCTTCTATTCTACTCTTACGCACTTGTGATTACAACCGCTCAAAAGCTACTCCCTGTCCTCTCTGCCAACATAAACCTACGACCTAGGTTTATTACCTTGGGAACCCTTACCCTATACCAGGAATAGGGATCAGGACGTCACAATAGCTAAAGCAAAAATATAAAAATTATACAAAGAATATTTTATAAATATTCATAAATATAACTAATTATTAAGAATTTTTCCTAAATTTTGAATATAAATATATTAGTAAATATATATATATACTTAAATTTAAAATATTTAAGTGAGTATCTTTAGTTTATTTTTTAAAAGTATACAGTATAAATTTAAATATAGCTTTTAATGTATATAAATTTAATAAAAAGCTTAAGTACATTTATTTTTTTAATAAAATTTAAATAAGAAAGTTTTACAACATTTAAGCTGATTTATAACTAAAAAAAAAACAAATAAAAAAAAGTTTATATAAAATTAAGTTAGGGAAAATCTAAGAATAATTTTATTCTCTTACATACAGTTAAGAGAGGTTTTGGAAAAAGCCTGCGCACGGACCACACAGCGCAGTGCACTGACCACTACGGTTTAAATAGGAATTCGTTACGGTGCAAATAGGAAGACTCATGTTTTGTCTTAGTTACCTCTTGTGTGTTCAAAATCTTCGGATTCCCTGATTTTTTGATACCCGCTTAGGTGCGCAGCGGGGGCTTATGTACGGAGTACTGTTACATAATTTTTAATTTTTTTTTCTTGTAGACTTAACGCTACTTGAAGCGTCGGTCCTACATTTATCCACGATTGCTTGTAGGCCCATCGTTGCGACCATAGGCGTTGGGTCATAACAGTCTTTGACAGTTTACCCATTCGAGAACTGAAAATCCCTACTGAAATAGGTATAGAGCTTTTATGCTTGCAACCTAAAAAGCATATTAACAATTATTTATTATCAATTTATAACGTTGTTTATTAATAAGTCCCTAAGCGGAAATCCCTAATTATAAAAGTTCAAATTAACCTTGTCTTTTGGCGGAAGTTCTTATTGTAGAGGTTCCTAATTACTAAAGTTTAAATTAAGAAAAAATCCCCAATTATATAAGTTTAAATCAGCCTCGTCTTCTAGTGGAAGTTCTTATTGCGGAAGTTTCTAATTGCTAGAGTCTAAATCAGGCGGAAATCCCCAACTGCAGAAGTTTAAATCAGCCTCATCTTCTGGTGGAAGTTCTTGTTGCGGAAGTTCCCAATTTTTGGAGTTTAAATAAGGCGGAAATCCCCAATTGCAGAAGTTTAAATCAGCCTCGTCTTCTGGTGGAAGTTCTTGTTGCGGAAGTTCCCAATTGCTGGAGTTTAAATAAGGCGGAAATCCCCAATTGCAGAAGTTTAAATCAGCCTCGTTTTCTGGCAAAACCGCATTACTGAAAATATTAATATCGCCAAGGTTACCGTCTTGTGTGTCTACCAAATTCTGAGTTTGAGGTGCCATATTCGGAGTACAATAGGTCTCCGTAGGAACCGTGTTATTAGTTTCAGGGTTCAGAGAAAGCGCGTTGTTCAGTTGCATAATATGTTGATTAGAGTCGTCAGCTGCCTCGACAGTATTTGCGTATTGATGCGTTGTCGCAGCAGCTATGAGAGCAGCTAAATCGGATACTGCGCAGAAACGTTTTGACGCTACCGATCCATCCAAACCGGCTTCTGTACACGAGCGTTTGGACGCTACTGTACTATTAATATCGTTCTTATCGGAAAGTGTTGGCGCATTCTGAATACATTCCTGGCGAAACTGAAGAAGAATTTGTGTCGCAAGGTTAGCTCCAGTTGTCTCCATCGCCTCAAGAATTTTCGGCATTTTCAATCCGTCGAGGGTCTTTTGATATTGTTTTTGATAATGTGTACCTTTTTGCCACCACCTTGAGCAGAATATTAGTGTTAAAGAAAAGCTGTAAGATTGAGATTCGGATCTTACATCCGGCGATTGAGAGTCAGCATCTGACTGCCATACTTGAAACGTTCGAAATTAACATCAAGTTTCTCTTTTCCCTCGCTCAGAACGCGGCAGAACTCCATACGTCTTCGCCCACCGAAAAGAACTCGGTGAAATTTTTCTTCCGTCCCTTCCTGTATTGGTATGCCGAGATGCTGAAGAAATTCTTGGATGTAGTAAGGTGAAATATAATTCGCAGATGGGCAGATTTGTTTAAATATATCGTACATTACAATAGAATCAAGTGCACTGATATAACTTAGAATCGTTGCTTCTGGAGACTCTTCTGTAACCTTCAAACAGAAAGTTCTTTGTCGTCCAATAAGAGTTGGCTCTTGGAGTGTTAACGGTTCTATTGAAAGGTTCCAGAATGAGGACGGGTTCTCGGTCCATAATTTAAAATCTGCAGCCTGATCCATGAGCTCCCGTACCATTGCTTCTTGTGTCGCTGCTTCATCGTCCTGAGCTGTATTATCGGCTGTTGTTGATGTATTGTCTTCAGCTGTATTATCAGCTGTTGTTGATGCATTGTCTTCAGCTGTATTATCAGCTGTTGTTGATGCATTGTCTTTAGCTGTATTGGCTGTTAATGTATTATTTTTAACTATATCGGCTGTTATTGATATATTATCTTCAGCTGTATCGGCTATTGTTGATACGTCGTCTTCAGCTGTATCGGCTGTCGTTGATACGTCGTCTTCAGCTGTATTAGCTGTCGTTGATGCATTATCTTCAGCTCTATCGGCTATCATTGATACGTCGTCTTCAGCTGTATTAGCTGTCGTTGATGTATTATCTTCAGCTGTATTATCGGCTGTCGTTGATGCATTATCTTCAGCTCTATCGGCTATCGTTGATACGTCGTCTTCAGCTGTATTAGCTGTCGTTGATGTATTGTCTTCAGCTGTATTATCGGCTGTCGTTGATACATTATCTTCAGCTGTATTGGCTATCGATGTATTGTCTTGAGCTAGAGGCTCTACTGTCGATGGATTTTTCGTTGAGATTGGCTGCTCTAGAGCCTCAATCGGCGGCAATTTTTCGGGCCATCGTAATTCCTTTGGAAGCTTTTTGCCATATCTTGTATATATGCCCTTATAGATGATTTCTCGCATCGAGTTTATAAAACTTATGCTGTCATTTTCAGGATAACTCCCCAGAGAGTATACAGTTTCCTGGACAACATTGGCAATTTCTGTAAGAGCTGGATAAATTTTAGTTGTCATTGTAACGGGTGAGTATGGAAAGCGAAAGTGAGGAAGACTTTAGGTTGGTAGTGGCGCCTTCGTAAATACTACTAAGGTAGGTCGCGGACTAGAAAGATAAAACAGGAAGATTACTTTCTGATACTGTATCGACCGATGCGGTTGAAAGAAAACGACGGACTGATGGACACACCCCCCTCGTGTGCTCTTTTGCTTATTAATGGTGTCGTTCGACACCATTAATAAGCAAAAGGAGCGGAGGTGATGTGGGGATATGACACGTATTTGTACACTAAGCCAGAAATAAGCAAAAGGAGCGGGGGTGATGTGGGGTTATGACACGTATGTGTGAACTAAGCCAGAAATAGAATAGCACATCCTGTATCTTCAACGCTCATCAACAGTGAGTAACTTACTTGTATTCGAAACAGCGGTTATTAGCCCTTTTTTTTATGTCTCTGCGGATCTCGTGAAATGAGGTCCTATCCCCGACTTTGTAACCAGATAACTAAGGTTATTCACCAGCACAATGCGCCTCAGCTCCTTCAAATGGGATTCATAATGCAGTGCTATTATGGGCCTAGTTTCGAAATTACCAGGCAGCGATTGAAGTAAGACGTAATTATTTTGGTGGTTATACGTATTAGACTTCAAGTTACCACAGGGAGGCATGAAACTATTCATTTTGCGCTATACGTTTAATCAGGAGCTAAATATTTACATTTCTTCAGAGCTGAAAGTAGCGTAGGCCGTCCTGTAAATTAAGCTGAGAATTAGGTGTTGATTTCACCTTTTGTGACTTTTTAGGCCTCCATCTCCAAGTTGACTGCTTAACTTGGACCAACGAGTGATGGTGGTGGCTTGGATCTCGTATAAAGACAGTCTCTTCTATCCAACATCTTCCGCTAGGTTATTTAGGGGTCCTATGAGCGACGTCCGTAAGACCCATAAAATACCCATTACTAAAACACAGATATGCATTACAACGGCCAATCAAGCCATCGATCAGTAATCGTGTGGTTGCCCTTCAAAGGTGCTCGCGGCTACTCTCAAAAGGACCGAGAAAAGAATAAAGAGCGTAGGCGGTTATGAACAACTCGTTAAAGACCAAGACCAGAGGGATCTTCCAGTCGATCTGTAAGCTTAGTAGGATTCAAGAATATATAGCCCGCTCTTCCTCTTTCAATTATGCTTTAGTATCAAAGGCAACACCATATTTCAAATGAGAATGCCCCGAACATATTCACTCAACAAAACCACCGCAGATATTTTTATCGATGATACCACCCCAGAGTTTCAGAACGGCAATACTATTACAAGTCTTACAGACGGTGCTGTCTCAGATGTTACAGACGACGATACTATCACAGATCTTATAGACGAAGCTATCCCAGTTTTGGGAAGCCCAGTCGATGTCGAAAGTCTGGATGATAGGCTCTGCGAAATGGCCACCAATATGCGAAAATTAGGAGAAGCTTGTGACTATCGCATGCAAACAACAGAGCTCATTCAAAACGAACAACAAAGACAAATAGATGAACTTAAGGAGTCTGTTAGCAGAAAAATGGAAATGAAAGCTGCTATATTTCCTATTCGAGTTGAGAGAAGGTGGCGCAATCGTTCTCGTCGTGGCCTCCGGTCTCCCCGTTGCGAACGGTTACCTCGACGAAGTACTTGGCGCGAACGTAGGTGACGCAACTGTTAACTTTATCTTTATCTGTATTTGGTATACTAGTAATAAAACAAATACTAATTTTTGCATATAGATCACTATGAGCTTATTATTTGTATTTCGCTAGAAAATATATGCAAGCTAAGTATTTGCTTTGCTGGTTGGCTTGGCTGGTATATTGGGAAGTATAACTCTTAATTCATAGTATTACGGTAAGTGTGGCCTTCGGCTGAAGGCAAACCTTTGCTTAGTATATGAAGTTTTAAATAACTAGCTGGATAAGTTGTGACTTCTGACTGATCCGTCTCTGCGGATTTTGATTGCAGACCCAGCCCTGTTTGTGAATTATTAATTTATCTTCTTAAAATCTCCAAATATCGTATTTAGTAAAGCAGTTCTTCTCCCAACGTAAGTAACACCAGAATAATAAATCAAGTTTATTTAAACTATCTTTTATAGAAACTTCAATCGAGTTTGAGTAGATTCATTGATTGAATTTGAGTCTGTTAAAAGCAGTTTCAGAAATAACATAGGCCTATTTAATTCGCGAACAATTTTCTCAGATCGCTAAGTCCGATTAGCAGGGTATGGTTAGTAAGGCGGCGTTGTGGACAGAAGCCGAACGCAGGATGGGGGAACATCTTCTTCATGCTGAACCCCCATTGAACTAATAGGTGGCCGGATTAGATCCTCATCTATAAGACAGACACACTCACCAGTCCTCCTTTCTTTCCCAAAATTACCTTCTATTTATCTACACACACAAAAAAAAAAAACCTTCTGACAAGAAACCTTTTGCGTACATCTACTATCCCAACCATCACCAACAATGTCTCTTAAATAGAAGACAATACTTTTTTCAACGCATTTATAAAGTCACTGAATACGCTTCCTATTATGCCTCTAGAACTACCAAAGAGCCTACAGAAGAATCGAGCGACTAATGAGCAATATGACACCTTCTAATAGATATTGCTAGCTTATGTAGTTTTCTCGTCTTACAAGACTAAAATTTTGACATTTTACCTTTCAAATTACATCAGCTCATTGATGTTACATCAGGCCCCTACCCAAAGTTGGTTGCCGAAGCCGTTAAGCCTGGGCCAACAGGTGAGTGTAGTGGCCTGGATCTTCATATAAAAGTAGACTCGCCGAAAGGCTTTACCTTCTATCTAACAATACTTTTTATATTCCTTACCTACCACATTGAATCAATTACTATATATTGTTTGTGCCTTACGCCAAGGGTAAATTTAAGTTACTCTAGGACATGTTCACTCCGATACCTCGTTTGACTCGTCAAAACTCAGATGCCAACCCCTCTCTTAAATTGCCTAGTTTTAAGGAATTTGAGAGCGGTGTTCCCGCAATTGCACAGCTGTATGGATTACTGCATCCTCGGAAGCCTCCCTCACCTCTTCCTAGCCTGCATAAGGTGATAGACGGTTACCCAATTCCACCTCCAGTGTCGGGGATAAAGGAGCTTATTAGCAGCAAAGAGGCAACAAAGCTTGAACTAAAAGACTGTGGCGCAAATAGAGTTATAAAACGCAAGGAACGAAAGTATACTGTGGAAGAAGGAGATTTTATTATTTATTCTCACTATGACAAAGGGCTTGAATGGAAGGATATTGAAAAAGACTTTAGGAGCAAGTTTGGCTGCACACCAGAAAGGACTGTTCAGAGCCTTCAGCGTAGGCTCTACCGCATGAATCAGCATATCCCCCTTTGCGATGATAATGGCTACCTTATCTTTGAGAATGACGATGACATGGACCCAAAATACATCAGGCTTAAATGCCTAGAGAAAATCCCGGGGCTTGCCAACTGGTACCCTGAAAGAGCTGTCAATTACTCCTGGGTTGACACTGGAACAAAGGCTAAATGTTACGACTGGGGCGAGTTTACTCTATAACAATATGATTTAAGCAGTTAAAATGCTAACCAATTCTCCCTTATAGCATCTAAACGAACCTCGCAGTCCCTTGAGCGTAAAAAGCGGCAAAAACGCCTCAAGATCTCAAGGAGAGGAGGTTGTTAGTATAGAGTAATTCTGGCTCATAACTAGATGGTGATGCAGGAAATTAGATTGATATAATATTCAATCCATAACAAGGGATATACAACGAAAATAATTTTGTATAGGCGAAGCTTAAATTCTACTGAACACACGACTTATAAGGTTGTATTCCGATACGGTCCCCTTGAATAGCAATACAGCAATCCTACGATAGTTGGTTAAATTATACTAGATTGATTGCAAAATAAAAAAAAAAAAAGGGGGGGGGGGGGGGGGGGGGGAGGATTATTTCCAGCTTGTACAAGCGTCTAATGTAATTCCGTTTACGCCCTTAGTAAGTATGCTCGTCGATTTAGCATTGAAGGGCTGGCGTAATCATTCTTAGTTTCAACTTTAAGAGCGATAAGAGTCAGTGACTGGTATTGCTATCTGTAGTAAAATTTTCTATACCTTCGGATTGTACTAGGCTTCCCTGCGTAACATGTATGATTAGTATTGCTTTGAAACAATCTATCTGGCTGTTGATGGAGAATCAACTGAGTAACCAACCACTGTTTCATTTCACCTGTTTATCCCCTTAGGCAGAAAAGGTTGCAATATCCAAAACAATAAACGTCAATAAGAGCAAAACCCAAGGAATTAGTTACCTGCGTGGTACTTACATTGCCCGATGCCGACCTGACTGCTCTGCCTAGAACCTAAGGGTTTATCCCTTGGAAACAACTAGCGAGAGACGAAAAACGGCATTGAAGGCAGAAGCTAAACGGTGGAACCAAGCAAAATATTTTCTTATTGCATCAAACCCGCTAAACGTGATCTAATGAGTGATTGCAGCGGCTTGAATCTTCGTATAAAGAAGTAGACTTGCCGACAAGTTTTCTCTTGTCCTTTCTATGAATAACAAACAATACTTTCCATACGTTAACCAACATGCATGAATCACTAGAAATGCAAGGAAGAATCAATAAATGTTTTAATACATTTATTGAACTTCTCGATGAGTCTCCGATCATGCCTCTTATTATGGCACACAGTATATCTGAATATCGAGCTTCTAACCAATCTTTCTTTATGCATATATTGCGTGTTGGAGGCCTCTTATCCCAGACTTATATAGCTGATTATAATGCAGCTGATGTCGGGCCAGTTGGATCACCTGTCCAATCTATCTTCTTTAATCTTGTAAAGGCAGTATACCATCAACTTAAAGGATCAGCATGTGAATCAAAAGAATACTGCAATAAAGCCTTTAAAATTATCGAAAAATTCGTTAAAAATCATGTAATCCATGATTATCTTATTACAGCAATTTGGAGCCATTTGATTATATATAGGTTAGACTTCTTATTTATTATTTTTTGAATATTTGCAATAACTATCTATAGGGCGATTAATAACCTCGATGGGAATGATTTCTTCAATACGAGCAATCTCAAATTTCCTGACACGAAGTTTATTTCTTTTAGAGCTGCTGAACTATTACAAGGTGAACGAACAGAAGCTTCAGGGTTATCATCAAATAAAATTGAAAAAATTCAAGAAGAAAGAAATCGCCATCAAGAAGCTCGATATTATACTCTCTATCTTACAAACCAGATTTTCCTATTATCTAAACAACTCAAGACTACTATACCACCGGAAAATACTACCAAAACAAAGTTGAGAGATTTCTTCGTGACTGAATATATCAAAGTGGCACCTCATCTTTCCCACTTTGAAAGGCTCCTTTTATTCCAGAGGTAAGCGTATCTCATCGTTTGAATATAGTATTCTAATGGGTTGACAGGGAATCCTCCTGCCTATTGAGTCAAGTATCGCAAATCCAAGATTTGAAGTCGTTAGACAATTACTACCTCCTTCATTTTTTACTTGGTAATGCGAAGACTTTCATCTCATCCTATGAAGGGCATAGATATTATAAGACTGCACTTGAAATGAACATTTCTATGCTAGCAGATCGTCTCAGTAATCGGAAGCGTGCAAACCAAGGACTTTTAATGTATTTACCGCCAAAATATACGCTTCATATATATATATATGTGTGTGCTAATATTATGGTTTATTAGGCAGCCTTCTACGCGACCTTCTACGCAGCCTTCTACGCAGCCTTCTACGCAACCTTCTATATTACGCTGCGATCCTTGCAACAGAGTCTTTCAAAAGAAGAGTGGTTGGCAAAGTCATATGTCCAGTCATCAACGAAAGATGGGTGGAAGGGCGAAATTCTCTAGGGTGCAACGCCGCCTCACACCTTTGGGACGAAATACTGAAGAACAAGTGAGACTGGCTTCATTATCACCATTACAAAGATCCAAGTCAAAGTGAGAGTCAGGAACTCGTTTCATAACACAAATTAGATTAGTTTACATAACCAGTCGTTAACAAAGCAATCAATTATGGCTATGGTACACCATTTACATAGCTCTATTCGCTCATGAGCTACTTACTGTCCTCTCTGCCAACATAAACCTATCGATTTAAGTGTGTTACTTTGGGAACCTGTCCTAATGTAGTATAAATTGAGACATTACAGAAAGATATACATTGTGAAAACAACACCTTCTATAAGTATATATTGCGTGTTGGACTTTTTTTTAGAAAAAAACTATACAGCCAAGTTCAAGTGGATAAACATCGAAAGAAAAAGTATATTTCTCAAGAACATGTAATGACTCTATAATCGCAGCAGCCCAGTTGAACATATATTTTAATAAAAGTTATATTAGTAATTTTAAAATTATCAGCCCTTGGACTTCAACAATTCAAGATAAAAACCAGCGTCAACCAACGGCTCAACAGTATATTTTCTCACCACGAATGAGTGACATGTAGCCTGTCTGGCAATGGAGATTCAATAGTGCGCCTATGCCGTCCAGCCGATTAGCTCCCTTGGGCGTTTCCTTGGATCAGACTTTTGAAGGAGGCCTTTGTCTAGTATACCTGGCGCCTGAAGAAAATCTAGCACAACCTGGACTTATACGGACGGTCACAATTCTTCTCTTGGTAGAGCGATGAATAGGGGGCTCGGGGAGCAACCGACATCAACCAACATCGCCAGTGGAGAAGGCCTGCGGCTGCCTAGCTGGCTCCTGTGGAATCCTCTAGCATCTTAAAGTATAAAAGGCCGCGTTTGCCCTAAATTAAAAAAACCTGTCTTACCACTCGTTCTCTTATTTTAAATTATAGCCAAGTAAGACAATTGAAGCAGCTTCCTTCTTCTTTGATCCTATCTTCAACCCTATTGTTATAACTTTGTTTAACATTGAGAGCGTGCAAGAGTTCAAACAAAGGATTTACCGGTCACGTCGGCGGCAATAATTGCCGCAAGAGCAAGGTACTAAAACACAACATCATGATACTACTAAGTAAGATCTTATCTTATTGAACCAATACTAATGTTAGTTCCCCTTTCAATAGCTCAAGTGTCGCCGTGGTGAGAGTGGATGTGAACGCTGCATCAACCGCCAACTCATTTGCGAATACTCTGGTGACAATAGAAGTCTTACACAAGCCCAACTGGATCCTGAAACGCTCAGTCCCAACGATACTGATTACATTAAATACTCTGGTGAACATATGGGTAACGCGCGTCGGCGTACCATCTCTCGTCTTGGTTGCCAAACGTGCAAAAGGCGAAGAATCAAGGTGAGCCATTGCAAGCCTCCGCATTGTATTTAATTTTGCGCAAGATATATAATTTTTGACTTGTCCAAATTACTAGTGTGATGAAGTCAAACCTCAGTGCGGGTATTGCGCTCGACTTAGAGTCCCTTGCGACTTCTCTTCTATATGGTCGATCTGGACCGCCCCTGCGGCTCTTAAGTCAACTCGTCGAGGCCTGCCTCGATCCAACGGGACGAGTAGAGCCGAGCCGATACAAGCCCAACTGAATCCTGAAACGCTTAGTGCCAACGATACTGATTATATCAAATATTCTGGTGACAATAGAAGTCTTACACAAGCCCAACGGGATGCTGAAACACTCAGTCTCTACAATACTTATCACATCAAATGTCATATGTCAACCAATTTGCTTAAATCACCATCACCAACAATGTCTCTTGAAATAGAAGACAATACTTTTTTCAACACATTTATAAAGTCACTGAATACGCTTCCTATTATGCCTCTAGAACTACCAAAGAGCCTACAGAAGAATCGAGCGACTAATGAGCAATATGACACCTTCTATAAGTATATATTGCGTGTTGGACGTTTTTTAGAAAAAAACATAACAGATTATCCTGCGGCAGATACCGAATTGTCAGAGCAAATGACACCAACAGTTATATATGTTTACTTTTATCTTTTAAAAGCGGAATACTGCCAAAGTCAAGGTTTAAAGGATCAGCCGAAAGAATACTGCAAGAAAATTTTTGGGAAAATTGAGCAATATCCATCTGGTCATCATAAAACATTGATGATTAAGAGCTATTCATTGATTTATGGGTAAGTCATCTATTGTATCTTAACATATTATACTAAACAATTATAGAAGTGTTAAAAACCGCGAAAAAAAATATACCTTTTCTCTAGGACCTGCCGAATCATCAGAAGGTGAACAGAAATTAGCTTCCCAACTGAGAGCAGTTGATATTCAATCTATTCAAGATGAAAGTGAACGTCAAAGACTTGCTGGAAACTATATTCTATATCTTGAAGCACGGATTTCGTCCCTTGAAGAAAGCTATTCTGGCCTAATATCACTAGGAGAAAACATCTTCCTATTTCATTTCGAACTTTACAGACATTTCGCGATCGAGTATATTAATACTGCAATTTTTCTATCTGTCTATGAGAGGCTATTTAGATTTTGGAGGTAGGTTTAGACCTATTACTCCATGATAGCCTACTAATAGATTTCAACAGAGAGCTTCAATGCTTAGGCGATCTCGTACAAGCGTTGAATAAAAAAATTAAAGTACCGTTGAGACGCCCCCTACTCCAGTGTCTTTTAGAAGGTGCCAAACGTTTTATCACACCTTTCACAAACAATTACAATGCAGAACTTGAAAAGAGCTTGAACATGGTGACAATTTCTCGCAAGGAGCCAAATCCGGCCTGTCAGCACTGTCGGGCCAAGAAAATCCGTTGTGAAAAAAGTAAACCGCAGTGTGCTCGTTGCAAACGTCTACGCAAGGATTGCAACTATGCAACCAAGTCCAGAATCAAATATAAATCTCAGTCTAATGGCTACAAAAATTCACGAACCCAACTGGATCCTGAAACAATCGGTCCCGCCGATGAATTCAAATGGCAGTCTCTACTCTCAAATAACAACGACAACGCCATGGTTTTTAATGATGGCCATGGGAACAACGACTTAAATCTTAACACATTTGGTCCCGCCGAAGAATGGAATGGCAGTCTCAATTTTTAATTAGCGCGATAACACAAATAGACTCTTCCATCTTTTTTGAACATATCTGTTGATGGAACCCCGCAAGATGCGTCACCGCAAGGAGAAGAGGCAACTGACCCATGGCTAATCACTGGTCAAGTCATAGAAGAGGGGCTGATGAAACAAGCGCTCTCATATAACCACACGGCATCAGTCGGTTACGAAAAATATGAGTTCACTTCGTTAAACTTATTTAAATAGCTAGGTGGTCCTTTTACACTAACAGCAATAACATTGGATTTGTTTGAATTACTCTACAAACCTATAGCAAGATCTCAGCCGATCAGACTATTAGATAGCCAGTTAATGTAATTACAATCGCAATGAATTTGCTTAATGCTCTCTTGAAATGCTGTTCAAAAGAGCTAGAGGCGCTACAACTTGCTACTTTCATTATAATGTGTTCATTCAGCGTTTACATCAAAGTTGACCATGTGATCAAATTGTCGTTTAGAGCGGTGGGGCATTAAGAACAAAAAGTACTCACTGAGAAGGAAGAGAATGAGGATTGAATTTGTCACACTTCTGTAGACGAGCGCTCCTAACGCGGCTATGTATGTATTATCGATTGCCAGCCCATTGGCCCATCTCACCGCTACTTATCTGTATTAAGCGGCACGGTTGCTAATTCTACCTGTAGTAAGTAGCTAATAGGCTCGTAACCCCTATTTCAAGCTACTACTGAGGTGTCTAGCCTTTGTATATATAATTCCCGTTCGTCCCTGCTTTCGCAACCACAGATTTTTCACCAACTTTTACTCCATACAATCACAACTACTTGATCTTAAGTTAAAATGCCCACACTGCGCAGTCAGAAAATGCCACTAAAAGCCACTAAAAACAATGCATTTTCAACAGATGCCACTGAAAGTAATTTTGTTGGAGCCAAAACCAAACGCAATGCTTCAGCCACCACTAAAAGTAATATATCAGCGGCCATCCCTGGAAGTACGGAATACATGAGTCATATCAGGACTACAACCCAGAGCGAAAATGTACGTTGTAGTCGGATATAGCTTGCTAATATTCTAATGTTTACATAGTCTGACATCAGCTATTGCGATACAGCACATGAACACGGTGATGGGCTTGATGTCTGGCCTAGATTATTTATTGTTGCCTTGATATTACTCTTTGTCTATTTGGGTTGTCATTATGGGTTGTTTTTGGCTCTTATGGACTTCTGTTATGGAGAAACAGCAGATCGTTTGCTTAGTTAAGGTGGCATCACTCATGTATGATACACTCAATGGAGAACCATAAGAAATTAATGCAGATTAATCTCCCGCTTGCTCCTAAGAAGTCGCGAGATTTTAAAATTTAAATCAACAGGATTTAGAGTGAATTAATCCTTTATCTACCATCTACATCTAGAAAATTGTGAGACCAGGTATGTCGTTTATACTGCAGGTCCAATCTTTTATCGCCATCCTGGAATACCTAAGGCCTATTTAAGTGGTGAATAATTTTCTCAGATTTACTACACCGCGTAGTATATTTCTGATCTGGCCTTTTGCTAAGTTTTTTCGATGCGGGGAACGGAACTCCTTACAACTCATTGATATGCGATACCATCAGACCCTCTATTATGGGGCAGCCCCTATTTAAAACGTCGCTGTGGTTTTTGTATATAACAGACCTGCCTTTTCTCTTTAGTCATATGAGACCCTTAATTATAAATACATCTTGAAAGCCCTCCAATGTTTATTATTCAGCAGAGAAGATTCTTATAGGAGTGTAAGCAATACTAGCAAATCAAATGATGGATCAAGTGGACTTAACCTTTCTACAGATTTGATTGCAAATGAATAGAGACCGTGAGCTTCTTTTTTCGGATAATACCGCGGAGGAGTTTCGCAAACTCTTAGTAACCGGCTTAAAGAACGCGATTAACGACTTAGATGATCATGTTGTTAATGGGCTGGCTGTATCTGGGACTACTATTGAGATTAGGCTCTATACTGGGGAATTTACTCCGATATGGCGTTTCTCTCCTTTTCCCTTTCACTCTCTGCAGGAGAGTAAGCGACAGAAAAATTTGCGTTGGTTTCTTATGTACCTGGTATCATGGTCTTCATCCAGGCTACGGGCTGCAGTGCCTGATAGACCGGGAGTGGAAATATTGGACACGAGGAAAATTCGGGCTACCTTAGGCTTACCACCTTTTAGCCTGAAGGAGAAAACTGAGGGTGAACAATATTATTACCAGAATATCCCGCAACTTGAACTTACTTATCTTAAGGTGAGGGAGATGATTGAGACTTGTCCGATTGCTGACTGGAGTACTATAATAAGAACGATGGATTAATTAGAAAATAGACCCTTTTGTCTTCCATGTCTGTTGAATGAACATCCTTCGGTCTGTAACCTGCGAGCATAAAACTAAAGATCATCAAGCGCAAATAAGCCATTCCAAAAAGCTCATTACAAGCAAGTTGGACATTATCCTAAGGGTGCATACACGCAGATAGATAGTCCGATGCAGCTCTCTTTGTTCTCCTACCAGTTTATTTTCTCGCGGTGTGTTGGTAATTGCCCCCTCTTTTCCTATTATCTTTCTGCCTTGCAGGATCCTAACAGACCCTCTCAAACACAGTATAAGCTCCTCTTGGTAAAATTTCACCCTAATCCGCAGACATACTGGTCGCCTTCCTAGAATGCAGAGTAACAAAGATGCTATTAGTAAAATTCAGGCACAACAGCTTGGCTTATGCAATCCTACTAGTTTGGGTGTTGAACATGAGTGCATTACAGTATTAGCCCATGCACCTCTTTGTTTTTAATATATATACGTTCCCGGATCTTCGTCCTTGTCCTCATTTCTCTTTCTTTTCTTCTCTACCATAACCTTGCACTCCTCAGAGCCAACCCTCCTTTATCTTCACGTTTTGCATTAAGCTATCTATGCTTTACGATGGCGTCAAGATCACTCTCCATAGAATATCTCAACGAAGCTGCTCTACGACAGTTTATTGACCAGCCCGTCGGCGACAGCATGATCTCTTTCCTGGCTAATGCTACTCATAACATTATTCCCTGCAAATCAACCCTACCACGGACTAAATGGCCCCAACTCATCTACACCAAAAAAAATAAACTGCCTACATTAAATGAGTTTATTACTCAGCTAGTTAATCTCTCTAAGGTTAAGGCCCCAACCTTTATGTCAACATTAGTCTACCTTAACCGCCTCAAGTCTAAGCTGCGGCATAACGCTAGGGGCCAGCCATGGACCCTCTATGGTATCTTTCTAGCTGCCTTAATCCTTTCGGCCAAGAACCTTAACGACGCATCCCCTAAAAATAAACAATGGGCTGATTACACTCGTATGATCACCGACGACTACAGGTTTGGCTTTACCTGCGTCGAGGTCAACCTGATGGAGAGGCAGCTGCTCTCCATGCTCGGGTGGGAGCTAATAATCACTAAGCACGACCTGTACCGCGAGCTGGACTTTTTCCTCAACCCCCTACGCATTAAGCTAGAAAAGCACGTGCGTTGCCGCGAGAAGCAGAAGCAGGGGTTGTATCCCCAGAAGAAGGACCTTACCGATAGCTTATCACTGGTCAAATTATATAAAAGCGACCGAAAATGATCCTTTTCATATGGGAGCGACGCACAGCGACGGAGGGTCATGAGATACGCTTATTTAGATAGCTATATAACATTAGATTTGTATACTCAACAAGCTTGTGACGTCTGCGATATCCCCTCGATCTGCATTTGAAAAGAGGTTAAAAAAAGAAATCCATATTCTATCTTTTAAGAACATTAAGGTATTCTTAGTAAAAGCTACCATGTAAAAAACTATTAACATAAAGAGGCTAGTTAAAATACTATAGTTTATATTTTATACTACCTAACAATGTCATAACTCTCCTAATTAACTACTATAATGGAAGAGGTGAGGATATTAGACGTCTGGTTTATTTCGACATTTAATAAGCGATGCTTTATATGTAGTATATGAGAGGGCACTTTAAAAGCTATTGGCCTTGACGGGAAAGAAGAGCAAGTTGTATATTAGTAATTGCCCCCTCTCTTCCTATTTATCTTTCTGCCGGCTGCAGGATCCCAATAGACCAAGTTCCGGTGAGGGCAGCTAGCACACCATGCCCTCTCAAGCACAGTATAACGAATACTAAGGCACTCCTGGCGCCAATAACCCCTTGTTCTCCTTTGTGCTTTATAATGTGCTTTATAAGTGATCTCAACTATAAGTAGATGCTTTGGATACTATCGCATTTACGCACTTGCCTAATTACTTCACGACATATAGCTCTCTCTGCCCGGCATGAAATCTCACCAGTCTCGCCATTTTCCGTGGCGATCGATAGCAGGAGGGTCTAACCAGCATGCGCCGCAGGTGTCTTCTAACGAAGATTACAAAGCCATTAGCGACGAGAATCGAAAACACATTGACGAAGTCGTAAGTCACCACAACTTATCTTAGACTATTCTAAGCTTCTCATATGGCAATATTTTAGTTTGACTTAATGGATATGAAGAAAAAAGGGTGGCTGAATAGCTATGAATTTAAACACTCCCTCACCGCGCTGGGCTTCGACATGCCCAAACCCGACTACTACAGAGAACTAGAAAACTACGGTATCGTACCGCCGGACTGGCGAGATCCTCAAAGCTGCCCAGTCAACCGCCTGCTCATCTACCCCGACCAGTTTCGACTATGCGCTGCAAAGCTTATTGCCCACCGAGACCCGCGTGAAGAGAACATCAAAATATTTAATATGTTCGACTACGACCAGAATGGAATCATCTCGTTCGAAGATATGAGGCATCTTGCTCAGGATATTAAGGAAGAACGTCCAATGACGGACGAAGAGATTCAGACTATGATAGAACATCTCGATCACGACGGCAAAAATGGTGTAAATCTCGAAGAGTTTATACAGATGATGGAAGAGGCTGGCTAGTTGGGTATTCAGAAAGATATGCTGATAAAGTAGATCTTTTTCAGAGATAGCGTATCTTAATTTTAATGCTCTGGTTGGCGCTAGATATGTGACTAGAATGCCTTGCAGCAAATTTTAAATAAAACAGCTTGGCTTATGTAACTCTCTTAGTTTAAGTATTAGACAAGAATATATTACGTTTCCTCTTTTAGCCCCGTGTATAAATAGCCTGATGGATCTCTCTTTTTCTTCTCTCTCTGTCTCTCACTCTTTTAAGAAAGAAACAATTGTATTACAGTTTTAAAGTTACGCTAGATTTGAGATCATAATGTCTCCTGCAAACAAAAATTCCCAAGCGCAGACATATCAGCCTATGAAACTTAATCAAGGTAGGTTATATAAGGGCTTCTTTAATATATAATAGCTAAGCTTTATCCTAATATTATATATGTGCAGATAAATATGTTACTTGGGTTTGGCTTCTTTTGGCTCTCTGCCTGGCTCACTGGCTTGCTCGGTATATTTGGATATATTGTTTTCAGCTTAGAACATTTACTATAGAGGTGACCATTAGACTCCAGCAAGAACCTGTTAGTCCGCCAGCTTGCAAACTTTAGACTAGCTCGCACCTTCGGGACTAGCTCAGCTTGACTTGTTAGGGCAGGCGAATTTCTGAGTAGATAAAACTAAGCAACAAAAATAGTAAAGAATCCATGAAAGAAGCGACGTGAAATGCAAACACACGTGGTATTACCTTTCTTGACCTGCTTTGTAACAATTCAGTGCTTTTAAACTCGTACCTATACATAAATTCTACCTTAATTAATAAAATAACACCATTATCGGTACTTAGCGTATGCTACTGGGTTTGTTGGAGGTAGGTAGGCAAAATCAAGGTTATCTAGCTCAGGGTAGCAAAACCGGGCCATAGACACTAAGTTAATTTATCTATAAGTAGGATAATTTCCCTCGCCCTTCCTTTATATTCAATAGACGCACTGGAAAGTCTACTTTAAGTACAAAAGAAATTTTCGACACTCTTCATGATCTATTTACTCTATTAACCGGCGATGAAAAGTCTTGAAACAGCATTAGAGATATATCAATATCGACTTTCGACTCATCAGGCGCTAATTAAACTGCTAGCGGATGGCCCTCACCAAAATATTAATCATTTCCTTACGGTATTGACTGAGGGAATTAAAAAGAATGCAGATTACTTAGAAATACAATTTCCAAAAATAATCCGTAAGCTACATATTTATTTTTACTTATACCAACAGTATAATATTAATACCATTTTGCAGAGTATCTCCTGTATATAACTGAGAAAGATGAGTCTACAAGTGATGAAGATGAGTATATAACTGAGGAGGAAGATGAGTATATGACTAAGGAGGAAGCTTGAACTTATTGCACTTCTACACCTGCATAAAGGACTGAAGGAGAAATTACTTAAGCAACATGCACATACACAGCCACAGCATTTAACACTTCTCTGCACTTATTAAATAACTTATATATCGCTTACAAATGCTCAAAATTAATTTTATAAGGACAGCGGTCTTCGTTGCAGTTGGAAAGTATGGTCCGATATATACTGTACTAATGAACCCAGCTTGCGAGAGTTAAAAGCAATAATTTCAATCAAAAGCAGCAGATATTGAATCAGCACTTAGGAGGATAAATAGTAATTGTGATAGTATGTAAAGATATAACACTACTGTGGCAACAGCTATAAAAATCCGGACTACGCCGCTGCACCCAGCCCTGCTAGGATAACGACCATGTCCTTGGAGATGTTCAACTGCGCAGTCTCCGGCTCTCTGGACTACGCCGCTGCACCCAGCCCTGCTAGGATAACGACCATGTCCTTGGAGATGTTCAACTGCGGCGCAATCTTCAGGATGACCATAGATATTAAATAGCCACAGATTTTAATAGCCTAGAATTAGTTCAAGTGATAGAGCGCTTTTTGCCTGAGTGATCCAACTCGAACAATTCAAACTGTCCATTCCTCCTTTGAGACCTTCTATTCCCAGCTCTTGGAGGATGTTGACTGCTATATTCATACCTTTTGTTGACCTCAAGTCTGGACGCCTGTATGATGGCCTCTCCGTCTGCCATTTGTTGTATAGAAATATGAGGTGCAGATTTATGAGCAGTAAGGGTCTCTAGTTTCCGACGTTTATGTTCATGCTCAGAATTATCGTCATCATTCTCGCATCTTGACCTTTTCCTAGATGCCCTTTTATCTGTAGTTGGCTGGAAAGAAGGGGTGTCAGACGTTAGTTTAGGTGTTCCATTATGTTTTGGACGCTTATAGACACGGTCAATATCCTGTGCATATTTGTTGTCAATCTCGCTTCCATCTGTCGCTTGTTGGGTAGATGCAGAAGTGTCAAAATCGTCTTCAAATCGAACTCTTTTTCTAATTATTTCAAAGTTAATCTTTTGTGCTAAATATATAGCGCAGAATTAAATACTAACAGCTTCTTATTTCTAGCATTCGCTAAGTCTGCCCAAATTTGCTGTTCTATAAGAGTCGCCTCATCTTTCGGATCACCCTGAATATTCCCATGAAAATCGAGAGGATCGTATCTCTTATTTTGGTCTCGTCTATCTTTGTTAATCGGAGTTTGCGATTCATTCGCTGAGGGCTGCAGTTCGTTGCTATGTTTGCTAATAGTATTGTTTATCTGTATATTGCCTGCAGCATCTGCTTTCCAGCCGAAGACAAGACCTTCCAATAGTCGCACAACACTTGAGAAAGAAGTGGTTTCACATACTTGCAATGCTGTATCCCGGGCATCTTTGCATCCAAAGATATCTCCATTGTTTTTAATTTGGGTCTTGACTCTATCAATTCGCTTCCTATTTTCTTCTATTTTTTTCTCATTCGTTTCCTCGAAAATTCGCTCAAAGGCTTCTTTTTGGCCATTACCGCGTTGAGCCACGTCTAATGCTGTTTTGAAAAATTCGCTTTCCCCCCGGAAGGGGACTTGCGCGGTATTGAATCGCTTCTTGTATGCTTCCCAAAGCTTTAGGTCATGCATCTGAGGTTCACAACATGAGAGAATCTGTTTATGAAAATATCTTTCGTTTGGAGGCATTATAGCTGTGTGAGTCGGTCGCAGTCGCAGTCTAGCGCGGCGGGAGAGTAAAGGCAGTATATGGTAGAACCTGGATAGATATTTACGCCTAGAAGCTGAGTACTATCTATATATAGTATGAGAAGCAGAAGGTAATCGCAAATCGCTAGACAGCAGCCTGATATTGTATGTCACGTGCTTCATCCTTTCAGAATGCGTTGCACGTGCCTTCGAACGCGTCAAGTCTGGAGAGCTCAGTGCGGGGTTGGCAGGCCAACACGCTCTGCTTTGCAGTAGCTTGTAGCCAGATCCAATCGCGTCAACATTATCATTCACCGGCTGCCATCTAACCAACTGTTTAAGACCTACATATCTCCCGCACTTATACCTCAATCTATCACGCACTTCAGGCTATGTATATCCCTCATATTAATGCCTGGCTTGACGCTGTTGTGTCATCATCTCCCGACCTTCCTAAGCCAGGGTCTGATCCAGCATCTCCCAACTTTCCTGACACAGCTCCTAAAGCAACCAGAAAACGGAAAACCATGTCAAGATTCGATCTCGCCAGTCCTCCATTTAGCAATACAGAGGCTGATAGCAATGCGACGACTCCTCCCTAGAAAAGGCGCAGATTTGGGACCAAAGCGACGTATTAGATCCTGATGCAACACCTCGGCCAGGACGTCGCAGCTCTTCGGCGACTTCTGAGACGAGCTCAGGATCTACGTCAAGAGCATCATCAATTAGAAGACAGATGATGCGCTTGCGAACAGACACGGAGGGTATTGAATTCCAATCACTAAAAGATAAAACAATACCTGGTGTTGATAACACGCTGTTTGATACTATGAAACAATTTGGACGATGCCAACAGATTATACCAAATACCCTGAAAGAATATATTACTGAGAAACTTGGAAATAACGAAACCTTACTTAGTCAATGGCAGTATTCCTATAAGTCTGGGTCCGATAATTTGCCTGGTCAGATCCCCAAATTCGAGGAGATTCGGAAAATTTTGGCAAAAGCTACCGAGTGTGACGAACATAAACACTCAGAGGCTAGTTGGATTGCTGAAGTTCATCTACCTTTGCTTCATAGTATATTTGAGGACCCTTTGGGTAGATAGTGTGGTACCTTTAATGCCATGCTTTGGTAAGTTTGACTCTCTCGTAGAAAGAGCTATACTAATCGATTGTTGCAGTAACACGGCCAAACCATACTCGTGTTTCAAGCCGCTTTCGTCTAATTCAAAGATGATTGATATCTGTCTCTATGCCTCGCTCAACCAGAAAGACGAAATCGAATCCATGAATAAGTTTAGCAAGACCTCGCCTACCTTATCTATCAATCATACTGATTTCGAACCAATGCAATTTCGCCCTTTTATACTAAGCATCGAGACGAAGAAGTCCGAACCGGGCGATATGGCGCAGTTACAAATCGGTGTCTGGCTGGCTTCACAATGGAAATTTCTTCGCTGGGCCGTCAAGAAGAAGCTTCAGAAACAGCGCCCGGCCCATAACCTTGATGCAATAACATACGAGGAAGATGAAGAAGAAGGAATATCTACAGCATTATCAAAGCTTCCATTTATCCCGGGTATCATCATTCAAGGGAATTCTTGGAAATTGGTGATTTCTACATATACCGATGGAAAGACGACGCTATGGTCTGGCTCAGTGTTTGGTAAAACAGAAAGTTTGTTAGACATTTACGCTATCGTCGCCGGTATCAGGGAGTTAGCAGCTTGGGGGAGAGATATATATTTGCCGTGGCTCAAAAAGTATATCCTCAAACTTGAATAGCCTTGGATTTGGGGAATCTTTATTGCTCAGTTCGCCCGAGTTAGGCTGCGATATCCTGTAAATTCCTATCTAAGAGAGAGAGAGAGAGAGAAAGAGAGAAATCTAGATATGACCCCTATAAGACAAACGTAGAGGCAATGACTGTAAACAGTGCCACTATTTACGAGGCTATTAATGAGCATCTTCTTGTGAAGCCTTCTTCTTCTCGAATGTTTATTGATGTATATAGAGAAGGATTTAAACCGCCTCAGGAGTTGGAGTCAACGGAAGCTGGGTTGGAAATAAAGCGACTGGTTGCCTTCTTGGGCATGTTTTTGGCACCTTCCTTAGTATGCCGGTCAAGCTCAAGATTTCTTAGACAGAGTCTATGAAGGCAAATAGTAATACACTAAACGGGAATAGAGTTTCAAAAAAGGAAAGTTCTCGGGTATAGGATTTGGTTATTTCTCTCTTCTTATCTCTTCTTCTAAAGATTCTTTTTCAATTTCTTTCTATCTTTTACTTTCTTCTCCTCCTTCTCCTTCGTATCTTCCTTCCCTTTATCTTCTCTCTTCACCTTCTTCTTCACTGCTTTCTTCTTCTTCACTGCTTTCTTCTTCTTCACTGTCTTCTTCTTCTTCACTGCCTTCTTCTCCTTCTCCTTAAGACTTTTTATGTATGCCTTTTCCATGTGAAAGACGAATTTCACTAGGCTTAACCGCGCGTAAAGGATTAGTATACGGTCGTATAAGAATCCACAATTCAGTATTCGGATTGCTATGGCATTTATCTTGGATGCATATTTTGACAGCTGTATGAATTCTTAAGCAGTAGCTAATATGAGTCTTATGTATAGTAGAAGTGGCGGAGAAAAGCTGCTGACTTTCTTTGGAAAAGTCAACATCTTATATAGCCTTGGTGGTAAAATAGTCTGTCCACTTCGAAAATCGCCTCGAAAATCGCCCAGATTTGTGCGGCCGAGGTCCAGAATCTTCCATCAAGCGCCTCTTTCGCGAAACATTGATATACCCCTCCCCCCCCCACTAATTCCTCCTCCTCATCAGGTCCATCTTCAACTACCTTACGGAGCCCTTCGTCTACCGCTTGACGGCTTTCTTGACGGGCTCCTTCTCCTGCCTCTTTTTCATCTTCTGCCTTTGTACAGCTGAGTATATAGAATTCTTCAGTGCTAATACTTTTCGACATTTTATAGATGGTGCTTCCTCTGACTGGTTATAAGTAGTAATGAGAAGGTAGATGTTGTGCTCTTGGCTTCAATGAGAAAAGGCGGTACCTTTTATACTTAGTGACTTACCCTCCCCCCCCCCCCCCCCCCCCCCCCGGCAGCTATTGAACGACAAGGATGTCATTGCACTTGGGTAGTCTAAATTTTGGGGATGATTTTTACTAGGGGGGGTTCAAAATTAGATTGCGATACATCTGAGGTGGTTCCCACTTTCATTAGTGTGGCTTATCTTACATCGCGGAAGCTGTGGCTCATAACTTCCAACTCACCTCTTCCTCTCTTGGAAATACAGTTTACTGCATCTATAAGAGTTTGTATAAGGGTTCTGGTGCAACGTCCTGAGCTACTAGTACGCACCCTTCTGATTAGTCAAAAGGGGTTAATCACTAACTCTCGACTCCCATTATTCTCCAGTACCAAATAGAGGGAAGTTTTACAGTAGATCATTCATTCATCCATATATGTGCCATCATGCTATCCTTATAACACCATACTGTCCAATCCAGATGCCCCATTGTTGTGGGTTAGATTATACTGTGACTGAAGTGCGGCGTAGAGACTCTACTATTGCAACTCATAGGTGGGGCATGTGGGAGTACTGCACGGCGTTCTCTCGCTGCGGAGATCGAAAGTGGCGGACGAGGTGCCATTGTTTATGACAGACCCACACTACTACCTTTGGGACATAATTACTGAACCCGACAATAAGTATATATAGTTTCTTTTCATCCCTATCTTCATTAGAGTCATAGCTTCTCTACAGACTTTCTTTCAGAAACTCAAAATGCCCGCAGCCCAAGAGCGGAACCGGTCCTCTATCGAGGATATATATGAATATTACCTCTGCGAACGAGAAAAGTTTGAACAGATACGCAAAATCTTAGAGGCACCGCTCTTAGACCAGATCTTAGCCACGAAGTGCAAGGATAATCTTCATGTACGTTATACTTGACGTATCTTTTTATTATGCTGATGTTTAAGTAGGTTAAAATACCTGTATTAAAGTTATCTGAAATCTTAGAGTCACCGCTCTTAGACCAGATCTTAGCCACGAAGTGCAAGGATAATCTTTATGTACGTTATACTTGATGTATCTTTTTATTATGCTGATGTTTAAGTAGGTTACAATACCTGTATCAAAGTTATTTGAAAACTTAGAGCCACCGCTCTTAGACCAGATCTTAGCCACGAAGTGCAAGGATAATCTTTATGTACGTTATACTTGATGTATCTTTTTATTATGCTGATGTTTAAGTAGGTTAAAATAGATTCATATTCTGTATCTGGGTTTGATCATATAGGAAATGAATACCTGAATGGGAACCAACACGCAAGTGGGATAAATAATTGGCATCAAATTTTATTAATCTGCGTTTCTGTGCTCGTCATTTTTTTACAAATATGGCTGCAAAAGTATATGCATTAATGTATGTATTTGGCCTTTAGCAAGAACGAGCGCTCCGTTTAGTGGTGGACTTCTTATACAATTACTTCTTTATACTCATTGGGAAACATTGATTCAGTTACCAAATAACAAAACTGAATTTCTTCCACTACGCTTTAGAAAGAAAGAAAAAATCATAAACGGGGCAGCAACGATCACGCAAGTTCATCGCTTAGGGGGGTAAAGATGGTCGCGAATATATGCTCATTATAAACACTTTAGATAAGGGCATTCCCTAGCCAATTTGTCCATAATTAAATCTAAATTTACATATTATATTAGGCAAGGTAATAGATCACAGAGCATACCAATAAGCTACTACACTATGCTTCATAATGTACCTTTATCCAGTCACTGAGCTGAATTACGTTATGTCCCGTATAGTTAAACCAATAGTAGCGTAAGTGCGTGAGTAAAAGAGTGGTATCTCTGATATAACGCAATACATCTTAGAATAGTAGGTCTTCTAATACTCTTCTTCCAGAGGCTCTTCACCTTTAAGCAGTAATCTTATTATCCACTTGTTTCTGTAATAAAGACACCTTAAATATCAAATTCTCTATTATTAAATTCATATTATCAATGGAAAGTTGCAGGAGCGCAATTGGGATTAGTACGCCCTCTATAGTTCTGTGAGTAGGCCAAGGATGTTCGATCTCGTTTAGTTTTGAGGTATCTAGATTTTGGACATTCCATTCTTCCAGTAGATGATGCATCTTAATATGCATTTTAATAATCTCCGCTGATATAGTTTCTCCTGCATTATTAGTGTCTGAATCTATGATAAAGCCTGCCCATGTATCTACAGCATTCCTGGAATTTTTCAAATCCCAAATATGCGATTGGTCCTTAAGAACAGACTTACCCCAAGCTTCCGCATTATTGTTATTGAGGCTCGCTAATGCTTCTAGTATTTTATGGTGTGCCTTAAGCCCAGCCAGGAGATCCTTCGCTGTTGGAGAAGGCGGGGGGGTTAGGCTATTTTTCTTTTCTTCCTTAATGTTAAGAAGATCGGTTTTACCATCCCAATTCTCTACCGCGGTAATCCATCTTTCGGTTACACTTAATGCTTCGGCAGCTTTCTTTAGCTCTGTTATTTCGTTAATAAAAATAACAAACTCACTTAATTTGTACACTTACTTTCAAATGCATCTTTAGTCTTATCAAGTTCACAATATTTCGGATGTAAGTGGCATCCTATCGATATCCAGTTACTATCTTTCTCATCCTGATCTATCTCATATATTGTGATGTCTAATATTTCATTGTAATTACTATGTGGACATGCAAAAATTCGACCAATTTCTTCTGTCGTAATCTCAATCCGAGCTTGCTCAGCTTCCTTCTGTGCAAGTCGTTGGGCATTTTCAGCTGCTTCCTTTGTCTGAGCGCCAGCTATCTTCTTTCCAAGACGATTCGATTCCACCGGAGCATCAACTTTCTCCTGATCAATACAAGCTTCCCTAAGCTCTGGACTACCTATTGAAGTAAGGAGAGTGAGAGAATTTAAAGACGATTGAGCAATTTTTTCTTTCTCCCTCACCAGCTCTCTGGCTTGCCGCCTCTTCTCTCTAGGACTAACTTCAGAGCCCCTCGAAAACATCATGAGTCTCAGAATTTTAAGGCGAATTTATTAATCAGCTTATTTTAGGGTAGTGAATACCGTAAAGTTCGAAATGGGTGTCGCGGGTTTTCTTAGTTAATTTAGTAACAAGGCGACGGCTAATTGTGGACTTGTACCTCTAAGTTTCCAGCTGTACCCTGCAGGTACTGCGGGGCACTGTAACAAAACCGGGACAGGCCCCCGCCGCCAGCGCTCTTTCCATTTCCTTTCCCATTCTTTCCTTTGCTCTCCCTCTATAGCCAAAGCGGGCTTTTTATAACCTTGATCATGGCGCCGCCCTTGGAGGCTGCCGATCGCAGTCTGATAAAATTCCCTACCGAAATGGGTGTCGTAGGCCTTGTTAGTTAACGCTTTTAGTGGCGTCCATTTTAGTCACTTGTGGTCGACGTGCTGTACTAGCCTGTACCCGTGAAGTACTGTTTTGAATTTTCTTATCACAAACAATGAGCCAATTCTAGCATCATTATAAATTCACATTCACAGTTACGTGCGTGTCAGCTCACAAGTTGCATTGCCTCTAGAAGATGCGAGAAAGTTCCTCACAAGATACTATAAATCAACATAGTCTCCTACGACCTTCACTTTGCAAATTTATTAAGAAAAAAGAGAAAGACGTGTCACGCTCAGAGATTATAACAGGGAATATGGCCCACCGGACATCCTAAATACCACCACTCTCCCTGAACCAGTACCCAGAGCTATAGCTACGTCCGTTAACGGCACCTGTGGCGACGTAGAAGGTGATGCATAAGGCCATACGGCCGACGTGGAAGGCTGGTATTCGGGCGGAAGCCATAATATATTATGCCCATTCCAGGTAATCCAACCTTTATCGGTGCTTATGCCCCAGCCATAATGTTTTGCCTTTTGAGTATCATTAGCAATGGGCCGGCGTTGATCCTGATCCTGAGCCAGATCTGAATCTGGAGACAGAACTTGAGCTACCATCGATTGGGCTTCAGTTCGATGTTCTACGCCCAATTTTATAGGGCCGATTTCGGTATACAGGTATGAGGCTATATCGTCGAAGGATATAGTGCGTATTGCGGTGTTAACCTTAAGTGTTTGTCGCTCTTTGCCTGTCGTCGCATCCCAGATCTTAATAGTCCCATCTAATGACCCTGAGGCGAGGTAGCGGCCATCCGCTGAGAAGGCCACCGACCTGACCCAATGGCTATGGCCCTTAAGTGTTTGCCGCTCTTCGCCCGTCGTCGCATCCCAGATCTTAATGGTGTTATCGCCTGACCCTGAGGCGAGGTAGCGGCCATCCGTTGAGAAAGCCACTGAATAAACCGTACCGCTATGGCCCTTAAGTGTTTGCTGCTCTTTGCCTGTTGTTGCATCCCAGATTTTAATAGTCTTATCGCCTGACCCTGAGGCGAGGTAGAGGCCATCTGCTGAGAAGGCCACCGACCAGACCCCACTGCGATGGCCACTTAATGTTTGCCGCTTTTTGCCTATTATCGTATCCCAGATCTTAATAGTCTTATCGTCTGACCCTGAGGCAAGGTAGCGGCTATCCGCGGAGAAGGCCACCGACACAACCCCACCGCAATGGCCCTTAAGTGTTTGCTGCTTTTTGCCTGTTATTATATCCCAAATCTTAATGGTGCTATCGCTTGACCCTAAAGTGAGGTAGAGGCCATCCGCTGAGAAGGCCACTGAATAAACCGTACCGCTATGGCCCTTAAGTGTTTGCCGCTCTTTGCCTGTTGCGGCATCCCAGATCTTGATAGTCTTATCGTCTGACCCTGAGGCGAGGTAGAGGCCATCCGCTGAGAAGGCCACCGACCAGACCCCACCGCGATGGCCACTTAGTGTTTGCCGCTCTTTGCCTGTTGTGGCATCCCAGATCTTGATAGTCTTATCGTCTGACCCTGAGGCGAGGTAGCAGCCATCCATTGAAAAAGTCACTAAATAAACCATACCGCTATGGCCCTTAAGTGTTTGCCGCTCTTTGCCTATCGTCGCATCCCAGATCTTAATAGTCTTATCGTCTGACCCTAAGGCAAGGTAGCGGCTATCCGCTGAGAAGGCCACCGACCAGACCCTACTGTAATGGCCACTTAGTGTTTGCCGCTTTTTGCCTGTTGTCATATCCCAGATCTTAATAGTTTTATCATCTAACCCTGAGGCGAGGTAGCGGCCATCTGCTGAGAAGGCCACCGACCAGACCGTACCGCTATACCCCTTTAGTGTTTGCCGCTCTTTGCCTGTTATCGTATCCCAGATCTTGATGGTGTCGTCAGATGACCCTGAAGCGAGGTAGAGGCCATCTGCTGAGAAGGCCACCGACTCGACAGTACCGCCATGGCCCTTGAGTGTTTGTAAATAAGGGCTCCAATTGTATTCCACTCTAGGCTTAACCTTTAGCCATTTAGGTTCTTCCTCTTTAAATACTTTCCGTATAAAGCTGTTTAATGGACTGAATATAAGCGCTGATGTATATACCTGGAGTGGATTATTTACAATCACCGAACTGCTCCGCCGGATAAACCGCTGTGAGTCTTGTGCAAGTTCTAGTAATTGGCAGTCTGATGACTGACGGTCCGGTAATTTTCCCTTTATTAATCAGTTTCACTTCACTTGTCACAGCGCGACCGGCTTACTCTCAGTAGATTTTCTAGCCTTGCCATTGAAAGAACCCCATCCTCTATATTCCCCATAAGGCCCAAAGCCTCGAGCCAATATAGGAAGTTCTTTTGAAAGAATAGGAAGGCTGTCTGGTACTTATGGTCAACATGGTCCTGAGATTGGCTATTACTGTTATATACATAACAGAAATGGTCGACCCAATGGGCGCAGGAATACCGCAGAGCGACTAGCGGATCTGGATCTGGAGCCTTAATTTCGTTAATTGGGAGTCCAGGAGGATATAAATTATAAATATTCCATTGTAATGTGGCAGACATAGCTTTTAATGACCGCGCAAAGATCACATCATGGACGTTAGCTGAGCCAGAGGGGAATATAGTAGGCGCTGCTTTGTCACTTAAGTAGTCCTTGGCTGACTGGTGGATAACGTAAACTCGGCCGTCTCGCACAGTAAGAAATGAGCCACAAAACCCTATTGCCTTATTAATTAACTCGGCATCTGCGGGATTATCGTCTGAGGACTCAATAAGGATGCCAAGCTCAGCCAGTGTAACAGGCCGATACACAAGCAACACCGTCGCAAGGATCTGGTAACAAAACTTAGCATCTCTATCATCCTCTAAATCACGTATTTGATTTATCATCCTCTCATATAAAAAATCAAGTCCAGGTGGAAACTCGTTTAGCTTTGAGAGGTCATTCCGTAGCGAGATCTTCCTTAAGTTCTGACAGACTAAGGCTACCCAGAGGAAGGTATTATTAGAATTAGAAAATAAGTGGTGCTGAACAGCATCTTTTGTTATAGCATCGTATTTCCTTTTCTGGGCTAACCATTTAACTTGGTGCTTGATATACGCATTGACGGCTGCGGAGATAGACTTTTCGTTGAGCTCTAGACAGAGCCTCATTTGCTGAGTGGCAGAATCAAGACGCTCCTCAATATCTGGCCGGTTGCGACTGGAGACTATCCACTTGACGCAGGAAAAGAGAGTGGACTTTATATTAATAAAGTCGAGCAGCTTTGGTAGGTCGGTCACGCATTCGTCGAGTGCGTCAATAATGATATAAGTCCGCTCCAGGCTTTCGTCTAAGATTTTTGAGAAGATCTCTGATAACGCAGTCCACGCATTCACATCCTTAAAAAGCGCCTCCCCCCCATGTTTATATTTTTTTTGTATGTGGGAGATAAGCAGCGGCTGCTGCTCCACAACCAGATAGATAAGGCCTCGCAGCACGGCTGTGGCGCTGTTGATGCGCTCGTCGGTGGCCTGACAGAAGAAGTAGGATAACAGTGTGTTGGCTTTCTGGTCCTCTAGTCTCGTTTCGGAGCTTAACTCATTCACAATGCCGCAGAGCAACATTGTCTTGCCCTTGCCGGGATCGCCCTTGATCCAGAGCAAGCGGCTGCGTTCGTCGTCGCGCCATTGTCGGAAATCGCTATGCTCGAGGATCCAACGGTACGAATCTTCAAATAGGCCGCCCTTTGTGGCCTCAATGCGAGTTTTATCGTCGCGGGGGTCCGTTATACGTAAATCCGCGAGGCATTTCGTATCGTCTTCTCGAGTCTTATCATTGGGTGAGTGGTAATGAAAATCAACTTGGTTGATTGTGGTATCATCGCCAAAGTGGTTGCCTGTAATCTTGCGCGAGTGCGTCGCCGCTAGATCCATTGTGACTAAAATATTCCAAGAGACGAAACCCTTTGACGCGAAACAAGATCTTCGAATACAGTGAAGGACATTGGCCGAGTGGCGAACCACCAGCGGCATCCGAGAGAATTGAAGGGAAGCAATTGTACAAGATTTAATACGCATGGCCAGGAGGGCTAGACGTATCCGGCCCAGAAATTGTAGCCTAATCGTTGGGCAGCTTTAGATTATGTATGGCTGCCATCCAATCCTGCCTAATGATACCCCTCATTTGCTACGTGTGCAAGCGCACACGAGAATGTCGTGGCGGGATGTAGCAACGTGTCAGCTTGTTTCGCACAAATGAGTCGCCGCAACGAGATGCTTTTTCACGGAATCATAGCAACAGGACAAAATACTGTAAAATATATATCGTTGTCTCTATGCACAACGGTCCTCTGCTTTGGAGCGTTATCTAAGTTGCCTTCCTCTTTGAGCAGCTATCATAAAGAGGGGCCTTTCTTGGCTTTGTTACGGTGCTCCACAGTACCTGCGGGGTACAGCTGGAAACTTGAAAGGTACAAGTCCACAAATGGCCGTCACCTTGTTACTAAATTAACTAAGAAAACCCGCGACACCCATTTCGAATATTACGGTAGCATTACCTACTGTATATGTATGTATCAACGCTCTCTTTTTGCCCTAACTCTGCAGGAGCCGTTTCTAGACAGTTAAGAAAGAGTTTTAACTGCGCTACCAATTCCAGCTGTTACTGCCCATTAATGCTCCAACCCCACCTGCCTAAATTAGAAATTTTTTTGACATGGATATTACGGACACTGATTGGTCGCACATTATACACAGGTTGTAAATTTTTGGCCATTTAAGATAACCATCCAATACTGGATTTAGTCAGAATTTCTTTTGATGACTCAAGCATTAAGGCTTAGACGCTGGATAAGAGTAGAATGATACATAGTGCATAAAGTAAGATATGTACACTTATGTCGTGTCGCAAAAGGAGAGTTACAAGCATTTATTTCACGCCAAAATTAAAATGGCCCGCAAGGGGTCTCAGGCACGTCCAACAGACGTGGAAGATGGTGCGACAACAGTTACAGCGGGGATGCCGGTGTATCTGGATCAGCACCCCATTTCTCATTACGAACCTATGGGCCACACAGGTACAGCCTGGATTGGCTTGCATCGCCAATATTCAAGCCGGCAATTGGCTGTGGTCCAGACAGTGTACCAAACTACAGCATTGGACATTCAGAGATTTGTGCAGTTGGCTCATCTTCACATTGCCCGACCGATAGCCCTATATTCAACTGGGGTAGAAATGTATGTCGCCTATGAATATATCGAGCTTGATCTTTACGACCTGCTCCCCCTATCTGAAACCGAAGTCGCCGCTATTATGTCTCAGGTATGTTCAATCAATTAGAGTAAAGGATATAACTAATTAGTACTATTGTTGCTAGATATTAGATGCGGTTCATTATCTCATTCAAAACCAAGTAGGATTCCGCATTGCAACGATTCGTGTATCAGCAAAGGGCTATGTAAAGATAGGTGAGTATTATTTACAGAGAAACAATATGTTTTGACTAAACTAGCTTCTAGTGCCCGATTGGAGTTTTGAGACAAGCTTGAATATTACACTTCAATTGACGAATATAGCATACATAGCAATTTATCTTGGAGAAACGATGCTTAAGTTATGTCCAACTCCATTGCCACTCTGTTTCACTTTTATTTCTGAACTCAGTTCGGGTTCCATACCAGCCAAAGATGTGGGGAAAAAGAATTCTCAAGATATAATAAAAGTCCAAGCTAATCGAAAGTAGCATGAATTTATTAAGCAAGGAAGCAAACCTGTTATATTAATGCAAGCATGTACATTTGCTATCCGAAGGAAACTTGCGGGTATTAGGTAGCGTACCGAGAGTGCAGAAATACTAAGATTTTTCTATTTGTTAAACCAAAAAATCAATGCGTATATGTATTAAACCCTCCCCATATTGATTGACCTCGGATATCGTTTCCTAAGGTTATATTCCCGAGGTGTAATGCCCAATCTTCGCAATTTAGCTAATTTAAGGGAGTTTTGCAATATCAAATTTTCTTTGCGACATATAACCATCGTTCTCGATTGCCGAGTGCAACTGGCTGCAGAATATTGTGCACATTGTCGTATTTTGTCGGATATAAAATGTTACTTTGTTTGCATAGCGATTTAGTCTGAACCTTTGCACCTGTATTGGGCATGTTTCTAATTATGAATATAATTGGTCACGTCCTGTGGTAGATCTAAATCATCTGGTATCCATATCTTGTTTCCTATCATTGGGCATCCGTTTATCATAGAAACATTGTTCGGAAACATTTTCAAACCTCCCCGCTCTATATGCTGCTTTATTATTCCGAGGATTCTTTTATATGGTTGAGAACTTGATAGAGTATTAAGTTGGTTGACTTAAATTGCCCTTGTGCCTTGTTCGGTCATTTTTGGAATCGAAAAGTTAGAAGTAAATAGGCGGGGGAAATTTTATAAATCAGAATATTAAGAAATTTGGAAAATAAAGGAGAATATCTCTCTATGGTATATTGATAATGAATGGGATAACTTTATCTAGTTACAAAAATGGGAGCAAGTCCTCCTATATAAGTATCTGGACTGACCAAATTGTCTTGTTTTTTACACTAATTGCATGACGCAATGTATTACTCCCTGATGCTGCAAATGAGCTAAAGCAATCTAGTAATCATTAAAAAGAGGAAAACTGCTAGTGCTTTGCCTGGCTGCACACGTTGCCCCGAGCTTTCTGGAGTTGGCATCAATGAGGTGTTTGTTGGTGAAACAGGCGTGACAGTTGGTAAAGAACTGATATAACTACTGGCGTTAGTAGCCGCAGATATATTCTGAGCATTAGGCAGCATCGTATGTAATGGTGTCTCGTTGCAAACGCAGCAGCGGACCGAAGAAGTGATACTATTTCAACTTAGCTATTGAAGCTTATCTAGGAAATTATTAACACTACCTCCCAGTTGGGTTGCCAAAAGGCCCAACATGAATATAATTAGCAGTATTGAGAGACGTCATGATAAGCACTTTAATAGTAAGTACGTCTTAATGTATGTATAAATAAAGAGACCTCTCATAATATATATTTTCTTGTGGATGTATAAGTGTCTATATACTGCTTTTCTACCTACTATTTATAACTTAATAGCTTCCACAAATGGCTTTGGCTAATCTGTGCTATTGTAGGGCAATAGATATTTAGCTTTGTGCCTTACGTATTGATTCCTTCTGCGAGCGGTTGACGGCTCTCCCAAGCGGCCACAATTGGCTTCCAACTGTCGAGTCATTCTCCACTAGATTTTACTTATGTACAAACGTACTGTATGTAAGTACCGTAGCATCCTTGTTATACTTAAGTTCAACTTACTCCTTAAAGCTATGTACCTTATATAATTTTGAACTATTGTAGAGATGGAAATTGTGACACCTGTAAACCTGTATAAAGGATGCCCTGTTCATACGCTGTGGTCGCCATCAGTCACCGTAATCGAAGTACTGCTATCTGTTAAAGTTTCACAGCAGATATATCATGGCGTTAGAGCAAGATATGTTGATGAGCATGCGTGGGATCTCCCATATGAGGAGAGCTTGTTATGGGTATTCGATGATGGACATGGCCTGAGGTTATGCCAAGAGATGTATCAACAGGGACCCAGGATCGTTGACGATAGACTACAGATTGATATTCAAGCAGTCATTGGGACTTACCAAACTATGTCAGGAAACGTATTTCTCGGGATTAAATGGCAGAACTGTGATTATCCGACGTGGGAGTTGGAAGATGATGTAATTCGCTGTAGTAACTTTTCCAGCTACCAATTAAATTTTATATCTACTAATTAAACCAATTTGTATATTGGCCAAGTAAGGCAAAATGAAAAGAATACACTAGTATATGTCTAGCCTTAATTTTATACTGCACCTAGCTAGCTACAGTAACCAACTATGTACCAACGGCTTCACTTAGTTTTATGGCTGGTAATCCAGTTCTTTAAGCTCAAACCCTTTTAGTAGATAACCTCGGATAGCCCTACGAACATCATCTCTCATCTTCTCATTTGCAGAAACTGATTTTCTTAGTATCGTCTTTTGCTCAAATATTAAAACAACTTACCCAGGATCAATGTTTTGCTATTTCCATTCATGGATTTTGACTCAGCTTCAATGATGGAGGCTACTGCCGGCGCGTGGGGATTAATAGAATAGTGATCGTGTCTGCTACTTTCCTTTTTTATGTCCATTTCATTATAGATTGATAGATACAGTACCTAAAATTTATTATTTTAAAACAGTTATACATCAACTAAGGTGATAAACCTACTTTAGCTGTATCAATGTCATACAAAGGATTTATAAAATCCTTGACCGCTTCACGAAGATCTGGATATATTAGAAGCCAAATATTGTATAGTTTTTTAGACCTTACCTAGATTCTTCACCTGCCATATTATATGAACCTTTTTCCCCTTATATCCTCTCTCATTACAACCATGAACTAGCTTTGTAACATACGGCAGCACAGTAGCTATTCCGAATCCAGTGGCAAAAAGAAGGATGTAGTCAAACTCCCCAACCGGGGCTGAGGTACCATGTGGCCCGCTGAAGAATACCCTAAGATCATTCTTATTGCTCAAGTGGGCTAGCTTCTTTGTAAAACCACTTCGTTGCTTTATAAGTAGCTTAAGGTGCGTCTGCGAAGATGACTCCCAGGATGCGACTGTAAAAGGATGGCTCGAGAATAGTGATAGTGAAGGAACCCATATATTAAGATATTGGCCTGGACTAATGTTCAATGGTCGAGATCGCGTAATTGTCGCACTTACTAAATCGTCGTTAATGTAGTCAACATTCAAACGCGAATTACTTCCTGGCCATAGGTTATTGTATATAATGGACGCCAAATAAAAAGCTCCTAACAAACAAAAGATTCCAATGAATATATATAAAGGCCTCCATTGATACTCTGCAATTGTCATAAGGTGATTGAATACAAAAACTACCACGCCTATTGCAAGTAGCTGATGAAGCCGGAGGAAAGTTTCATACCACAGCCTTCGAAAGAGGGGAAGCGAGAGAAGTATCAAGAGAATTATTATAGCAGCTCCCTATATATGTCAGCAACGCATGTCTATTATATAGATAGATATCATATAAACCACACAATTAATGGGTACCAGTCCGTAATTGGCATTCCCGTACTTAAGCGAGAATGATGGGTTAGGGCAACCCCCCCATGAAAAATAACGTGGCCCATAGCCATCAATCCACATAATCGATGGAGTTGCCGATATGTGGGCAATGATACCCCGAAAAGATCGGAAAGGAAGCTTAGATGTGTTGTTAAATATAGAGGCATCATGTTAATCAGAGATAGAGTGCCCGCCCGTGAGGCTGCCTGAGTTATTGAATCCACCCCGTATGCAAGGCTGATAACGTTGCCTCCAATATAGACCACATGGAAGAATGCGGATGCCACTGTGATAGGACCTATTAAAGCATACCGATTTACCAAGAAGTAACAGCCTATAGCCCGAGCTGGCAGGACAATTAATGTTCTTAGGGTAGGGACTACATATGGAATTATGCTTTTACATAGAAACAGCAGTAGAAAGCAGCCAACGAAGCAGAATAAATAAATATCTACTGGGCTTATCATTATGAAAATATTATTTCTTATATTATTTGCAACTCTAAACGAAGATTAAAAGAGTATATAGCATTCAAGTTTTTTCAATACTAGGTATACATGGAGAAAGTCATCTAGAATGACTAATCATCAATTGGAAGGATAATAGTGGCCATAATCAAGGCTCAACACTCCACCACTTTAAGCAGAAAATGGACTGGAATTAGCTATCCACCATCCGGTTATAAACATAACTTGTACATATCTCTGTTACAGTACATACTGTAGGTAGCTAATACTTATTTACTCTATATTAATATGAAGAAAGACCTTTCTCTTTATCTTGCCATTCGTAGAGAGGACCAAAAAGGTGAATCCTTTGGCAAGGCAGCATTTGAATCTAATAAGAATAATTTTTCTACTCCGCACACCCGCGACTGTATCAAAAGACTGTTGAAACAGAAAATTTTAAAAGAGGCTTTCGATCCACTGCTAGAAGTTCCTGGATTGCAACAAGGAATGCGATTTAGTACTCTCCATAAGTTATGTTGTGCTAAGAGCGATGAGGTGAGTGCCGCCAACGGCTTGCCTGCACAGTTGAATAAAATAACCTGGAATAGTAGGAAGCAGCAGCCTATCTCAAACATACTTTTAATTTATGGCTAGGAATTGCTTTAGAGAGCAAGCAGGCTATGAAAAAAATAGCTACCGAAGATGTTCAAGCCTTAGAGCTCCGCTGTCCGAAGTTGTGTTCACGTGATGCGGCAGATATTAATGATATGTTTAATAATGGAAGTATTTTCGTCGCATTCAACCAAGATGAACGCAAAGCTATAAAAGAGAAAATTCTCTCCATTGATTACGTCATACCTTCATTAAGTACTTTTTTTCAGGATTTCTATCTTCTCAACCTTTGCGCTCAAAGTATGAGGCATATCGTCACGCCTGCTGACAAGATGACAATTCGCACAACATTGAGACGCAATTACAAATCCCTTGCATCAGAACAAAGCACGGAAGAAATAATTACTTCAGCAAACGGAGCCTCTACCGATGAAGCTGTCTCCTTTGATTTAGCTATGGAACTCTTGTGGATTTTTGTCTTGGGAGAATTTCAGAGAATGCCACCGCCGAATAAAGGAACTGGAGGCAGACTACTCGCGGATTACCTTACAGAAAAGCCACACATAGGTGCTCTTCTCCGATTTGCTACCCTTGCCAAAAGCTTAGGATTCGAGACTCCAGAGATAATACGATTATCGCGGCTTACAATAGCTGATAAAAGTGAACACTCTGTTGAGCATGATGTTGACAAGCAACCACAATTGATGGATTTTCTTCTAAAGCATCCTAATTTTGCAGCATCTTTTATTCTAGGGAATTCTAAGTCAATTTTAGGGCCAGAATCATATGCCCGAGTACTTCGTCGACGGTGTGGCCGCCCGAAACATGACCTGTACCAGCATGATAGGACCCATCTCAAAAAGGAATTAATTCATTTTAACTATGGTGCATTGCGTGTGAAGGGTCAAGATATAACATCATTTCTAGTTTTAAGATCTCAGTGCTTACTGTTTTTCTCGTCCCCAAGGGAAGACTTGGCCCATGTGGTAGCATCAGAGCCTACTACTACCGAGAATTTGGAAATATCTCGCCCATCAGCTACCACATATTTGAGCGAAATATCGGAACAAGATAGTACATTAGATACTTCTGAATCCTCACAAAACTTAGCTCACGTAGTCGTACCCGAGCCTGCTGCTGCCACTACCAACATTTCGCAGCAATGGTATCTATCAGATTCCCTAGATTTGAGGGATATACGGGAACGGCGTACTGCCTCAGAGATTCCTGGACATTCACATAACGAAATAGAGCATATGCCGCCACCAGAAGAACGACATGCATCTTCTCCAAAGCCAGCATCAGCTACCAAATTTCAGTTTATAACATATAAAAAAGGTCGATTCGAGATTTGCGCAGAAGTTGACGGAAGCGACGAGGAAGCGGTACAGAAGACTGCCGAAAATATGACAGAGGAAGGCGAAATGAAACTATATAATCTCTCCATTTTTCCAATCGATCCAAAACAGTGTTTCAATTCTCCAGAAGACATGCACACCGTCATTGCACTCCGAACAGAGGGCTTAAATATAACTGAAAATTTGAGGAATGATGCGAAGTCTTATAGACAACGAAAACAAGATGCAACACGTCAATTTTTCAGGAGATAAACTACTTTTTATAAAACGCACCAGCCATATAAGCCATATTAAAACTAGTCTTTGAGTTGAATTGATAAAGCCCTTATTTAGTATGAAAGAAAATAGAGGATATCCTGTATCTTATAATAATGACGGGGTTTTATGCCTTCTTACTACTATAATATTACTATGGGAGAATATGTATTATGGTGAATCTCATTTCCAGAATTTTACTCGCTGGCTATTCGCTTGCTCAATACTGGAGTGACATTTCTGAACTGTTGAATATAGGCCACTAGAATGATACAGAATAAGAGGCATAATACGCAATAGAACATCGTCCGTTAAATTTTTGTAATACTCCAGCTCACATGTTAATTGGCGTATTTCATCATTGAGTTCCACAATGCGCCTTTGAGGCGAGATGGTAACAGTCTTCAGCGGTAGCTCTGCAAATTGCATCGTGCTTGTGCTGGCAGTTCTTGTATCTTCTCCTTTTGGCTCTGTCAACTTCTCACCTACGATTCCATCCATGTTTGGATATTGGGACATTTTATTCTTAAGCTTAAAGGACTTCATACTAGAATATAAAAGCTTGCATTTAAATATGCCAGCGGGATATCTATTTAATAGTGAGTTATCATAAAGTATTTATATTTTATAGCTAAATCTTCTACAGTATGTACAGCAATACTGGATTTTACTTTTAACTCTTTTCTCTACTGCCAAGCTTAGATGCAGTGTCCATTTACTAACGGCAATAACTTGTTAGATCGGCTGCTTTTGGCTAACAATAACTAAAAGTCAGCGTCTCTTTAAGCGCACTGTGTACCCGCCTTAACAGATAACTAACTCGATTTAGAGGCAACAACAGAGTTTCAAACACACTCTAAGCCATACATACAGCAGGTTCAGTATACACTTCTTAAACACTCACTTTTAGCTAAATGTTTGCACAGGGCAATTAGTACAACAGATATAAATATCCCAAATAGCAAGAATACTCAGTGAAAGCAAATCTCCATTCTAATCAGAATATATATTCGATGGCATTCGAATCATTCAAGTCCAATAGATCATAATAGCCATATTAGCCCCCCCCCCCCCCCCCCCCCACCTACTAAAAAGGATGTATCATAGTCTAATAACTTTCATATATATGATCTAGATGAAGTTATACTGCAACAGTTGCAGAGTCGCACTCTTCCGTCCAAATGCTCGGTAGTAATGATTGTGTCTTTATCTTGTGCTCGACGTATGTGACCTGGCGTAGAAATTTCTCAGCTTTATTACCGTACCACCCAAAGTGCTTTCCTAGTAGGTCTTGGACGGCCCTTGGGGAGTGAGGCTGCTAGTGGAGGGTCGTTACTTGACTTATGGCTGCTGTTTGCATTGCAGCGCAACGCTGTCTCACTTCTAGCAAGTTCGCTCACAGGGCTACCTTAAACGACTGTTCTTAGCACCACCTTTCCATCACTTTCCATGTCCTTCCAAACACTGCTCCGCCGTGCAATCGTGCGAGTAAGTTATTGCTGTCAAATCGACCAATTTTACACCCAGAACTGTTTCCGCAATGTCGATAATAAAGCCACTCGTATTCGTAATTTTGGAGGTCTGCATATCAATACTGCATAATGCGGTGTGTGACATTCTAGCGCTTGTATTTAGGGACCAATGCAGCCCCCAATTGATGTGACCGGAACCTGCCTGATTGGGAATAATATTTGTCTTATCTGGGCGGCATAAAGCACTTCCTGCCTCGTTGTGGTGGCGATGTTGTGAGACTGCATGAGAAAGATTTGACGTGGCTGGAGACCATTGGTGTCCTAACGCCTAAGTTGTCCACGGAGCCTAACGCACAATTTCACAGCCACGTAGCCAGCAAATGCTCCCCCAGATTCGACTTCAACACTGTGCCCAAGAATTGATACATACTATATACTGCGCCATAGTCCAACTACCCTTGTTTCCATGCTGTAATAAACAGTTTGTTACTTAATCCAGCTTGATTTTGCATAAATATAAGCCGTTCTTAGATAAACGCCGCATCTTGCCGCTCGTTAAGGGTTCTTAAGACTAGTTTTAGGCGAGGCTTTCACCGCGTGTCTGCTATAAAAAGCACTGCCCAGCGCATCAGAAATGATCTCCGGAATAATGTTCAGCCGTGCTGTCTTGGCCAGACGGCGGGGACTTTTTTATATTTAATCGGCAAGCTGCCAGTCTCTGAGTTCAAGTCAACCAAAGCCGGGCGAACACCACCTCAAGCACATTTGCGTGTCACTAGTGGGGTGATACTTGGATTATCTAGCCGCATTTCTTGACGTTTATTGCGAAAGTTTGTTTGTGTTCTCCGCCATACTGCCTGGTTATCGATGCGAGCCATGATCACGTTGCAAAACTATGAGAAGCGCGGCCAGAATGAAGAAGCGTGGCAGCTCACCCAAGAAATATTTAATGATCTTCGTCAAAACAGACATCGCAGTCATCCAAAGAGCAAAAAAATCCCCCCATGGGTCGATTGGGTGGAACGCATGGTGCTAGGCTACGAGGCGCACGGCCAGCACGAGGAAGCATGGAAGCTTACCCAAGAAGCACTTAACGCTCTTCATGAAAAAAAAAGGATCCACGATCCGGATTACATTACCTCATGGGTCGAACGCATGGTGCAGGGCTGTGAAGCACGCGGCCAATATGAAGAAGCATGGTGGCTCATCAAAGAAACATTTAGCGCCCTTCGTCAAAAGGGAGTCTATCTATATGACCCGAAAATCGTCCCATGGATCGAGCGCATGGTGCAGGGCTATGAAGCACACGGCCAGCATGAACAAGCATGGGAGCTTATCCAAGAAGCGTTTAACGCTCATAGTCAAACAAGAAATATCTGCCATGACCCCAGAATCGCCGCCTTATGGGTCGAACGCATGGTGCCATCCAATGAGGCATTGCAGCTCACTCAGAAGTTATATAATGCATATGGTGGAGAGGAAGCTTCACTCAGCAGTCTTGGTATTGACGTTTTCTCTGAATTATTCGACGGAGCGTCTGTGACAGATTCGACCCTCTTGAACATGATTCCACGGCAAAAAAGATTGGAGCTGCTTGCCTCTGCTAAAATTTCTCCAATTTGTCGGCTTATAGTCTCGAGGAGTCTCCGATATACTCAAAGCGAGTGTAAATTAGTTATTTTGGAGAAAGACGGCGAAAGGCTTGAAATCCACCAAGATGTTCTGTGTTTTTGGTCAGGCTACTTTAAAGCTGCTTTGTCTGGCCGATGGAGAGTTCAGGATGTTTACAACTGGGACCTGAACAATATGTTTACTATCACTTCTCTCAGGAAAGTCTTCGAAGGTTCCCTATACACAGGAAGAAGCTATAAGCGCGGGTCTAATGAGGAGTACGAGATGGAGAAAAGAATCGCAGATTACTTTGATATTAAAGGATTAGTGCTTTAATTTTAGAATAGTAAGAGACGTGATATCTGCTTGAGCGTTTGAAATTTGGTACGTTCAATTCAAGGCTAAATAATAAGTACTGCCAAAGCGACGGGCACAGTTATTGTTAAGTTGAAAGTTGGGTATTATGTTATATTCATTGAAGGTCTTAATTATCTGGTTGTGAAGTCGGGGGCAGGCCCTCTTATATACACATTTACGAGATCCGTAGAGACACATTGGTCAGAGGTCACCTTGTAGTCAACAGTTATAGCGGAGCGTAGTTATTGTATTTCCACCCTACTATGTAGTAGCTACTAAGAAGAATTTATTCTGAGTGAATAATCTTTGTCTATTTCTAGCTTTAGCACTTTTATTAAAAGCTTCTTATGCCCCTTAGCTCTTTTAGATACGGTAGAATAATAAAATCATATACTATGTAAAGTCCACTGGATATTATAAACCATACTCCTACTATACTTACTGTAATTATAGCAGTTATGGACCATTGACCATGTTGATTACTATAAATATTTAGAATTGCTGACCCTAATCCTACTGCTGAGTGCATTAACGTAGGACTTCGAAAATATTAAACTATGAAACTGGCTGTTTGAATAAGAGATGAGTGAATTTGGCTTACACAATTAGATAACGACTTGTCCAGACGTGATTGGAACGAAATTTGTACCAGAGCCATACCATGCCTATTGTAGCGCTCAAACAGGCAAAAGAGGCAATATAGATAAGAGGAACGTTTCGAACAACATGGATGATAGATTCCCCAACCTTTCCCGAGTTATCTAGTGCATCCGATTGCTGCACTGAGGCGTATGTAGATGGAGATACGAGAAATCCTGCTAACAGTAACCAGGAACAGAACCCTGAGAGAATAAAATAATAAGGTTTTATATTATGATCAATTTCAAGTATCATCTCTTCATATCTTGATAAGCTCCCATTGTTACTCAATGTATCTGGTTCTGGTTCTGGTTCTTGTTTTAGTTTAATATCCGACTCACTGTTTTTACATATTGAAAGCATGTTGTTTCCTGCTCTATCATAGAGAAGAGCACCGCATAAAATTTAATATAGCTATTATATTTATATTCTTACAGTATGTAATTCATCTATTCTTGACCTTTATTTAAATCTTGTAGTATATACTGAATTATCCTAAAGTTTACTTTAGATTATAGCATCCAATAGTAGACCTTAGCTGTTATATGTGTATGTATATATTGATTTATATTCCTTTTAAGAAAACCTACGGCATACTGTCTTTCTTATTTATATATTGCGTTTTATATATATCTTTAATTATAATTATGAGAGACATTCGTAAATATCTTATTTGTGTGTGTTTATATTTTATACCAACTATATTAATACTCTATTTTGCGTGTACAATATTGTCTAACAGCACACGTAAAACAGAAGGACTAGTTAAATTTATGGTATGTCCTAATCTCCTTTAAAATTAATTATCTTTATTTTGACAACTGTTGAAGTTTAACCTCGATTTGTTTCACCGAGGTCTGTCAGTTTCTCTTCCGCAAAGTATCCCCGACTCTATCCCACAGAATCTTCCCAATGCTGTCTCCCAAATTGGGAGCAAAGCAACAGATATCGTAAATAATGTGCCATCTCAAATACGAAGTGCAATAGCTTCTATTGAGACACAAATTCCAAAAGGCTATTCGGTTGGCACAAAGTCCGCATGCATTATATACGGTCCACACACAGAATGTAAAAATCTACCGATTGAATCGACGAGTTTTGAAGACATAACTCAACGGTTTCCGCCACTAGAGGCATTGAGCGATTACTTGACCAAAATGCCGTCACTTGAATTAATTCTTATTTTTGGACTTGTGTTTCATTTAGTATCTATTGTTACCTATACTCTTGTAAAGAAAATCCCGATGATTCGCTTTATTTCTGCGGGACTAAGTCTATTATCTGGGATATTGATTATTATATTTGCCGGTTGTGCGCTAGAAATCTTTCGTTTTGTAACTAAACTTGAGCAAAGAGGCACAATCCACCGTAAAGAGATGTATTGTGGTCTCGCTGGCTCTATTATGCATATGTTTATTGCACTAGCTTGTATATTTATTAAATTTTAGTCCTAGAGAATCCTCTACATTGTCTATTAACTGTATTTGTATTAAGTGCAATAACGAAAATTAATTAAAGTAGTTAGGCTAAGACGGTATAAGCATAATATTTTATTTCTTTTCATCCCCATTTCAGATCTGACTCCTTTATTTGTTGGGATATATTTCGTAAAACCGGGAAATTAGCACTAACCGATGAAAATGAAAATCTAAGCTCGGTATAGCAGCCTGTGGAACCTGCTGATGAACCGCTTCGCAATCTCAAATGTATTACCGGAGCCAGAGTTATATATAAGCTCTCATTGTGTAGACATTGGCAAAACTAATTAGGAGGCGGAATGTCCTAGGTCAATGGGCAGATATTAGGAAGAATAGAGAGGGAGGGCATTTATGGCCTATATTTTATATCTAATGGAATGGAATATGAAATATCTCTTATAAGTGAGTTATCCAACTTGACATGTAAGACAATGCTGTCCCCTGAATTCTCTACCAATCCTGTTGTCTGTGGGCATGATCTTAACTCCAAATCGGTTAATTTATAATAGTATAATAATAGCGCCTCTCTCCCTCTACTATCTGTTATTAAAGGTGGATGGAATGATCTGGGCCTCCAAGGTTGTACCATTTCCTGGTGAAAACGTGCCACTGCAAGCTGTGTACCACTCCCTGGTCTATATTCTGTTCCCAAATAGAATAGTACTTTGATAGGATATATCTCTGCATTACGAGTGTAAGCCCAGTTTGACTTTGATAAATAGTATCCTTGCATGTCGAGCGCTGCATATTCAAGATATCTCTCGTTCGTTATTCCTGTTGGCGTAGCGAACATATTGTTTTGTGGCTCAAAATCTCGGTGAGAGCCATACAATTGATACCACTTACTTATATGAATACTTCCATTCTCCCCAACAATATTAGCCCTCTCGTCATCGTTCATTAGCTCGTCTAGATATATATTCCCATTAGAATAAAGCCTCCAGGCATCCATTATACTTTGGTCGTTATGATTACGCCAGTATTGGGTAGCTGGCACAACTGCAAGCCAAACTATTATAACATCAATTGGATATTTTAAAGAATTCGATATATGCAGTCCGAGCTTTCTAACATCACTTCCTACTAGCATTATATCGTATTCTTTTCCTCTCATCTGCTCAATCCATTCACAATGTTCCGGTAATTGCCTAAAGAGATTCATATATTTACGCCTCCATCTATTTGTAGGAATGTGTCCAATTGCCACCAAAAGATTAGTAATATCCGAGGGTGCTGATTGATCTGCTATGCAATCAAGAATAACAGAGGTTTTCAAGGCGTAGGCTGCGATATTTAATTTGTTTTCCGATTTCGACATCTGATTAGTTTCTGTAAGGGTGCGATAGATTGAATAGTCTTGAGAATGCGACCAAACCAGAGTATCTCCTTCTTTAAAGCAATTAAAGAATTGATCAGTAGCAACGCAGGGAAATGTGTTTTCTGGGTCGAAAAAGGCTTTATTTATCTGGAATTCGGATATAGCGCTCATACACTTTATGTAGCAATCAGTGTGTGTGGCTTTCAGTTGCTTTAACGCAATTACTCGTGCCCATTGGGGGCAGTCATTTAGGACAGTTGCAAGGCTGCGAATGTCATTCTCTGGAATATCATTTAGAATGTGGCAAATATCATTCCACTTCCTGGCATTAGTGAGAGTTATATACAGTTCTGTCCTGTTTTTAAATTTTAGACTCAATTTCGAGTCAATCCATACATTATCCAAACCATCCAGTGAATGAAGAGGGTTAGGAAAATAAGCCATTGTGTGGGGAGTGCTGGGCAAATGCGAAGACTTAATATAGCTACTCAGTACTGTAACACAAGTCTAGAATTGAATAGAGATTGGTGTTAAGTATATATAATTTTATCAATGGAAAAGAGACAAATGATACATAAATACTCTATATATATATATTACATTAAGAAGGTTTGATTTGTCCCACACGTGTCTTCATTCGTGTATGTACACACGATTTTCATGATCATCCAATTTACCAAATGTGAGCTACAGAACATGTCACATATTGCTCAGATTGTAAGTAAATAAGTACCCTTTGGATAAAGAGTATTTGTAGCAGAGCTGGAAATTGACTTTTACCTTGCAACCTCCGGCAGTCGCGCTCCGCTAAGGAGAGGGACCGTTTCTGCGGAGGAGAGAGCCGTATCAATGAAAGTGGATACTTGTTCCGGCCCTACCACGCAGAAGATACTCCAGGACAATTGTCGACTTTAAGCTAGCAGCATCCATGGAAGATAAAAACCGACCTGTGCATAAGTACGTCTATGGGATAAGTTTAATAAACTAAGAAATTCTTATGTATAAGCTTAACGCCATATGAAATATATGAGGTGTAAAAGCATACACCATAATGGCATCGCCAGACCCCCACACAATTCGTTGGCTCGTCGCGTTCTTACAGGAGCTTAACTCTTCTGTAGACAAGTCCCAGAGATCTGTTGAAGATGGAAAGTCAGAGTGTCACCGACTTCGCCGAATATTACAGAATATCCAAGTGCAAAGGGATAGGATTGCGGCGAATCGGACTGTACATGATCATATTCTCCAAGGGCAGCAAGAGCTTATTCGCGCGCTCGAGCACAATTTAGAGCGTTACAGAGACACACCAACGGTGGCCTGCGGTGATCTTTCTCTGATTCCTCCTCCATCTAGGCCGCAGACGCCATGGCCTTCCGAACTGATATTAAGCCAAACATCTTCAGAGTCAACTTTTAACGCCTCTCTTGACTCTCAATGTTTCGCGAGCGGTGCTGGTGATGCGCCATCGCAAAAAGGGGGGGAATCAGGATCAGAAAGTGTATCTAAGAAGCCACGGTTAGCTTAGCAAAACCAACTTTTAATCTTTAAACAGGGCTCTAGTTATTCAGCTACGAATCTAAATAACCTCCCTTTAAATCGAAACTCGACTACTGTCGCTCACCTTAAATATTTGCTATATCTATTTATTTGATACAGTAACACTACTACCTCTATCTCTACTTAATACAGCCTTGACAAAGTTTTGCGTAGCTTTGCCGTAGCGGTCTAAGTTAGGAGATGACTCTGTAAATGCGTAATTTTATTAGTGGTAGATTGCGTATTCGAACATTCAAGCATAGAATTGAGATTAAGATGAGAATAACGGTCAATTTTATCTAAAAAAAAAAAAAAGACCAAAACAGCAGGCTCACGATCACGTAAACTCAGGCTTATAAAGTGTATGTTGTTGTTGTTTTTAGATTGGCGGTTTAGATTCCAGTTAGCTACCATCTGAACTAGACTGGAGATGTGTTCTAGCTAGCTTTACAGTGCCCACACTACCTATAATATTTTCTCTTAGATTTCTAGCGTATGTGACTGGGTCGCTTGTTTTGTTCCTGGATGTAGATCCTAGAAGTTAATGATTATCTCGCTTGGGATAATTGCATGAATATCGGTGTGCATTGGCTTGCTCTATTATTTGGTTACATTGTTGTACAGCCAATGTTAAGCCATTACAATGTGATTCAATAAGTGGAAGCAGGGGCATTAAGGCCTCATTAGACAATGTTTGGAAGTGATTTAGATCTGACCGAAGCTTTCCCACCTCTCGAGTAATATTGACAACAGAATCTTGAGCAGGAGATATTGGGATACTCCTCTGGTTAACCTCAGCAGTGGGTACTGCGCGTCTCTTCTTTTCCTCTACTACTATATTATTTTCTCCCTTTAACCAACAGCTTACACGTTTCTTTAAGGATAAATTCCCCATTATGTTACATACACTGTAAATACCTGTGGCTCCGAGTTGGTCGATAGAGTACAGTATTATGTAGGAAACGTCTAAGTGCTGTAATAGATGCTAATAATTAGCAGAATAATGCCCTTGATCAACTTATGGCCCTTACTTTTTCCTCTTCGACCCCTCCCTTTTCCCTTCTTAGGGAACAAAGTAGCGAGTTTCAGTCGTATACATAGTGTATGTACACAGTATGTACTGTACATATGTATCGACCTATTCCAGAAAGAGAAAACTTCCAAGAACATGCTATTATAGCTGCTCCAAAATAATACATATGGCTAATAAAAGCAGATTTAGAATGAATCAAAGCAACCGAAAAGAGTAAGTCTTAGAATTAAGACTATGTACATATTACTCATTATAATCCCCGTTTAACTTCAGAAAAGATTCGGTTTTAGTTTTTAAACTCAAGATACAACACTGTATGGCCTTTTTTTAGTCATAACTTATTATACGTTTGTTTATTTACGACATAAGCCTATCAATATGTCTAGTCGTCAAAGAGCAACTACTAGCGATGCCTCGACTTGGGCAAATGACTTTTTTAGTTGCTGCAGCCCTGGAGGGTTATGCATTCTCACCACGTGTTGTCCCTGTATAACGTATGGCAAAACACAGCACCGAGTTAAATATGGCAGCCTGGATGACTACTCATGCTGCAATTCATCAGTAAGTGTTTATCTCAAGTACTTACCTCAAAGGATACAAGGCAGTTATTAATTCATAAACTCGGCTCCATAGTGTATTGTCTTTGCCCTTGCAGCCCATTTAGGCCTTCAGTGTATTCCAGCTATGATGCAACGAAAGCTTATGCGTAAGAAATTCCATCTTGAGGGAAGCTGGTTTGGAGACTTTTGTAGGTCATGCGCATGCACTTGCTGTGTGTTAATGCAAAATGAGAAGGAATCAGAGCAGCAGGTATCAGCAAGGGTATCCGAGCAATACCAGTCTCCTGGTCGTATGGCATACTCACAGTAGTTACATTGCAAGGCAAAATGGGCGTCACGGGCTGGTTAGATAAAGATAATATCAATAAAGACCCATTTTCAGTCAAGATGTGAATTGATAGCCCTGTTAGCTTGCACTGCTGAGGTGCTGTTACGCGTGCATAAAGAGAGAGGCTACGCTGGCCGTGTAATAGTAATAGGCTAGGCCTATTGAACATATATTTCAACAACTTAATCCCACACTCGTGTTCCTCTCCTATGTAACTTAGTCTCTATCTTTGTTCTCATGAAACAACCACCGCCTAAAGTTGCCCGTTCGTATCCACCTCTTTACCATACCGGTGCAGCATCACCCTGACCTAATTAATTCCATCCGCATGCACAGCTTCCATTGACTTAATAAATCCTATCAGTCTCTGGAAGTTGAATACATGATGCAATTTGCCGGCTTCTGCTTTTCGTTCCCCCTCACCGTTCCTCCATTCGTCCTCGTCTAGAGTACGATCCATATACTGGTCGAGTTTTGATAAATGCTCTCTCAAACCAGGGAGTATTTTTTCTGGGCAATTTTTATACAGTCGTATTATATCCTCGTCGTCTGGTTGCTGAGGGGTGTTGTAGGCCGTTCTAAGGTAGCGCTCCAATTCGACTCTGGTAAGGCTACTGGGCTCACCTGGTTTAAATATAAGGTTGACGTCATTTATCAAGATGACATGTTCCAACCGTGAACATCCTGCTGGATGCTTTGCAAGATATGTTGAGTCGTTCCACACAGTTAAAAGCTGAATGTTTGGTTGCGGTTGCGGTTGCGCCTCGTCGGCTCCAGGTAAGTCATAGAATTGGCTCAGTAAACCATCGTCACCAGGCATTAGGGCGAACTTTCTCGATCCAAACGTGAACACCCTATTAAATGTCTCATATCCGACGAGAACCATATAGCCAGCCACAATATAAGTTGGCGCCACATTCTGCAATCCATGATAACAGGCCCAACAAGCAGCTCGATGAAGCCATCCGTTAAAGGTCCATTTCCGCAGTACACCAACCCTTTGCCTCCGTTCGTTGGGATATAATCCCATGAACTAGGGCATGGCCAAAGCCTTTTAGACCCAGTTTGATGTTTTGTAGGATGTGTTTTGTTCCACGCTGACGAAAATGAACACATAGAGTGTGGTCCTGTCAATTCGCCAAAGTATTTTGCTCTGTCAGGTCCGGTCATGTTGACGAAGAGCTTGATCGCTTCGATATAAGTGTTTATATCCCGAGTATGGGAAAGCCCCTTTGATACCAATTTGCAGAACAAGTTGTCTAGAGGCCCTAGAATTGGCTCACTGAAAAGGTCTAATAGCAATTTCGATTGGTCTCCGGAACTCTCTTCAGTAGTCGGCGCTAACTGGTAAGCTAGATACATAAATCATTGAACGATTCTGGCTCACCGGAGTTTCTAGGTCTATCATGAGCATTGGACGTTCGATCCATAGTCATGAGGCACTAGCTAATAAGATCCCGTGTGCGATGGTGTGAGGAGGACTGTATAAAGGTGAAATTCTGAAATGTTGAAATATCTAAAGCGGGGAAGTTGGGACGATTCTATCGGCAGCGCTCGGGCCACCCTAAGACAGATAGGCCCACATTTGCTGATCCTCATCCCAGCAACTCTCATTTGCGACCTGCCATCCGCAACAGTTCAGATTTGAGGGGATACGATGTTGAGAGGATACAGAAGCGTGAATGGAGCAGATATATAACACGTGAAAGGATGCCCTATTCAGTCTTTCTCCCTAGCACAGCACATTTGTAAACCTATCCCACTACCATGACTAACTGTCAGCATGCAGTGCCGCCGTCCAATCAAATTGGAGGAATGGTCTTCACGTGATAGAGTAGCTATATTTTCCACCAGTTATACCGTTTCGTTTCTCTCTGCTTGCCATAGCTCACAGTTTATGAATACGGAGTACCTTCTTTATTTGCATTTTGAACTTGATCTAGTTATGAGCAAATACAACTTCCTCTTTTTACCTAACAACGGTGGAAAAAACACCACATAATATTAATTGCCTTAGGCTTGCCACCGTTTACTTTAGGGGTTAGAATAAAAGACTTCCGGAATACTACTCTACCGTTTATTTGCTATATTCTGATTCTCGCCTCTAAGTCCACCGGGTCAGAAGATATTATGAAACTATTACCCATAGATCCCGCAACCCCTATGCGAAGAACACCTTGTCCTTTGATACAGTAACCCAAGGTTATAGATATCTGTTTCATTTACGAATGGGTTTGCTGCACTGGGAGTTTTATTAGTCCTTGTCTTCGCTATCACTTTCGTCCCAATCATTCAGTAGCTCATGGTCGTTTTCTTCCGTGGAGTATTCATTGTCATCCCCCAAGACAGGGAATTCGCCCTCATCTTGATATGGTGTTGGGGCCCAGGACGGGGATTGTGGTGGAGCGTTAGGAAATGAGGCTCTTTTGTAATCATTGGCGTTGGGTAAGTACGAGAACTGCTCATGATTTGGACTTAGTGCTGTGCCAACTCGCGGTGATGGCGGCGCCGGCGTAACAAAGGGTACTTCTGGATCTAGAGTGGATGGCAGCTCGCTCGGAGGTCCTCTTGACTCTGGTGATTGACGTGGAGGTGGTTGAGTAGCAAAAGGTGCTTCTGGAACCAGGGAAGATGGTACCTCGATTGGAGGTCGTCTCAACCCTGGTGACTGGGCTGGAGGCCGTAAGCCTAGCCAAAGCGGCGACGCTTCTCCAAATTGTGGCTGGCGAGCCATATATCTCTCAACTGGATCACTTAGTGCCGCGGAAGCTGGCCGTTTTCTTTCACTAGCGCGTCTCTCAGGCGTAACGCTATTGGCATCCCCTGGTTGAATTGTTTCTTGATCGGCGTCTCTTGGGTTGGTATGTGGGCGAATAATACCTTCGTCGCCGGAAGCCTTGGCGTAACCCAACCATTCTAAACACTTGAGCGCAGACCATCTCTTCTCAGGCCGTCTACGAAGTAGACCGCGTAGGAGCGGCCGAATATCCTCTGGCAACTCCGAAATGTGCGGTAACACGGTCTGACGCATCCATTGCTTATGCATACGACGGTTTAGCGCATTGCTTGGCCATCTCGAGTCCGATTGGGGATCCCATTTAGAAAGACGCTCAAGGAGAACCATTCCGCAGGAGAACATGTCGACCTTGTTATTATAGTTTCGCTGCTCCTCAAGAAATTCTGGAGCTAAATAGATCGGTGACCCAGTAAAGGTATCCAAGTTTCCTTGCACACAGCGTTGTGCGGCCCCGAAATCTCCGAGTATAGCCGTTGTACCCTCCATGAGGATATTGCTCGGTTTTACATCACGATGTATAATGTCGACAGAGTGTATATATGCTAAAGCACTGAGAAGTTGAGTAGCTACGTTAATAGTGTCATTATAAGTGAGTTTTGGAATGCCGGGCTTTTCATCGTCGAAGCCTTCATCGTTGAAGCCTTTTACATCGTTGAGGCAGATCGAAATATGATCCTCGATCATCCAGGGAGGTTCCGTTTCATCTTGCGCTAGCACGATATCGTGAACCTTCACAATGTGAGGCTAATATTTTGGTCAATATACGCTAGCTACACCAAACTGTGTGTACACTTACGTGATCCAAGCCAAGAATACATGTATATTCTTTGTTTAGCATCTCCCACCGATCCCTTCTCTTCCCCGCGTTGTCAGATACTTTATAGTATGGCTCCTTGGCAGCAAAGGTTTTGCCCGAGTTTAGTTCCTTTACCGCCATAACCGAAGCCGAGGCCCCTTTACCACTGTCACCCTGATATACGTAGACCTTGTCGTTTGGACCATACCGTACATTAGAGGTTATCGTCTCAGGGGCGCTCTTGAGAGAGGGAATGTATTTGGGAAGCGCGTCCACGGCTTCTTCACTAAATTTAATAGCTTTTTCACGATATGCTCTAGCCTCGAGAAGTGTGAGCTTTGGGCGCCAGACATGGAAATTTATAGCGCCCAGGTCGAAGATAGCGGAACTTCTAATCTCTATGTCATCGTTTTCCGTAAGTTGAAGCCGATTACCTTCAATGAGAAGTCGTAAATTCCTCGACAAAACCGTCACTCTTGGGTGGCATGTTAGCGGATTGATGTCGATTCGGAAGTGTCGCCTGCTTACGCCAGTGCTATTGTCTGGCGCGAGCTGAACATCAGCAACATCGGTGTCTGACGCCGAGCCTCCGACCCAACCCTCTGAAGAGAACATATTCTCGCCAAATTTGAGACAAAGAATGGGGGGTGTAGGTTCTTCTGAGAGATCGCCCAGCCATGCTGCATTCGGGTCCGCATCCTTACTAGGAGGTTTGAACGCAAAATCCTTATTGCCCGACAAATCGATAATATTTGTATTTGAACCGCCCTTGAAGTTGGCAAGGAACAGGACGACGTTGGTGAGGTCTGCAGACGTGGTGGTCGACATCATGGAAGCTGTAATGTCTAAGTGTGGGTGGGCAACAGTACGGCGCCAGGAAGCGGGGATGGACATTATTATACCCCATCACTGCTGATGTTGACAGGCCAATAGAATCGCAAGGCGTAGCGCCGAGGGCCCTATCATCGTCTTCTAGTATTATTATTGCATGATACGCGTTTAGCCACCCCTCCTGGCTGAATTTTTGATCTGGTTCGACTCGATACATGGTCGGCTGTTTTTGATCTGGTCCGACTCGATATATGGTCGGCTGTTTGTGTTAAGGAATTCGAGAGTGGCTGCCTCGTTTGCACTGATCGATGGCCCACCCGCTTCTGGCGCTGATCGTGTTGTTGTTTCCACATCTTCTTCAATTCGTATTCATGACGCTTTGACGCCCGCTTTAAGCAATCTAATTCATGTTGCCAGTATAGTTGGTCGCTAATAGAGCGTCGCCGTTGCTCAAGTTGGTCCTCGGGAACCCCCAAAGAGATCAGGAAGCGCTTGAGGAGTATCGCATGATTCCTCCAATCCTCCGTCTTCCGCGGGTGCCCTCGAAGTTCATTCGCGATATCGCCAAAGAGTTGTACTTCACACTCCCAGTATTTTGAGACCGGTATTCCTTGTCGGTACTTCTCGGCTTCAAGGGGTGTGAAATGCATTCGTAGTAATTCCGCTTGGTACTGAAGGTGTGATTCGAAATTGTCAGTCGAGTAAGTAGGTTCTGGGGTAGCTTCCTCGCGGCTCTTAGCGACCGCCTCTAAGCCTTTATGGAGATCTTCTGTAAAGACTTTGGCAAGTATGGGATTTGGAACTCCTTCAGGCGAGATTCTCTTGGTCGGAGAAGCCATATTGTGTTCTTCGTGGGACACTGGAGAAACTCCAAGCAAAAAGCTTAGAAATTAGGACGCGGTGCGGGAGTCCAGCGATTGGGCGGAAACTGGATGACCGGAATATCTATTTCCCGGAGATACCACGTCGCGAGATTGGGATGCGCTGAAACGTGGTGAATCTTGTCATTCCAGTTGAATACATGGCACCTAGATTATCGAAGATCCAACGCACCGAACTTCAGGACATTATCATAAGTAAGTTAAAGGCGAGGAAGTACATAAAGACAAAAAAAATTGCTGAATTTGTTGTCCCTTGCACTACGCGAACCATTCGTAACGCCTGATCGAACGTTCTCCAGCAACGCCCCTCGCAAGTTTACTGGTTGACCCAGAGAAGTTACAGAAAAATATGTGGCTGGGGGAGTGGGGCGCTTACCGCATGTAGCCAAAATCGAATAATTCCTCCTCATAAATTTTGCTACACTGTAGCTGCCGAAATCCACTGTACCATAAACCCTTTAATTATCTACTATTAAGCAGCTTTGGCTTTCTATATAAGCCTGTGGTCAAGGATATTGTATATCCTATGAAAAAGATTAAAAAGTCGCGGAGCTACAGTGCTGCGCTATGCTCTAGTCTCTCCTCCAAAATGCAGTAAATATTGGATACCATCCCTATTGCCCCTATCAGAAAGTGGCAGATTATGGACCCCAGCAGGCAGTACCGGAATGTCCAACTGTCAGGAACTAGCTAATTATTTTTGTCAACCTCTTATTTGTTTAAAGTATAAATGCGTTCTCCCAAACACTGGGATCTCTAATGTTTTAATCGTTCAAGTGACAGCAGTTTTAAGATTCATACAAGATGAATTACACAACTGTCCCGAAAAATAAACTGGGCCGTCCACGACGGCAACGTCGGAGCGAGGCACAGTATAAGAACCTTCTAGAGGATTTATCTAATATCTCGCCCTCCACAAGCGTCACAAATTCAAGGAGATACATTCGTCTTTGCCTTGGATATATTTTTAAGGTAGCCCAGGTAACTATTAAATCAGCCATAAGGATTATCCAAATATTATCGGCAGTGATGCTTGTAGTTCTAGTCGGTCTACTCTTCACGAAATGGGCTACTTATTTTTGGTTATACGCAAGCCGAGGCTGTATCTGGATTATCTATCAAATTAGCCTTTTGGCAATCTCAGATTCAGGCAATTTTGCTGGTAGCAGCACCTCCGATTTACGGTCCGCTGTTCATTAATTCAATTTAAAGGGCATAGTCTATTTTGCGAAATATAAGTTCTAACCCTCATAAAAATCACATTTAGGCCTATCTGTAAATATATATATATATAAAATAAGTAAATTATATTGCTGTTGACGTATTATGTTGATTTAACTATACTATATTATATATTTTAATACATTTCTCGATGGGCCCTATGTAGATGCCGCTCTTAACTTTGACATAGGTTTTTCCGATTGGCTTAGAAAACTTTCAGTTTCCTTTCCGTATGCCCCTCCTCCTTAATGGCAATTGTTGCCGTTTCTTGTGTCCGTTGACTGCTTTGGTCTACCAACCATATCTTGCTTCCATTCGAAGCCTCTCGCTGTATATGGAGGTAAAGGAGACGGAGACTTTTGTTCATGGCAACCTGTGGAATGAGTCTTCGCATCTGCATCTCCCGCAGACAATTCCAACTTTTCCTGAAGACGGCTGACCTCTTCTTGATAATATTTGTTCACCCGCTGGGTATGTTCAAGCTGCTGTTGTGTACGGGCAAGCTCTTCTCGTAAAAGCCTCTTGCTCTCGCGATAGTTTCTCCCTGCCTTCCTTCGGCGTTGTCGGTACTCTATCGCCTGCTTCGAGCTGTCTATAGCCGCTGGAAATGGTACATGATATCCCGAGATATGTATGAATCGAGTAACCTGCTGCTGGTCTCCCTTTTTTGCTGATATGTGTCGTGATCGAAGCGGGGTCTCCAGAGGTGGAACTGGGTTAAGCAGTTGCAGAACATCCATGACGTCGCTTTAACCCACAATTAAATAAGGTAGGGAAGAATTAGAAGATATGTTTGTCTGGCCAGTGCGGAGGATGATCGCGCCTCGAGTGACGACGTCTGGCCTCTGGCTATTTTACTGTCCCTAAATCACAGAGACAAAAGCTTCTTATGGTTCTCAGTATGTATTTAATATCGAGTAATTCTCTTCAAGCAAATTTTCAGCTACTGTGATCCTACATACAGTATCACATACTACCTAGCAGCCGTTTGTTGGAGAAAAGGCTAGTTGTCAACTTCTGGCAGGTTATGCACTTCTACCGCTACGTCACCAAGTAGGCCAAAAGTGGACAATGCGCCAATCCTGACCTTACGCATGTTTTCTCTTTCTTTCAGAGCGGCAGAATTTTTGCTATAGCTTCCATAGTTTCCATTTTGCACTTTTTCAAACTTTCTTCAGCTGTTTCTAAGGCCTTGTTCAGTTCAGTCCTTGTGTCCCTCGTCTTGTTTTCCCTTTCGGCTACGTTGGCCAGAAACGACCACGCTAACCCAAATCCTGCATCCAGGTTTTCAGCACTTGAAACCTCTGATTGTGTTGTCTTTCGAGACTCTTTAGCCTTAAACATTTGCTCTCGGTATTCCTTTAAATATTTTATTGATTTATACGTCTTTTCGGTAATAAACACAGAGCGTCTACCAATTGATATTCTCCAGACGTCACTTGGGGTACCAATAGTGTATTTTTCTTTTTCACTATTGTCCATAGCAGTATATAACAGAAGCCTCTTAGCTTATTCCTCTTCTACAATATGGAATGGGTTAGGTGCCCTAATATAATCTCTTCTAATAGTCCAAATGTCAAATAGTGCCTCAATCTCTATAAGAATGAATAGTCGGCGGATTTAGATAGCTAGCCACGGTGTACGCTTCGGTCTACGGGACAGCACTTACCGTACATACTATAGTTTATATGCTGCCCATTGTCCGACCACGATCTCACATGGTCATCTAGCCTAGCTTAGAGGTATTTTACTATACAGTACCATCCTTGCCAAAAGTATGTTACGGTCACTTGTCCAATCGCTCAGGGAAACCGCCGGTGGTGAGGTTAGTCATACTATATTTGCCCATCCTAACTCCTTGACAGTCAACTGTTTATAACCGCTGCGATAGGATGAGTGGGTAGAAGGAAAAAGCATCCAGCGTATTATCGAGGCTACTCATGTTGAAGACAAAAGATTAAGCACGGTGTTCACAGCATTGGAGCCTCATCTGAGTAGCCTTGAGTGGGTTGATGCACTGAAGGCATTGACAACTGTGCATTATATAATGCAAGAAGATTCAACGGGCGACATAGTGCACTATCTTGCTAGACACTTATATATCTTGTCGCCTTGTTTCTCCGTGAACGGTATGGGCAGTTTAATTTTTGCGTCGGTAATGGACATTAACCTGAAGACCTACAGCACTGCCACATGGCGATATAATCCAACGCTATGCCAAGTATCTGGTGCAACGAACCCTATTGTGCAATAGTACGGGCTCTGGTCGGATGCGAAGACTTGATTTCAATTCTGAGGCAATGACTATTGATGGGAAATTTCTGGATGAAGCAGAATTGACTCAGCAAGTTCTTTCGGTGGCGGTGGAATGCCATGTGAGCGACTTAACCTGGGTAGAATGCAATCGCACAGTACTAACCTAGAATCTATCGATATTATAGATAGGAATATGCATTGTTAATAAGGTATTAGATACCGCTTCCAGGTTGCTCGTATCAGATATACAGATGTTATTTCAGGCTCTCAGCAACAGATTAGTCTATATGCTAGGTGCGTAACAGAGAGGCGTGACCATACGAGCCCCAATACCAACTTACACTGAACAACAATACAGAAAACTTCCTCGAGCTACCAAAACTTATCATGGAGAGGACAGCTCACCTATACAGTGAATTTACAGGTCAATCGCGAGCTGTTGAAAGATGCCTCAATGCAAGACTGCGGCGCAAGAACCAAGCTGCGATCAAGCTGTTGCCACTTAAGCCGCTACCCGCGCTGGGTAATCGCTTCCTAAAACCAGATTCCGGCGCTTCCACTTGTGGCGTTGACACTGAATTAATTTGGTTCAATGCTGAACCATGCAATCAAGTAAAACATCCCAATCAGATCGCCGAAAAAAAATTACCCAAGACACCTGTCGCAGATGGGTTCTCAGAGAAGGATTCGTTTGACTTAGGCTCTGAATCGGACGTGGGCTCCAGGGCAGACTTAGGACCTGAGCTACCCTTGATCGACTTCGTTTAAGACTATGTAAATGGCTAGTCGTATATAAATATAAGCCACTACAGCATCTTTGAGCATAGTTATATTTCATTGCCTTTAAAAAAGACAGTATATTAAATTTGTACAAGGCTGGGGCATAACCTTTTGTGGAACCAGCTGTGACAGCATTGAACCTCTCATCTTGATATTAAATTTAACCTCTATATTACAATTTGTACACATATGAGGTCTGCCACGACGATATGGAGGGCTTAAGTTCGTTGTGAACTAATATAGACGGCAAGAATATATATAATGCATTTTCGGGTGAACAAATTAATAGGCAAACTCCATTATTTAACCATCTCAATGTTGTTTACACTATACTGGAGAGTCACGCTTAGCCTCCTCTATACACAAAAAACAGCTGTCGCAATCATGAACGCCACGTTGTTCGTCATCCAGCTGACTTCTATCCATACACTCCTTGTGCAGTCCGCTTATCATTTCTTCTTGTGCAACAGCCTGCGGATATGCCGTTGGAAGTGGCAATGGCGGAAGCACAACATTCGAGAAACTAGTATCGCTCACCCGGGTTGGTCGACGAATGACCCCAGCTTGCTTAATCTCCGCCTCTTCATAGTCCGTGAGTTCTCCACGCAGAGAGTTGATCTCATCTCTCTGGGCTATAATCAATTCTAACTGTTTCTTGATGTGGGCGTTTTCTTCGTTTAGCTTGGTTTTGTTTTCCATTATGCTCCCTGTTAGGGAAGCAATCTCCTCATCTATCATGTCCTTTTGGTTCTGTCCATCTCCCAGCATTGTATAATTCATTTTAACAATGGCCACGATCCATTCAAGCGTAACAGGATCGAGGTTCGACATTCTAAGTTATGTTCAAAAGCCGTGAGATCTTGGTAGTTGTGCAATGTTGAGATTTTGTCTTGGCTTCTAGCGTAGTTGGGAGAAGAGCGAATTTTATGAAGTAATGCTTGTTGGTTCAGCATTACCGATTTGGATCAAAAGTTCCTTTGTTTACTTCCGGCGGATGTATAATGGAGTGCCGTTTGGGGTTTAACGGCTATACTGCAGGCAGCGTGTACAGTACATATACTGGGAGGTAAAATAAGTTGTTCTGCTGCATTTGTATGTAAGTACAGTAGGTAAGCATTATGTAACAATCGTGCAATCTCATTAAAAGGCTTTCTTCTGCCTCCTGCTCGTCAAAGCAGTCATCCCAGAATAAACTCTAGAAGTAATATAGTTATGAGCATAAATAGCTTCCTCTTTAAAACACACTGCCAAACTGTAGAGAATCTCCACATAGTATTAATTACTAAGATTATGGACAGTATACATCCACTCTGATTCATTCACTTTCGGCCTAGTATTTCCTCGCATCCGAGGACTCGACGCAGCGTTGTCTCCTTGGTCATACTTCTTATAATTCCTATCTTTTAAACATTCCAGGCTTGATATTAATATGTAGAGTTCCCTTAAAGTTCTGCGGCCTGGTTTCTGCTTATCATATCAGCCCTGTGCACCGTATGTTGCCGCGAGATCCGCCATGCTCCTGATCGTATCTGGATGCTTCTCCCCAAGAACCTCCCGTTGGAGATCTAATGTCTGCTTATAAATCCCTTCAGCCTCATTATATCGGCCCTGTGCATGGTATGTCGTCGCGAGATCCGCCATGCTCCTGATCGTATCTGGATGTTTCTCCCCAAGCACCTCCCGTTGGAGATCTAATGTCTGCTTATAAATCCCTTCAGCCTCATTATATCGGCCCTGTGCATGGTATGTCGTCGCGAGGTCCGCCATGCTCCAGATTGTATCTGGATGTTTCTCCCCAAGAACCTCCCGTTGGAGATCTAATGTCTGCTTATAAATCCCTTCAGCCTCATTATATCGGCCCTGTGCACTGTATGTTGCCGCGAGATCCGCTATGCTCCAGATCGTATCTGGATGTTTCTCCCCAAGCACCTCCCGTTGGAGATCTAATACCTGCTTCTTTATCCCTTCAGCCTCATTATATCGGCCCTGTGCATGGTATGTTGCCGCGAGACCCGCCATACTCTTGATTGTATCTGGATGCTTCTCCCCAAGAACCTCCCGTTGGAGATCTAATGTCTGCTTATAAATCCCTTCAGCCTTATTATATCGGCCCTGTGTACCATATATTGCCGCGAGGTTCGCCATACTCCTGATCGTATCTGGATGTTTCTCCCCAAGCACCTCCCGTTGGAGATCTAATGTCTGCTTATAAATCCCTTTAGCTTTATCATATCGGCCCTGTGCATGGTATGTTGTTGCGAGGTCCGCCATACTCCTGATCGTATCTGGATGTTTCTCCCCAAGCAACTCCCGTCGGAGATCTAATGCCTGTTTATCAATCCCTTCAGCCTCATTATATCGGCCCTGTGCATGGTATGTCGTCGCGAGGTCCGCCATGCTCCTGATCGTATCTGGATGTTTCTCCCCAAGCACCTCCCATCGGAGATCTAATGCCTGCTTCTTTATCCCTTCAGCCTCATTATATCGGCCCTGATTATGGTATGTTGTTGCGAGGTCCGCCATGCTCTTGATTGTATCTGGATGCTTCTCCCCAAGCACCTCCCGTCGGAGATGTAATACCCTCCGGTCAACTGGCTCCCTCTCTCTCCACCGCCCTCGATCATACAGAAAAACCGATACTCTACTGAGTAATGTTGATGTTTTAACCTCCTTCTTGCTGACCTCTGCCCACTCTCCTACCCGTATAGCATGAGTCATATACTTCTCGCATCGTGCCCACGAATTTTTCTCTGATCCCGGAAACATATCATCCACTATCTGCAGAGCCATACTCGAGTAGTATGCCTCTCCATTCTCCGGTCTGTTCTGCCCAGTTATAATCTTGCCTAAGGCCATCTCTATCTGCCCTTGAACCCACAGCCCGTATCGAACTGCTTCCTGTACAAGTTTATGCATCTCATAGTTCCGTAAACCTCCCTCTCCCCGACGCATATCAAGAAATGAAAACTCCACCAGTCGCATAACGGCTCGCTGAACCTCAAGCTCGGGAACCTGCTCAGCCCTATCCTCGTCGCCAACGTCATACTGGCTAGCTGCCACTATCAACTCATAGGGTATATCTTGGCTGTCTAGGTACGCAATCACGTGGAGAATCCGGTATGATAGCTCGCTTTCCTCTCGAATTCGCTTTGTCGAGATCTTCCACGTCTCAAGCACGCTATTCGACACTTCCGGCCGCCGATGCCGATCAAAATCATTCATCTTAAGCAGGTCCCATCGACTCGAGCCTTGCATTAGGAGGCCTAGGTATTCTCTGATCGTCATTGATGTCCGCCGTATGTATGCTCCAGCCTGCGAGACCGCCAATGGAAGTCGCTGTAGCTCTTCTAGAAGCCGATGGATTCCTGCATCTTCCACAGCCGACTTATCACCACTAGCTGCTGCAAGAAGAGTTGTCGCCTCATCCTTTGTCATGGGTGGAACCTTAATGTCTCGACTCGGGCCGACAAGCGTGCCTCTGATATGCGCATCACGGCTCGTCCATAATATCGTCCCTTGTGACCCTCGAGGGATGTACCTAGAAAGACTCTCATTCGTCCCTTCTATGCAACCCACTCCAAATAGCTCTAGATTATCAGCATTATCGAGGATGATTACCCATCGCGACTGGGCTTCAATGCTGCTGCGCACCGCATCAAGTAGATCTAACCCATTGAGCCTCTCGTCAACCCCAAGCTTCTTCCCAATTATCTTATAGTCAGTTATAAAAGTCGCTTCGCTGTCCGCATGCACCCAGAAGACACAGCATTTACTATCATCGCACCGTCGATACGCATAATCGAGCGCAATCTGTGTTTTACTGCGTTTATTAATACCTTTACTCTCGCTAATAAGACAGAAGAATTAGCTAAGGGGGCTTACCCTGAACCTCCTAAGCCCCAAAGCGCAGCGCTATAGAACCCTGGCGTTTGTGGTAAAAGCTTGTCTAGCTTATTGATAAGATCCTGACGATAGACTAGATCTTCGTTGCGGGGATATGGAATGACACGGACAACTTCGGCATGGGCCGGCAGGTGGGGCAGGTGGAGGTGGACATTGCCCTGGTAGATGCTAGTGTTGTCGCCGAACTGACTATTGCTGATATTGCGCTGCTCGTGTCCCGAAGCCGCCATCATGAAAGCCGCTCAGCTTGAAGCTTGAGATGAGGAAATAAACTATGGTGTCAAGTAAAGAGGGGTTAGCCTAGACTGCGGATGGGTGAGAAAATACCGAACCAACACAACCAACCCAGCCTACCTTAGCTCCTCACGTGATAATATACAATACAAAACTTGCCATTGCTTATATTAAACTTCCCTTATTCTCACAGCTATACTCCGTAACCTGCATGATGGCTCCCCTCCAGCCTCCCGCCGACCGTACACCCTTTCGTATTGCCATCATTTGCGCTTTTATTCGTCGAATAGGTCAGTAATACAGTTATTCAAGAGCGGGGAAGACTGTGATCGAATCTCTGCCGCGCACAACATCATTCTCATTAAGGTGGCAGGTGCTGGAGCTTAGGATAAAGTTCCGTGTATCGTTGCGAAGCGCATCTGCGACTATGCAGATAGCCACAAGAATAAAGGCTAGTAAGACTTTGCGGCAGCCACTTCTGCATCTATCACGAGGGTCATTGTTAGGCGATATGTAGTCAGTGACGGGGATTGGGGTTCAACTCGAAGTCAATGGTACGACTTCATCTCATCCTGTTGTTCTTCTATATTTAAACACAAACAAATGAGTTAAAAGCGACAAGCAAGCGAAAATATTTCGTCTGGCTCTTTGGGAGGCAGTACTTGAATCAGCCAGGATATACAAAGGGAGACGTAACATTTCAACTCGCGTAAGGGTCTGATCTATTACTATGCACACTATAATCAGGCAGTTATTATAACAACTACTACTTAACTCCTCCTAGTATTTTTATGTAGACTATTATATAAAAGTAGCGAGAAATTGCAGCCGCTTAATGCAGACCCCAAATTAAGCGTCGCCAGATATCCAAGCTTAGATGAAAGATGCCCCCCAATATTATGGGTTGGGGAAGGGTAAGTAGTTTTATTGCCAGCGCTTATGGCAAAGTACTGGGTGCTCTGCTCGCACTGTCACTATGGGGCAGTGACCACTTACGTAATCGTATACTTCTGTATACTTAAATGTACATTTTGAAATTGGCCAATAATGGCATTAGCGGCGCAATACGCCTAAATTATTGATCCGATTTGGGCCTTTAAGCGACAAACTAAGTATATAAATGTACCTGGAGGTATCCCAAATGAGCTTAAAAGAGAAGAGTGTGTGTGTGGAGAGGAAGCAACTTATGCTCATAACAGTATTAAACGGCACAAGCATACTGAAGCAGGTTGGTATAGTAGATGGCCAAAAGTCTGCGACCACTCCTATTGGCTCCACCAAAACTCATTCATTTCAAAAATCCATAAATAAATCCACATATAAAATCAGGAATTGGGATTTTCTTTTTAATTAGAATAATAGTTTCTCTTTACAGTATTCTTCAAGGGAGTTTAAATTATTTAATTGTTGTCATTCTGGAGCTGTATGTGGTAGAAGTTGGCGGAAATTGCCCCCATAAAAACTTTGGGTTGTGGTCGCAGACTTTTGGCCACATACTGTAAGTAGCAGTACCACCACTTTCTTGTGTATGCCAACTGGATTTGGCCTGTTTTCTTCCTTCTCTTTCTCTTTCTCTTTCTCTTTCTCTTTTCTTTCTCTTCTCTTTTTTTCTTTTGTTTTTATTTATTTTTTATTTTTTATTCTCTTTTCCTGCGTTGTGGACGTATTACTACGAAGTACCCTGTACTACACTATGGAGGGGCATGCTCGATCACAGGAATGACATTTCACAAAACCACACAAGTCCAATCCAATTTCATATATTAGCATCTATCCTCCAAGTCTAGCTTGTCCGCCTTTCTTCAAAGAAGGGCTTCCCACAGCAGGCTCTCCTGCGGAAGGATACACTCCGGTGGGAGAATATCATCCTGCAATAAGAGGCCCTCACTTAAAAACCAGTCCCCAGTATCTGCGAACAAAGCACGCAAAGAGTCCTGCGTTTCCCAGCGCCCCACCATACCCCAATCTTTGGGCTCGTTGCTGCCTTCGCGAACGATACTTTCAGAAAGCCAAGATTCTACCTGCACCTGCATGTTCTCTGTGAATTCGGCTACACCTTTGTGCCACTTCTCCCGGGCTGGGCTTTCGGGCTTTTTCCAGTATGGCGTTAAGGGATAGACATCAAGGCTGGGGAGAAGAGCCAATTCTCCAGACCCTTTCTGGATTTCAAAACGGGTACCGAAATGGGCTATAAGCCTTTTGACGATCGAACAGATATCTTTGAGAAGCAGCTGCGTCCTTATGTCGCTTCCATTAGGTGTCCCTCCGCCAATGATCTCAATCCTTAAACTATTTGCATTGGTAAGGCAAAACAGTTTTTCCAGCTCAGTAACCAAATCTTTGCCGCGCCACTCCTTTTGGTCTTCGCTCATGTCATACCGGACAGTAACGTTGCGCACGGTGAGGTCCACTGTACAGCCCTCAATTGTCCCAGTGGGGACACAGCTAAGAAAATCCCCAAGGCCGTGCCACCATAGAAGAAATTCATTCCTGCTGTAAAACATCTCTCTAGCGCGACGCATGAGATCAAGCTTGCGCTCACTTTGACACAATGCAAGTCGCTGCAACAATAGTATTCCATACGCAACCCGCGGATTCAAGTCTAGCGGCTGAATTGAGGGGTAGAAAATCACCGGTTCATCTTGAACAAGGTATTTCTCCAACATGCAATCCTGTTCTTCGTTGTGAAGATCTAAGAAAAACCTGATCATGTCGTCATTCACGGTTTCTTTGCCTCCCGAGCCCATGGTGAGGTGGTATGCTGTGTATCAAACGAAAAGTAAAAGAGCGATGTAACGTAATCAAAATATAATGCAATGTATAAGCCCAGTGTGTCATGCACAAGACAAACCCTCATAATCAATTGAGAACGAAGCTTCGTGAATATATCTTTATTCAAGCTACATAAAGAATAGTGAAGCTGATTGAATTGTGAAGCTCTTGATATCAATCCGCCTATTCCCAACGCCTGGCACACGGTAGACGTATACTCCTTAGTCTTTGGCAAATTGTGTGTTAATACAGGCTGTCCAGAAGTGGTCATCAGAATTGTGAGTTCACGTAACCCTTCGTATGCTCCAAGCGTAAATAGTGAGCAAATTCAGTCAGTAAGAATGGAAGAGGTACCTAAGCAACTTGGCAACTTCGTTTCTGTACTCCGTACAGTACATACAAGAGCAAAAAAATGACTTTTAATGTACCAAGTGGAGTATCTTGCACAAAGCCCCTTGTCACGTCCAGTACTCGTAATAGCGTGTTTACTCTCAACTATCCACCCATCGTACTCGTACTCGTATGTCCTAATCTAGATGTTGAACAATGTCTTGATTCATAATAAGAGCTGATTAACAATTGTTGCTCGTTTTGAAGCCCCCCTGCAGCAAAATAGGTGGGATTAACTCCTGCACTGATATCTTTATCACAAAGCTACGGAGTACTCCGTACATACCGCAAAATTCTAAATGGGTGTCGCGGGTTTTCTTGGTTAATTTAGTAATAAGCCGGGTGGCTATTTGCTGACTTGTACCTTGGAACGTGCACCTGTACCTCAGATGTACCGATGGAGCTCCACTGTAACGAAGCCAGAACTGGCCTTTATTTGTCGCAACACTGGAGGGTAGTAACGTCCCTCCCCTGTGTCCCCGTCCCTTCTTCCTTCCTTTCCTGCTCTCCTCTATTACTACTTTCGAAAGTAGTTTTCCATAAGACTGACATGGTGCCACCTTTGGAGGCTGCAGATCGCAGTCTGATAGACCTTCTTTTAGAAGAGGGATTTGAAACCCGGGCTATAGCCCACAAAGCTAAGTGGAGCGCTCGTACTCCGTACAGTCCAGCGAATGCGTCACAAGAAAAATCAGCCCAACATGTAATATACAGTTTTAATAATAAAATTACTTAAAAGATACTTAGATATATATATAATTTCTTTAGTAATAGATATAGCTTAAATATATTGCAGTTAAATATTAAACCCGCCTTACTGAATGCAGTTAGTAAAACAGTGGCTCTATCGCAGGCAGCACAGTCGCAGAAAAGGTGGCCCAGGTAAAGAGGCATATACAGCACGGTTTTCCGTCACGGGATAGATAGATGTTACGCCCCACGATGGGGAAGATTTTACAAAGGTAAATCATTCACCTATGCCTGCACAGAGTGCGGATATTGACAAAATACAAACCAGGAACTCCAATTCCCAGCCACCTAATTCTGATCCAAGAGTGGGTCAACTCCAGATTTTCACTTCAGCCAGCACATGGCAAACCTCTCACAGGTCGCAATGTTCATTCACTCGAAATCGACGCTGGAGCTAACCTCATCTTAGATTTCAACCGAGCGTTGGGCGAGTTCTATAGCAAGCACGCCACCAAGATGAGAGTTCGCAAGTGGATTGAATCTAACCCGTGCCAAAAAGACCTCGAAGGCGAAGCTGAGAAGAAGTGGATGAAAAGGTGGATGGAAATAAGAAACATTAGGCAAGGTCGCTGAAGGGGTTCATATGTAAAGTGGCCAGAAGTGCGGTAAAAAATGTTCACGGTAAAAAATGTTCCTTATTCGAGGAGGACCTTGTAGTGTCACATCGTATTCTCTATGAATTGACTGGCATGAGGAAGGGATTATAGTGCTAGTTGTACTCCGTATCTGGCCTAAAAATGGCAGCCTGATCGTTGGGTAGCTTTAAATTATGTATGGCTGCTACCCCATTCTGCCTAATGATACCCCTCATTTACTGTGTGTACAAACAGTGTATATTTTACGCGGGGGTATGCACAGCAACACGCCAGCTTGTTCCACCCGAATGCGTTGCCGCAATGAGAGGTTCTTCCACAGAATCATAGCGACAAGGCAAAATATTGTAAAATATATACAGTTAGGATTTATATTATGCCGGATTATACAACCTATACCTTAGGCAGTAGCCAACCAGCAAATCGTAGCTAGGTACCGAGCCTTGCCCTTAGTCAGCAACTTTTAAGTTGAATTATATTAGTAGGGGCAAATTTAGTCCACATGAGGCCAGTAAGCAGCACTTAACATGTGCCTTAAATAATAAAAAGCTAATAATTCTCACTTAACCCATCTGTAAAGTGCAAAGCGGAATTATTGTCGCCATTTGTTTAAGTTGATCAAATAAATAACGGGCGTACCGCAGCAAAAGTGCATCCTTGCTATCCATTGTACAGCCAGGTACTGGCGCCACGGGGCCAAACAGCGGCCAGTGGCTGTAAGACCCACTGTATCCTTATTCCTACCTCCAGAGGCCGCGCTGCTGACCTTCATTGCTCTCTGTCCCTCTCTTCTCTTCAATCACCTATGTACATGTGTGTGTACTCATTTTGCGGTCCCGTTTTTATCATACCGCTTGGCTGTAATAGTATTAAGCTCCATAGTGAAGATTTCCCCAACCAGGCGAGGCGGTGGCTTGTCGAAATCGTTATCTTCAGCATGAATCCAGTAACTGTTAAATTCATGTACTCGAACAATGTCCTTCATCGGAATTGCTCTTCCATGATTATCAAAGAGATCGCACGGGACGTATGCGCTCCGTGCTGTCCGGCGTTCCGCTAACCGCACCGCATTTGCTAGATACAGCTGCCTTCTAATGTTGATAACTGTGACAGTTGGTGTATCGACCAATCTTTGGTTGTGTAACTGATAGTCAACCAAGACAACAAATCTTGCCGACTCCTGCTTAAGAGCCGTCAATTCTAAAATGAAGGTATAACCTCGTCGATTGACTTTCCCTTTTCGTGATAATCCACCAAGAATGGCAGGGAAATGCCGATTTCCAGACTGTGTTTGGACTGGGTATGTAAATGTCGTAGAATAACTCTTCCACACCCTCGAGCCAAGGCTGAATCCATCGCGCTTGAAATTGATATCCAGTGCTTTAACTTTTCTGATGAAACAAACTAGTTCTGGAACGGCCTTTTCGACAAAATTCGAACTGACCCAAACAGGATCTGAGAACCTAACGCACTCATTCTCTGGAGTAAATCGAGAGGGAGCCGTTCTGGGGAACATTAAAGGGATAATTAAAGATATCCGGTGTCTAAAACGTTGGCCTTTGTGGTCTACCAGAACAGCGTATCCAATGGCGTCATCGATTGGATCTCTCCGGATCCTTAATGTCGTTTGCAGACCTTGCGGCGTCAATGTAGAAGGAAGGTTCACAAATGAATGTATTTGCTTCATTGGGCGTACCAAAATTGGATATTTCTGGAAATTGGCTGGCGAAGTAGCCAGGCCATTAGATGTAAAGTCAGTGTCAGTATCTATACAGCCCCATACTAGTATAGAGGCATCATCATTTACTTTAAGTATTTCCTCTTGGAGACGCTGGAATGCTCGCTCTCCTTGGCCATATAACATTGGCAGGTCAATCTCAGTAAGGCCGAGTAGCGAGTAAGCACGATCCTCAACTCGAGTAGTCTGTCGCTTCGCGGCCCAAGACATAACACGTCCTACTCGGAGTGTCTGTAAATTCGTTTCTCCAATGAAGTTTTGGACACCAATGCCCGTCACTTCGTTGATGCTCTTTTTCAAATCTCGGGCGGTGCCAAACTTCTTCCAATTCGCATCAACAAACACAACATTTTCTGGGGCGATCAGCTCTTGAAGCGTCCAACCGCGAGTGAATCATAGAGAAGCCTTAAATGACTCGAGGAATGTCGCCCCATACGACGATTTGCCTCGCCAATCGACGTTGTGATTAGGGGCAGGCACATCCGAGAGGTAGGCATAACAGCCTCCAGATTTCCTATACCATTGGTACATTGAGTTAATGGCTTCTTGGAGTTCAGCGCTGCTGGATTTATCGATGCAACAGGTGTCAACCCATACATATTTATAGCCATCCCTCAACGCCAGCTGACGGAATTGGCTAATTTTGCGGAAGCCTTGCTTGTTCTCATGCTTTTTTGTATCATGCATGTCTTGGTAAGAGATCTCGTCGGATTCCCATCTATGCGACAGAATTGCATATTGTGGGATATCATTGCCATAGAACTCGAAGAATTGGAGATTTTCCGTGCTCAGTAGACGCATCTTCGCGATGATGGGCGGAGATATATGAAACTAACAGACGTTTGGTCCGAACATTCGGCTGAAATTTAATGGCGCGCCAGAATCCAAATATATAATGGCCCAGAAAAAAAAAAGATGATTTATAGTTTTCGCGCCCGGTCCTACGGTGGCACTATTAGGCGGACACGATGGAAGCGAGGCAAGAGATAGAGAGGCAGGCTAGGGAACAGACGGTTTGCGAAGGAGCACAGCGTACAGGCAATATCGAGAATCAGCGGCCAACCCATGCCGCCATGGGTTTGGGAATCAAGCTGTGCCCCACGCTAGGCTTTGTGTAAGGTACTGCGCAAGGCTCACTGTGTATCTTTCCTTAAAGCAAGAGAGCCTGTGGCATAGCTTCGGCGTGCGAGGATGAACCTGCCTGAAGTGCTTGGCTATTGGCTGAACTGTGTTCGCTTAAGATGCTGAATGGATGGAGCAAGAGACAGTTGGCACGTCACGAGAAGGTATGCAAAATACACATTTGTGCAGACGGGGCAAGTAATTCATGAGATTCTCCGAAACACACATAAGCCACACTATGAGCCCATCGGACCTGAAAACTATCTAAAAGTAGAGGGACACCCATTTCTTCTTGACAGTACGTGAGGTCGGTGCTCACAGCTTATTTAGCCAACAATGAACAGTTGAGTTAGTCGTTACAGGATTGTAACTGATTAAGGAATATTTCAACATCGCGGACAACTCGTCGCGCTGTCCATTATCCCATGGTCTGTAAGGAATTGATACACACCGTCTTGATCATCATTGATCAGTTCAAAATTAAGTCCCTTGCCTAATGCTAGCTCACAGGCTCGGTCATACTCTTCCTTAAGCGTCTGTCTTCTAACCCGTGAACTATGCTATGCAAAGTATTCCTCGGCTATATCGTCTTACATACCTAGGCCTTCTAAAGCATAACGTAAGGATGCCGTTTTAGGCGCAGAACTCACTCTGGAATTGGTTAAGATTGTGTTAGGCTGACTAGGTGTAATATTATGGATATGGATAGCAGGAAGGCTAGTGGAATAAGTGCCTGAATTGGCTCGCTTTCGCTTCCGAGATAATTGCTGTTGCTCCTCAGCATATATCTCGTCGCGAATTTCTCTAGGTATGTCTTCGTGATTGTTGATGTCCTCACCTCTTTGCACTTATTTGACGAGATTCCTCAGTTGATGTCCCATAATAAGCTTGTAGTGCTTTCTGGTGGTAGGGTCTTGCCAACAATAAGGACCTCTGTCACAGGGGGCACCCGGGCAGCTAAAAATAGCAAAGACATGCTCCCAAGCGGCTGTGCGACCTAAAACAGCCCTTTCGGCATCACATCGAGCTTGCCTCTCTGCAAGCTGGCCGCTAGTAGAGCCCTGTCTAATAGCAGGGCCAGCTGTTTTAGTCTCTTTATAGTTGAAAGTGACCTTTATTATTAACTTTCTTCCATTGTGCGTAAGGTGGCTCCATGTCTGCAACTGCCTCTCTACAACTAGCCAGTCGACCTTTATCTCATCGAATCGCTTCGTTACATTCCGCTCAGAACGCTCGGTAACGGACATAACTATCGTAGTTGCATCAGCCGCGCATGGCTTGTTTACTTGGGTTTTCCGAACTAGCTCGAGTGTATGGATAAACTGAGCCCCCCCCCCTTGTCACCCGACCCCGAGCCATGGTCAGGACATCTTTTTTTGGCAACTGAGCTGACCTGACCATGGCTCAGGTCGTGGGTAATTGATTTTCTGGATAATTTACCTATAGCTTTTACAGCTTCATTATAGTATTTTCTTTACCCTATAAAATCTACTTAATTTATCTATAATAAAAATTACTGTAAAAAATACCTAGCGCTGGGTAAAGCTGGCTGTAAAAGGTGCTGTAAAAGGCGCTGGGTAAAGCTGCACGGCTGTAAAAGGCGTTGTAAAAGGCGCTGTAAATAAAAAGTAAAGTAAAAACACTACCTGTAATTAGTGTAAAAGTACTATAATTTAACCCCTCCTTAAAAAAATGGAAATGGAAAATTAATTATCCATGACCCGAAAAAAAGATGTCCTGCCAGCCTCGACATAAGAATCTCATTCCAAAAATCACCTGGCGCCAACACGAGGTCCTGCTCAGTTTGTTTTGCAACTTGTCTATTGTTCACGGTCAACTTCCACTCAAGCTCATAATGTATGTACCGCTGTTTGTCATATTGCAGGCGGTTTGGGTTCCAGTTAGCCAACGGCACGAATAGCATCAATTCCCGGGAAGACCGGTTGCTACATCCTTGGCTCGATAAAGATGGGCTCCGCCGACGAGCGGGAGTCGGGATATTGCAAAGCTGAGAGGGTATCTCATTGTCAGTAAAACATTCATTCATGCAGTCGTCTTCACTCATAGTATGTAATGAAGAAGAGGAGACGCCAGGAAACCGATCAAGCCACGTTTGCGTTTTGGGGGGGTCGTCAGCAGAGGGCTCTTACCCCACTCAGTAGTCCTGTTATTTTAGAACATGTACGGAGTACCTTGGCTGGGTAGATTTCGTAGTTATTTGCTATATCTGCACTGTCTACAGGAGTAAAAGTTGCCGGATCGCAATGTACTTTGAAGCACTTAGCAGTACTTCTTTCGACATCTTAAAAAACAACTACGGCTTGTATATTTAAGTAGCTCTTAGTAGTGATGGTCCGGGCTCAAAAATTTTCAGAGTATGTGAACAGGACACCCATTTCGCTCCTAACTGTACGCTATCGAGTGAGACAAAAGCTACACTTCAGAATGTACACGTGCTTTAGGTTTATAGTTGCCCTTTTTGGAGTATCTCCACCGGGCGTTAATAAATGAATGAATGAATGAATGTACGCTATCCCTTAATTTAATAGTCGCGTTTTCCCAAAAGGTTACAGCGGTTGCGCCCTTTAATAATACCTTTTGCACTTTTGCATACAAGTAGTAGACATATTATGTAGAGCATGCGTTGAGATTGGGGGACTCAGGTTATCAACGTACAAGTAGTCTTGAGATTGCTAAATGCAGGTACTCGTATATGCAAAATCCAGAAGTTAGTGCGCGATTTAATCAACAGCTTGGCATAGCTTGGCATGTGTCATAAAATCCAGAAGTTAATGCAGAAATAAATTAGCATAGCTTAGTATGAGTCATATAATCCAGAAGTAAATGTAGAAATAAATTAAACATAGCTTGGCATATCTTGGCATGAGTCACACAATCCAGAAGTTAATGCAGAATTAAATTAGCATAGCTTAGTATGAGTCATATAATCCAGAAGTTGATGTAGAAATAAATTAAACATAGCTTGGCATATCTTGGCATGAGTCATATAATCCAGAAGTTGATGTAGAAATAAATTAAACATAGCTTGGCATATCTTGGCATGAGTCACACAATCCAGAAGTTGATGCAGAATTAAATTAGCATAGCTTAGTATGAGTCACATAATCCAGAAGTTGATGTAGAAATAAATTAAACATAGCTTGGCATATCTTGGCATGAGTCACACAATCCAGAAGTTGATGTAGAAATAAATTAAGCATAGCTTGGCATAGCTTAGCATGAGTTATATAATCCAGAAGTTGATGTCGAAATAAATTAAACATAGCTTGGCATAGCTTAGCATAGCTTGGCATGAGTTATATAATCCAGAAGTTGATATAGAAATAAATTAAGCATAGCTTAGCACAGCTTGGCATGAGTCATATAATCCAGAAGTTGATGTTAAAATAAATTAAACATAGCTTGGCATAGCTTGGCATAGCTTGGTATAAGTCATATAATCCAGAAGTTGATATAGAAATAAATTAAGCATAGCTTAGCATAGCTTGGTATAGCTTGGCATAAGTTACATTAATCCAGAAGTTAATGTAAAAATAAATTAAGTATAGCTTGGCATAGCTTAGCATAGCTTAGTATAAGTTACATAATCCAGAAGTTGATGTAGAAATAAATTAAATATACCTTGGCATAAGTAGCTTAATATAAGTTATATAATCTAAAAGTTAATAGAGAAATAAATTAAATATAGCCTGTATATTTTAGTACATATTATAAATCCAAAAATTAATATATAAATAAATTAAAACAACTTAGTATATTTTAGTATATGTTATAAAATCTAAAATAAAGCTTAGTATATATTACATACAATTAGTGGCCCAAAGTCTGCAAATGCATTACAGTGCACCACCTAACACTAAAAGTCTAATTATAAAAAATTACACACTATTATTAACATATGTTAAAAATTAATATAAAATATAAATCATAGTAAATAAATTCTTAATAGTTTATATTATATAAGTTTTTTATTTATGTAATATTGGTTTGTATAGTATTTTATACTTGAAGATTAAAGTATTATTATATAAAAATTATTATTACTGAAAAACAATATTATTACTACTGTATTTCCTACTGTAACCTACTGTAACAACACACTATATACTGTAAAAAGCGCTGTAAAAAGTTTTATGTACTATAAAAGCCATTGTAAAAAAAAAAAAAAAAAAAACTACCTGTAATTAGTGTAAAAGTACTGTACTCTAATCCCCCTTAAAAAAACCTAAAGTGGAAAATTAATTATCTATAACCTGAGCTATGCACAGGTAATCTTTTTGCTGTTGCAGAGCCGACCTGTGACGAACCGGTTTCCTATGTGTTAGTATACAGGCCTTCCCAAGGGACAAACCTTGGTTCAGGTTTATGTTGGTGGGCGATCAGGCCGGTTACGGGCGTTTTCTGTAAGTATCACGTAGCCAGTAGAGTGGTATGTGGATTTAATCTGATTGCTATGTTAACAACTGGGTATCTAATCTATCTGAATAAGTGACATGAATGTAAACTTATATATCCAGTTGTGTGTTCTGGATCGTGGTGGAAAGCTGGCTTTCCCAGCTTTCCTTGTCGCGGTGGCCGCTCCATAGTTGATCCGGTTGCGCCTACCCTGTAGGCCCATTGTCGCAACCATAAGAGTCGGGTCGTGACATGACCCGTGCATAAGCTTGACATCTGTTAAAAATGATACAAGTACAGTAATATGTAAATGCAGCGCATATACCCTTTCATTATAGGGAGCATTCCCAATTATATTTCTAATTTATCAACTGAGTTGTGTGCTGTAGGTTTGTAAAGTAATATAAGCTACCATATATAAGGATTGAGAACGCTTAATATAACTTAATTAGTCTGACTGGCTATGCTATTAAATCAAGTCTTCTTTAGAAGTGTTCTCCATAGTCCTCACCATGGCCATACTCTCTTGATTATTGACATCAAGTTCGCTCATAACCTTGCTGATCCGTTTTAGAGCCGCCATAAGTTCTATAGTATCAGGTGTAAGACGGCCAGTCATATCCACGAATATGTATTACGGTTTCAGACTCTTTCCACTTCGGGCACTGGAAATCTTTGGACAACTACATATGTGGCATGGCTGAGAATATTGTGCAGAAAGTGGGAGATGGATAGATACTCTGCATGTGTGTCCCAAATTTATTATGAACACTGCCACTCTAGATTACTTATAAAATGAGGCTGTAGAACTTTTTGGCGTAAGTTTGCATCCAAAAGAGTATAAATGTGAGTGTTTCTAAGCGATTGGTCAAGTTAAATCACTATGGGCTACTTTATGACATCGGCAAAGAACAGCTCTGCTGAAACTTAAAATACTCGTGACTGTCTTATAAATTACAGTGCTCTTTTGTGTAATTTGATACTATATGTACTAGCATTGCTGCTTAGAAAGCTTCTCACACTGCAACCAATAATGTCTAATGATAAACGTGTCACCCAGATGTTTATCAGTCGCCAGGAGCGCCAAGGTAAAGGAGCACCGCAATTTATCAATAAACTACGCCCAATAGATGAAGAAGCCACACACAACTTAAAAAGGCCTAGACAAGACAATGATAGACTTGCTAAGGTCGCAAGGACCGATATAAAACGACCGAAAGAGATTTCTAAGAGTCCCTTTCCTAGTAACCAGGGAGAGTTATATAAAGATCAATACAAGGGAAATATAACACTATTAGATCTTGGTGGAGAAGTTAATGTAGTACAGAAAAGAGGATCCTCGGAGTATTTCACTGCAAGGCGACTTCATAAAGATGATGCAAACGATGTACTAATTCAGCTTAATGAAATGCGGCACGACAGCCTTATTGCCGCTATTGAAGTATTTACCGAAGGGGATAATATTTACATTGTTGCTGAGAAGATGCTATTATCGTTGGAGCATATTGTCAGATCGCCCCCAATCCCAAGTGCCGAGGAAATAGGTACAATTATGGGCCAAGTAGGGTTATTCTTGACGACAAGTGAAGAACACGATGATTAACCATTGATAGATTCTCGATGGACTTGTATATCTTCATGACAAAGGGTTCGTTCATGGGACGCTGAATTGCCTCAGTGTCCTCATTAATGAATGCGGCAATGTAAAGCTGAGTATGCGTGAATGTGAAAATATTCATAACGCTTCAATACTAACCATTGGTGTACAGCAACTCATAAAGTTTTTGCCAAAATATCTCCGAGTGTGATAGCTAGGGATATAGAAGGGGTTACTGAGATATGCATGGCGTTGATGCAGAAATACAAGCTAGACATTGGAAAAGTAGGTGTCGGAGATGTTGCGGATTTCTTGTCGTCCACCACGTCAGGCCACGGAGCCATGGAGCTACGACAGGTTAGTTGCAAATCACACATACAAACTTTGAAATATTTGGCTCTAAAGATATTAGACTAAGCTTATTTCTCGCCAATGGAATCCAACATTTGGGTGGCCGAGGGATATTCTCCGGGGGCTTGTACTGACTGCTAAGCTTACGGTACCACGTAACTTTCGGCATAGCAAGGAAGCAGCATTCAGCTAAATGTAAGCAATACTGCTTTGGCAGCTCCAGCTGACTTGTAGCCAAGTTTCTACAAGACGAGCTATCGTTAGATATTGAAACAGAAAGCCGAGGATAAGGTAAATATAAGGGGAATTGTATTATCTATATCTCTTATTAATAGGAGTAAGTCTGTTGATAGGGGTAAGTCTGTTGATAGGGGTAAATCCAATAGTAGGAGGTCTGTTAATAGGAGTAAACCTATTAGTAGAAGGTCTGTAATACTGAGGCGAGAGACGTCGCATTTTCTCTACTTCCGGGGCAGCGCTAGCACAATATTCCTGCAGAGTGCCTTGCAAGGCGCGCATAGCCTTCCACAACTTGTGTAATCCCCCTCCAGGCCCCCGAGGAGGGGGAAGCCTCAGTTCCCTCAACGGTGGGAGCACTGTTGGCTCTGCTGGTTTATTAGCTAGCTCTGCTAGCTTAATATTGCTCTCGCAAACAGTTCTTTCAGAACACAGATTATTCCCCACCATATCTATGTCGATGTTTAGCTCTGGTAGCAAAGACGGTAAGACATCATTGTCATCAACTTTATCAGAGCCAAAGTCAAAATCTCCAGCAAAATCTCCCCAAGTGTCCCCTAGATTGTCAATGCTCTGCATAATATCACCGAGCTGGGAACTCTGAGTGTCGTCCTGTGCAGTATTGGAAGAGGAGGCAGATACTTGGTCTGCGTTTTCCTTGGGTGTTCCGCTGAGTTCCTCCGGCTGCTCGACCATAGTTCCTGTTCTGTTGGGCTCCTCTAACACAGTTCTGCTGAGTCCCTCCTGTTGTTCGACCACGGTTTCCGTGCTGAGTTCCCCTTCTCCAACCACGGTTGCTGTTTTAATAGTGCACTTCGGGATATGATATCCGCTCTCCATTGTGTCTGATTCAGTCCCACCACCCAGCGATGCATCATCGATGCCGGCATCGCTATCCCGGAGATCAATAACTTGCGTTATTGAGGATTGTGAAGATTCGTGAGACTGTTGTACCAGACTTCTGGGTGCACATCGCCTAACATACCGCCGCGCTCTCGCTGAGTGCCGTAATTGGCGTCGCTGTCGACTTAATTTTTGGGAAGCCTTTTCTGACAGCGCTTCCTCCATCTATAAAATAGTTAGCTACCGTCTATACTCTGTTCGGAGGAATATGCTGACGAGTTCGTTCACATCTGGCAGCTCCACTCCTTCAGGGAGATGGACCTGAGTACGATAGCATAGGTGTGTTGGATCCCAATATACAGCCAATGCAAACACATTGGCTAGAACCCCTAAATCTTTCGTCTTACTGCAAAGACTAGGTCCACTCTTACGAGCCTTAGCCTTTTCTTTCGTATTATGCTCGTGCCGGATCTCCATACTGGATCCCATATTGATATCTGATACCACGTCAAGATTTGCCATCGCTAATAGTTCAGTGCAAGTGGCCGAAATATGTCGATATATGCTGATTTGGCATTCTGCTTGGCCCAACCCTTCTGTCTCGGGTTTATTCCCCCTCGCCTCGGGTTTATTCCCCCTCGCCTCGGGTTTATTCCACCTCGCCTCGGGTTTTTGGAGACCTTTGGATGTCCACCTATTTCATCCAAAGTCTACAAGGTTCCTTATCCACAAATTGCCATCACTGCAAACTCATAGCTCCCTCAACTCCGTTCTTGGCTCCATGGAAGAGACGGAAGAAGCCCCCACCCAACCTTCCCTATTTGGCCAAGCGGAAATGGACAAAGAACCATCCATTATTGGATGGCCCTCTTAGTTAATGATATGTATACCCCAGGGTCTAATGGAGCAAACGAGAAGAAAAATGGCATGACCCCGGACAAAGTACAGACCAAGTAAAACCAGCAATCTATCTTTCATCACCAGTAAAGCTGAAGGTTGTTCATTTCTAAGCCGTTGTTTCTGACGATGAACCGCCAACTCGATCGCTCAGGAATGAGGGGAGGAGCATCTACGAGAGGAGGATTTGGAGGATTCCCAGGATATCGATCGCGACCACCACCATTTGAGAGGAGGCCACCAAGCCATAACAACTTGTTCAACAATCGATATAGTCATTTGGAGAATATCGATCGAAATGGTGGCTTGTTGGCTGAGTTAAATAACGATTTGAGTGGCATAGACAGCAGCAATATGTACGAACACCGGATCGCACTTTGGTTCTATCATATTTATCGCTGACCATAAATAGAGCTTATAGCAGTGTTGCAAACTCCTTGCAGTCTCAGATCGATCAGTAAGTATATCCCAATTTTTTTTTTCGACGATATGCTAAGAAATGCAACTTCAGAGTCAGCTTAAATATTACACATGCAAACGAACAAATAGCCCAAATGTCGATGCAGTAAGTTATTGCCGATATTTGCGCGCTTTTGTGCTGACGACTATCAAAAGAATACAGGACATGCCGGACATAAGAGGCCTGTGAGTGATTTCGCTAATAGTAGTCTATTATGTATGCAGCTGCGCTAACAAACGCGAAGCGTGATGTCCCATGATAGATCGTAAGTTTTGGTCGTCGGCTTTTTAGCGCTTTTACTAATAATTTGCCGATAAGGATTGGGGAGTTATGGGACGCTACGGATAGGTAATTTGCATTAGTTATCTACTGACTATCTAAGTAGAGGCTAACGATTGATCAGATGTCGGGACGGATTAAAAGAGAACAAGGACGGATTTAAAGATATTAAGGGCAAGGTGAAGCAGCTTGTTGACATATTTTCCACAAGCACGGGAGACCATGATGGTGTTGATCCTGCTACACTGTCCTACCCACAATTGTCGGGTTAAATTAAGACGCGAAGCCAAGGCTTGCATTCTATAACAATCACATCATTGATATGCCTACCCCATTGTACGCCACTATTGTGGAGAATTTTCCATGTGATAAATGCTACATGCGAGGAGCCACTTCGTATTAAGTGGAGTTCCCCATATTGCTCTCTCATTATCTCTCATTATCTTTGCTGCTTTTTACTATACACGGGTACTATACCCGTAAAAAAAAGGGTAATTCGAGAATATTAGATGAAAAAGCCACTTTGAAATACCATCAATAGTCATTTTCCTGCTATGAGTGTCAGCTTACTCTCAATACGTACTCCGTACAATCACAGGATTAACACGGGTACTCACAACACTAGAAAGGACTACCCACACTTAGTCTGGGTGGAGAGGACGGAAAAGGTCTGGGCAAAGAATCCCTGGAAGCTTTTCTGGGGCAAGTACAAAAGTTCCAGTTGTTTTTTTTTTAAACCCTGCTAGTATTATGGAGCAGTGAAGCCGTGCCTGTACAAGTATGAAGCTTAAATGCATCTGAGTACGGAGTACCCATGGAGCTATTGCCAAAAAAAGAATACAGAGCAACGTTAATTGGCCTACTAACACGCTGCCTAGAATTAGCAGAAAAGTCAACCGTTCAATTCCTTTTAGAACGCTCATCATTTACATTTTCTACAGGAATAGTGTAGAGAGTACATTCTTTTGCCTCGTATTTTGCAAGTAAAATTGCGCTCAGACTCCACATGACACAACAGCCAACAGCCAACAGCCAACAGCCAACAAGATGAGTGAATAAATCTCATCTGGCCCGTTCGCCGACAAAAAGACCTACGGACTTGAGGCGTTACCAGTAGATTGGTAACGCACATGATTGGCTAAGTGTAGGGTCAAGAGTCTAACTAGTACTTACGGCTCGCACTTCGGCTCAATAGCGGATTCCGTTACTCCGTAGAAGTGGCGTGATTGCGTACTAGTGCTTTCCTTTACGGCCATACCCCTCGCGAGCTCTGGGGAGAATTGGCATTGTATGAGATCTCCAGCTAGAAAGACCTTAAAAGGCACACGATCCTGCCAAAGAGTTTTACTTATAATTACTGGTTACTTGCAAAAACAGCATCTATAAATCGCTCTGTACTACGGAGTATTACGCAGTTATTTCCCATCATCCTAAAGTTTCAGGGATAACAAATGGGACCCACAGATGCAGCAAGGGTCTTTACATTAAGCTACTGCATACAGGTATGGAAGAGGCTTAACTTCTGTTACTATCCCCCTGTAGAGAGTTGCATCGATATGTCTTTTCTCATCACACATAATTACTGGGCATAATTTCTATAAATACAGTGTCATCCTGAGTGATTTGAAATATAAATATGTGGACAAGGAAGCAGAGACAGTCTTGTTTTTCTTTTCATTAAACCTCTCTTTATCATTCAAATATTGCCTCCTGCTCTTTATCATTCAGTGTTACCTTCTACTCTTTATTATTCAAGTGTTGCCTCATTCACTGCAAAGATGATCAACCCAGCAATTGTTCGGCAACGCATGGGACTGGATGATTCGTCAGCTGCTTTACCGAGTGTTCCGCCGGTTACTTTACCGAGTGTTCCGCCGGTTACTTTACCGAGTGTTCCGCCGGTTACTTTACCGAGTGTTTTGCCAGTTACTTTACCGAGTGTTTTGCCGGTTACTTCACCGATTACTTCACCGATTACTTCACCAGGTGCCTCGTCAGACATGTATACCGTAGTACCATCTCGCCATTCTCGCCCAAAGGCTCATACGTATGGTTGATCATCCTCTATATCTAGCTTGTGCTAACAAAGCGCATCTAGGCCATCGAGGTCTGATATGCATGTTCGGGAAGAGATACGTGATGCTCGCAATAGGCAAGAATACAGGACCAACGTTTACCAGTTTGACTCTCTAACGCATTTTCTAGGATTGCTATGCTTGAACAGAGTAATGCGGCTTTGAAAGAGGAAATGATCGGACAGAGAGAGGAAATTATCAGACAGAGAGCAACTCTGCTGATGTTGTCGGATGTTTATGCGGCGGTTTATTCATATCTTCAAGGTCACAATGAATTCACTGTCATTCAGTAAATGTACGTGTGACGGATCGTGAACCTATAGGTTAGTATAAGTTCGGATTTCCAAGGGACAAACCTAGTTTTGGGTTTATGTTAGCGGATAGACAAGGCTGGATATTCGGGCAATGTAAATAGTGTCACGAGCGAGGTAAAGTAGATCTTCTTTAGACTTCGTCAAGGTTGCTTATATTATTTACAACTGGCTATATATTATTAATATTAATATATTAATAATAGCTTTTTAAAATATTTTAAAAGTTTTTAAAGTTTTATTTATATATTAATTAAATTTTTTTTAAAAAGATTTTATAAATAAAACTATAATTTCATTATAGTTTTTAATATATCTTTAATAATAATATAAAATATAATATTTAATAACTTTAATTTAAGATTTCTTTTTTTATTAAATTATAAAGCTTATACTTTTATAATAAATATTTTTTAAAAATAGTTAAAGTATTAACTAAAAGTATTTATTTTTATTTATTTTTTAATTTTATATTTAATTTTAAGGTTAAAAATTAAAAAATATTTTATATACTTTATTAATTTTTTTATAAGTTTTTTTAATAATAATAAAATAAATAATATTTTTATAATTAATTAAAATTATAATTTTATATTTATTTTTTAAATAATAATATTTTTAATATTATTTATTAAATATAATTATAATTTTATATTTATTTTTTAAATAATAATATTTTTAATATTATTTATTAAATAATTATAATTATTATAAATTCTTTATTACAAATTAAATATTTAAGTTTTATTTTATATATTTTTATAATTATATAATTTAAAATATTAGTTTTAATTTTAATTAATTTATTTAATAAGTTAGCTAAAAGGTTTTAAAGGGTATTAAAATAACTTCTATAAGCTTTATTTTCTAACTATAGCAATAGCTGTAGTTTAATAAGTTATTACAGTAAATTTAACTATTTAATAAGCAGGATAGTTAAGTCTGCTGGCACAGAGTCCCCTAGCTAAGTTTAAACCGACTGCTTTATAATATTCAGGGGTAATACCATAAGACCTCCAGGCGTTAATTTTTTAATACTTTCCCCTTAAATATTTTATATAAAAGGTTAGCTATTGTATCTTAATATAAATTAGGCTTAATAATAAGCCTATTATAAAAGAACTTTTACGTGAGTTCAGAAATACAGCTACACTTACTAACACAGCTCTTCACTTACCTAACTATTTTAATTAAATTTTTACAGCTAATATATTTAACAGTGTAAATACTATAGTAAACTTAAGCTACTACAATGTTAAATAAAAACCTATATAACAGTAAAAAGCACACTAAACTATAGGTTTTAAAATATAATTACAGTACTATTATTGTGACGATCCGTGTTCCTATAGTAAACTAGGGTTAGCTATTCATAGGGCATAAACCGGTAGTATAGGTTTATGTTAGCGGGCGGTCAGGTCGGTAGACGGGCAATCTTGTCACTGGCTAGTAGAGAGGTATCTGAATCCAATCTAATTGCTATGTTAACAACTGGCTATCTAAGCTAAATGAGTGACATGAATGTAAACTTATATATCCAGTTGGCTGGGCTGGATTATCTCAATTCCTAAATGATCTTATACTGGATTATTGTATTTTCTGGATGATCTATTCCTAATTGGTCGGGCGGGCCGACTTTAATCCAGGGACGCCTACCCTATAGGCCCATTGTTGCAACCATAAGAGCTGGGTTGTAACAATTATTACATTTATAAAAAAAGTTAAATTAACTATTTATAATACAGTATTATACTTAATGTAAAAAAAATAAAAAATAAAAAAAATAAAGAAAAATATTAAACTATAGTTATTTACTATAGTTAAAAAATAAAACTTATAGTAGTTATTTTAATATTTTTTAAAGCCTTTTAATTAACTTATAATATTAACTATAGTTATTAATAATGAATTACGTTTTATAACCTTTATAATTTTTAATAATAAATTATATTTATTAATTAACTTTTTAACTTATTTTATAATTTATAAATTATTATTTAATTAAGTTTAGCTTATAGTTTTTTTAATAATTATTACTTAATTAAAATTAAATTAAATTTTTTATTAATAATAAAAATAAATTTTTAATAAAATTTATAAATATTTAATAATTATATAATTAAAAAAAAATTAACATATATAAATTATATTAAAAAATAATTTAAATTTAAAGTTATTTAATAATAGTTTTTATATATTTTAATTTTATTTATTAATATTAATTTTTAAAATATAAATAATAAAAGTTTTTTTTAAGTTTTTTTATATTAATAATTTTAATTAATTAATAAATTTAATAAATAAAATTAACTATTTTTAATTACTTTTAACTTTTTATTATTAAACTAGTAATAAAATTAGCTATCTTATAGCTTTAAAAGTTTTATATTAATTATATAATATTAATAAAATTACATTTATAATTAATTTAACAGCTTTATTAATATAAACCTAAAACCTAAAGGTTTATCCTTTAGGAACAGTTAACTTATACTAACCTATAGGATTAGTTCATTACATTGAAGTATAATATTTTAATAACTTAAGAAAGTAAAAAGTTAATCTTAATATGTATACTAAAACTTAAAGTGGTTTTTCTCTTTTTTTCCAGAACGGGTGGTTTTAAAATCGTTATAATAAAATTCTCCGCTCCCTTTTTGTCTCTATCTCTATGGAATAAATAAGTACAATTGGACGTAAAGTCTTCCATTAATAAACAGAAATAAACAATCTGAATTTCTTTTAATACATAACCCCCCCAAGGCCATATATATCTACATTAGCCGGCACAACTAGTTGCTATAGATCATAGACCTTTGCCACTGCATATAATGCGTATTTTCGTTTTATAACATGGGATGCACTTTAGGTAAAATTACTGCACTAAAACACAAAAAGCAGCGGGAAAAAAAGGAAAATATCGGCGAAAGGGGGTCTGACATTGTAAAGACAACGGAGATTCACCAAACTGAAGCTTACCAGCCAAAGTTTTCGCGATCCAGGGCCCCATCCCCTGAAAGTGGCCAGTGGTCAAGCTTACAGAGCCAGAATAGTTAACTTTCATTTCTATGACATTATGGCTACGCTAACCAGCGATCTTGGACCTGCCTCTATTGTAGTTTTGACAGCAGCTAACGGTTATATTGTTAATGGTTTAAATGGTACATCCCCTAGAGTTGTAATGTCATTGCCCTCAGCCCTTACCGCAGACTCAGCAACTGTTACCTCTTTACAGACTTCGGATTTCGAGTTAATTACGCCCTCGGAAATAAGTGGGATTGTTGCCTTCACTGGGAGCGTAGACGCGACTCATAAAGTTATTATTATTGGAGTTGCTGTTAGCCTTGGACTGGCTTGCACTATCTCTCTATTTGTTTTTATAATTACGTGTTGGCGCCGAAAAAAGGTACAAAAGAATGCCAACTCAAGTGCAAAAAGTGCAAAAAGTGCAAAAAGTGCAAAAAGTGCTAGAAGCTCATTGGAGATTCGCTGCATTGGAATAAAAAGTACTGCACCAACAGACAATATTTCGCCTATTCCTCCTTTAAAAACAAAGGCTACACTTGGGGCTCCCGGAGAATAAATATATATAAGACTTAGACATACAACTTTCACACTCTTTAAACTAAAACCTAAATATAATTAGAGTTGTAATCTTTTTTCACATCGACACCAATTCCCTTTATCTTTGTATTGGTTCATTCGACTGATAATGGCTTTATCTTCAGACCACTTTCCGGCTCGTAGTTGCACAGTTTCAAGGTTAATAAGAATTTCCCGGGCATTTTTCGCAACATCCTTCCATGAAGGCACCTTATTGTTTTTTATCATTTGCAATTCCATGTATAAAACCGCAGGATCTAACACCTTTGTCTCTTGTCTGTCACTGTCAAGCCACATACTGTAGTATGCCAAGATAGCGGTGTAAAATTCTATCCAATCGCGCGCTGCTGTGCTTCCGTATGCAATTTTAATAAGCAAAGAGTACCAGAGCCTCATTGGCCCCATGGGTAAAATGTCAAAGCAAGAGTTCCCCTTGTCTCTGAGGATCAAGCAGCCACCTATAGCAGCCGGGATACCTAGGAATCGAAACTTTTCAATTTTATTGATAACATTGAGAAGATTGCCCCGAAGCTCTTCTGGATAGATATATGGTGGATCAACATAGTTTAATATATCCATTGATTTAGATGGGGGTTTGTGTTTAATGAGAAATTGTTGGTCTTAAACAGTAGTTATATTTTAGGTAGATAAGTTGTTGAATATTTAAGTACATTAAAATTTAAGATTAGTAATTGTAGACTAAAATCCCCTTCTAGACAAGTGCTCTTTACTTATTATTAAGTATATATGGTCGTAATACTACTTTTGCATCCGGTATATCTATAAATAAAACGGAGGTAACCACAGTAATAACCGATGTAATCTATTCTCTGGGGAAGCCATATAGCTTTTCGATCTGCGGTAAATTCCTTGTACAATGATCAGTTACTTCGATGTTGTGGTCGTCGGGAGCGGCGCTGCGGGGCTGACAGCTGCAGCAATCGCTGCATCCGAAGGACTCAAGACATTAGTTGTTGAAAAGCGAGCCACCCTTGGAAGAACTACAATGCTTTCTGGTGGAACAGTTTGGATTCCGAATAATCTCATAGCTAAACGTCACGGAATTTGCGACACAGAAGTCAAGGCTAATACGTAACTTGAAGCAGCGCTGGGCGCGGACCAAAGCGAGCACACTAAATTAACTACCAAAAATAGGAAAGAGTATTTAAAAAAAGGTCCTCAAATGATCTCCTACTTAGAGAATAAGACTCTAAAATGGAAACTGTCAAAATTTCCTGATTATCAACCTCGCCTGGAAGGAGCTCTGCCTGCTGGAGGCCGGACAATCAATCCCGAAATATTCGATGCTGAGCCACTAGAATCCTGGATATCATACCTGGATTTATCATTAAACACGAAGATACCGTACTTCGAAAGTTTTGGGGATGCCACACGATTGAGGGCCCCAGTCACTCAAATTGGTCAGGATAGTCCTGATACCAATCCAACTGGCAACCTAGGGAATTTAACATTATCTATGGGCTGTTCCCTCATTGCGCAGTTGCTCCTTATCTGCAAATTGTCCAATTGCGTGACTATTTGGACTGAGACTAAGTTTTCAGATCTACTGTTGGAGGGGAATACAGTTGTTGGGGTTGAGTTGCAGAGGGGGAATAAAAGGTTTAGTGTGCAGTCGCAAGCAACGTTCTTGGCTGTCGCTGGCTTTGCACGTAATAAAAGGATGCGTGAGAAATATTTGCACAAGCCTACGGATATGAAATGGACGCTTGCTCAATTGAACGGGGACGACGGGTATGTTCTTGATATAATGAAGTCCAAAGGAGCAAAGACCAGCTTATTGGAAGAGACATGGGGTATTCCTACTATGGAAGATCCTTTAGATGGGAATTTAATACCCAGCGTGTTTGTGATGTCTAAACCCCATTGCATTGTTGTCGATTCTTTTGGGCATCGCTTTTGCAGTGAAGCACGTCCATATGGGGATTATAACCAAGTTGCGGATGCCATAACTCCTTCGCGGTTGATTCTCGATAGCATGTACCTTGGAAAGTATACTCTTGGTTCCCTTTCCGCTCATGAGACGTGGATGCCTCAAACGATCTTCTTCTCTCTCCGGGCTTGCTAAGCAGCTGAAGATTCAGCCAAAAACATTGGGAAAAACTGTTAGTGAGTGGAATAGTATGTGCGAAAAGGGAAGGGATATTTATTTTAGGAAGGGAGAAGATGAGTACCAACAATTCATTGGCGATGAAAGCATGAAGCTAAATCTAAATATGGGTCCTATTTTTGTCTCACCCTTCTATGCAATTCAGATATTTCCCGGAGATGCTGGGACTAAAGGCGGACTTTTAACGGATGAGAAAGGGAGAGTGCTTTATGAAGCTGGAGGTGTAATTGACGGCTTGTATGCATCCGGAAACATAACGGCATCGCCCTTCGGCAAACCTTCGATAGGTGCAGGAGTGACGATAGGCCCTGCTATGACATTTGCATATATTGCTATGCTAGATTTATGCGAAAAGCTTTGCCGATAATTAGCATTGGTTATTCTATAGCAAAATGGTAGATAAGGTTATATCTTTTAGCTGCGGGAATGTAAGCCAGCGCTTGATATTATTAAGTATAATCTGTTGTATATAACTGGTTATTGTGGTGGATAATTAGTACTAATGAGAGCTGAATCGCGAGTTGAACGATTTTGAACCAGTCTTTGTCCACACCGCCATCGCTTAATTTTTCCTCGTAAGCACCAGACAGTTGGAAGACAGCCTGCCACAATTCCAAGGCATGGCTCTATAATAGAGCAAATCGCAACGTCACTGTATGAATCAGCAAAAAACTTTAATACCTAATAAATCCACATACACGGTCTCAGCAAGGAAGTCGGTGGAGACTTCCAAGATACGGATAAATGGTATCCTCACTATCATCACGAAACCGGCCCTACAACATTAGTGGATCTGTGCACATAATTTACTATTAGATAACGCATGATAACGCACAATATACCAAAACTAAGAAGAAGAATAAGACCAAAGCGTTTATGAGGCTCGAACTCCCCCCCCCAGAGAGTCCAAGCTGGTAGAACTCCAAGAACAATGTCGCAAAGAGCCGCAAAGGCGCTATGGCAGATAGCGGCAATTGGTACTCGCTTTGAATTTGAACATGAACCATGGATATCCTGCTCTTCAATCTGTTTCCAATAGAAAGAGACAGGTGAACACTGGAAGACATTAATAAATAGGTATACAACTGTAAAACACCATGTAAGGCCAAGAGAAACCCATAAAACAAATTTGACCTGTCCTGCCTTTGTCGTTTTGGCTGAGAGACGTAATATAAATATGCCGATAGAGGTCCTAACAACAGCTGATAGCGGCCCATAAATCGACTCGCCAACATACCACGCTTGGAGCGCTATGCTAATCTGAGAACTTGTTAATTGTGATATTGGTTGACCTACGCCTCCTAAAATTACACCATGCATTACAAATGCACTCTGCGTACTGTATAGAAGCTGCCTTTCTGTTATTTTCTTGAGCTATGTTGGAGGATTTGCTTTTTTTCTGACGCACAAGAGCAAAATACATCAGGTAGTCCTCCCATTTATTCCCGTCTAAAATCTTCCTTTTAGTATAGACCCTTAGGCCCACTAAAAGTAATGTAAAAGACAGGCATATGATTTGAATAATTAAAAGAGTCTCGCCTTTCCCTGGGTTTACCTTCATTGCGATTTATGCACCATTGATGAATCTTTTAATACGTTCGACCGGGTATATATTAGCCTTTTTGACTTGCAGAAAGTCTTCGATATCCAGTTTTAGACGAAGAGATGGCCTTGTTTTATGGAGATATATGTACTGTATTGTTAGTAAGCTTTTTGTTGACAAACATCCATTTGAGAAATCTTCAGTTCTGCAGCTATACTGTACTACTTATAAATCCTAATCTACATAAGCTGCTTACAGTACCCTCAAACGACAAAAAAGAGATATTACCAACCTGTCTTACACCACCAAATATTACATACTACACTTTTCAAATATGACCGATATCCGGAATTTCCAGGGCCAGAAGTGGAAGCCGCTACTGAAAAATAGCATACCGGGAGAGAATACAGACCACTTTGTATTGAATGGGGCCCTGAGCGCGCTTGTCCGTGGCGTTAATAGGACTTTACTGCCAAGTTACATTCCAACAGAGGCATTGCATCAAACAAGAAAAACAAAACCAAAATCTCCCAAAAATTCTCTGAAAACCCGTTCTGGAAATGCATGCGCTGCGAGCTTATCATAAGCAAATGAGAGTGTTAAATGCAGAACGGATAAACTGGGGCCGGATGACTCTGGCTTAATGACTGCCTGGATAGGCATACTGTTTCTCGGAATATCTAAAAGACTTTGATAGAGACAGCCAATAGAAGCTCTTAATAAATGAATACAACTTCTCTTAAAGAAAAATAAAATAAAATAAAATAAATAAAAAAACTGCTTTACAGATCTTGCCTATTGCTTCTCTATTCTATAAAATATATTAAGTATAAGATAGTTTCTTAATCTATAGACTTAGCTAAAATAAGTGTCTGCTTTCTTATTTATAATAGATTATTAAAAAAGGCTAATTTTAGATTAAATATATTACTTTTTTAAAATTTATAAATATTTATTAATATTTAAAATATATTAATTAATAATAAATTATAACTATATATTTATAATATATATAAATTAATTAATATATTTTATTTTATTATTTTAAAATTATAAAAAAGAAATATAATAAATTTATTAAAAATATAATATAAAATATTAATTATTATTTAAATATATTTTAAAAAATTAATTTTAAATTTAAAATTAATATAATTATTAAAAGAAAAAAGTTAATTAATATTTATAAACTAAATAAAACTTAAATTATTATTTTTATAAATATAAAAAGAGTTAAATATATAATTATATAGTTTTTAAAACTTAATATTAATTAAAATAAAATAAATTAGTAAATTAATAATTAATTAAACTTTATTTAAAATAAAAAGAAGTTAATTATTTATATTATATTTATTTTTAAAGAAAATAATTAAATAATATTAATGAAAATTAACTGCTAAAATTAAAATATTATAAATAATTAATTAAATAAATAAATTATTATATATAATAATTAAAATATTATAAATAAAATTTTACTTTAAAAATAAATATATAATTTATTAAAATATTTTAATAAAATTAATTTAATATATTAAAAGTAATAGTAAAATTAAAAAATATAATAATATTTTTAAATATTATTAAAATAAAATATTAAACTTATTAAATAGAAAAAATTAAATTAAAAAACTATAAATTAATATTATTAATATAATATTTAAAGTTAAAATAATATTATTTTTAAAAAAGCTTAAAATTATAAATTATAAAAATAAAACTATAAAGTATTATTATAATTAATAATATAAATAAATAAATAATTTAAATTAAAAAAAAAAGTTTTATATTATTACTAAGTTTATATTTTAAAAGTATTTTTTTTTCATTAACTATTTAAAGTTTAAAATTTTTTTTTTTATTTTAAAGAAAATATTATAAAATATAATATATTAATAAATAAATATAGTAAATTAATATAAAAAGTTAAAAGAAAAATAATAAATAAATTTATTCATAAAATAAATAATAGTTTAAATAATTATTAAAATTATATAAATAATAAAAATATTAAATAACTTTTTTTATAGTTTTTTTATTATATTTTTTTATAATATTATATATTAATTTTACTTTATATATATAATTTAATTTATTTATATAAGCTTTTTTTAAACTTTTAATAATAAATAACTTCTTAAGTATTATGAAACTTTTTATAAATATTTTATTATAATATTAAAATAATAAAAATAACTTTTAGTATTTTTTTATTTTATATTTACTTAATTTATATATTATTTAATGAAATAATTAAATAATAGCTTTTTAATATTATAAAATTTTTTTTTATAAAGTATTTAATTTTTTTAAAGTATTCTTTTATAAGGTTTAAGTTAAATAAATATAATAAAAGGAAAATAATTTTAACTTTAATAATTAAATAAAGCTTTTTTAATTTTTACTTTTTATAAAAGCTTATATTATTTATTATTAAAATAAATTTAAACTATAAAAATATTTTATAATATTAAAATAATTATTTAATAAAATTTTTAAATATAATATAATTAATTAAACTTTAAAAAATATAAAATAATATAATTTTATTTTAAATATAAGCTAAAATACACTAATATTTAGCTTTATATTTAAACTTTATAATAATTATTAATATAATTTTTATAAAAGTTTATTTTTTTTATTATTACATTATTAAAAAATTATATTTAAACTTATTGATAAAAATTAAATAATATAATTTATATAATACTTTTATATTAAATTTATTTTAAAAATATAATATTATATTTTTATAATATATTTATTATTTTTTTTTAATTTATTATATAATATATTTTATATATATATTATAATATTTAATTAATAATTAATTTTATTTAATAATAATTAAATAGTTTTAAATTAATATATATTTAAGTAAATTTAATAAATAATATATTTATTATATTTAGCTTTTTTAATTATTTTATAAATTAATTTTTTAATTAAAAATAAAATTTAAATATACTTATATTTAATATTAATTAATTATTATATTATTAATTTATTTTATAATAAGCTTTTTTTAGCTATAATTTAAAAAATTAAAAAATAATTATAATAATAATAAAAGTATAATAAGCTGTATATTAAAGGGTTATAATATAAAAGGGTAGTAAAGTAAAAATAGTTTTTATATATATAACCTATATTATAATAAATTAATAGGTATTTAAAGCTTATAGTAAGAAAATAGTATAAGTTATATATAGCGAAAATAGTTTATACTTAAAGAAAGTTTAGTAAAATTAAAAAGCGGACATTTATTTCGGTTAACCCTATATCTGTATAGATATTGTAATTTTGTATGTAAGATAACCCAAAACTTTGTAACCCGGAACCAATACTATACGACACAGCCTACTGTGTCCTATATATACGTCTAGACAGCTACGGTTTTCTCTTCAGCTCTTATCATTTGAATGGTAAGATGCCCCAAGTTTACGTCTTCGTGTACAATGTAAAGGCCCCTTGTAATCGTGAGACGCCGATCATGTATTCTGCGAAGGGCGTTGGCCACAAAGGCAAGCTGGTCATTCGTATACGTTCGCCTCGGAATAGCCAGTCTGAGGAATTCCGTCGCCACCGGTCGATTGTTTCCAGTGATTGGATCTCTGCCACTCAGTAATGCACCCATCTCTGCCCCTCGAATGCCGGCTTCCACGTAAAGTTCCACAGCTAATGTTTGGGCAACATACTCCTCTTGCGAAACGTGTGGTAAGAAGGCAGATGCATCAATTACAATAGCGTGACCGCCAATAGGCTGCTGGACAGGAATATTCGCATCAATCAACATCTTTCCAAACCGATATACCTGACTGATGCGGTCATCTAGGTACTTCTGTTGAGTGACTTCATTTAATCCGACTGCAAACGCCTCCATATCTCTTCCAGTAAGTCCGCCATTTGTTTGATATCCCTCACAGAGGAGAATATACTTTCGGACTTTATTAAACAAATCTCTGTTATTAGTTGCAAATAAACCTCCAACATTCACCAGGCCATCTTTTTTGCCGCTTATTATCATACCATCGGCGTTGTGGTACATTTCCCGGACGATATCTGATATTGTCCAGCTGCCATATCCAGGCTCTCTCTCCTGAATGAACCAAGCATTTTCTGCAAAGCGCGCAGAGTTAATAATAACTGGCACGTTAAAGCGCTTAGCAATTTCTCTTAGTTGCCGTAAGTTGTGCATAGACACCGGCTGACCACCGCTCATATTACATGTGATTGTTACAATAATCATCGGTACATTACCACTGTAAGACTGGAGGACTTCTTCGAGTTTAAGTAAGTTAACGTTTCCTTTAAAGGGATGTTGATATTCAATCTGAAACGCTCCCTCTATAGCACAGTCTATGGCAGTTGCTTGGCGATATTCGATGTGAGCTCGGGTGGTATTAAAATGAGTGTTGCCAGGCACAACACTCTCTTCGTTAAGCAACGCTTGGGCTAATGCATGCTCGGCGGCCCTGCCTTGGTGAACGGGAACAATATAACTGAAGCCAAATAATTCCTGAACCTTTTCCTTAAGGTGGTGAAAAGAAGTAGACCCAGCGTATGCTTCATCACCTCGCATTAAGGCAGCCCATTGGTAGTGGCTCATCGCGCCGGTGCCACTATCAGTAAGGAGGTCAATATATACCTGATCACCGTGAAGGTTAAAAAGATTATAATCCGCCTGTTGAATCCATTTTTCCCTCTCTTCTCGGGTACTGGGGCGAAGTTGCTCAATCATCTTCGCTTTATACCCTTCAGGTTGACTGCAGTCTAGTGGCATCTTGGTAAAGGATTCTCGGATCGGAAATTTTTTAAATAGCCTATTAAAATATGAGATAATACATATAATTGAAAGACTGGTATAATATTTGATTGAAATTGGTTTTCTATCCTTTATATATATACCTGTACGGGGTTTTGCTTATTCTAAATACCATTCCGTAAATAAGCCCAGTTGTCTACATACGGATTTTGGGGTTGAAGAAAGACAACTTTACAAGTCGCGTCAAAAGCCTATTAAGTAACTATGTACTGTACCTATGTGGCATAATATTAGCATTCACTACGGAGCAGTCTGCTAAGTTTACGACGCAGTTTTATTTATAGAAGTCAATTCGAATAGACACTTTTGATTCCCGAACATTAACTGTGTGGATTGGCTAGTACATACTGCTTCAGGGCACAGTTAGTAGTCAATCTGTTTGTGATTATATGTATGCCCTTGAGATATTAGCTACTGCACATCGAAGTCCATGCTTACAATCACATCCCATGTATTCACTATCGGTTCGGGATAAGCTCGTTCGGAGAAAGCCTTTATTGAGTGAAAACCACAGCTTCTGCATAGGCAGTAGAGTAAAACGTAATTTCATCCGGCGGGAGTCTCCATTAGCCGAAAGGGATGGCTATTTTACGGATGAAAATACGGATGATAATATATTGAAAATGCACTCTACAAGTCTACATCGTCAGCTTTTAAGATTAATAGCGCCGTTCTTCAGACTTAATGCGTCAGTTGACTTAGAGACTAATCTTTTACCAACTGCGCTAAATATGCGTTCTGTCCTTGGTGAGGAACGTTTTATTGGCATCCCTGCACGATTGAAGATTGTTGACGATGCAGGAGATGGTAGGAAGATGGCGGCAGTGAAAGAGGGGAAATGGCTTATATGTGCTATAATCCTCTACCAGGCCCTCAATTACCTTCAAGAATATGAGAAAAATGGCAATACACTAAATTTTGAAGATAATGACCGAACTTATATCTTTAATCCAGATGATTTCAATGCATTAATATGGAATTGTTTAAGCGAGGGAAAGGAAACGATGAAAATAAAGACGCCTATGACTGATGCCTTTTTGAAAGATATATTAAGGCAATGGAGAACAGGACAGAGACTGTTATCGTTAATAGTAAGACAGTAAGATCAATGATTACCCATAACTGGCTGTACCTATCTTTTTAAGCATCCAGGTAGCTTTATATATTCAATTACATTTACATTGTGTGTGAAGCGTAATATACTTGGAAAATCGTTTAAAGCCTTCCTATCTGTGTTCATTTTATGTCTGATCCAGCTAAATTGCCCGTATTACGCAATAATTTTGAGGTCTTTTTGTTACGGATATGTAGAATTGCCCCCAGCTACTCTCTCCTGATGATCCATGGTACCGAAACAAGCATCGATATTTTGTTGCTTAATTAGTGAATTTAGCGTGAAAGGAGAGCCACTAATGTGGCAGATGGATGGTGGGTTCCCTTCCACAAGAGAGATTTCAAGCCGCTGCTGCTGACTCGATATAAAAAAAGCTATCTCTTGGCGAAAGTTGCCGTAAGTTCCTATCCTCCCTGCCCTTTGAAAAGATCCAGATTGTGTTCGCCCTTGACATTTAAATGAAGCAGAGCCATGACGTAACTGATCCATGAAAGTATCAAATTCGACAGTTCCAGCTCGTAGTCGACATTGAATATGCCCTACGCACTCATACACACCATTTACAAAGCAGGGTGGGCGGGTTACGTCCAGCTCGAAAAAGAATAACTCCGCTCGGTGGCAACTTCCAAGTTGCTTCATGGCGGCTGAACCAAGGGCAGCTTCGCGAGCGATCCCAGCTACTTCGTTTATACTACTAACATTATCTAAAGCAGGCAGCTGAGATTTAAACTCGACGTCAAATCGGAAAAATTCGCCACGACCACCGGCTTTTTGATGACTCATAAGCTGCTTCCAGGCATTATCAGAGTCCCAGTGCTTACGAACAGCGCGGGCTAGCCGAGCTGGATATAATTCTTTCCACCAAGCCAGTGGCTTTTTCCACCACCTTCGATGCTTTTTACATCGCATGCGTTGCTCATTCCGTCTTTCTTGCTGTCTAACGCCGCGGTGGTTGGTTCGAGTCGTACCCGTCCCAAAGGATGCAACTATGCTGGGCTCAGGTGTAGCTGGAAATAAGGCTGCTGCTTCTTTTAGAGCAATCGGGGCCGGGTTATTAAAAGTAAGACCGCCGTCTTGGAAAGTACCAATGCCATCTATGTGATGTGGCGTGAAATAGCTAGAGAACGTTTATTAATATTAGAATTTAGAGCATTTGCTATTTACCTACTATGGAGCTGCAGTACAACAACGGAGGCTTGCTTGCGTTAGTGTTTCGCCGTTGTGCGTAGAGAGAGTCTGAGCACTTACATCTCCCATAGAGGAACTTTGTGAATACCGTAGCTCGGCTTGAGAACGCTGTAATCTTTATTAATGTCAGAATTGTTCTTAATCGAGCCATTGCCAATCCATCCATTACTTGCCATTTCTTTCACAGTCGTTACCAGCGTCACCATAGTTCGTTGCTATAAAGGTGCTTGTATCGTCTGTGCTAGTAAGTGTTACTCCCATACACGTTCCCATTTCACTAGCCTCCTTAGAATCCATGATGCTTTGATACAGGCCGTACACCTCTTGCTGTATCATTTCTAGCTCTCTAGCTGAATACTTGCTACCGACTAATAGGGACATTATAAAACGAAAAGCTGGAGATAGGATAGGGATGTAACCAAAAAGGTAGTAAAAGAGTTGAAATAACGGCCGCTTCTCAAACGCTTTTATTGATGATTCCTCGAAATATTCAATACACCGTTCAATAGGCCAACCGTTGATAATTAGCGCACAGGCAATTAACGCACCTATTCAATCAGCATATATTCGATAATTCTCTGTCAAAAACGGGTGAATTGATTACCAGAGCTTGTGCCGTATACAACGTCAAAATTTCGCTGTATTGGCATGGGTAATCCAACATAATCTTGCAATATTCGGAGGAACTCTAGAGGAATACGACCTCTGGTTCCCCCACCATCTATACTTAGCACGCGGGGTGTTGCTGTGTCTGGTTTAATTCGAATACGAAGCTTAGCAGTTTCAATTCCACAGAGTACACATCTATCAACACAAAACAGCCAGGGGTCTTCATGGCAGGTAGTATGAAAGATCTTAACGCATATCTGGCATGTCCAATGCCCGCATGGTAGCTTGTACATGGGTCTGCGCCGTAGACAACTGAAGCACGTCTCTCCTGAAAGGGGAAAGACTGGATTCCCATAGAACCGAGCCAGGTAATTCATTTGCAATTGCTTTGAAGATCCCAATTCATTGTACTTAAAATACATCTCGCGTATTTCAGCTCTAATCAAAGAAACAATGTCTAAATCCGGGACTGTGAGATTTGCTGCTAGTCGGTATGCTACTAGGCCCTTGGATGCTTGGGCACATGCATCGTGATATAAACTATCAAAAATATCAAGGGAATTGAAAGCTTGAAGAGAGATTAGTTTTCAAGCATGTGGTGAAGAGGTTACGAGCTTACAATGCATCCCCGGTGGATACTGATCTAATATCATGCTAGAGGCAGCGTAAGGAAGTGCAAAGTGCTTCAAGGCCTCGTCGTCAAAATGAGTAAAAAATTCCGTGAGATGGGTCGAAAACCCTGTACAAATTGGATTATTCATTCTGGAAGTTTTAATAAAGTTGAATGGTTCCCAAGAAGACCAGATGTCATTTTTTGATGCAGTGAAGAGAAACTCGGCAATATGTCGAGCTGAGAAAAGCGTGCCTGCTCTCGAACGGCTTTGTTGGACGATATCCAATGACTTGGTTATCTCTCTGAGAAGCGGAATACACTGCTTCGGCTTTGTCTTCACACTCCTGGACCTTAGTTTGCGAGTGCTAAGGCAAACGGTAACCACACGGATACGTTGGAAGTGATCGAGCAGACGAGTGGCATTAAATGCTTTTTCCATTTGAATTTTCTGGCCCCTTGGGACAACAAGAATCAGTGCCGGTTTGGTGTAAAGTGTAGACGGCTGGCCATTACTAGTCCACGCCTTAAGCCGCTGTATTGTGTTGTCGATGCCTCCGACATCTTCCACAAAGATGCAGACCACGTCCGCAAAGGGAGATATTAATCTATGGTATACACTGTCTGATGCTTCAGCAGTCCTCATTGAGGATTCTTCTTCCATGAAAACCCTATCTACTACCTCATGACAAGACTGCAGCTTACATGACCTGGGTAACCTGTTATGGGATAAAATGTTGCCATCGCTAATGATGATTGGTTTTTTATTTCGCAGATATGAAGTATATAAATGGTATTCTCCATTAGCTTTTTGTCGACCAATATGGCTGTTTCGTGGCTTGAAGTTAGCAAGTGTCTTTGTTTGGTTACCGAGCAATACAACAACCCCAGTAGGGTCGTTTACATCTCGGAAATCCTTGAGCAGTTGCCTGGGCCTGTCTGAAGTTTCTAGCATAATATGCTTCCCTTTTCTCCATAGCCTTAGCCATCTTGTGTGATTGCAATTATTAGTACTATACATCGAATGAGTTTGGTAATATTATATCTCTTATCTATGCTTCCAAATACTTAAATAGTTGAATGTTTTGGAACGTATTTGTAAACCTAACACCTTCTTAAAGTGTAGACGAAATGAAGTACGGTTGTTAGCCAGTCATCAGTTTATATAATACTAGATTCTACCCTCAAGCTTCTAAAGGCCACAAGTGGACAAATTCTACAAGCTATTTAATCCAGCCCGTTTCAATAATGTACAGTAAACTACATTTGTAATATTGTGCATAGCATTGTATGTTAAGTATCTACCTTCTGGTATTTTAAATGAGTATGCATATTAGTAAGCATTAAAACGTACATGTGCTCAACAGTCACTTGAAGTAGGAGGCTGTAAACTACAGTTGACCCAATATAGACTATGAAATGCTGTTCATTTAATACATTATGAGATCCCCTGTGTATTGGTCTAGATGAGGATATCAAAGAATGTTACATCACGTCTATGTTCAAGTTATTTTTAAAAGACAATTTATATATCTCTTAGCAAGAATTTAAGTCTTTTTCTGTTAAATATTGCTCAAGTAACCTGGCATTATGAATGTTTGCCCTAAAGAATATATCAAGGATATCACCTAACCCAGGTAATAAACCTAATAAGAAGTCAAGAAATACATTCACAAGCATTCTTATCTTAATAATATTAGGGATGCCACCATTAATATTCCAGCACATATATACTAAATGTAGTGTTAAACCAGCATCAAGAAAATCACCCACTCTATAGGGTATTAGCATACCTTTCTCTTATGTATTAAAAAGAAAGCAAGAAAAGAGTAACTTACAAAGGCACTATTCCCACTAAGCTGCTTAAACCAATACCAATTCCACAAATATTGTAATAATTGTCTAGGCACTTAGCTCGTTCCCAAACTTTTTCTAAATCTTGGTGCTTATTTATTGATTGTTTCATTTTTCCTTTTTTACTTGATTAGATTGCACTTGCTTACTTTTGCATAGCTTTTTATATAAATTTATATTCGGCCACTTTTACCTATGTTGACTTTCTTTCCTGGGAACGTGCTCATTCCTGGGAGCACTTTCTTTCCTGGGAGCACTTTCTTTCCTGGGAGCACTTTCTTTCCTGGGAGCACTTTCTTTCCTGGGATCATTCTCTTTCCTAGGAATATTTCCCTTCCTGGAAACGTGTTCATTCCTGGGAGCACTTTCTTTCCTGGGGGCACTTTCTTTCCGGGGAGCATTCTCTTTCCTAGGAATATTTCCCTTCCTGGGAACGTGTTCATTCCTGGGAGCATTCTCTTTCCTAGGAGCGTATTTTTCTAGGAATATTTTCTTCTGGGAGCACTTTCTTACGATTAACAACATGAAGTTTCAAACTGTGGTTTACTGGGGTCAATATACTGGTGAAAAGAGTCTCGCAGACTATTGTAATTCAATATCTGGAATTGATATTATTGTCCTAGCATTCTTAAATAATCTTTTACCCGGTAACACCCTTTCAGGATCGCTTGGTCCCCTATGCTCTATCGGTGCCTCCGGAAGTATCCAAGGCTGTAATAATATAGCATCAGATATTAAAACATGCCAAGCTGCAAACGTCAAAATTATTATTTCTTTAGGTGGCTGGTATAGTTCAATCTCTCTGCAATCGGCAAGTCAAGCTGAAGATGTTGGGCAATCCTTATGGGACATGTATGGCAATGAACCAAACAGTACTGCACCAAGACCATTTGGCGAAGCATTCGTTAATGGCTTCGACTTCGATATTGAGCATCAAGATGACAATTACAATCAATATTATCAAAATATGATTAAACAGTTACGCTCCAATTTTGCCAAAGACTCCTCAAACAAATACTATATTACAGGGGCACCTCAATGTTTTCTCCCTGAAACTAACATGGGCACTATTATTCAAAACTCCGAGTTTGACTATTTATGGATTCAATTTTATAACAATAACTGTGCTCTGGCTATTGACAATGGCAAAAATTTTAATTATAAAGACTGGACGGATATTTTGTTCACAACGCAGTCGAGAAATGCTAGTCTTTTTATTGGCTTGCCTGCATCAGTAAACGCATCAACTGGTTCAGACAGTGGGTCACAATATTATATCGCTCCGGAACAGTTAGCTACCCATATTAATAGCCAAAAAAGTGAACAGAATTTTGGAGGTGTTATGCTTTGGGACGCTGGGTATTCTGATGGAAATATTAATAACGGATGCACTTACGCACAAAACATTCATCATATCCTTGTTACTGGATCTGCTTGTGGGCATTCAGAATCGCTCATGTCATCACCGCTAAGCTCACGAACTACCGCATCAGCACAGGCAGCTTATACACCACCACTAGAAACAACGTCATCTATATTAGATAAAGTGCCTATATGGGGTCAGGTATGGTAGAATGAGCATGTTAAGTTATTTTCAGAAACTAACTTAAAGCAGTGCGGTGGCCAAGATTATACTGGACCAACACTGTGCCTACCGCCGTATCAATGTATTCAACTAAGCAAGTGGTGGTCATCTTGTCACTAAACATTGACATATTTATACTTTGGCCATGCTAGAGGGCGAAATAAGGTATTCTTAGATAAGCTATTAAAAATAGTTCTTAAATGGCCTCTATTCTGAACAGTGGTGATTACAGCATAAATCGCTATAGCTATGTAGGACCTCATAGGGCTTCAGTGCTAAATTGTGCTTAGAAAAAGAGATGAGAGAAATAAATAAATATATAGTTATTATAAATCAACTGTTACAGCATTGAACTTCTCATCTTGATATTAATTTGACCTCTATAGTTGTTATAAATTTTCTATTATATAGTTCAAATTCCCGATATTACTGTGACAGATAAACTAACTCATACTCCAAGATCTATGACTAAAATCCGTTTTAACTCTTGTTTGCACCCTTCAGCTCTACCTTAATATCAAAAGTCTTTCTTAGAGCCTCTTCAAACTGTTTTACAGCTTCCTCAATCTTATCCAAAGGTTCTGCTGCAAAGGTCGCCTTCAAAAAATCTCGGTATCTCCATTACGAATTGATATAGAGAACCACTACCCCTTACCGAAAAAAAAAAAAGAATATTTTAATCACACTAATTTTATCTTCAGCTCTAGCAAGGGAGAATACGGTATATACCAGGAACTATAAATATATGCAGCATTATGCTACGCTATTGTTTTATTGTACAAGACTCTGTCTGTGAACCAGTAGGGTTTAATGGTCCCTCACATGAAATAGTGTGTTGATCGGCTAAGGCTTCATAATCGTAAACTAGACACCCAAATTTAGAAAACCCTCCTTTCGAACTTTGACCTATTTTACATCATAGATCAGCTCTAATATATCAGGCCTAATTGACAACTATCACTTACAATTTTCCCAAATTTTATATATGATTTGTGAACAGTTCTGCGTCACACTTTGAGGATCTTTGCAATCTGGTGTCCAGCGTATGGTGAAGTAATGACGGAGAGAGTCAGGGTCAGAGTCAGGGTCAGAGCCACTCTCAAAAGGCATAAGAAAAGAGAGGTTATCTCGTTCGTCTCTCAAAGTGACGTTTTTATTTATCATAGCCCGACAAGCAAAACTAGCTATGAACTGCATGACTAAAGCTTCCTCATTAGACGGTTTACCGTCTCGGTAGCACAGCGGGCTATTTGTTTGAAGACCCGGAACTGGGCTTAATGATGCTGCTGCTGAAGTCACTGACAAGGAAGTTGACGTACGCGACGTATGCGACGCACATTCTTCAGTAGCGATTTCTGCGGGTAGAGTTTTAGTCTTAGTTGGTAAAATTGTCTTGTTGGCTGAATGAAATTGTCCGCAGTCTGTATATCCTAAATGAAGGACTGGGGTACAGTTTTGTGTTGTGAACCAAGTTGCTGGGGGTAATACTGTTGGGTTGTATGGTACTTTATAAATATCTCCGGGAGTAATAAACCAGGTTATCAAGCTCGGATTTAATCTCTTAATCTCATCCTGAGTAATATTAAGAGCCTCGGCTGTTTTGCTCACAGTATCGCAATCCATAACCCGCCAAAGGCCAATTTGAGTCGAGTTTAAATTGCAACAGAATGCAAGAGAAAGAAAACACGTGATGAATGCGAAAGACAACATATTTAAACGTTGTAATAGTTAAGATCTTTCTTTCCACAGCGCGCGAGCAAAATATTTGAAACAACTACATATTGTTTTATGCAAAAATAGCTTCCTCTTTCTCCACACTCTTTAAAAATTCCGAGTATGCCAACGTCGTTAATTTCTATCAAAAAGCTCTATATACCATATTACCTGTTGAAAAAATCCACATGCTGATTTTCAGCTTCGAAAACTATGGATTTTAAAAGTTATTTGCAATATTGGATTTAAGGCAAATGTTAATTACCTAAATCTACTTTAAGAAACCTGCCTTAGGCCCTACCCTGCTTTCTTAAGGACGTTGCAGTAGGTAAATAAAGCCAATTTTAAAAAAGAATAAAATAACTTAAAAATTCTTTATATAACTGTTTTTTAAAATTTATTTTTAGCTTATATATAACTAAGATTATAAAGAAGAAAATAAAAAGCGAAGTATAGGCCATTACCATAGCGTGGAAAAGGGTATGCGTGTTACGCCTTTGATAAGCCGTCCCTAAAAATACTGCTAAATTTTGGAAAGAGTGTGGAGAAAGAGGAGGCTCTTAGTGCACAAGACAATAGAAACTGGGAATCAAGTCCTTATTCAAATATCAAGGCTTCGCTGCAGAGACTACACTCAGTGTTTTGAAGTAAGTGTGGCTAAGAATGTGCGTGGCAGGAAACAGAAGTAAATTTAGGCTAAGGCAGAATCTGTCTCATGCATCAAATTGTACAACTATCGAGCCACTGCTCAAGGTCTTTTTTATTAATAGCTTTGCAAAGGATCGTTGAAGGGGGCCGCGTTACATTATATAATATTACAGTTTTAGTTTATGGAATTTTCAATAGATCTCTAGTCGCTAAAGCTTTTACTGTATGTAGAAATGGCGTTATATTAAAAACTATGGAGAAAATTTTCTCTTTTTATTTACGCTTCTATTACTGGACTCTTGTATTTTCTCAGGCCGCATTTGCTCAATTTGATTTGTAAGAAATGAAATCCTCTGATTTTGGTCTCTTATGGACGCTGAGTTATTTTGGCTTTCAGCCCAGGCAAACGCAAGCAGTGTGTTTTGAGTTTCAATTGTTTGATCCCGCTCCTGAAGTTCGTTACTTTTTTCTAAAAGCGCCTCCTTATGGGAATAGAGGTTGGCTTCCGCCATCTCCCGCTTTAGAGATTCCTCGTCAAGCGCATGCGCTAGGACATCATTGCGGTTCTTATATTCTTTGAGTTCGTTCTCAAGATGGTGTAGTTTCTGATATAAGCAGATGCATTTCGACGCCCCAGCAATATCTTCATCCATATTAACTATATCCGAGAATGCGAGGTAAGAGAATATTCATAAGGTTAAACATGCTCAATTTATTATGTACTGTAGTACTTATTTATATAATTGTTTACATATATGTTAAGTTTAAATACAGTACAGTATGTATATAAGAGAAACATCCGATATAGGTACGTCCAAAAGTATACAACTGGATAAGCTTGGTTATATTTAAATTCAAAGTAAAGTTATGTATACCGTACATAAAAATTCGCTATTTTATTCGTCCTGCAACATAGGGCTAGCAGATGTGATTCCCACGCCGGCAGATTTGGGTCAGTATCGTGGTTCATTGGGGCGTAAGTAATTAACTCCCCTTTTCCTTTAGCACGGTTTTGATATTTAGTTAGATCGTTTGTTCCCCGTACGGAATCAGCCTGTTTCTACTATTCAGCTACATTTTGCGACAAATCATGTTTGGTGAACCAGAAGATCTTATTGATTGGGGCTGTGATGATGAAGTCTTCGATGGCTCTTCTAGTAATAACTTTACGAATACAACTCAAAACACCCGGAAAATACATCTCAAAGCTACAACGCTAGTCCTTCACCTAAAAGAGGGACAACTTATACTCACCCGCGGCAAAACTCATTACCTATGGCAAGATAATACATCACACATATGGCCATCTCGATTACTCTATAATTGCCTTAACAGTTTCTCTATCGAGGTGCAATGTATACAGCCCTATGGGGAGATAAGCACTGTGTTATTGGAGAAGAATGGAACAATCTGGGAGGGCTATTGTAATAAATATTTAATAGGCATCAAGGTGGATTATAAAAATGCTGAACGATTAATTACGGGCTCTAAAATTATGATAAGCTATTAGCAAAGTATATAAACGTTAGTTAATAACATAAAACACATTGCCATTGATAAGGGATAACAATAAACTCAAATATATGTATTTTGGTATATATAGTAATAAATTATAAATTTTCAGAGTTATCTAGAATATCTATTTATTTCTGAAATCATAAATTGGAAATATAAGAATACTAGCTCAATAACAAAAAAATATCGCTATTTAATATACTATTGACTAATAATATGCTGTACCGTTTATGCTTTGAACAGTATATAAGCGAGAAGGTCTATAGCGTAATCTTAAACAGTTCGAATCAGCGAAACCACCAGTTCCTCCGTTAATACATTGGATATAATTTTGTCTCATAATTTGGCTACAATACGCTTGAAAATCTTGTGGGAAAGCTTTACTCGTACAATTTAAGAGCCACTCGACAGAGTATCCATATCCAAGTTGGTTATTATTCTCGTCTAAAAAAATGGACATTGAAAATGAATTCGACGAGGTTTGCCAGAAATCTCCCAAATATTCGCAAAATTTGTTTGCATAAAGAGATTGAGTTTCATTGCGTGTGTATAATTGAGGATCTGGCGAATGGCATATTCTAGTAGGAGAAGGCAACGAATCTGTGGTTGATGACGTATCACCTGTCTTTTCCAAAGGATGAGTTGGCTGTTTATGAGTAGAGGTTGACTTTGCCTCAGTTTCCTTTCTACTAGTGGTTGGTGTTGTGCCAGTGCCCTGTGATTCAGTAGTGGTATTTACATGTGTGTCAGTCTCCACTGTCTTAGTTGGGTTCGACTGTACAGAATCGTTTATATTGGTAGTATGTCCTACCCTGCTATGCCGTGACCCAGTAATTGAAGTCGCCTCATTACTAGAAGACTTATAACTTGATGGTGCGCTGTTACTTTGCAATGAAGTAGATGGCGGTCCATAGGGTAATGACGTAGATTCGCTTGCGGGATTTGATGTGGTTGCTGCTCCATTGGTCACACTCTCCGCCACAGGTTGAGAAGTTGTTACAGATTTATCTGGCTTTGAAACACTGGTGGTTGCTGCCTGTCTTAGATGAAGGATATGTGAACAACCAGTTGTTGTCCAAATTGCCGGAGAGGGGATGGGAGTTACATATGGCACTGTAACCTGCTGTGCTGGAGAGACAAATTGAACATTTATTCCTGAATTCATTTCTTTAATAATTTGATAGTCTGGTAACCCTAGTACCATAGCTGCTTCATCCACAGTATCATACCGATATACCTCCCAAATATTGTGCCATACAGTGCAAGTAGCATTGCATAAAGCAATATAACAAAGAAAAAAAAGAATGATCATGTTGTATAGTAGTTAGCAGTGTATAGACTGTATGTAATGCATACTATTTACTCAAGGTATGTATAAGGCAAGTGTAAACATTGTGCTATGTACTTACTCTTTTATATGTTTATATTTATAGCTATTTGTGTCTATATGGATGAAAGATGAGTCTAAAATCTAATGTAGTCAGCTATTACTGTATGTCAGTACGTACAGGGCTGTAAGGCAATTACGCTTTTAACCAATCTCCATGGGAGGTTGCTTTTGGTTTTGTAATACGGCTGTCCAATAGTTGATATGCCAAGGTATTCATGGCCAGATATATTCTTTCAGCCTTTGTATACATAAGTAGTTCGCAAAATTACAGTATCATTATTGATTTACTTTATCTCGTCTCATGTGCATTAGAAACTCCGATATACATATCTCGCTACGGTATACATATTAGGTCATTGATATTCAAAAGCTGAGCTAAAATGGATATACCGAAATCCAATTCTAAGCTACGATATGAGTATAATCGAAAACGGCTTAGACGGCAATGTCGAGAAATACTTGCTGAGCATATAAGTAAGCGCGCTGGAGTCTATACTAGACGGTGGCAGTTGTTGTTAATAACACGTAATGACTTAGAAGAGAAGACCGATTTAAATATCCAGCCAAAGCAAGTTCGCCTAACAAATACAGAAAAAGATGGTTATTGCTGGTTACATAAACCTGAAGTAGCGCACATTTTCTCTAGGTGCTTAAGCAAACAGACTCTTACCGCTTATGAAGAAATTTGTTCAGGAGTTGGTGTAAATTTTGAGGCGATTGCAACCCCGAGAGCTTGTTTTCAAAATAGTCTGGAAAATCCAGCTATTGTTCAGTCAGCACCACAACTTTCAATATCAGAAGGAAGCTCAGAAGTTGGAAGCATTGGCATGCACGAAACATACGACATGTCGACTGAGTTAATGTATCAATTGCTTCTTTCCGCCCAACAGAGTATGATAGCCGAAAGGGCCGAACGAGAGAGTAAGGAGTGTGAATTAAGAGCGCTTCAAACGGAATATGAGCGACTCTCTGCAAAACATAGCCAGATAACGAATGTTATGTACAAGTCTCTAGGGACTCTTGATTCTATTGCTATATCTGTTGGAGAACTAAGAGAAGAAATTTATAGCTCTATTGAGGGGATAGAAAATTCTGAGTAACTTTAGGGGCCAAGGGCTGTTTATTGTAGGTGCAATAGCGTAATAAAAGAGCAATTAAATTGCAATAAATGGAAACCCGAAATATTAATCTATTTATATATATATTGCAACTGTTTATATTGTTTTAAGAAATGTACTTCGGCTTCCTTTTTTGAATCGCTTGATAAGTAGATTTAGTTCTAAGAATATACTTATGTAATTGCTCTAGAAGCTTAATACTATAGGTAAATTTAATGATGAAGTACTTTTCTCTCGACACGTTTGCGTAAGAGAAGCCACTTATCTTCTAAGCCTATTAATTCCATTGCCCAACAAAATAGATATCGAATCTGACACACTATGTACATTTGGAGTCTGTTCTGCGCCATAGGGGTCAATTACCTTATGATTAAGACAGCTATGTTAAAGATAGCGGAATGTACGCGGTTTAATAAGCTGCGAATTTGCGCAGATTTTACGGGTCAATATCTGACACTCTACATAAGCGCGGGGGCCACATGCACGCATACCACTGCTTAACTAGAGACAAGAAAAATCTAGTACCAAATTTATTGTTTGGGTTTATTTCTCTATTAATCGCTGTCGATAGTTATTATTTCTTCATTATTTATATCTTCCTGTACATTTCGTTTCCTTTTACGGCTGATTGGAGCTTCAACTTGGGCATCTTCAACTAGGGCACCACTATCCCAAGCATTTTTCAACATACTTATTGCCTCATGCCTTAACATCTCTGGGCCTATGAATTCTTCATCATAAGAAATTGCAGGTAACCCCATCATACGCCGCTGAGCATGCTTAATTACCATCAGTCCGCAACTACTTTTATCTCGTTGTTTCATAGCTTTCTGTCAGTAGTTAATATAGTACTAACAGTAATGTCAATAAATCGTAATACTACTTACTTGTTCGCTGAATTCTAAATTAGAGAGAATCTGTTCTTTTTTATACGCTTCCTGTATATGTACAGTTAGATTCCTTAAGAAATTATATTCTCTAGCTTTTTATACAGTACCTTAACATCATTGGTATCTCCATTCAGCGAGTCATAGTGAAATATATTACTTTTACCTTCTCTATAATTTATCTCAAGAAGCGTAAAGTGGTTGTTATATTGAAACAGCGGGAAGAAGCAGACTAGTGAGTCTCCTAGCTCTTTACGCCATTCTGCTACTTGAGTTGCAGTCTTTTGGAAAGGACGACTTATCGGTGAATAGGGCTGAACATCTTGATGGATCGGAACTGAGAATCCAATACGTACAAAATCCAGCTTGTCTGACAGGTGTAGACAAGCGATTATAATATCATCATTTAACCATTTATTTCGCTTTAACCTTTCAAGCGAAGCTACCTTCAAAGTGCGCGTGCCATATATAAGCAGGGAATGGCAATCACCAGAAATTGATTGCTTAACTGCACTGTCAAGCTCTTCCAGAACAACATCATTGGATGCTTTTTTAGTATCGGCAGTTAAATAGCCCTTGCTTCGCAGCTCCTTGACGAATTCGCTGTTGTTCGTGGTCCCATTATTAATAAGATACTCTAGTTGTTTTGTAAGGCTCTTTAAGATAAACATTTTATCTTCGTCTTCTGATATTCTCTTAATAAAGCCAGTCAAAATGGAGTTTGGGGTTTTAACTAAGTCCCTGTGTTTTTTTTTTTTTTTTAAGATTTATGGTATTCTCTTGACGCGTATTAAATACTGCACTTACCATGGGTTTTTAAATAATATACCAAATTCGAGGCTCTTTACCAGCCTACGCCACTTTCTTCCTCGTGCTAAGTGTGTGTTGATTTTCTTTCGTTGTCGATCCCAATTATTTTGCTCACCACCTCCAGCCGGCTTATTCCCAATTAATCTTCTTGTCACACGCTGCGATGCTGTCTGTGAAGGCTTGTCTGAAAGTAAGGCCACTTGGGACGCATGCCACTTTTCAAAGGCTATTGCAGTCATTGCGTAAAAAATTGATCCTACCTGCCGGGTGCCATATCCTTTTGTCACTAAAGAAGTCCATTCTATGCCGCTTGACCACTCGGCTTTTTCCTCGTCATCTATGCCTCTAAGCAAGCCGTAAAATATTTTATAAGTTACAGGGTCTTCGGCTGAAGTAAAGAGCCTGACTTGTTCACAAGACTCTTGAGCGAATTCCTCAATGGTCTGAGACAGCAGTTGGTCAACAGTCTGTTCGCAATCTAATAGCTCCGGTGTCTCGTCCATATGATTTCCAGAAGGTGTGTTAGTACGACTCGGGGAACTAAGTTCAGAACTAGTAATAGGAGTACCAAGAACTATAACATCTTCGCTCATGCTTTTCTTCCTTTTGGTGCCAGTATTAAGCAATGAACCTATCTTTTCAGTCTTAGAATAAGGGATAGAGTCAGGCCCTTTAGGATTTGCAACCAGATTCTCCGAATCAGAGAGCTGGTCGTGCAGTATATGGGGGGATCTGGCCGATGTTTTACACTCTTCCGGCAGTCTATCATTCCTTACGCCCCCTATATACTCTGCATAATCACGGTTACTTCTCTTGGAACTACTAGATAAATCTTCGTCTAGTTTAGACACTTCGTCGCAAACATCGGAAAGCGTGTGAATAATTTTAATTATCTGTACTTGTTTCGTATGTGGTTGCTGGCATAGGACTGTCCGAAATCCTTTAATCACATGTTGCACTGCGTCAGGAATGCTTATAATGCTGTTCAGTACTTCAATGAGTTTAAGGGGAGATTTCATGGATTCTGAAATCGCTGCAATGTCCGCTTTCTGACTAAGGCTCTTGGCAGAAGTGGACAAATAGCTCACATTGTAGGCGGGTGGTCCACTTGCCTCTAGTAGGCTAGGTTCTGCGTCTGCAAGAAAACTATCATCTGATTGAACTAAGAGATTAGGCATGTTAAGAAATGGGTGTTAAGTACTGTACAGTATGCAAAGCACAGAGAAAACATATAGAAAAGGAAAAGTTATTCTAGGGTCGCCGGGGGGGGGGGGCTTTTTATCTATTTTGCATGAGCCTAGGCCTCATCCAATAGTGCATGCCCTAATTGAATTATTTAAATTATCTTCTAATTGCATTATATATATAATCAGTGCTTGTCTACTAACTTCCTAAGAAGCCCTTTTGTGAATAATCTGCTGCAATCTCATCCTTTGTAACAAACTATAATATACAGTTGGTTCCCTCACAATAAGCGTTGCAATTACAGTCATTGGCTTAATCTTTTACCCTATTTGACATAACGATATGGTAGATCGTAATACCTACTTAGGGCTTATCTTTCCCACTTCTCCCGTCTAAGAATTTGTTTCTACATTAGTTATAATTGGAATATGTTAGTTAACAATGATATAATATATAAGCTAAGAAATCTATTGCAAATTACATTAAACGTAATTTTGTAGATAGGCCGGGTTAAATGTCTGGACAATCTTGATATGTAACTCGCAGAGTGCTTTAAGTATATTTAATCTGATTTGTGTTTGTAATATATATTAACTGGCTATTAAATTATCCTAAACAATATGCGAAGAGTATATAATGTAAAGTTTACTTAAGCTTAATTAACTGAGAGCTAGTTGCCTGAATAGGAAGTGGCTTGCTCTTAAGCAAGCTTATGCCAAAATTGGAACTTTGGTCCTCTATATTCCTGTGCAACGTACCCCGTCGTTCTGTTATTGCGACTATAAAGGTGTTAAGTCGTAACATAACCGGCTATAAACTTAGGTGCCTTTGTTTTGGTTTTGGTCAAAGGCCTTCGGATCAACAAATTTCATAAACTTCTCAAATTGGGCGAAAGTTCTTGCCATAAGCTTTGATATGTCTGATAGCTCTTGTCGCTGCTTCTCTTGAACTTGTAGCATTCCTTTGATCGTGGCTTCATAAGATTTCATAGTTTCGACAGAGGGTGTTTCATTCTCTAACACCTCAGTTCCCATGTTCGTAAATCTATCATCGATTGTAAAATTCTCTCTAGCTTGTAAATCCCTACCTTGTACCTTCTCATGTGATGCTCCTTCAATTTTTCGACGCCTCTTGACAATTGTTGGATTATAAAAAGTACTAACAGGCTTAAGATCCCATGGAACAGGGCTACTATCTTGTTCACAGAGCTCCTCAATCTTATCTCTTGCGTCTTTTGCTCCACGGACTCTAGAAAAACTTGAAAATGTGAGCATATGTATGCCATTTTTAAATTGGACGCAGCAATCTACATTGGGGGCTCTTGGGGGGGCGGCTTTGTTTTCTAGCTGTCTCTGAGATGTTGCTATCCAGAGAAGCTTGACAAACTCTTTCCTGTTCTTGTATGTCCATTTCGACTGGCCTTCAGATAGATTCTTCCAATCCGCATTTTCACAGTATTCCTCCACCTCACTAAGTAGTCCAAGTCTCGAAGCTGAGTCTAGTCTGCGGACCAAGTGTCCATTTTCCTCTTTTTCGATGCAAACTTGATGGCCTCTTCCATACCTACGTACACCAATGATGCGTGTGCCCTCTTTAACCACAGCAGTGTGCCAGGGGTAAGTTAGTTCTTCTACCTTTTGTTCTTCGATCTTTCGTTCTTCGATCTTTCGTTCTTCGACCTTTTGTTCTTCAACATTTCGTTCTTCAACATTTCGTTCTTCGGAACGCTCCGGCTTTGGCCCGATATGTATGGAGCGCCAGGCCTCCGGGAAGTGCTGCCTTTCGACTCTGGCATTGATCATTTCATGTATTTCAATTTTTGTCTTCTTCGCTTTTTCGACTGCTGCGATAGTTTCATTTGACTTGTTGACTTCTTCATCTAACTCTTTGAGTTCTTCGTCTAACTTATCGAGTTTTTTATAGTGGACCTGAAAAAACCCCGCTGGGATTTGCCACTGCATTAATTCTTCTCGAGTTAATTCACTCATATCATCCAAAATATCGTCGTTAAGAGTTTTTAGGGTTTTCATTGGCTGTGCGTCATTCGGATCTATCCAAAGCGACCTGAGGACGTTTGTTGCATTTTCGTATAGCTCTTTTATCCAGTCGGGTGGTATAGGCATGGAGTCTTCTTGCGGAGGGTCTTCCTCTTCCTCTTCTTCATCTTTGTCCGCTTGGGGGTTCATAATATCCTCTTCGCCATTCCATTCTTTCACGGCAGAAAAGTATGCATCATCCACCTCCACAACTCGGCCAGCCGCAAGGAGTTCTGTTGCACATGTTAATATAGCAGGCTAATCCATATCTTACCTCTAACTTACTATTGAAGGCCTCTTCTGTTTGTCCACCTGAATATTTCGGATGCAGAAGGCATCCCAAGAGAACAAAATTCGCGTCTCGCACTTTCTTTTTGTCTTCCTCTTCTGTATCTTCCTTTACGTCCAATATGCTATCATACGCATCGTCTGGGCAACCTACAATTCGATTCATTTCGAAAGCTCTCGCAGATTGAGCTGTAGCATCCAATCTTACTTTGGATTCCTTAGTTTTTTTTTCCAATCTTTCCAAATCGGCTCTATTCCTTTCGATATCAGGCTCTGGAGTTTGCTCTGGAGTGGCTAACCCCGTGTTTAGACTTTCCTCCACATTTTTTTTTTTTTTGTAAAGCGTAGCCGTTTCTTCGAAACATGTCTTGAATGCTTCTCTACCATTAGCACTACCTCGTGCTGATTCACCGACAATATTACTTTCAATAGCGCTTGAAGCCATAATGGATTTGATATTATCAAAAAGTATTAGAAAGTAGTAATTATCACCACGAGGGGTATCTGGTTTAAATAGCTTAGTTTTAGTACTAGGCCAAGTGCTCACTGTCAAAAGCGCACAAGTGTCCAAAGCAAGTAGTGTCTTATCAAATTTCCTTGCCCAACCCAGAACTAGTCAAACCTGGATCCACAAACGTCCAGCAGGAAAGGTGTCAGAGGAATGTCCACTTCTTTCCCTTTAAGAACGTCATTACAAAATTAAACCATTAATATGTGCAGAATGCATACACACAGCAGTTTCATTTATTGTTTGTCTAATTACTGCAACAATGAAGTCACTTAAATAAAAGAAAAATTACTGTACATACAGTACTGTAGCATACACACGTCTTATACACTTTATTTGATCAGTTTCAGCGACATGACGGTAGCTCGCCAAAGTAACTTGGAGCGTCGCCGAGCAAGAGACGAGTGCCGTGAGAAATTATCACAACATATTTGTAAGACATCACCTAAGCGAGTAAAGAATAGCACGGTTAACATTGCTAGATCACAAGCTTGGCATTGATGTGTGCCCGTCCGACGTGAGATTAAATCCGAAGAGAAAAGATCCGTATTCCTGGAGAGTGCTTTGCGGCAAAGAGGATTTTTTTTCACAAATCTTCTCTAAAAATTTAAGCGAACATTCAATCGGCACCTACCGCCTGCTCATAGATGAAGTGGGCAAGACATTTGAAGCTGTAAATACAGACACAATTAACCACTTAAGCTCATTTAGTCAAGTATGCATCAGCGATTTCACTAGTTTTAATATCTTTGCAATACTAACTTATGTGTAGCTTTCAACTCCTAAAGCTAGTTTTACGACACTTATTGATCACCTAAAGCTCAATAATGAAAATCTGTCAATCCAAATTCATCAAGTGACTGCGGAGCTAGACATGGAATCCAAGCGTCGACAGATAGTAGAGGAGGATAACCAGCAGTTGAAAGATCATCAAAGATGGCTTGAGGAGCAACTACAGGAGAGCAAAAATCTTGTAGAGCATTTTCAGGGAATTGTCTCTAGTTTATTTGCTGTAGCTGATAAGGCATTGCCTGCGTTGGAAGAGATTCGGCAGCGGGCAGGTGTAACCCAGTAGTTACTATGAACTTATGAACTTATAGAATTGCTTTATCTATCTTCCTTGGTTTTCTTATGCTATGAATTATTACCATACCTTAGCCTTGCGATAAATCGCCAGGTCAGTTGCCTAAGAATAGTTGAATCGCTAAACCCGCATAGATTGTGACTGCAACAGTAATTTAGAGAGCTCCTCATCCATCTCTTCGCCTTTTTGCCAAACTGATTGTACATAAAGTTTTACTATATAGCATACGGTATAAGTAATGTATTTTCATTTGTTTACAGTATTAGCTTATATTGCTAATGCATGTCTATACTCTGGTCTCTTTCTCTAATCACCATATCTACGACCTCTTTCTTCTCTTCCTCGTCGTCTGCTTTGCTGTTGTATGATTCTGACGGATCTCCGGGTCCATAGTACTCTCAGGAACCCACCAAGACTTATCTTTCTCGGCTCCAGCATAATTTAAAAACCGTATCTTGTACTCAACTTTCTTACTCCTGCCGTTTATCCGCGTTCCAAACACCTCAATGCCTTTGTTAAAACCCTTATACCCTTTTTCAAACTTACTAATTAGATCTTGTTTTAAAATCTCTTCTTGCGGTTCCCAGGTCGTTGTTCCGTCATCCCACTTCACGAGATATAGCATTTTTCGGCCTTCCTTCCATTTAGCAAGGATGCAATCAGCGTCATAAGGATCATCGATCAAAGATGCTTCATAGCTATTCGTGTCATCAATGTGAGTTTCTAGTATCTCAGCCGCTGACATGTTGTCGGTCGTAGCCTTGTATAACTCCGGATCAACCATCATCTCTTCTTCGGGAGGCTTCAAATCCCCCCATGCCGCGAAAACCAAATTGACATCGGTCGTTGCAACCTCTTCAGAGAGAGGACTATTGGATGGCGGAGCTATCCATTCCATAGCATTACTGCCGTCGGCATCCTTGGTAGGAGATGTTGATCGTAACAAGAAATCAACGGGAGTTTTGCTTCTAAATGCCTTTGCACTGGAGCTGCGTTTGCGCTTTCTAGAATCCTGGTTGTTGCCAACCTCCCATTTCATGTCGGTAGGAATACTGTGAATCTCACTAAGGTGATCAAAAAGACCCTCTTTCGAACCACATACGAAAATACAAAGATGGTGAGGGCAGTCCCAGGTTCCCGTATCATTGTGAGGGGTGGCAGTGTATTGTGCGAGGCATTCAGAAATATGATATCGCCAATCTTGCCGGGTGATATACTGTTGTAAACGATTGTGAGCAGGAAGGTCAGTGTTGCCGAGGTGAACAGGACAGTACCCCGCGTGGGCAGTTGCATAGCGAAAGGTAACCGGATCGCATCGGAAAGGGACGTCGTCCCTTTCAATATGTTGTTGACAATGAGTCTTCCAGTCTTCTTTGCTCGTCTGCCAACTGCTACAAAGAAAACAAAATTGAGCAAATCCGAACTCATCTATGAGATTTTTCTTGTAACAACGATAAATATGACTCCATTGCTTTGGTGGAATAATTCTAAGCAATATGAGATTAGCATCATTAGCCCATTTGCGCTTACGGAAGCAGTTCTGACGTACTTATCCATACGCATCTTACACGAAGACACTGGGCAGTAACCATCATTAGTGGGCATCAGCACATTTTGAAAAGCTAGCCGTGAAGAAGTTGTGCGGAGTGTCACGAGATCTTGCAGGGCAGAAATCCATTTCTTGCTCCGTGGAGGTACACGCTCTTTCATGACTTCCATAAGGCGAGTACGCGGTTCTGATAGCATGTGCTTGATGCGGTGAAAGTGGCTTCGGCGCGCGTCCCATTGTTCGTGTGGGCTTTCCACAGATTCGTAGATAATTTTTTGTGAGGCTTGTAAATCTTTGAGCTTTTTCTTCCTCAGCGCTCGTAACTTATCTTGCTCTGCTTTCAACTGAAGTTTTAGGGCCTCCTCGCTATCCTTAGGAGCTGATTCTTTCAGTGATTTGATTTCTGCGATCCTGTCTTTAATCGATCTGTATTCTGGGCTGTTTTCGAGATCCCTCTGCTCTCTTATTGGGATTGAATGATTAAGCGCAGGATTCCACTTCATAGTCACTGAACGAAAGTCTTCCGCTAGGTCTGTGCGGCGTTCCAATCCAAGGAAACTGGCCGCACCATCAATTGTTGATACATTGCCGAGATAACTATGAATGAGCACATTCGGATTGTTCTGGGATGCGAACTTTAGTACCTGGCCCAAAGTATAACCGTTGTCTTTTAGATGCCTCGTTAGCACTGACTGCAGTTTTTTTTTTTTTTTGGCACGCTCGTAGCCGGATTCTTACCATTAGCCTTAATAAGAGCTTCCCGGCGAGCGCTATGCAAGCCTAAACCTGTAGCGAGGCCTGCGCGGATGGCCCAATCAGACGCCTGTGCTCCCCAGCTGTTTGGGGCTTTCACGGTGCCTTTTGGACCATGTTGGCTCCATGCTGGAAATACCGGCTTTTTCTTACCCTCGTCTGCCAGTGTTATAATCCGAAAACTGGGTCCATTTTTAGGCGGCGTCAACTTTAGAGCTTTCTCTACTGTAGATAGTTCAGGGTAAAATCCGGAAGAGATTATGTTGGCTAGCATATGAAACATGGGCTGAGCAAAGAGCGGCGGATAATCGCCATTGGCATTGGTAAGCACTTCTCCCAAAGGATGTTCGGGCCTACAATTGCGTTAGTCTGTGTTTGAATCTAAAAAATTAAGCGAAGTAGAAGGCTTTGCAACTCACTGGTTTACATCTATGCGTTTGCAAAAATTTCTTTCGAATTTAAGACGGTATTCCGGCTTCCCATCCTTCCATGCCAAAATAAGCTGAAGATCCTACTCGCGATTAGCTGATAAAGTCATACAATCTGAAGTATATGCACTACCTCGTGAACCGCTTGGCATACTTCCTGTAGCCTTGCAGATGTGAAACAATGAAGGTTTAACAAATTCGTGTAATCGGCCCTCATTCCTTCGTGAACGTAGTCATGGAAGTCTTCACTCCAGTGAAAGCTTTGCATTTGGACATAGCTCTCGATGGTAAAGAATTTTTGTTCCCTAACGCCATCCTTACCCTTAGGAAGTCCATATAACTCCTGTAACTCGCCTTTGATAAACTGGTATAATGAGCTATCAAGACTTTGAAATGACCCTACAGGCTTCTCTGTATATCAAATTACTCACAGGCGCCATAGAACGTTTAATGGCATTAGGAATCTCCATATTATTCATACGTTCATAACCGTTGTAAAACTGTCGCAGTTTAATTCTTAGAGTGTTAGGAGATGGCAAATGGTGTTCTTTATCTAATCTACCTCTTGTAGATTTGGCTAGAAAATGAACGTAATGCTTTAAATCTTGCATATTATCTGGCTCATGTGACGGGAATCTTCTTTTATACCTAGAAACTAGTAAGAAAATAAGATCTAGAAAAGGACCTCAAATGTATAAATCAAGCTGAAAACTAACGCGTCCCATCGTTCGACCTGTCTTTTATACGTGAATTCAGTTCTCGGGCGGATCGGTCGTCGCACTATGTCTGGGCTCTGCCCAGAAGAATCTGCCGGTAATCCATCTTGTATGGCCTTCTCAACGAGCTGATCGTCGGTAAAGGCTGATCTTTTCCTCATTTTTAACCAGAAAGCAGGAGCTAGCTCAATGGTTTTAAATAATATAAGATTTCAAGAACGATAGTTTTGTATATGAATAATTTTTTTGGATGATAATGAAATTAAAGAAGGTAGGCTTTGTGAAAGAAGCAAAAGGGCGACGATGGTTTAAATACTAGTTCAGCGAATGCAATGGCTTTTTACTAAAATAAATTTGGTAAGCATAGTCCCTTGCGCGGCTATTTACACCCCTCCTAGCTATGGTATTGGACTGAGCAAATCCTGATGTACCGAAACCTAGGGTGAGCAGTTCGTGAGTAGTGCCTGAGCTGATATATGTAAAAGCAGCGATGCGTTTTTAAAGGCAGTGCCTAGAATTCGGATGGAATAACAGTAATAACAATAATAATTGGGAAGGGCTATTCAGCACCCCATCGACTAAGAGGAGTTCCGAATAGAGTAATAACGTATAATGAAGATCTTTTATTACTGTCACTAAATTAGATATTACACAGTTCCTGGAGTATCTGCTACTATCGCCAGTATCTGCTACTATCGCCAGTTTCTGCTACTATCTATATATTCCTCTAATATCTGCTATCGTTACTACCGGGCTGCTTTAAGTTTAAGAACAAGATGCTGAATAGCGAACGTGGGGTGCTGAATAGTCACTCCCTAATAATTGATCAATTAGCACTTACTATTTTAGAAGCAAATGGTTTCTATTTACTCACATGGTCGTCATTTTATACTTTTTACGTCACCGTAGGGATATCGTTATGATAACAACAGATATTTATTTTCGTTGTGAAACCACTCCTATTATTCTTTTCCTCCTCACCCATCCCCATCCCCTTTCATGCCAGCGTATCCGATGCTAACTTTTGTCGCTAGTCTCACTTCAATCCAAGCGTCCCGCCCTGTCGTGCCTAAAGTACAGGTATGTATATACATATTATCAACACGATTTGTCGTGTTCTGTCTTTGTCGTATCCGCGAACGTTAGCTGTTGTACGTTTCCTTCTTTGCCTCTGTCCAACTCCAATCCAATTGGATACTCAAGGCATCACTGTATGCTCAGATGAGAAGAAAAAGGCCGAGAGGCAAACAGGGCTTGAGGCGGATACAGGTGGAGATGCTGAGGATTTCTGAATGAAGACGCCACGGGGAGCTGGTCGAAGTAGAAGCAGATGTCGAATCACAGCACGCAAGGGGCGATGGCACTCAGAGATCTTACTTCATCATACAAGCACATACGACCATAGGTAGTGAAAAATTCTGGGTCTCGCCAAACTCTTTTCTCGATTTTGATGTCTTCTAATTTTTTGCATTCCACGACTCCAAATTTGGAGTCACATAGTTTCGTTTTTGGTGGTTAAGCAACCCCTGCCACAACTAAAACGGGGCCACCACTGGCACCATTTTAATAATGCCTGCTCTGAATGTGGCCAGACTCATTTCGACAGGAAAAATATCTTGACATTCATTTGGCCCGAGTGTGTATTAGTTCTCAACTATACTCTCCAGATAATGTCGTAGATTTGTCGTCTGTAATCCCAACTGTGTATTTGCAAGGGCATCCTGAGACACTGAGATGTTTTTCTGACCTTGAAAGAGAGCACCTCTAATAATACTTTCGATGCCTTGCTTTGGATTATTGTCTGCAAGCAATCTCCAGCCCTCTTGGCGAAGACTCTCGGCGTTGACGTAAGATACACTCCATTTTGACTGAGTAATGTCCTCCAACGCTGTAAGGATCTCTGATTGCGAAACGATGAAACTCCTAATCAGCAGATATTTGTTGGCACTGTCCGCAGGCCTTAGCAAAACGGACACCACGCTCCGCGCCATAGCAGGAATTGTGGTAGAGTCGAAACGAGCTTCACCAGTGTCAAATATAGTGGCTGTTCTTTCTGACACCGAGAAACCCCAAGTCCCGGAGTGAATGCCCTGATTATCGTATACGTTCAAGTTAGTTGCGGCACAGCGACATCGGGTACCTTATCTGCTACACACCACATCAAGCAATGCGCCTCCAGAGAGGCACGTCCAACTAAATGTTGGATACAATCGACACTTTTCCCGAAGGTAACCAATCAATTCGGTCTTCGGTGCCATGAGCTTCTTGAAGTCTTCAAGTGGCGGATCAATGCTGCTAGAGCCATATTCGCTGGGGATAAATCGCCTGACCCCGGCCTGAATTGCCGCATCGACCATAACTTTCTGAGCTGCAATAGGCGGCCCAGCAGCCACGGCACTCACCACTGCCTCCTGACCCGTGAAGATCTTAACAAGCGACTCGTATGTATAGTCGCTAGTCACAAAAATCGCACCATTGATTTCCTTTGGATTTGAGCCTAGACCCCGCGTCACGACCGTAACGTTGAAGCCTGCGTCTATCAAGGCTTTAACAATCGGTCCACCAATTTGGCCAGTTCCCTACACGCCAGTGGATCTCAGTAGGTTGTTCACAACCGTGACGATAGAAGTGCACGTCTTACGCCCAGAACTGCGATATTGTGAAAATTTGCCATTCCTATGCAGCTACGAACAGAAACCTGCCAAGCTTGTAATCACTGCCCTGTTTTCGATTGAAGGTGGACTGCGTTTGAGAACTCTACATTCAGTTTACTAAATACGCCCATTATTTATGCCGGGGCTTCTCCCCATATGCAAGCGGCAACTACAATAAACGATTAACGAACAGTTAACGAGTATAGTATGAGTTACGTATGCCAGAAAGATCATTTGATGACGCAAGCCTGCAGTCTTTGGAATCTTGAAGGTCTTTGGAATCTTGACGGTTACAAAGAGTGCCCCCTGCCTGCTAAGTCGACATGCGAAAGGAGCCATGCCATGCATTCAAGCATCATGTGTGACAGCTTTACGCCAAACGGTTAGCCATAGCTTGAGTAGTCAGTCACAGCCACTTCACAACAAACTCCGCATCATCAGGTCAGATAGTTCAAAGCCTTCAGCGAGAACATGCAGCATACATATAGGCGCGATCTGGCCCCAGTTTCGAGGTGCTGTTTGTTCTTTCAGCTATTACTACTCAACATTCAGACCCGTTAGCTACACTCGCTATGGTAGCAAACACTTACCTACCGTCGACAATGCGTGCTTGGACGTTCAGCAGCGGCGGTACGCCAGAGAAAGTCTTGTCATTCAAACCGTCCTTCCCTGCACCCGCAACCCCAAACGGCTCGGATGTCCTGGTCAAAATATCTCACGCTTCACTGTCTTCTCCAGGGTCAAATCTGATGAGGGACATTCCGTCTCTTTTGAGGAAAAACGCAATACCAGAACTCGACTTTTCTGGGCGCGTGGTCTCAGCTGGCCCTGATGTTCCAGCTGAATTCGCTTCAGGCGCGGCTGTGTTTGGTACGGTTTCTAAATTGGGTAGTATCATTCATAATCAGGGAACGCTGGCGGAGTACATTGTGTTGAATGTTAATTGTATCGCCGTCAAGCCGACTAGTATAACATTTGCAGAAGCTGCTTGTCTAAGCTGCCTCGGACAAGTTGCAATGGAAATGGTCCGTCAGGCTAAAATTAAAAAGGGCGATCGAGTTCTTGTCAATGGGGGTAGTGGTGCTGTAGGAGCAGCCGCTGTCCAGCTCTGTAAGGACCTGGGTGCCTTCGTCGTGACAACTTGTTCCACCAAACACGCCTATAGGATGAAGCAGTCTTTAGGAGTAGATGAGGCAAGTGGATCTGATTTCATTTTTGCTACTGGCACAGAGAAAGACTAACCTCGCCCTCGCCAAGATGCAGATTATTGATTACACTCAAGTCAACTCCATACCTGCCGCCCTTGAGAACTCCTACAGCGCGAGCCAATTTGATGCAATCCTAGATGCGGTAGGTTCTCGAGAATTGTTTCTGCGATGCCCAAAGTATCTCAAGCCTGAGGGCTTGTTTATCAACGTCGGCGACAGCAACGGAAGTCGGCTTGGTCTAATTCTACACACGCTTCAAAATGTGTTACAGCCGAGTATCTTGGGTGGCGTTCCGAGGCGATATATTACGTTCGGCGCGCCGTTGAATGGGCAAAATGCAGCGCATCTTGGACGTTTAGCTTCGAAGGGCAAGATGATGGTGTTCATTGACTCAACATTCTCATTAGAAGACGTCATTAGCGTAAGATTACGAGATGGCCGCGGCTTCTATGCTTCTATTCTAACACGATCTCAAGGGATACAAACGATACAAAAGCGGTCAAGCTCAAGGCAGAGTTGTCATTGACATAGCGAATATGGATACACGAGATCAGTAAAGCTGTATTCTGTTAGCACTGCTGGTTTAAAATTTTCGTCGTATTACCCCTTCCTAAGAAGCGAATGAGAAAATACTGTTCTAGGAGGGCGCGTAAAGAGTCTCTGGGGGCGATCTATATTAGAACCCCTTTATCAACTGCATGACAGAGTCATGAGCTCATTGACAAATCCTGCGGAGCGGAAATCAACTCTCCGCATGACAAAGGCTTGTTAATCAAGACACCTAGCCACGTCACTGCAATAGAGAAATAATCAATGTATTACACAGCAGAGAAGAAAGGTAAGGCTCTTCGCCCCCCTGAGCACCTCTTTAAGCGGCCATCAGCTTCGATCCCCACCGATTGGCTAGATCGGAGCGCCAAATCTTTTTTTTCCTTTTCTGGAAGTTGTACTATTTTAGTTAAGCTGAGACTTGTCGAATGACCCGTAGCGCTTTTCTCCTAGCCTAGATGGCGGAAGAGAGAACAGGGATAAAATGACTGTAGTTTAGTCCCACTTAGAAAATAGAACAATTACTTTCTGAGGCAGCTGAAGAATTCAGGTGCTATGGCCTTTTTTATGTTTAACCTAGACTTACTAGACTACTAGATAGAAATGAAATACCGAAAGGCAAGCTGCTGTTCTAGTGAAACTTCTTACGCACTCTATAATTCCGACCCAACCAGAGAGAAGTGGCTCAACGGTTTGATCGGGTCCATTGGTAGTCAGTAATAAGAATGTATAGGTATGCAAGTATTGTGTTTATCCCAATGGCCCTCTTGTCCAATAATAAATGGAAGTCCCGCTGTATGGGGTGCTATTCTAAGCCGGATATCAACGTAATGTCTCATTTTCGGAATATACATACATACACAATCCCACTAGATGCCAAGAACACAAGCTAGGTTACACGATCACCAAGCACGTACGACCATAGGTAGTGGGAAATTCGGGGTCCCGTTAAGTTCTTTATCGCAGTTCAGATTCTGCCATTTACGGGGTCTCAGGAGGCTAAATTGCAAGTCGCATAGTTCGGTTTTCGGATGTGACTGTTCTTTACTACACAAATGAGGTGGAGCGACGCTTGGGAAAGCCTAGTGAGGCTCTGCTCGCTATGATTTAAGTCGCTATTGGACAAATGGTTTTATCTACCGTCAGCATTACATATAAGTTAGTATTACGAGTGTGAAAATATTTATAGGTTTCTGAGACAACAGTTTACTTTTCTTGCTTCCATAAATTCATTGTACGTAGCCTTCGCCGAAGCGGTTGCCACGGTTATCTGGCCTAATACTTTGTTTTAGAACTGAAATTAGACCGTTGCTACATTGCGCGAAGAAGTTCACTGGTAATTGGTAATCGGGCCTACCTGCAGAATTGACTTTGGTTATGAACCTTGGTGATGGTTTATATTTTTCTTTTGCTGGTACGACACAAACTTTCGAGGTGCCATTCGATCGACAATTCCCGATCGTATTCACATGTGCTATAAAAGAATTTCTCTCATGCTTGCTCTTCCACAATCTCTCTTCCCTACATAAACACCATTTCTTGAATCCGGCATCACAAGCCTTGATTACCTCTTCAAAGCTAAACTGAAGATTTCTTACCATCGATTCACGCCTGCACTCAAATATGATGGAGCGTTGTCATAATATTCAGCAACTCCCCATGGAGTTAAGGTGTATGATTTGGTCTGAAGTTGGCCAAGCAGAAGGTTACAAACAACTGCTTCAGACCAACCACCTAGTTCGATCCGACATTTTATCCCTCATCCCTGGCATAGGTCTTTCTTGCCAGTGTTCGCCATACGGGCCCTGTTTATGTGACAACTCTATCCCTGTCAAACGACTTACCATCGTCGTGGAACCCGACTGCTCTACCCAATCCTGGCTAAAGTTTTCAGTCTCAGTCCTTCATGGTCAAGGGTTATCTTGGAAGATTGGAAGTCTGGATGATATGCTTGCACGGTCTCTCCGTTACCTTCGCCCAAAGGAAATATTTATCGATTTCCAAGCTCCAAAGAAAGGTTACCACCAGGCATCATTCCTAATATTACGCGCCAAGCTGTTTGATGTGTGTGCGGTTCTGGATCTTGTACAGCCTCAAAATGCACGGTCACTATATCTGCATTTCAGCGACCCTTGGGCAAATAGTGGCAGTGGCCCCAATAAACCGTTCTGGGAAAATCGTCCTCCGTCTTGCGATATAAATAGAAAAAAACTAAGGCGCCTGCGTGGTCGGGATCTCCAGCCCCTTATATGGAGGGTAAACAGACTTATGGCCCGTGATGCTTTTTTATATTTTTACGAAATGATTTTAACCCCTTTTTGTATGCATTGGGCTTGGAGGAACGCAAAGGTTACATTCGACAGGGAACCAAAATCGAAGAGCACGTCGTTTATCACGTCAAATGTTGTCGCTGGTCAAAAACATATCGTATATCATGGTGTCAATGCCTTACTACTTACAGCATGGGCATATACCGAGCAACTTATGCAAGATGGAATGGTCAAAGGATCTGAAGAAGAGTTCGTACCTCAATTTGAGAACTCTCAAAACATACGTGTAAACTGGGTCTCTGAAGGGATTCATCATAGCTCTTGGAAAAAGGCATTAGAATGTTACCTCAACTTTACTATTGCCACTTCAGAAAGCTTTCAGCGAATTATGGGTATCGGAATGTCGCAGACAGCCAATTTACCTGAAACCATTTGGTTGCGTTTGGACAACTCTCCAAGAGACGCCTTCTCGGAAGAACACCCTGGATCTACTATAGGGGCAGGGAATAGGGGTTTTGAGGTTGGCACCTGGAGATGGAATCATGATATCATACGCCGAAGATATCAGGAATGGGCTCAACTCTGGGATGATTCGCAAACCGATCTCTTCGATCCCTATTTGTCCCATTCATTTTATTCGCTCCTTGACTTGAATCATGAAACGACGCTGCAGTATTTCAGTGAGGGAGATTCAGGCTCTGAATTAGCATTGGATGACGAGAGCGAGATTATACCCTACGAGGAGTTTAGGGCACATCAGCTGAGATACATTTGGCCAGCCAGCTGGAAATGGCAACGTAGTTCAGGTTGGAAAGTTCGGCCAATCTTGGAGTCCGCAATTAGCTTTTGTATACACTTACACAACCTAGCTTAGCCATATGTATTTACTAATAGCTTTGCACTCGATAGTTACAATGGTTGTATTATTATGTAAGACTGGAGCGATATTGAATAGTTACCAAGTTCATATACTTTTCAACAATTTATATACTATAATCTTCCTTACTACTTTTTTATTTTTCTAATTTAATATAATAAGCCCTTTACTAAGTCTGTAAAAATTATTAAAGTAGTGTAAACACCGACTGCGTTAATGCAGATAATGGCAAGGTAAATACAGACTGAGTAGCTGCCAGAGTATATAGCGCGCAAGTACGCAGCGAAGAAATACCAGCCCCGAACATATTTGGGCTTTTAGTCAGAATAGAAAATAATAATATCATTATAATATCACATCCTAGGTATGTTGCCAAATCACTTTCTAGCCTGCTTTTCTCCATACCTCTGAGGTGTCCTCCGGCGCTTAGCCCTGCACCACCAACCAATAGATCTGGAAAGACGAGCGTGTGCTGCGACGGCCGTGTCGCACCAAATGTGTGGCGCAGCAAGGTTGCAACCAACATCACCAAGAGCGGCGGGCTGCCTCAACGAAATGAATTAAAAGGCATCAGGCAGCTGGAATGTGTCTGGGACAAGCAATTGTGTCTTCTCACTTTAAAGCAGGACAGCTACTTATATTTTCCTCAATCTCTCAAATGCCGACATTGACCTCTGAAAAACTGGTCCATCTGCAGGAGCTCTGCCAGAAGTATCGCATTGAGTTTCTTGGAGAGATAGACTCATCCCATTGGCCGGAGTGGCACAAGGACACGCTCAATGGTGTTAGAGATGTAGCCAGCATAAGATACAATGCCTACGCAACCAATCCAGCCCATTTGGGGACTGATCCTTGGAAGATGGAGAGGAAGAGTCATGCCATGGTTCTGGTCAAGAGTGCTGATCGCTCTCGCGGTCGTAACGAGAGTACTTGGAGACACGCCTGTGAATCTTTTATACTTAGCAGGCTGTTATCTGAAGTTTGTTGGTAAGAAGCAGACCCCATATGCCTTTTATATAGAGTCGGTGTCGCTAAAACCCTTCTCGCCGTGACTGTCGGAAACGAGTATGGCGTTCGGAGGTTGAAGTAACCCGGAACAGCAACAGCGGCACTGCGATCGCTCTGAGAAATCGACAAGAAGCTCGTCAACCTTGTCGTTGTCCGAGAGCGAGACGGTCTCTGGATCAGTACGTTCGTCTCAACGCACCAACCGTGTCCAATCATCGGACTCTTATCATTCACGTAGGCTTGAGGTGGTGGGGTTAAATCAAATATTCAATTTCCGAGCGGATGATGAAGTGAACCACGGTCCAGAAATCGGTAAAGAACTGGGAAAAAGAGAGCACCCTGATAGAGTATATGGGCTCCGAAAAACGAGAAACATTGAGCTTCTCCTCTATGACATGACTGCCCAGAGACCCGACCCTGAGTTCAGCACAGATCCAGGCCAAACAGGCTGGCCATTCGCATTACGATTCATGAATCCACCTATGAATGAAAAGGGAGATCACCAATTATTCCCATTTCTAGTTCTCGAAGCCAAGACGGGCTCCTCAGATGAGTGGCATGCAATCAATATGCAAACGGCTTTCTCGATCAGAACGTTTCTTGATTCTCAGCAACAGCTTTATTCTGCGGCCAGCGCACTGTCTGATTGGAAAGCAAAACCTATGGTATGGTTCTTCTCTAACAAGGGAGAAAATTGGCGTCTTTGTGCAGCATACACGGAAGACGCTTCCGCTGAACGGGACCGTGTCGGTACTACTGTCTATGTAAGTGTGGTTCCTTTGTAATTTTTACGCCTCGTAACTAATATTGTAAAGCGGGTTATTGATGTATGGCACGGCTGCATTACATCTCGTGATGGAGCTTTGCAGCTGCTCCTGCTTGTCGACTACCTCTTCGACTGGGCGAGAGATAAGTATCGGGAGGACATCATTGGCGCTCTAAGAACTGTAGCCCGCGGTGAAAGCGATGCTGCTAGTGGAGTTTATTACCCAGACACGGACATCTTTTCAACCGTCCCGCTGGACGGAGTTCACCAACCGACGCAAGTTACTGAAGATGATAGCAATCTGAGCAGCTACATTTCGGCACAGTCACCCTTCCTGGCCCTAGATTCGCCCGCAGGAGTGTTTCGTCATGCCACTTTCGTGGAATCAAAATACTACTGCCTCTATATCACTAGAGACAACGTAGAGACGTTCCTGCGCTCTGCAACACAGACCAGAGTTCAGCCTCTATGTCGACTAATTCTTGGGCATATGTCTCAGTCAATCTTGACTGACCCAGACACTTTGGATGCAATTGAAGTGGAGTGGACCGGGGTGTCTCGATCGTCAGGGTCTTCATATCGCCCACAAGCCCAGGAGCAGTTCCACGTGGTCATGTCGTTCACAACATATCTATCTACTCAATGGCACCAAGTACGAGAGCTTTCCGTCATTGCTATAACAAGAGATGCCTGGAAATTTATTGGGGATGCGTTCGGGTTTATGAAAAAATTGAGGAAGCCTCTGATATACGATTACTACGATAAGAGTGAATTTATCCGAATGATAATAAGACTAATGGCTGGATCTCCTAGGCAGATTCTTCATGCCGCGATAATGAGGACAGCTTATAGGATTGTGCAGAGTTTTGCAGGTTCCCATTCTCTCGGAGTTAAAGTTGACAGTGGCTCTCTACGAGGCATTGTATACTTTATTTACGCCTGGCTCAAGAGAGGAGGGGCTTTAGAACCCGACGAGTCGTTCCTGAGATCATCTAAAAATTTTCACCAACAACACTTACGAGAAGACCAAGCCGAACCGTTTCCGTTGTTACGGGAGAATCATCTACAAGCTTCGGATGAGGGCTGCGTGTTGATCACGGCAACATGCGAAGGAATGGATTCAGCAGGGAGAAAGGGAGCTAGCTTGTGCGCCTACCTAACCGAGGGCAGTCCTGCTGCAACAGATACCAAAGATCTAGCTGCTACTCTGAAGAAGGCAATCGAAACCCGCGACGTCTACCACACAACTAGAACCTCCACCAGAAGTACGAATTTCACGGCGTTGAACCAACAAAAGCAATCAGGCGATGGTCTCTGGAATATACGAGGACCGTACGGGGTTTACAGTCGTGATTTTGGTTTTCTTGATTTTCTGAGAACGCTTAGTTCCGAAGTGCCTACTGTCATAGGGTCCTCACGATCGCCTGACGCATGTGGATCGCAACTCTACCAGAGAAATATATCTCCATGGATGGATCCACGCTACTTTTATATCAAATGTCAACCACGAATGTTTGTATTGTATAAGCTTTTCACTAAAGAGATACTTTTCTGGAAGGGTATCGCCAGAGAGCGGGAGAGAAGCGGTGTATCTTGCTGCCGCTTGTGTGCTGCGCTAGGAGAACATGACATATGTACGGCTTGCCAGGTGTTTTTGGCAGATAAGAACCAGTACGAGTGGTTCAAAAATGCTGTCCGTGGGGAACCGCCGCTTCAGATAAAAGACCTTTCCGAAGAGGAGCTCGGAAAAAGGCTCTGGACCATCCGCACTGGGTATACATCACTGCGCCAAAACATCGCGCGTCGACCACTTGGATTTGGCAATTACGATGGAAATATTGACTGGGCTAGGAAGCTTGATTTCTACTCAAAAATAGACGACCCTTTCAACGATATTGCCGAGCTAGCTGCACAATGGCAACAATTTTGCCGATATTGTGATGGGAAAAAAATGGTACCACCCATTCAGTCAAGCCGCAAACCGGAAGCGCAAGCGATCTGAAGTGCCTGACTCTGAGGAGACGGACAAATCTCTTGGGGATCTTGAGGAGTCCGATGAAAATGTTTCTGCCGAGGATAATTTTCTATAGAGATGTTTCTGATAAGGACATGACCAGTTCAACCTGGTGAAATATGTGCTTGCTATTCTGTTGGTCTGAGCTATAAGAGAATTGGGTGTGGCTGTAGATCTAGGACGAAAAGAGGAAGGGAAAAGGCATCTCACACATCCTATCTTGGTGCTTGTTTATAGCTATGTACTAAACTGTCGTTACAGGCGTTATTAGGCTAGTGAATAGCATAGCAGATCGTACTCCGTAGAGCAAGGCGATATTTCCCCCCAAGGGCCCGAGGGTCTATAAGCCTAAGTGTCACTCTTGGCCGAAGGAGTGGCTTGATGAAGTGCTGGCGACGTTGTAAGTCGTAATCGTAACCGTAGCCGGATGTAAACAGCAGCGGCCATGCCATGAGTTTCGACTGCGCGATCCGAACTTCAATAGCGAGCAAGTAGGTAAGCGACCCCTTTGCTGTTAGTTGCTTCGAGACCGCGGTACTAGCGAGCCGGGTCCGTTGCCGCCAGCTGCTTACGGGGTTGAGCGTCAAGTATTTGTTGTTGAGCTGAGAGGTGGAAGGACATCTGACCATTCTCAGCTGTGGGGCGATGGGCATCTGCGCGCAATTCAACGAGTCCTCGACCCAGTGAGACGGGAAACGTTGAGCCTCATTTTAGCATTCCCAGCCTCCGACTAGCCTAGTCCACTGATGGATGCGATCTAAAGCTCTTTGTTCGGCTGATCCTTGCCCTGAACGGAGCAGCTAACTTGACTCATGGGCCACCAACTCGGGCATGATGCAAATCCTGCAGACCGCCGTCCCAAGTGTTTTCCATCACCTTGCATTATGAGGCCGCCGGATTCACGAGAGACTTGTCCAGTTCCGTCCGCACACTGAGATTTGCGCTCCACCTGTTGCATTTAACCGTATGCCGAGTCTTTGCAGGACCATGCCTCTTCTCCGCTGCACCTAGACCATGTCCCGGAGGCTCTAACATAGCGTCCTGGGAGACCGACGTCATCACGCTTCAGGCATAGGTTGGTTTTCATGGGTTGACGCGTTCTACTCGTATACACACACCAGTCCAGAGGTCTGAGTCTAGCCGGCGGATACATGTATAGTTTAACTCCTAGGACTGCTCGGCCTGCGCAGGAGGAGGGCGTAATCGTGCACGCTTCAGTCATAGGTTGGCCTTCATGGGTTGACGTGTTCTACACACCAGTCCAAAAATCACAAATCAAAGCGCGAGTCATTGTATGCCACCCCCTAATACCCTCAATACGGAGTACAGAGTACATGTAACGGGATAGATGGGCCCCCTTTCGCAGGCGTGTGCATTCGCTCTAGCCCATACTACAGTATTTTTCCTGCAGTTCCCGAGAAGTTCTCGGTGTTCTGACGAGAACCGAGTCTTCTAAGGTCGCGCACAAAAAGCTTGACAGGGGTTCCCCTCCTTGGAAGTGCATGAAAATTGCCTGGGTCATGAACCGGCAGAAGCCAAACATTCCGTTTCTCGTCTGGAGTGCCACCCTTGCTCTCAAAGTTAGACTAGGTACGAGTACTGTCTGACATGCCACGGCTTTACCAAACCTTCGAACTGCTAATAGCTTCGGACCTACGTCAACAAGTACTATCCCCACGCCGGACACTTCCTACTGTACTAGCTTACCTGTACGCCCTTCTATGTATGCCTTCTATTTGCCTAAACGTGGTACCTTGAATTACTCGGTACGCGCCAGGGCTGCCTACATCATGCTATCATACACAGAACATAACTATGGCTAGCCGGTGGCCTAAACTCGTCGATGCAACCCAACTAAACCGCGCTGCCGTCGTCCTTTAGCCCACTTAAATGCCCGCCTAGATTACCAATTCGGCGGGGTATCCGTCCTTTGGCAAAATCGGCACTCTTTGAGTTGTTCAAACAGACACAAAGCCAACAGAATAGCTCCGCGAATTGGCGAACCTTGATCCATCGACGTCTCGGGAAGGTAACAATGGTGTAGAACAAATTTTTTTTTTTTTTTTTTTAGTAAACATGACTAGACATCTATGGCATGTGCTATTTCCAACGCATTCTTTGAGTTCAAGTAAAAAGGAGTATATTAGATGACGCTCGAGGCTCAAATCGGTTGATGGCTTGCAGGTACTTGCTTAAAATGGCGTGGGCTGTCTGGATATGAATCCCCACGTATGTAGATTACCCCCACATAGATTACCATAAGGTTACGCTTGGGCCAAGCCCAGGAGCGTCGGCTCCCTTTTCCGTAGATCCCCGACTGATTCCCGACTGAGGAGTGGGACGCTTCCAGCGACAGGGGGAGGGTGTGATGAGGATCTCGGGTTGAGTAATGGGAGAGCCGTAGACAGCATGGTAGGTAGCGAGTACTAACTTCGAAATACTAATACCTAAATGATGGCCAATTACAGGCCGCGGCCAAAGGAGACGTAGCATTCTTAGGTCGTACTACTCCGTATATACGTGGGTCTGGATCGTGTCAGGCGAGCCTTGTCAGCTCCTGGTTGCTTCTATGCTGGCGTTTAGGTACAGAGTAGTTCAGAGCAGAGACGATCCCTCTCGGCGCCTTGTGGCCTTTTTGGACCTGCTGATGCCTCGCAAGGACAGTTCAACCCGGCGTATTTCGGCATCAACAAGCTCGCGGCATGGTAGGTCACGGAGCAAATAAGGAAAGGTCAGCGCCCTTGGGGATGCGCTGTGGATCTGGCTAATTAATGTGCCAGCCTGTCATACTGCTTTTCCGCCATGATGCTATGTTGCCTGCATCTTTGAAGTGCTCTGCCCGGCCTTCGCAGTGCGCTAGTACGGACATGAGCGCACACGAGCTGTGGCCGGCTCGTCAGTTCCTAGAGCTCTCAAATCGGCGGAATGATGGAATGGTTGGGTGCGGGTGTGTGCCTTCACCAAGCGACACCAGCTGGAGAATATTCGGCATTGCCTTAGATTAGATATCTTTTGCTTTACTCGTAGGTAGTATATGTGAAGGATAGGCGTCGTATCTCGTAATCTGCTTTTGCATCGGAATCCTAAAATACTACCATACTTTAACTAAAATATGCAGGTACTGTAAACTAATCAGCTCGGAAAAAACAACGCTTTACCTTATTTCTACAATATTATGTGTTTCGCCTAGTTGAGATGATCTGGGTTTTTGGGATGTTTCTCATTAAGCCTAGGTCATCTGCGATAACCCTAATAGCCGGTTACTGAGCGGGGAATCTCCTCCTTGGCAGCTGACATGCTGCTGTTTTTAATTGACAGAGGGCCACAATGGCGAGCTGCCAAAGATTGCTGGCATCGTCCCCAGAACCGGAAGGATTCGCACTCGAAAGTTGGCCATCACGCCAAGGTCGCCAACAGATCCTTTCTGGAATTCCTCTTCGGGGAGTGGTAACAGCTCTGCCTTTCCTTCTCCAGATTGCTCAGTAGAGTAAACAATTAGTATGCCGCTAGTAATGCCAAGAAGCTTAAGTCGTCGTCTCGTATCTCGTGATAGTCCGTCATCTTTGCTTGTTCCAATATCACCGAATACTATCCTGGTCGGGTCTCCCTTGCATCCGGCGCCCATGGAGCTGATGACAGGCAAGTTATTATCGTAGTAATACTTCAACAGAGCAACCTTTTTGTTGAAAGCAGACGGGCCTGGAGCTTCGGCAAAACAGCCGGCCACCAAGCGCCGTCATACATACGCCTTTAGCCACGTCTGGTCTGACGCCCACAACAGAAGACGTTTCCGCTGGCTTACCGGCGAGTCCCTTTCTACCAGAAAAAGCAATGTGATTACACGTGCTCTATTGGAGGGGTAGTATTGCATAGTAGACGGTCCATGGTAGAATCCGGACGGAACCCCGCCGTCATGGAGCTTTGAATGTGACGGGAAGGGCAATTCTCCGCCGAGAAGAAGGCAGGCCGTTTAAAACGGTGTACGCGCAATATGAGTGGGGCAGCTGCCCCGAGACAAAACCATGACGAGCCGGGCACTATGATCATATGAAGCGCTCATGGCAGTGTACGGTAGCCGCAGGGGCTGTGGCGCGCTGCTAGCAGAACAAGGGTCTCAACCAATGGCGTCTGCTTCTCCCATGTCTAGCTGGGAGAATCACGCAACCCGATGAGAATCTACTGGCTGCTCCCTGGGCTTCACTAGCACGACGATCATTAATTAGCCTCCGTGGCAGCGAGGCGCACTCTGGAGTGGACGCTATGCCACGAGGTGATGCTTGCCCGCTCGCTCGAAAAACTACGATGGTAGCATTGACAGTTTTGCCAGCGGCCAATGCCATGATAAGGCCCATAACGGGGCTCGCCATGCTCCTGTGCTTCTCTTCTGGTGGATGATGACGCATTGAAAGATGGTGGGAGACGCGAGTCGAAGGGGAGGGGATAGGAGCAAATATTTGTACAAGCAGCGTTTTTGGGGTGCTTCCGGCTTCTAGCTTCGCATGTGGGCTAAGAGAAGCATGTTGATGAGTTGCTAAGCAATCCTTGGCTGCATTGTTGCATCATGAGGCAGTACCGTATCGTGACGCTGGTGTAAAGACCGAGACTTAAAGTGCGGGAGCGAGAGAAACAACCTAATCGGTGGTGCCCTGAGATTCGAGTCCGTCGGAAAGTTGCCTAATGTGGACGCGGCGTATCGCATGTTCGTCTACCTCAGTAGGACCTTAACAGCCGTGGTCGCCGCCGTTGGATTTAAGGTACTCTCCAGGTACTGCCGTCCAGATCTTCAGCGTACTCCCCCCTCTAGCGCTGTTCCCCCCTGGCCGATACAATTTTCCATTTTCGCATGCCCAACCTTCAGCGCACTAACCAATTAGCAAGGACGAGTTGCTTCCATTCACTGCCGCAGGGAAGTTTTCAAGACCAGGTCCGCTGGCTTACTTATCCATGGATCCATCTTACGTTTGAGAGTGGGAAGAGTCGTTGAAGGCCTTTTGCCCATATTTTCGGCATACTTAAAACGATGGAATCCCCCCTTTTCTCCCACTTCTGTCTATCAATTCAGCTTCATTACCGTCTCCTCATTTCTACGCATCACTACTTCTGTACCGCTTGGGTCCTCTCCAACACAGAGTGCCCATTCTTCTTCAGCTGCCTGTCTTCTCAGCTCCGACTTGTCTCTTCAACATGGACAAGTCATCCACTCGTGCTTGTAATGGCAGCGTTGTGTAAGTTTTGGCCGTCTCGAGACTGCTTCTTTGTCTTCTTCCTCCTCTCCTTCCTCCTCCTCTCCTTCCTCTTCTTCCTCTTCTTCCTCCCCTCCCCTCCCTCCTCCTCTTCTTCCTCTTCTTCTTCCCCTCCCCTCCCCTCCCCTCCCTCCTCCTCTTCTCCTCCTCCTCTTTCATCATCATCAACCAGAGGGTTTCCCTGCGTAAATCCTCTGCTGTCTGTGTAGTATGAAGATGTCTCCCCCAGGGGAAGGTGGGCTGGTGACCGCCTCCACCTCGACACCGAAGTGGACGCTCAATGGATTCGCATCCAGGAAGAAGCCTCACCCAGGCCAAGACAACACTCGCTTCCCACCATCTTTAACAACATACCTACCTATGGTATGAAGCATGTCGTACCTAAAACGATTCGTTGTAGATGGCTAACAAAAAATTGTCTGCGTCGTTAATAGCGGCAATGAAGTCGCGGACACCACTCCAAGCAGCGGTGGCCCTCAGACGGCCGATGGCCACGACCCCTCGTACAGCGTCAACCGCTTCCTCCTTGACACCGAAAACCACCCGCCGGGGCACGGGCCAGCGCGAGACGCAGCCCAAGCGTTGCAAAAAATACGCGACTTCGAGGCCAAATTTAATTCGAGCAGCGACGCTCCTCGGGGCAGCTAGAAGCTGACAACTTGGGCGATTGCTGCATGCATGGATGGCATGCGTGCACACGGAATGCATTTATTGGAGCTTTGGAGGAGTTATATATGGGGGTACAAGTATTTTATATTTATATGTACCTAGGTATACTACATGGCGATGGATTTGCAAGTGTTGTTATTTTTTACGGGGATAATAATTCTACCTTGGTTACTTGTTAATTATTCGTACCTGAAAAAAAAAAAAAAAAAAACTTTTCCGCGAGATCCGATGCCGCTGGACAGACTTGACTACATATGAGAGCTACATGTCTCACGAACTGCTAGTCTTGCGGACCTGATCACCTGCGTGTCTGAGTCTCTCTTACACGAGGCGCGACTCGGATTCGTCGCTGAGGGACGATCCGCCTTTCAAGGGGCGGGCCAATTACGATCAGTGCCTAGGGAAATTCGATCCAATCCCCATGCCAGATTGCCTTTTTTGACCTATTAGCCTCAAATGAATTGACAGGCACGGGCCGCGGAACTCGCTCAAGGCGGCCGCTACTGTGGGGCCTAAGGCTACCAGCGCTAAGGCTGGTATCGATAAAAGTCTGATGCCGACAAAATGTGGGGTGAAACAGAAGCTGGCAAGCTGGATAGGTACGGTACAACAATAGCCGCTGGGCCCTGACATACAAGTACGACACTTTGCCTACCAGCTACTCATGTACCTTGTTCTCTTCTGTACCTCTGCCTTACCTAGTACCTTAGGTGACACAGATAGCGGTACTACCAGGTACAACGGCCGGCCGCTCTTACGCGCCGCTGGACTCGGTAGCGGGTAATGGGGAATGAGATGGGGGCCGATATGACATATGGATGTCTGCCCCCATATTCATACTGCAGCAGTAGATACCGTACAGAACCAACTCAGAAGGCCCACCAAGACGAAGTAAGGCAAACAGTAACACGCGCATTCTTGGGCAATCATGTTGCTTGCAAACCGTCCAGGGCCGCACTAACATGCCATCTATGACATCTTTTTTCGCCCTGACGATTCATAAATGCCAAGGCCGCTTGTTCAACTGAAAGCAGCTTGTAAGCAGGCAGGGAAACGCCAATGCAGAAGCAGGACAAGGCCCCCCAACGACAGCCCAGAAACAGCTCACCCAGTTCCCCTCGTGACAAGCTCAAAGTCAGGAGAAGCCGTGGGAAACCTTTAATTAGTTTCTAAGGTGGTGAGCCGGTTCAGGGGTGGAACCTCCAACGGGACGCTTCCATGAGCCGCATCTGGCTTCTCCACTGGGGCGAATCCCCTCTCGCAACCCCTGCCTAGCCCATCTGACGTTTCCTTACTCACAGGGCTCTCCAGATGGAACTTGTGACTTTCGCAATGCATTTCATTTCCCCTTCCTACTGCATGCATGTGCAGGCACCGTAACCCGATCAGCGGACGGAGAGCCATAGCCACTGCCCGCATTAGCTGCTCTGCCAGTACGGGGTACTACCTACGTACACCAAGACACATGGACCTACCTGGCACATGTACATGTAGGAATCGAGCTACCCAGGCACCAGTGCCTGACAGTACCACCCTTGTTCTTTTTTTTTTTTTTTTTTTGCCTGGTTATTCCCCTTTCTCCTTGGGTTGCTGTATTACCGCCACCCTCTCTCTCTCTCGCCTTATCGCTTCAATCCGACGCCCTGGCAAAAAAGCTGCAAGTCAAAAAGTTCAATTCCATGTGCGTATTTTAGTGGACGTATGGAGTACTTACATGTATATTCCGCCAACCCTGCCGAATAAACTGCCCACATACAACAAAATGCGACATGTATACATGCACTCTGAGCCTGTGAATGTCAATTTTCAGCTAATAGTCCGAGGGAGGCTCCTCAAGTGAATCATTCTTCTCTGTCGCTGGTTTTGCTTACTTTGATGAGAGAAATAGCGATTTCGCTAGCCCTTTTCTCCCTGATCTCTGCGGCATTGTCGCATCATAGACAGCTGCATCTGTAATCCAGCGATTAGCCATCCTAGATGATGAAGATGAGCGTCATCGCCACAAGAACATGAAACCCATTAAATGTATGATCTTTGACGCATGGCAACGGCGATAGTCCCCTTTCCCCTAGAATAGCTGATTGAGCCATCGTCAACTTCGTCGTCTTTATCGTGGAAGTCGTCGGTGACCAACGCTGTAAAGTCCAGTTCACCATCATCGCAAGAGATCTCGGCGCCAAAGACATGTTCCGAATACGGCCTCTTGATTGCCTAGAAGACCACTTTCGGCAAGTTGCGGCAGTGTAGGATGGCCCACGCGATGTCTCCCCAATTCTCGCCGACTTCGTCTTTTGACATGGAGCGTAGCTCGAGACATGCCTTGGCTATAAGATGCATGACATTAATAGAGTAGGTTGCTCATGCTTTTTTATAGGTGGGATGAAGACCGTTACACAGTTTCATGGCGGCGAACAAAGCTTTCACTATTCTAATAAGAACCGAAAGATTCCTGCTAGAGACTGCCACGTTCTCCCCCTGTTCCCCATTCAGCACCGAGGTTTCCGTCGATGTGCTCAGGCTCTCGAGCTTTTTAATGTAAGCTACTGCGAAAATGTTATCCAGCTTATCCGATTGCTCTTCGATATGCTCATAGATGGTAACCTCCAGTGCAGATTCTCGTTCAACAAGGCTAGGAATACACCAGAAAACTTGTAAATCCACTGGAGCACCTTCACATCATAGGGGGGCTCACATACTGTAACACTCTGTACGTTTGCTGACTCAACCTCCCACCCTGGGAGGGCAGATGAGTCAGCAACACGAATGGGAAGAAGAATTCTATCAACACTAAATTAGCTCACAGCCCAACTATTGCGGACTAACGATCTAGATAAAGTGAGGGGTAATTAGAGTTCGAGCTACCGTTTTACTAGGCCAAGAACTCTTCGATGAACCATTACGAGTACGAGTGCATCCAGCTCTGAAGTCTCAGCAGTTTGTTCGTTAAGAATACTGGCTCAACACATGCGAGGATATCTGTGAGCCTCTTATACACTCCCAGTACCGATGAAAGTCGCAGGCTCTATATTGCATCCAGTTTATTCCATAGAGACAAAAGCATGTTAAAGGGAGAAGAAACTTTGGGCAGACCCTGATCAGGCAAAATTCGATTCAGCTGCTCTGCCTCGGGATATCCACCTCTTTTGCTCCCCAATTCCTATTAAAACTGTAGTATATCATTTCTCATCTCTCCCCAGTTCCCTGTACTGACCTGCACGAGGATTTTTTGGAGCTGAATTGTCAATGGCTCCCAGCCTCATTCCCGAAATACAACCTTGCCCATGTGTATACTCATAACATGCGACGCCTTCCACAACTCGAACAGTAGAGCTATCTCACAGCCAGTAATGCAAGCCTCGACCCATTTCGCTTCCTTTTCTGCAGGTGGAGGACAAGAATGGGCAAAGCGCCATGAAAAAGCCGTCTCGTGCCCCTTTTAGCCGGCAAAGAGCGGGCCGCTGGCGTTCGGGCCATGCCGAAAGTATCGTAGAAGTTCTGCAAAAGCTGTGGTTACATTCCGTGCCTGGGTGTTGAACTTCGGCTAGAACCAGTATAGGGGCCAGGAGCTGAGTTTGCGAGCTGAGGCGTGGTTCCACTAGTAATATCTTAGAGTTTCAATAACACTCGCTTTCCTGTAGGACTTTCCGATGTGTCACGACCCAGATTACTGCATCTGCTTAACTGAACCTTGGATGAACTGACATGTTTCCTTGGAACCATTTATGCTACAAAGCGTTTGGATGCTCAAATAGGAAATAACTAGTGTCGTAGCTCTTAACACCCAAATGACACCCTTACTTATTCTGTATGATCAGCCACGCCAACCCCCTGCAAGTGAGGCAGTACGTGTGATCGTCCGCATCCTCCGGGAGGGACCTGTCACTTTTGGCTTGTTGAAGAACTACAGAAAGTATCTTAGTGCCTGTGGAGGAAAGTGGAATAGGCTAGAAGCCATGCTTATCCTGTCAAAATACCTCATTTTAGCATTTGTATAAATGTGCTTTGTTCGGCCAATTGCAGGTAGAGCGATTTCGTGAGTAGACCTCCATTTTATTGAGGTTTGCGCGTCCCCTTTTTGGCTCTCGACTTCCATAAAGGCTCGAGACCTTCCATTTTCTCATAGATCTTTATTCGTCTCAAATGCTACATGCTGTGCTTATGAAATCTACTTAGGAGTATCATAGCTCCCGCAAACGCACCGGTTCATGGCCACCATGGGTTATACTGCAAAGCATTACAGGAGCTTGCAGTTAGATGCAGGAATAAAGCGGGGTTTACGTTTTGGAGGGAATAATGACCATGGGAATGACAACGGCAATGGCAGAGGCAACGGCAACGGCAAAGGACACGACCATAGTAACGGCAACGGCAATAGTAACGGCAATAGTAACGGCAAAGGCAACGGTAATGGCAACGGCCATCGCAACGGAAACGGTAATAGCAAAGGTGATAGCAACAGCAAAAGTGATAGCAACAGCAAAGGCTACGGGAACGGGAACGGCAACGGCAAAAGCAACAGTAATAGTAATAGCAACGGCAATGGCAACAGCAATGGAAACAGCAAAGGAAACACCAATGGAAACACCAATGGAAACACCAATGGAAACACCAATGGAAACACCAATGGAAACACCAATGGAAACACCAATGGAAACACCAATGGAAACACCAATGGCAACGGCAACATCAATACAGATAAAATTATCCCCAGTCCGGAAGGTGGAAATGGAAATGGCCCGTCAATCACGCCGCCAGGGCAGGTCAAGCAGGCGACAATATCGGCAATTGTCCCACCCTCCCAGACTTCGATCATAGCACCTGAATCTTCCTCTCCGGTAGCAACTCCAAAATCATCGCTGCCGGATACCATCTCAACAGCAAGCCTTATCCCTCCTCAAGATAGTGACTCGGGAAGACCAGAAATAACAACAGACACACTATCTTCTTCTATCTCAACAGCACAGGCCATAACCGCAACTACAGATACGCCAGCCTCAATTTCCAGAAACACGATCGTTGCACAAGCTTTGGAGGATACCAAGGCCTCATCAACAGGCCACAATGTTATGCCTTTACAGCCTGTGTCGACACCACAGACATCCCCGTCCAAAACATTTTCCACCCATACTGTGCCAACAACTCTACCGCCGTCTAGCACTCATAGTGCCACTCACAGTACCTCACAAGTCAATAGGATAGGCATTGCAGTCGGGATAACAGGTAAATCTAGCATATCTACCCAAAGATGTAGCTTAAACTGACAGATAAACACGTATAGTTGGGATAGTCGCTCTAATAGCCATCATCCTTATTTTCCTTCGATATCGCCATTCCCGAATACTCACAGCTGTTACTCGCCCAAAAGATAAATTTTACCACCCACGAGCAGCGGATTCTATAAACGACCCCCCCTTTAGGGCGATTGCAGAGAACTCGAGTGACGGTGCCGCCTATAGGGCCATCCCTGAGCCGTACCGGGACTCCGACATGGCTTTTGCATACTGTGAAGCGCCCCCCATGGCAGAACCACCATCAATACTTCACCGGTCAATGGCTGGACATTCTGATAGACAGAAGACTCCTTTCGGTGGGGATTTTGCACCCATTCTGCCCAGGCGTCCCGTAGTTCAACTCCGCCCGCCTCCGCAAGTCCAATCCTTTCCTATAATCTCGACCACAACGGAGTATATCGCTAGGCTACATGCCCCCCTCCTTGCAAAAAAGGCCAGTCAACCGAAAGGCGAAGCATTATCGGCACATCGACACACAATGTCCCTAGCCTCTAGCATAAGTCCAGCGTCACCGATCACGCATGCTACTCCAGCCCTAGCTCAAGCAGCTCAACCAACTGAAGAGTCATCAAACAACAAAACGGAGGCCCGCCGCTCCAGCGATGGCCGCAGCAATGGGTCGGGCTGGTCTGAGTGGTTCGACACCGGCGATGATGGGCAGCCCGAGATGGTCAAGGACAACCGCCGATACAGCAAGAGCAACACAAGTGCGGTAAGCATCGCCAGCAGCGGCGTACTTTCGCCATCTCTGTTGTCCTGGCCATCTTCACGAACGGATCCAACGGCATCGATATCTAGAGATTCGCAGAATTACCGTAGGTCGGGAGGAATCCGGTGAGAGATCTTCTGGATGACGGCCAGCACAAGACAGCAAAAACCGTAAACATCGAAAGACCAGCGCAAAGCCGTATCTATTACCTGAATGGCTAACGATCTATTGCGACGTGGCCCACCTGACCGATCCACCAGCTTATGTCCACAAAAACAGCGAGCCGATCAGGACGATGGATCAGTCGCGCAAGGCCCTAACTTAAGGCTATTGGTGTTAAAACTTAAATAAGATTAAGATCTGGGATGCTACAATAAGTCAGTGTAAATAGTTATATTTATTCACTGGTCTTCACGCCCCCTCGTCGCTAGATGGGGCGTTGGAACTAGATAGGCAAATCATCAGGCTCTGGAGTTCCTGACAAGAGGTTCCTGGTTTTTGGCGGTTCTTGCAGTCGCCTGTATGACTTTTTCCATAAACCTGTGTTTGCTATACCGACAATGTCTCATGGCAACATGGATAAGAGTAGTAAAGAGGGGATTATGCAGTATAACTAATACACTTATATAATTGAAACCGAGGGCGATATGGTGAGAATATTACCGATGTTGGGAGTACTAATGAGGGTACAAACAGCTTTATACTAATATCACAGGCCGGTCTTGGGATCGGAACGATTGTAAAGAGGTCCTCAAGATATAACGGCCCCTCCAACTCTAGCTCAAATTTTAGCCTTTCAACATCGCCTACGACGCTGGTACTTCCCCTTCCAAGCAATAATAAGTTTTTCAACACCTCTTGAGACTCCCTCATCTAGACATCCTTGAATCGTACAGACTCGCCCTTCTCCATACGCTCGACCCATCTGCGTGCCTTGCTCACCCATAAACCATCGCATTGCGAAACTGCTTCGTAGAAGTCGTTCTTCAACGGGCTTTCCTCGGCCCATTCCAGACACAATTCCTTCAATCTGGCTTTGTAGACCTTCCGTAGCTGTGTTTGCTCAAACTCCATCTTGTGAATCCAATATAGTTCGTTCTTGCCCTCGTTGTCCAGGTAGTGTGGGTCGTTGCGCTTATTCGCTTGTGCGACAGCCTCCTCCGGTGTCTCGTCCGCATATGAATTCCGCTGTGGCTCATCTTCCCGAGGTTGACCGTCAAGGAACTTGGGCATTTCAGTCAGCATCCAAAGTGGTAGTGCCGAGACGCATTCCCAATCGAGCACGGCTGTGATTTCGCCTTGTTCGTTGACTAGAATGTTGTTGAGATTGAGGTCATGATGATGGAGAGCTGACGACTCTAGTCTGGTCAAGTCTGGGGGGAAAATCTTGGGAAGAAGAGCTAGGAGGCTTTGTGCTACTGGCAGGATGTCCTCGGCATCTTCGATGTCGTCTTCATCCTCAGACTTCTCCAGAACCAAGGTTTGATGCCGTATGATGATAGTCAATATGGCGTTTAGCCAGCGACAACTCGAGTGAAATGGTCCCCTTGGAATGTCGTATCCAAGATGATCGCCAATGAAGAACTCAGGAGACACTAGGCGCCCAGGCGCGACCGCGGTTTGTGGCGTCTTAAAGTCAGCTTGGAGGTCTATTTCCGGCGAATCCAATGTCCCTATCCCTTTGAATGCGGATTCTTTTTTCTCGAGACCTGATAATTCGAACTGGAACACTGCAAATCGCTTCGTGAGTGCGACCTTCTGCTTCATCGACATGGTGCGCCATCGCTTCCGTGCCGAGGTGCCCTGCATGTACTCCATCAAGATCCATTCGAAGCCGATCTCATTGTCATTACTGTCGTCAAAACCGAAGACTTTGGGAACTGGGACACTGGTGTTCTCGCGCACCCATCTCAAGGTAAAGACCTCGGCGCGTGTTTTGTGGCGAGGGTAGACGGGCAAGGTGACGCGCATGATGAAAGAGCGTCCGGCAGTGTGAACCAGGTAGACCTTATTGAAGAGACCTTCTGCATGAAAGGTGACGGTGCAAGGGTCCTCAGAGGGCGTTTTCAGTTGTTTGCGGCATACACTCTCAATCGCGGCGGTTGAAGGGTCCCGCGTCCATACTGGCACCAAATAGACTGGTGTCTGGTGCCACCCTAAACCGCCCTGCGTCGGTTGCGGCATGCTGGAAGTAATCAAGCGGAGAGGCCGGGTCTGGATCTTTGTCGACTGTGGCCTGTAGGACCTTTCCGAGGGAAGCTGGTCGACGGTGAATGAGGAGGATTGCGCGGCAAAACCCATTCACGCTCTAAATAGGTCTTGCAGGTAGTAGCAATTCACATCACCCAAAGGAAGGAAAATCGAGGAATCTCATACAACAAAGCACGCAGCAAGTAATTCCAAATGCGTGAGCACGAGGTTCTGTAGTCATGTGACTACAATATTAAAGGCAGAATGGTAGCAGATGGTTGGCTTTGAGACTGGTCGGTCCGGCTTTGTTTGTAGGCCCGTAACACTGACCAACTCGTACAACTCAACAACAATCTATAGCCTGTCGATTCGATCAACATCATGTCACATGCCCTGTTGTCGCCAGTCCTGGTTTCGAATGGGATCGACTCTTATCTAGCATATGGTTGGTTGATCAGCTGTCTTAACGCCAGCCTTGTCATGGGGGCCAAAGATAACTCCTGGAAAATTCTACCCACGCATGAAGTGGTTCACGCCTCATCGGGGGCTGGTCGAGGTCTCGTAAAAGTAGATAAGAAGATCATCTCACTCTGTCTGGATACTTGTAACACTCTAAGTCATAAGCTTACAAGAAGATTCTAAAATCACAAATTCCTTAATCCATGTTCTCGTCTTAAGTCTCCACGCCTGCATAAACTTTCATAGTAGAGAAAAGTACGTATCTACATGTAATCATGCAACGCCAGAGAAGAACAAAAACCAAACCAACTCATAACCGCTCGTCATGTCTACCCATTCGCCATAGCCCGGCCGTAAAACCGTTCAAAACTTCCTAATAATGCGCATTGGCGCTGACTCAGGATGTTCTTGTAACAGTCTGTCTCCACTTGCCATGGCATCTTGGCTGCTTCCCTTTCCTGTTCGCGCAGTGTTTATTCTCATGGACCTTAATATTCGATTTATTAGGATCCCTTGCGCCGCAGCCGTAACGGCAGTTGTATATTACTCGGTGGTAATTTGGTATAGTCTCAGGATGGTGAATTTTCACGTGTTTCTGGAGATTGCTGGCCTGGCCCCTGCGGCCGTTCTTTCCGAGTTTAAATTTTGAATCGCAATGCTTGCAGTAAATTGTTCCGTCCATCGGATTGGCCATGGTAGTCAAGCCAGGTGTTGCTGTGGTCATTGAGGATGGTGAGATGGTGGTGGCGGGTGATGAACTCGTCAGATGTGACGACACACTGGGCGAGCCGTCCATGGTGGCATCAACCACGCTATCACTATTAATTACGGGTGTAGAGATGATAGGAATTGGGAGCTTACCTAGAGGAGTCGATCATGGAATAGTCGCCCTCGTAGGATGGCTGAATGGCTGCCATATGATCCCGAACTCTCTCTGTCGGGCGACTGTCTGGCAGCTCATGCGAAAGCGGGGATGATTTGGGTAGCAAATCGTCGGTGCTCTTTCGGCTCTCAAGGTCAACAGGAGACGTAAGTCCGATATACAAGGCAAGGAGGACGTTGTTTCGAGTTATTATCTGATCTGAAGCCCAACCTTGCCCGGCATCCGAAGTCAGAATGGGCAATCGAAAGGTCGAAAAGCCGTATCGAGACACTGTCATCGTGTTAGACTAGACGAAAGTAGGCGAAATACCGGAATACCTACGGCACAAATAGAGCAGGATTGCGCCGAATATAGCACCCGCCATTAAGACAGTGATACGAGCCAGGATACTAAACTCTTCCCCCTCTGGATCCGGCGGCTTAAGGACATTGGTATGCGGACTCTCTTGTGCCGCTTGCTTGGGTAATGGATCCCACTCGGCTAAAGTAAGTCTCCTTTCACATGTATGAGTATGGCGCATTGCAAAAGGGTACTGTTGTCGAAGAGCTTGCAGCCGGTAAGAGCCACAAGAGTTTCCGGGTCCATGATCAAACAGCCCGTGTGTTTTCACTACATAGATGACTAGGTTTTGCAGGAACATCAAAGGGCGCGTTAAACTGTCCGCCATTTCATGGGCGGTCGTTGCGGCCGGAATTCCCCAGAGATAGGAAGCTATTTCGAAGAACAGGCGTTGATCATCCGGACTTAAAAGAGCAGCCCATCGTGGAATGTCATCAACAAATCTGTATTGTCAGCTAGGCGTGCAGGTTACTATCAATAGAGGGTTTGAGTCTGCTTACTCTTTCTTCGTGTACACTAGTCTTGAAGGTGGAACGACCGACCGCATTGCATTTGCAACTTGCAGTGCGCTGACGATATCCGAGAGGCTGCGCGGCATGTATCCTTCGCAGATGTCCCGAATCGCGCGCGTTCCGCTTCTCCAGACGGACGTGCTGGTGCCGACCTGGTCCACAAATGCCATGAGTCCAGCAGAGACGTCCTGCATGGTGCTTGCGTCTAGCAATTTTTCGCATGAGTTGGCAATCTTGGCGAGTAACCGGCGCGCCATGGTTCTGCGTTCTTGGGCCTGTATAGCAGCAACCGCCGGGCAATCTTTCACTTCGATGGCTGCGGAAGGCTTCATCTTGTCAAGGAACTCGCCAACCGACATGATACCGTACATGCACCAATGTACATGTAAAGGACGAAAATTGTCCAAGACGTAGATCTTGTCCTCACCTTCGAGGAGAGTTGCTCCAATTGAGGATAAGAACTCAGCCACTTCGCTTTTGTTTGACTTTGCAGCTGCTGCTAGGGGCGAGTAATGTGGTCGCATGCACCCCGGAATCTTCGCATCCGAGTTGCCACCATCGCTCGCGTCTCTATGATACTTATGCGGGTTGACATTGGCACCAGCCTCTACTAGGTAGCGGACAATCCCGAGGTGACCGTTTGATGCTGCTACTGCCAGGGGCGAGGAATGCTCTCGGCTGCACATCAAAAAGTCAACCGGGTCGCAGTTCCGCGTATCTGGGTTGACATCTGCACCAGTCTCTACTAGGTGGCGGACAATCTCGAGGTGACCCTCCGATACTGCTCTCCAAAATAAGAGATCGCGAGCCTCGTTGCCCATGCCGGCTATGAAGCGTTCAAGAATATCGCCTAGCACTGCCTGCTTGGTTCCCACGAATTGAGGCAGAAGCACGAAATAATCCTCCTCGAGCACATTCGCTCCGGCTCTCACTAGGTAGTCGAAAATGTGTAAATGTCGATGCTTGATGGCACGAGATAGCGGGGATTTGTACTTATTACCATTGATGTTTGCGCCTTTCTCCTCGACGAGGTATTGGACAATTTCGAGGTGACCGCCAGAGACTGCACCACTCAAGGGTGTTGCGCTGATACAGGAATCTCCTCCTTCTTTGTTGGCATCATAGCTTAGAAGCAGCTGAACTGCATCCAAGCGACCAGATTTTGCGGCACGGTACAAGGGTTCGGCAATCATACCGACCCCGTTCACCTGAGCACCGTGTTTGAGGAGAAGATGGAAGACGGTCCGTTCATAGTAGCGTATGGCGAGACATAAAGTCTTGGCATCAACGAAGCCTGGGTCCTTGGCAAGCACTTTGTCCACAGCGATGGGATCACGCTGTCTGATGGCAGTCTGTAGTTGAGCTTGGAAGCGCTCATTCATGAAGAGAAAGGGCTGACTTGACCCCTTGATATCACGCTCGTCAACTTCGTCAATGGCTTCGTCTAGAAGGTCGAGATCTTCGGACATGGAGCGGTTCTGGCTTTGGATGTCATGGAAGTGGAGTTCTGTAAGAATCCGCTCTTCGTAGAGATGCTCAAAGCCGAAGGAGGCAAAGACTGAGCCTTCGCGGAGGAAATGACGGACAAATAATTCGAGTGCGTCGAAGCTGTGTCCGTCTCTTTTATCCTGGTCGAATTTCGCACTCATTTCTGGGTAGCGGGGCAGCAGAGTGCCCATGCTGATCGAGGCATCAAATAGGTCATCGCTAAGGTCGTCACTCAGCGAGGGGATTGCACGCAACCACTGTAGGAGATTGTCTTCGTGGATTTGGATGTCGAGGAAGCTCTGAGTCTTGTAGAGTCTGAAGCAGATCTCGAGGTCTGCGCTTGGAGCGCCCTGGATGAAGCGGCCGTTACCGCACGAATGAGCCTCGAAATTTCCTCTTGGCAATGGTCAGCGCAATGCGAGATACATAGCTGCAGGAGCTAAAAGAGGCGCACTCACTCTTCCAAATATTCGGTAAATACAAAGGCTTTCTGCCGGGACGGAGCAAACTGATCCAAGCCCATGGCCGCAGCGACGGCGTGATACCACCAAAGGAATATTGTGTAGGCGGCCAGAAGAGATGGGCGCTTATTGAAGTTTGTAGGAATTAAACGGGAGTTACGTTGAAGCTGGGGAGAAGAGCGAGAATCATATAGACTACACCGACGGCTACCTAGTACCCAATACACCACCCATCATCACCATGCCTTAGATTAAGCCGCCCTGAGGAAATTTAGGAATCGGTACCTGTGTTCGAGGTCGTCATGTTAGTGGCCGCATCACACTTTTAGGAATCGACCACCAAACGACCAGCACCGAGGGCAAGGCGCACCAACTACAACCTAACATGTGTACCTGAGCAGGCAGTGCATCCTGAGGCTGGGCTGCGACGGACAGGGGATGCATTCCTAAATCTTAGAAACCAGCTGAACCGTGCTGACAGGGGTTCACATCCACTAGTAACCCCAGGTCTGCCCATCTCCCGTCGAAGCTCTCCTCTAGCGTGCAAGGGATTATTAGGAATCGCACGCATCAATAGAGATGGAGGCCGGCTCGCTGCCGAACCTACCAAAGCACAAGTCAGCATCCTTCGATTCCCAACAAATGGCATGCATCTAATTCTATACATATACATGCTAGTCGCATGGCTCTATCTTGCAGCATGTCTTCCTAACTTGCGCCAGTACCTGTGCATCTCACTGGCTTGGAGTTCCTGAGCTGCCGCTGCGTTCCTAACAATGGATGTTTTCTGTTCTCTGTGGCTCTCCATCTCCCGGGAACTGCTGAGTTCCTAACTTTTACGATGCTTTACTGTGTCTCCTATCGTGGAGGACACACTCGATCATTTATTGCCATGCCCTAGTGAATCACTGGACCGCCTCCTAGGAATTGCCAGATTCCTAAAATATGGAGCCTTCAACAGACAACACCGGCGTTTATTAAAGCTGTCATTCTTTTATGGCTATAATCTCATATCTACGCAAACCCATTGTGTCAAGGTCAGCGTCAATTCCTCGGTTTTCATTATGTCTTCATCATGGGAAGTTGAAACCGAGTACCAAGTTGAGACAACATGGATCGACCTCCGTGTAGTCATGTTCCACCACGGTGACTACCTTCTCTATCATGTTCCGCTTCGATCTTCCGACGAGGGGATTGATGTCATACTCAAACTCAAGCGGTCTCTTGTGGCCTCTCGCGGATGGTGGACGAACACTTTAATGAAGGTTGTTCCATTTCTAACGCCGGTAGTCTATAACGCAACAATGTGCCCAGTATGTTGACATTCTATATGAGCCGCGTGCTATCCTCACATTTTGAAACCGAGACAGAGGCTTACTTGTTCCTAGGTACCAATCGAGGCTATCTCTCGGGACCTCCCCTGCATCGTTGACATTGGAGCCGAATATCGCTGTCACGTTCTGACAAAGGCTTTGCACAACCCCAGAGAGTTCCCGATTGGGTGCGACTTCGTTTCCTCGTATCGCCGTTTCTCAGCTTTAGTCGAGACGCCTGGCACTCTTCGTGCTAGAGATGTATTATTGATTCGCTTGGAGATTGACAAGCTGATTCTCTCAGCGATTATTTTGTTGTCCATCATCCTATCGATTATCTGTGGGGTCGTGGCGGGTTTTTGTTGGAAGAGTTTAGATACTGGGCTGGGCGTGTTTGGCGCTGTCATAGGCGTGGATGGTATCGTGATGGGTATTTTGACCTATTTCTTGAGTTAGATGTTACATGACACGGCGAGCGGTATCGCTATACTCAATCATGATAATATTATTCAAGTTCTGTTTGTATGGGAAACTATCATTTGTGTAGGACAACTAGATAATGCCAGTTCCTTTGCAGGGTACTTATTGGTGTGACTGCAATCTAGCAACAGTGTTATCAGTACCTAGCTTATGCTAATAGTTTACCGCTGGACACTGGCATGGCCAAATATGTCTATACAAGGATCCACAAGAAAATGCAATTTAGATTTAGGCTTTGTGAGCGATCCTGCAGCCGGAACAGTCTCGTTGACCTTGTTACGTCTTTACATTCCTGATAACTTGAGCTATTGTAGATTTTTCATGTATTGCAGGCTTCATACGGATATATCAGAAATATCTCCTTAAACATCAATGCCTATGCCAGTGATATAATGTCTACTGGTTCTGAAATGACATGTTACAGGTTGTACTTCGTACTTAGGCTCATAACCTTGACTAAGCGATGATGTACTGACAACGGGCAATTAGAAAGGGTTTCCTAAATCGGAATAGGCAATTATATCGTTAAAGTAATGAAAAGTACATGTATCAAAGCCTCGCACCCCAGAATACAGACCATCCTGAGTTTCTACAATCATCAACGCCCGGTGTTCGTGTCAATAACAGGCATGGTTGTTATTAAAAGGGGTCCAAACAGCATCAGTCCTATTCAGCCTCTCAAAGAGCACAAGTAGGGTCCGTTAGCATACAGTTAGAAACTCAATCTTTTGTGTTTGCTATTACGATACGCGCTGATAAAGGCAAACCAAGAGATAAGGCCATCGCCCAAATGTTCATGTCATTCCGTCTAGCGTAATTTTGTATGAGGAGATAGCGTGCTATGATATTTTATGAATATGATGAAAACTTGTAGGGTTGGGGATGTTTAAATACTTCAGTGACGATATTGGCTATAATCCCTAGAAGTAGGAAACAGTCTGCTTTACTCATTATCTAACTTACCCTAAGTCAATAGCAATGATGACTACAAACATCGTAATGATTACGGATAATCTACATTACCCTTGTTTGAATCAATCGGCTTGTGGGCACCTAAAATGGACCTGGAGATAACCAGGGGCGGTGTGTATGAGTTTCATCGCTGTCAATTCTACATTCACAGTGCTTCCAACAGACTACGGTAGTGCTGAACAGTAAAAGCACAGGTGCTTATAAAACAAGCTACGGATTTCTAATAACCAAGGCGTCAGCGATGCCTTTGGTGACGCAGCGGAGCTTCCGTATCGGAATTTCCGCATAAATGTGGCCCAAGATCCGCAGCTTGCCCACGCAAAATGTCGTTCTGTCTTTTGTAATCATTCCTCTCCGGCTATACAGGCAAGCATTCTTCGATTATAAAGCACAATTTGACCAGACTTGTCGCCATAGAAAGAGTTTCTATTAATAATACCAAGCATATTGATCAGATACTACTACTCTGCTACCGACACCAGATGTCTCCATGTAGGAGCCGTCCGAATATCACAGTTCGGAACTTCCGTATAGTAAAAGTTTAATCTTTATTGGGGATGCAGGGAGAATATTACTTATACACATCACAGAGGATAATTGAACTTGTCAAGTTCATTTACCAAAGTTGTTCTCACAACCGTCTGCATCCATCATCATCCAGTCATCTATCCCATTGACATAAAGTACTACACACAATGCCCTCTTCAGTCAAGTTTTTCAATCACGACGCCGGGAAGAAGATGGCTGATACATTCGGCTATTCGCAGGCAGCTAAATTGCCCAACGGAGCTGTTGTTCTTGCAGGAATGTTAGGAGTGGACGCAACAATGACTCTTGCACCAACCCTGGAGCAACAGGTTGAGATAATCCTAGACCACATAGAGGCGGCACTTGCAACTGCGGGTGCGAAACCCACGGAGGTCTTCAAAGTCATCAGTTATCATCTCGATATCGAAGAAAGTGCTGGTTTGATCACCACTGGCTGGTTGCGAAGACACGAATTCAAGCCGACGTGGACTGCTGTTGGGGTGGCGCAGTTGGCTTTTCCTGGAGCTCGGTTGGAAGTACAAGTGGAGGCATGGCCAAGCTCGTAGGATAATTTAGTCGTGGCTATGAAAACTTGGAAGAATTAAAGCAGCGTTACGTGACATGGTGCGTTCGTCTATGCCATCAGGAGTTCTGTACACGCCTTCTAGGTTAGATAAGCTGGTGGTTATGCCTGCCACAGATTCACTTGTTGACACGAATCTGTGTCTAGGAGCACAGCCAGGCCGATAGCAAGTCTAGGTGTAGAATAGTGTGACAAGGTGTAATTGTGACCGCACAAAATTTTCTCTACAACCATCCAAGATGAACCCAGTTGCATTTTTTGCCATTGCCGTAGCAATTAATGATCACTAAAAAATTTGCTCGGAAGTAGCCTTGATGCTATAAAGATCACCTTTTTTGCATCCAGTCCTTGAAATTTTTTTCCTTTTCTTTTTTTCTCTTCTTCTTCTTCTTTTTTATAAGAATCGATTGCTTTGGCGTTTGAGTTTAGCGGTCTTCTATATATACCTATGAGTACGTACAAAAATCATTCCAGTATGCGAAAACAAAGACAGGGAGATCGAATTTATTGAAGTTCACAGCGTCCAAGCAATATTTTCTTTTACAAATATTTCTGCGCTGAAGAGCGATTCAAGTTACACCGTGGCACCCACGCCAAACTGCTTCCACGAGTCTCTGCTTGATACACTCTCCCACCACGCCTTTACATTTGGACGATCCGTAATCATATCTCCAAAACCCATACGGAACAAGTACGACATCAGAGGCATATAAAAGATGTCTACTATGGAGAACGTGTTGCCTGCCATGTACTTTTGTTCAGCAAGAATCGCTTTATCATAAACATCCAGCTTCTGGGCAAGCGTATCCACGAGGCTGTGGATTAGCTGCTCATTCTTCGGTTCTCCCGCGAGACTAATGTTCGTGTCAGGCGGTGTCAATAACGACCAGTATACTTAAAAATGAGGCTCTTACGGTTTGAAAATCACTTCCCACTGTAGTGGACGAGCCAGAGCATCAAAATTCGCCATTTCTACGCTCGCCCATTGCTCAAAATGACCCATCGTCTTGAGATCGGACAGGTCGGGAATTAAAGCAGTACCGAGGTTCTCGTATTTTTTGGCCAGATAGCGGCATATAGCACGAGATTCTGCAAGATGTATTAGAAGTCGTTTTCTCCCCCTTCAACCGAAATCGTGTGTATATCACCGTATAAGGAAATATCGCCGTCTTCGAGGATTGGCACGACGCCAAATGGTTGTTTAGCGAGGTAACCCGGTAGCTAGAACATAGGTTTCATTTAGCTCTCACTTTCAGATACAGATAGCAGGCAAATTTAACGTGGATATTATGCCTGCCTTTTGTTCTCCTTTCATCAGGTCAATGTCGATAAATCGGTAGTCGGAGATGCCTTTCTCCGCCAGGGTGAGGAGGACTTTCAAGGTACATGAAGATTTTGGGGTTCCTATCAATTTGAGAGCCATGTTGCCTATTGCGTATGTATGTAAAGATGGGCTTGATAGCGAAGGTGCTTTTGCTCCGGCCTTATATTTTTATATAAGGCATGGATGAACACAGCTGCGATCTCCCTCTGCGGTTTTCCAGGCAAAATAACATTTATTCGGAACTTCCGTAAGCTCTAATGTGGTGCCCAGTCATCTCCTAAGCGATTGTAGAGGACCGCAGGGAGTTCCATAGATGCGTAGGAAGTTCCGAAGAGACGTAGCTGCGCTGGCTGGTAGTTCGGACGGAATTTCCAGAGCAATCATAAGCTGCACACAAATGTAATTCTCGACAGTACGAATTTTGGAATTGTTTCCGCATTACTCATGGGATTGCTTTATTATTAATAGTTATAATAGGATGGCAATGGATACGATTTGTAATTTTTCATTACCAACCTTTTGTAGACTAGAGCTTTAACATCCTTCGTTCTCTTTCTGTTTAGAAAACAGCTCTCAGCAAAAAGTCCAATGCCTTAGTTTTTCTAAGTTCTACTTTTACTTATTACATTAGGCATTTGTGGCAATGGCTTTACGCTCAAATAATACGGTAGCCATCATTGGCTCCGGTCCCGGTATTGGCTGCCACACGGCTGCCATCTTCGCATCAAAAAAATTCAACAAAGTAGCACTCGTGGCGAGAAACCCTGCTCAACTTAAAAAGGACGCCTATACTGTTACCAAAGCCGCCGCGAATAAAGTCCAAGTCAAGACTTACTCCGCTGATATATCAGACGGCAACAAGCTCGCGACAACCCTCCAGCAAATTGACGACGACCTTGGGGCGCTAGAGTTCGTCTTGGTCAACGCCGCCATTGTGGCCACATCCTCCTTCTTCGAGTTAAGCGAAGAGGACATCCTTAAGGATTTCCATATTTCTACGATTTCGCTTTATCGCATTGCAACATGGGCGATTCCTCAACTCGCGTTATTGGCAAGGCAAGATCCCACGGCGAAGCCAACTTTGATGGTTACCAACTCCGACCTCCCGGAGAGACCTATAGTGGAATTATTCTCCCTCTCGCTTTCTAAAGCTTCTCAAAAAAACTTGACGATATCTCTTCGCCAAAAGTTCGGTCCTCAAGGCATTCATATCTGTTTGCTAACTGTTGCCGGGAGTGTTGCTGATGGGAATCCAAACCTCAACAGCAAAAACATAGCAAATAAGGCTTGGGAAATGTATGATCAGCAGAAAGAAGATTGGACTGAGGATATTCTAATAAAAGATCCATAGACAGAAATCTGATGTTTTGGCCGGTCATAAAATAAAAATCGACAAGTCTTTGAGATACAATTAATGGGGCATAGACCATGTTTGACACCAGCGAAGACTTCAGCCAGGGCATTTAGACATAGCTTAGGAATTTCTCGATTTTCTTGCTCGACAGCTTTCATTCTTATAGATGATGCTAGAAATGCTTCACTACGGCCCAATACCTAGGCGCCTATGGTCAACTGTAACCCCCAGAAATATACACCCAATGGCAGAATGCAACGTCCACACCCTGCATCCACCAATCCCCTGGGCTAATATTTACGCCAAACTGGAAGAATGTAGTAAACCTTGCTACTTAGGAAATATTCCTCGTATAATTACCACCCTCATACCTGGAGACAATCTCGAATTTGTCATATCTCAATGCCTTTCGACCCGAGATTCTCCAGGATATCCCTCCATTTCTTTCACATTCTTCTTTCCCTACTTTTCTCGAATACGCAGCAAAAATGCCAGTTGTACGAGACATTTCGGAGTTGAGCCTCGACATGTTTACGTTACTTTTTGGCGCTAGGCTCGCAGAAGCACTCGTTGCCGTTATCTCTGTCGGCCTGGTGACGCTCGTGTATACTCTACTCATTCAACGAGGATCACTCATTGCGACTACCTACCTTTATCCGCGGAGGCCAATCAAGGTCAATATCAGCCGCCTTATAAATGAGGCGTGGCTTTTGTCAAGTGAAGAAGCCAGTACTCTCTGGAAACCGAAAATGCCGGCGCGAAACGGACGGTCCAACGGTATCATACAATTATTCTACATCGGGAAGATGGAAGGCGATCCGCGATATGGTCTTGTCTCTAAAGGGCGACAGCAAACTATAGCGGAACTACTGGGAATAGAAAACCGACGACCTGTGTAGTTGACATCTGGATGCCGCTAACCAGAAACGTGGTACAGATTATAGTGTGGGAATGGATCTTTTTGTGGTTGATAATTCTCATGGTAGTCTCCATTCTGCTGTTCAACGGCTTCTTCACCAATGAGCCTGGATACATCAGTTATCCTCTCCTCACAGTAACTTTGATTTACTCCACCACCTACATCGCTCACTCTCTCTAAGTTTGGGTCGTTTCCTTGGTCTTCTTCAAGTTAGTGTTTGCCGGGGCTAGCTGGAGTCTTCTGGAACGATCGAAATTTGTCATAGGGAAAACTCACAACCTTCAAAGCCACTCGGTCGGGGCATCATTTAAGTTCCGGAGCATAGATAAAGCTAATGAAGCATATGTTCCAACAACTTTCAGTGCCAAACTTGGAAGTCCCACAACGGGGTCTCCGACGTTGCTTCCGTCGTCTCCAACCTCGTCATCGGCTGAGGTTGCCCAGGAGCAGGACACGGAGCCAGTTGAGAACGCTGAACCTAAGGTCGCTCTGGAAATTCTCCCAAGCTTCAGTCGACAGACTTTCAAATCTTCCTCAAAAATCTAGGCCTCAAATTTACATACAGTTCTACATACTATAGAGACATTATGCTCTCTGGTTTAGATATTACCCATTTGGTGCAGCCCATCTCTACTTCCTATTAATACCCTTGAAGAAGCTGGTAAAACTCTAATCAACTATAATCTTATCTCTCAGTGCCGGTTTATTCACCTCCAAAAACGGAGGTGCATGACTTTCGTTTTGGTGTCGCTAGACGCCAAAAGTGGAAGACACTGAACTCGGATAAAGAGCTTGACGGAACCCCGAATTTTCCACTACCTACGGCCGTATGTACTTGGTAGCTGCTCTGGTAGCGTGATATTACAGGAGTCTTTGCTCCAGAGGAACAAATTAAGACATTCGTATTGGAAAAGCGTTAAAAGTTCAAGGCGATGAAGTAGGAATAGGGATGTAAAATGGGAGAACTCTCAATCCAAACTGGCAATAAAGCGCCAATAGTCTAGGAAGCAAGACTACCCGCCTGCACTCACAAATGTATATCTCTACCGTATATCAACTCATTATTACTTAATTCAATAGTACAGCTATCTCATCAAATAAAAAACTTAGATTAACATTCATGGTCTTACTCTTTTCTTAAATATGACTCAATGCGAGTCGAATTTGAATAAGCGAAACAGATGATATCAAGCAGCTAACTGGAGCCCAATACTGAATTTCGGTGTTGGAACTAGTCCATACTCTTTCATAAGCTGTTGGACTTCCAAGCTGATTGATATAGAAGACTGCTGGCGACATTCCTCTATAAGACTCGTCAAGGATTCCCTCTCATCGTCTCGCGTTTTGTCGGCATAGTTAGTCACAATTTCCACGTCAGCCCCATATCGAAGAAGTATCTTTATGGGCTCAAGATATCCAGTAACCCAATACCCTATCCTCATCGCTTTGTAGAGCAGAGTCCTACCCCAGCTATCGGTGATGTTGATGTCCGCGCCACAAGCAAGCAGCAGCTCCAAGAGGATATATCCATCCCTCCACCCCGGCGTGCCTTTTAGCTTCGTTCAGGTCAGTATATGCATTTATATAACGAAGCCTAGAGAAGTTCCTAGTGCTGGTCTAAACATCGGCGTTCGTCAAAGAATTGTACGTCTACGTTGTTGGCTGTGATATTGGTGCGATTTATATAGCTGAAGATGTCGGCTACGTTGGTGTAGAATGCAAAACCGTTAGTGAGATCTAAGGCGGTGTGTAACGTCGCCGCTCTCACTGTTGTCAGAAATCATTATACAGCTACAAAGGTCCTTATGGATAACAGGGCAAATGTCAATTATCGTCAGCCAAACGGCAGGGCGATTTTACATATGGCGGTAGAAAGAGCGTCTCGGGATATTATTGCATTGTTACTTGAAGCAGATACAACTATTGTTGGTGTGGTTGACAATGATGGCTTCTCGCCGCTGTCATTCGCTGTAATGTGCGGGAATCATGACGCCGTGACAACGCTATTAGCCATTGGGAAAGTTGACATCGAATCAGCAGACAATTTCGGTAGAATGCCAATGTGGTATGCAAAGAATCAAGCCAAAGATGAACGTCTTGTACAAATTCTCCTCAGACATAGTACCGAGGACTTAGACGTCGATGACAGCGATAATCCAGACAGTGATGATGATTTGGGGCCCAGCGTTGCCTTGCCTGAGAAGGAGTCAAAACGCCGTCTCTCAAACGATGCCAGCGACACATTGCCTCGTAAGAGGCGGCATTAAAACCAGATCAGATACCGGCTTTCAACAGCCTTTTTTGCAAGCTCTTCGAATTGCCTGTTGGGCTTGACTGAGGCTTCAGCAACTAGCAGTCAAGCTTTCTAGATCCGCGAGCGAGGGTCTTATTACGGACCGGGTGGAAGGTGTGGAGAAGGAAGTAAGTCGATGATCAGAGCTATTACAATAAACGAGAGACTGAATAAGATTTTGATGGATGTTGACAATCTGTCTACACTATATAGGACTCAGTTGAAGAGAAGGGGATGAGTTCACCTAGCTGATTTTGAATGTCAATGTGTATGCATATTTATTTTTCACAGATATTTCTTCCAGTTCCGATTGCAATAGCCAATTATCATGCTCCTCAATACGTTCTTAATGGAGCTCACCGGGATATTTGACATCAATCGTAGTATAACAAGAGAGTGCAGGTTATTGACCACGATACAATTAGCCTTAACAGTCATATAGGAAAGGACACCACGTATAAAGCACGGCGCATTAAAAAGAGATATTATACGTAGTCTACCTAAATAAAGTCAGAATAATAAAATATTCGGAGACCCTACATACATATAGTTAGTTTAAAGCTGGAATATCCCCGTAACTTATATATCTGTTAGCCCCAGCTTACTATCCTTATAGTGACCAGTCTTTATTACCTAGGTAAGCAATGGAACCAATCATATGTAAGTATAAGACGCTAGTAATCACCGGCTCGTCGAGCGTACGCCACATAGCACAAGTGGACAGAACCATCAAAAAAAAAGAAGAGCCAAGATAAAAAAAACAAAACATACAACAGCCGGTGTTCGCCAGTGGTCACCCACCTGACTACTAATCTGCCGGTTAGAGGCTTGTCTATGGGGGAGCAGACGGGACCCCGAATTCTCCTCTACCTATGGTCGTATGTGCTTGGAAACAGAGGCAATTCGGTTTAAGTGGACAAGTTGACCTGAGATATCAAAAAGCAAAAAACATACAACAGCCGGTGTTCGCTGATGGTCACCCACTCAACTACTAATCTGCCGGTTAGAGGCTTGTCTATGGGGGAGCAGACGGGACCCCGAATTCTCCTCTACCTATGGTCGTATGTGCTTGGTGTTGTGATGTAACCAGCTTATAATGCTTCCTTGAGATGGAGCTGGGGAGCTACATGTATCTCATTCTCACTGCTTCAACTTACTAACTGTACGCAGCTGGCGGTGTTGGGATGGGACAGAGGGAACACGTTGGTTGAATGGATTGGGCAATATCAAATATTTTCTAGTGCCTTGGATGAAACTACGAAATGATGTGCAGTTTGAGTTCCAATCATGAGTTTGCTCGTATGGTCCCTATACGTCAGGGGTTTTATTATTCTTGGTAGGTAGATGGGTTGTCTTGCTTTGAGGGACTGTTGAACCGGAGAAAGGAGGATCATCCTGATGCTGATGGAGAACTTGGTAGATTTGAGTGGGGTGGCCGAAGATGAAGTGGACTCTCAAGTTTGATGTGTGGGCTTTTTAGTATTTGCAAGTACTTTTGATTACGGAGTACTTTGGCAGAGAGATAGTGAATGAAAGGCACATGATGAGCAAGCAACTGTAGATTCGTAGTTGGTCAAGGCAAACGTAAAGAAATGGTGAGGGTGAGCCTCTTTGCTGATTCCTCGAGTGTCGTCTGTCAATGAGTTTGTGGTGTATTATCACGTCTGGTAAATGTGCGGCAATATGTTTTGACTTGGTCTGTAAGCAAATAAAATCGGCCCATATAGCCTTCTCACATGCTCTCTCATGCTCAATAAACACCATAGCCAGGGGCAAGACACATCACAGCACGCAAACTCATCATTGTCGTCAACGGTGCGTCATATTTCCCTAGCAGTTGGACAATACGTCTTCTCTTCTCCAATGCAGCATGCATGCGCGCATGGCAATAAAAGCAACCCGTAGCACCTCTCTTTCAAAAAAACAAGACAGCAGCAAAGACTGCATGCGCCCCCTCCTTTCCAGAGATTAAAAAAACCCGATAAACCCGGAGAGTTTTGAGAAAAAACAACGACAACACAGGAGTGCCAAAAACAAGCTTTGTGAACTGTTTAATCTTTTTTTGTTCTCCGTTGTTGTGTGTGCTTTAAATGCTTTATTTTTTGTTTTCTCTATCGTCCCATCCACACACGATGATACCGACAGACTTTCCTCTCTCTCAAGTCCCCGTGCACGCCTAGGTCTACTTAGACCTCCGTTGTGACCTTGGCCTTGGCGTTTGTGACCTTGACACCGATCTGCTTGGCGCGGGAGATGATGTCGATTCGCTTTCGGGATGAGACGGCGCTGGCAATCCTGTGGAAAGAGATTAGTCGGGGCAAGGTTCCAGACAATTGGAGAAGTGACGTACTCGGCAGCGTGGGTTCGGTTGTGCATGAGCAGCAGCTCAAGGTCCTTGACGTTGTGGACGAGAAAAGCCTTGTGGCCGGAGGGGGTCAAGAAACGGGTCTTCTTGTTGGATCCGTAGCCGATCTATCATTACATCCAGCGTCAGCAATTTTTTTTCCCTTGGGGTAGAATTCTTCCGGCGGCAGGAGAAGAAGATTTCTCGTCTTTCTCTCCCGCCCCATGAGTAGAGCGTACCTTGGGCATGCGGATGGTGCCCCTGAAGCGTCTGCGGACACGTCCATCGATACCCTTGGGCTTTCTCCAGCTAGCATCGACACGATCGAACCGGTCACTCTGGTGACGGGCGAAGCGGGTCTTGTCTGCAAATCTCCTAGTTAATTCCACGTTCCAACGCCTTGATTTGGAGTGATGGGAAAAGAAAAGAGGTTCGATTCGGTTTTTCTCGTCCGTTTTGCCCCATGTCAAACCAATCCAACTGCGCTTCAAAGTCGTCTCGTCGAAATTTGTCCATTCGTCGTGTGGGCTATCGAAGGCAGTCGGACAAGAGAGAATAGGGCAAAAACAGCAAAGGCGACCGTATCTCGAGGAGCCTCTCTCCTCATTCCAATCGTGGTAATTTCGACGTACGCTTCTTGACAATGGGGACGTGCTTCTTGGCGGCGACCATCTGGAACAGAGAGATTCGTTAGATTCGGTGACGAGGAGGATCTCACGAGAGAAATTGAATCGGCATAACGTACCTTGACGGCTTAGTCGGGCTGTGGTTGAGTATGTCCGGCGTGATGCTTCACTCGATGCGAAATTTTGGCGGATGCCACAATCGGAACACTAAGGCAAAGGGTTTAGGGCACGCATCACGTGTGGGCGGTGCGACTGTGCTGCCCTTTGCTCTCCGTTTGGCGGGCGCACCAAGAATACAGCACGGTAACCCCACTAGCCCACCAGTACGTACCCCGGCCTACCACTGCGAAAAAAAAGTTGCAGCGCGCTTCTGATAGGTTTTTCCTCGCTCGTGCGGCCCAAAGAGGGATAGCGCACATTAAGGGCACAAACCCTCTCGCTGTTCCGCTGGAGACGCTGGTGCCGGGACGCAAAAAAATCCGTCCTAGGCGAAAAGGGGACCAGCACCATCACGACGAGAAGCGAAGCGAGACTGCAGCAACAACTCAGACATACCACCAGCAACCATGTCGACGACAACTCAGAGCGTGCAATGCTTCGGCAAGAAGAAGACGGCCACCGCCGTCGCCCACTGCAAGGTTAGTGGAACGAAGAACGAGAGCGATGTCACGGTTTTGGGGGGGAAATGGAGGGAGAGATGGAGATTTGGGACATGAACCGGCAGATGTGGGGAGACGAGCTTCACGTCATGGAGGAATTTTTCTTCATTTTTGGGAGATGGGACGGAGATTTGGGATTCAGGATTCAAATCAACAAGTGGAAATGCTGACATTTGGCTATCATTTAGGCTGGCCGTGGTCTGATCAAGGTCAACGGTCGTCCTCTGTCTCTCGTCCAGCCTGAGGTCCTCCGCTTCAAGGTACGCACGCAATCTTTTTCATTTCTCCTTTACGATACGACTCGAAAGCTCTGTGGCCGCCTCCAATTCATCTCGAGACGAAACCCTTGTCAAACATTGGGGAACGCAAAGTTGGAGGGGGGACTCCCTTGACAGATGATATTGGAGACGGCCACAAATTGCCAGAGATGATCGAACAAGACAAGAGAAAAACACGCATACTAAGACTCTGCTTCTTTAGGTCTACGAGCCTCTCCTGGTTGTCGGCCTCGACAAGTTCGCCAACGTCGACATCCGCGTCCGCGTCACCGGTGGTGGTCACACTTCTCAGATCTACGCCATCCGCCAGGCCATCGCCAAGTCCCTCATCGCCTACTACCAGAAGTACGTCGACGAGCACTCCAAGAACCTGCTCAAGCAGGCCCTCGTCCAGTTCGACCGCACCCTGCTGGTCGCTGACAACCGCCGCTGCGAGCCCAAGAAGTTCGGTGGTCCCGGTGCTCGTGCCAGGTACCAGAAGTCTTACCGATAAAGGGCGCAAAGACAAAGAACCTGGCTGGTGGGCGTTTTTGGCGCTGTTGGGAGTTGGAGGACCGAGGAGGAAAGAAGAAATGGTCGACAGAGAAGCATCTTGGGCTGCTGTTCCTTTTGCAGCTTTTCAGGATGTGGAATACAAAAGGGGCCGGAGTCGCATATTCCCTGGCACGGGGATAGGTTTCCCACTGGCATTTGCATGGCCTTGCTTTGGGCGGATTGTAACGGGTCTGGCAGGCTAATGAAATCTTCAAACGTTTACAAAGTGCAGCAGAGACGTGCATGTATGTGAATGTTTGTGTGTGCGTGTATTCTAGGAATGTGGCGTGTAAAGGATCGTCACATAGTCTTCAAGATGAGAAATGCAAGCCTATGAAGCCATCATGTTCGCTCTCCATCATGCCAGACGAAATATGGACTTGTGCTATAAACTGACAGTCGAAGCCCATAACCCGCATTGCGCCAAGGACGAGCCATGAAACGATGCCTCAGCCCAAATATCCAGCCTCCAGCCAACAGATCCACATGTCCCTATCGTGAACTACTTGCCCCATTGCGCGGAGGGATGGCGACAATTGTCCGCTTCAAAGCTCATCCATGCTGTTTCTTCATGCTCAATGTACCATCAATCCGCATCTCAGCAAGGATCTCAACCGAGCCAAAGGTCAGCGCCTCTCTCTTATCTGTACGGGCACGTCCTCCTGACAGGGTTTCTCACCCATATTCCCAAACGGCGAGAACAAGCAAAATGATATCCCTCGAAAAGACAAGAGAATCTCTTGCTGTTCCATAACTAGACATCCGTAAAAAGACACTCCCAAGCGTCTCGACTAGAAAAAGCCTCAATCGAGTAAACATTATGTTATTCAAGCCCGTCTGCACAGCAGACTCTCAACTGCTTCCATAGGCCCAAGTAGCCATAGCACTTTTCTTTTCATCCTATCCAACCGTTATCAAAACAAGCTCCATATTCACCCACCCAGCCCCCAACGCCAAACATGGATTAACAATTACTGAAACCCAGAGAAAAGAAAACCCATTCAAGGAGACTCTGACAAAATCATCCGCTTCTTCGCCTTCTTCAATGCACTCATCCTCCTCCCATTCACCATCCTCGAAACCACACCCAAGCCAATCCAGCTAGCAAATAATCCCTCCCGTGGCTCCTCATGCTGCACGCTGCCATCCTCCATATCTCGCTCGCGCTCGTCCATGGCCGCAGTCCCCTAATCGTTCCACGACACCAAGTCCCGCTGGCGTCCATGCTCATCGAGCTCGACAACTTCGGGCGCCCACTCGCCGCGCTCGTCCTCAGCCTGCAGCTCCGCCATTTCCACCTCCACCTCCTCGCCGTCTTCCATCATCACCTTGCCCTTTCGCAGGTAGTCGGCGTGCAAGTCCCATCCGAGCTCCACGACTTCTGCCTCCACCTTGGCGAACGAGGTGCCAACTCTGAGCTGGTCGGCTGTGGCGAGATCGCCGAGGCCCTTGAGGACCTCATCCAGCCGCCGTTTGTAGATGATGAGGGCGAGTCTCAGCTCTTGGCTGTTTGAGCCGCTATAGTCCATGATGGATTCATCCAGCCACTCGGAGCTATATTCAAGTTGTGCGGCAACGGTTTGAAGCAGCTTAGCGGCGAGAATTGGGCGGTGCTCTGGCAATAGATAGGCCTTGAAGATCAGCTTGAGCACCATATGCCACCACTGCTGAATACAGGCGTCATTTCCAAGATGTACACCAACAATAAAGGCAAACTGAAGCTCTCCAACGACGTCATCTTCGGACAGTTCCTTGTTGGGCTCATTCATGACAGACATCATGTAGGGTGTCGCATCCGTAGCAGCCAGGCTTCGAGCAGCCCCCATAGTATCAGCAGAATATGTTTTCGAGTGCTGCGAGAAGCTAAAGTTGAGTTCTCTTGACTGAAGCAGATGGTTTGAGAATCTCCTTTCGAGTTCCATCTCTGCAGCCAAAAGCACAGCCCCCTTGACGCGATCCGTCGTGTCGACGTGCCAACTGTTTGCGTGCTGCCCTGTCACGCGGCCAAGGACTTTTTCGGTGACGCTCCCAGACAATCTTTTCCAAACTTTTAATTTCTCACTCGAAGCTTTTTGGACAGACTCATCGAGCTTTTCCACCCCCGAGTTGACCGACGACGGGTCGTTGTAGGGCACCAGCTTGTCGTGAAAATTGACAAGATTTTCAGCTTGGATTCTGGCCTCTGCTCGTGATGGTTCAAGAACAGTCTCGTTAAATTTGTCCCACTGCAAAACATGAACTTGGTGTGTGCCGGACGATACAATCCAGAAACCAGTCCTGACGGCGCCGCTGTCGGGGTGAGTTACCCAAAAGAAATGAGGGCCGGGCGGTATATCTCTGATGCCTCCGAAATGCCTGGCAGTAAATGAGGTCGTGTCGTATCCGACGAGATAGACTTCAGGCAGATCCAAAATAAGCACCACATCTCCTCCGCCCATGGAATGGTTGATGGCCACACGAGTCGACGAGTCGTCCAGGGCCTCTGGCTGAACATTGCTAAACTGAACCCGTTTCCGATCTCCCAGGTTCTCCGGCGGATCTAGTGGAGGTGGCAGGCTATCTTCTCGTTCCTCTGTATCCATGGTTTGATCAGGCTGGACAACATGTAGAGATCCGTAGGGATGGGCACCGAGCACCGGCACCGAGTCGTGGGACATTGTTGAGTGAGCACCCGAGCTGGGTTTTCTCAGCCCGCCTATGGGCAGAGGCGATGCTGGGAACGGGCGTTCGCCAGCCATGTTTGAGAAGGGGCGATATTTCTTGGTATGGTGGCGGTTGTGCTGGGTGTTTGCCTGATATGGATAGGTATGTGCTGCTGAAACTCGATGCGGCGCAAAGACTTGGGCGTGCGTGTTCTTGCAAGCCCTTGTCGTAACGAAAATTTGATAATGCGAGTTTAGTAAATCACACTGCTTCCAGAATTATGAAGAATCAGTTGCGGCTGATATGAGAAGACGATGCTGGAGTTCTGGATTGCAGTGAGGCGAGTATTTGAAGGTGCGAGGTTGACGTGCAAATTGTTTGGTGGCGTTATCCGCTCTATAGCCGCTTTAGGTCTGTTAGGCAGGAAGCTCAAGCCCAGGAAGAGACACCATAACTTTGTCCAGGTGGATGCATTCGGGACAGGTATTGATGCACGTGGAAGATGCGTAGGAAGAAAGAGATAGGTAATTAATTAATTATGTCTAAGGAGAAATCTCATTTGGAGGATGCGAGTATATGAAAAGCTGCATGCCATATTCAGTCTGGTAACGGCAAGTTAAAGGCAAGGCGCTAACAGGGAACAGCTTCAGAGGGGTGAGAAACAACAGCAACAAAACCATGACGACAACCATCAAGAAACCCCGTCAATACTAGTCCCTCAAACCAACTCTTTTAGCTGCCGTTCCCAAGCATGAACGAAAAAATACAACTACAAGAAGTCTGTCACTGCACTAGTTTCAACGGCCCTGGCCAAGCTCGCACTACGCCTTTAGCACCGCAGACGGTGGTATTATCCAACACAGAAAAAAAACTCCAAGGGAACCAAAAAAAAAAAAGCTACCCGTTAGTGCTTGGGGGGCGTCCGTCCATCCATCGGGCAACTAAATAAGAACGTGTTCTACTAAATTTAGCTTTTAGCTAGGCCATTGTTTTCCCACGTTGTCGAAATGCAAGAATGCGATAGTCCAAGGGGCAGGGGTAAATGCTTGGAAGTTAAAGGGTTTGGGGAGTTTGGGCAAGTGTAGCTGTACTTGTGCATGTATTGGGACATCTACATATACCGGATGGAGTAACTTCAGATACTTCCGTCTGCCCCCCACGGCATCATCCGATTGCTCGCTCCCTGTGACTCGTCACTTGTGAAAATATCAAAAGATAAATATCATAATTTATTATTATCATAAGAAAACGGATGAAAAGGCTCTCCTGCTTGTCCATTACAAAAGTTTACACTACAAGCACCAAGTCTGATGATTTACCACCCATCAAATCCCAGCCGCTACACCAAAAACCCCCAAGATTGGCATTTCTCACACCATGTCAGCACTCTCCCACAAGCCCAACAAGGCGTCTCCTGATTTCCCGCTGGGACACTTCCAGGGCCCATGCTATCACGAGAGCGTCCGGATACACCGGCATAAACCCGTGCGAGGGCTGTCAAACATGAGCAAACCGCGGCCTCTAACAGATTACACTCACGGTCATCTCGCATCAACATGCCCGTTGGTTCGGGGTTCGGCATGCTTACGAGTGTTTTGCGGCAACGGTCAGCTTCTGTCACGTTTGTTCAAAGGAATGGGCGGCAACTCCGGAATCGTTGCGCTTGCGGCGAATCAAGCTGGAAAGTTGATGTGAAATTCAAAAATTGTTCATGAGGTTTTTCTATTTGAGTTGGAGTGACACCGATTTTACGGCATATCCATTAACGAGATTTTCGTCGTGTCACATCGCAGCCCTACCCAATCACCCCTTTCCCGCAGCATGACATCGAATATATAATCACCATGCTTCCCCAGATCGCCCCCAAGATGGCACTAACTCCCAAAACAACAAAAACCCACGATGTCCCAAACCTGGTCCTCACAGCAACACAGTGCAAGGCGCTAAGCAAGGGGTGCGCAAAAATAAGTCGTCGCACGAAAATTAAACCAAGGGAAACAAGGCGAATCTACATACCTATACTTGTACTCTCTAGTCCTTCCTGGCAAGGGGGGGGGATGGAGGAGTGGAGGGGCGTCAGTGCTCGTGTTCCCACCACGGCCGCCGCCCTTTTTGCGTGCCGAGCCCGCTGTCACATTTGCATCCCATTTTTTTGGTTTCCCCCTTGCGAGGTGGGTGGATTTTTATGCTAATGCTAGGCCTTTGTGGTGAGGTGAGGCTATCGAGAGGAGGGAGGGTGTGTGCGTCTGGGGTTTTGGGTACGATGCGCTGTTGCTTAGAGGAAAGACTTGGATTCATATTGAACTCTCTCTACGCCTAATAGTAGGTAGAACATAGCTCAGTTAATTCTTGTTCATCATGAGCATCATCTCCATTACCAAGCCGAAAACAAACCAGTTTTCCTCAAAGAGAGTCTCATGCTTCGACGTCCAGCTTACAGACAACATGTAGTAATCTGCATCACCCCACGCTTCCCAAAACATTTCGCCCCCTCGCCTTTCTTTAGCATAGTCCTTTTCTAGAAACCATCTAATTTTTTTTTATTTTTTATTTTATTTTTATTTTTTTCGAAATCGTACACCCACTAAAAGGAAACCGGGCAGCCTAATAACCGGGCGATCTAGCAAAGCCGTCCAAAACCCGTTCTAACGCAGTCTAAAGCCGCGGGCCCAGCCTTGTTGCAAGCCGTCTTGGCCGCTTTGCTTGTTTATGTGGTTATATACCTCTATGGTTTTACTGCTACATCATCTTGCAAGACTTTGAAGTAATCCGTATACATCTATACCAGCCAGTCTACCATAAGCACCCCCCTTCGACACTCATCCCACCAAAAACACATCTAGTAATCAAAACCCCCAATCCAGTCTACTTCATCAAAACGTAACAGTACAATCATCTTCACAACCACCAAAAAAAAAACCTCTAGTGCCACTATCTCACCAACCGGTTCTCCCCCCAATCCCCCAATCCGCCCACCCCTCGGCCGCACGCAAAAAACGGAACCAATTTAGACCAAAACGCCCAGCAACGGACAGAAAGACTAAAATAAAGACATTATTTGCCAGGCAAAACGTTAAAAACAGGGCCTCGTGTTTTTTCCCCCTTTAATTCTTCCCATTCTTTTTTTCGCTGCACACGCCCCCTTTAGTGTTGTCTTTTTTCAATGGAAATACTTCTTAGCATGTAGGTTTTTTTTCCCTTTGCGCGTCGTCCCGCAGCCTTTCCCGCGTAGATCTCGCCAAGCCTTTCTAGAAGCTCGTGGCTGTTCTGGCATTTCTGTTGCGCATTTCTCAACAAGCTTTGGAATGCCACATTGTCTCACTAACAACATTCATCGAATTCCTCATTCCTGCAAAATGTCTAAGCGTCTGAATAAGATCATCGCATCTCACGTCGCACAATCCCAATAAAAAAGAAGCCAGTATCGAATATTCTAGCGGCTCTTTCTTTTTCTTCTACTCCCGCAAATGCACACACGTAGTATAATCTGAAGCGAAACCTCCCCCGAACATGCAGCATCCCGTCGTAGCACACAGAAAATCATCGCCCATCAAAACAAACATGAAACTGTCTCACTTCTCGCGTGGCCTTTTTTTTTTCTCCTTATTTATTTTTTTGTTCTTCCTTCTCACCCCGTATGCAGTTCCCGCTTGACATCTCAAGCATCGCATCGCATCGCCCCCACGCTCGTTCACCCAATCCCCAGCCCAGCCTCGTACGCCTCCTGTCGAGCATCAAAATCCAACCACCATCGCAACGCAACCCAAACCAATAATTAAAATAATAATCAATAAAAATAAATAAAAATAAAAAGTCCCCCTAGTCCTCTCAAAGTCTCAATCCACACACACATCAAATCCCACATGGCGCGCCAAAGCCGCACGCGCGCACCCGTTAGCACAAAAGGTATATACCTAAGCACGCTACTCCCGAATCCCACCACCAAGAAAAAAAAAAAAAAAAACTCCATTAAATCCGAACCCATGTCAAAAGTGTCTTGTGTAACCATCACACCCGTACCGTGTTCGTCACACCCAAGCCTGACGGGGTCTTTTTTTTTTTTTTTTTTTAATTCTTTAAATTCGACACTAGCTTTTGGGTCGCTGCTTGGCGCGTCCCGACTGCATGGCACGCTGGTTAGTCTCGATTCTGATGCGAGACTAAACAAGCTTGCAACGTGCGTAGGGTCCAGAGGCGCATCACGGCGGATGGAGGTGCTTGTATAGATCGCCCTTCTTGGTGTTGCCGACTGTCCATGTCCATGTCCATGCATCAAACATCCATCATCAATCACCAACCACATATCACACATCACCATTGTCGCACTTTGCTTATACGCGCACGGAATATATATATGATACCTATATAAACAAGCATCGTATCCTCAGCTCTTGACACACATATTATACCAGTAATGACTGTTTAGGTGGTTGCTGCTATCGTATACACTTCTCTCTCGACAAAGAAAAAAAAGAGTAAAGAAAAAGACGTTACAAAACAAGCGTTACACAAATCGTTCTTTCGCCTCAATGTCTTTACGAAAAGGGCGTAAAATAGTTTCCATTCTTTCCGGGTTTCCATTTTTTTTTCTCCTTCATTTTCCTTCCAATGTTTCCAAAGTCCTCCACCCCCTGGGTTGCTTGCTTAGCCCTTGCGTCCCAAAGTCCGCAGAAGCCTGTGCAGGGCCCAAGAGTCCAGCCAGTCCGTCTTTACGCACCCATTTCCAGCGCTCTGAGCGTTCCCTTCACTTGACAAGTCGTATCGCGTTTTTCGCCTTGCGGCGATACAGAAGCAGCTTCTTTTCCTCAGACCAGCTACCGGGAAACCCCTGGTGCTTCACCCGCCGTGGTTTCAGTACTCCGTATCCTCTGCGCCGAACCGCCCCTGAAAATTGCATCACGCCATGAAAGAGCCGACCATCCCCGGAGTGCCTCTGCCAATGCAACCCCCCCAGTAACCGTAGACCAATGCCCTCCCAAATGCGGGAGTGCGAAAGAGCCGAAGAAAATATTGAAAACACACAATAAGGAAATTTGTTCGAACATGGGTAGAAAAGGGAAAAAAGAAAAAAAGAAAACAAAAACCACCTCAAACTGCTGCAAAATCAAACACGGGTGCCGCCTTAATTAAGATGCTGGTCGGCAAAGTACCCAAACCCTGAGAGGTACACCCTGAAACCGGGGCAACATCCCACAGAGATATTATTTCCTCCAGAAGTCAAGTTTGTCAACACAACCTCTTTTTTCATCCTGCTGCCGGGGTGGAAAACAA